TCTTTATTTTCGTCCGCCTAGTTCTTATTACTTGATTGTTATTCCTATTTCTCCGTTTCCTCCCTGGTCCCCCCCCGTCCTTACCTTACTTCCCTTTTGCTCCTCTTTTTTCCACCGTTTTCTTTTTTTTTTTTTTTTTTTTTTTTTTTAAATTTTCTGATTTATTCTATTTTTTAATTGTCATCTATTATTATTCTTCGTATTCTATTTTCCTTCCCCTCCCCTTCCCTTTCCCCCCCTTTTACCCCGGTTTATTTTCCCCAAACTCTCTCGGCTTCTCTCTGGTGCTGCTTGCTCTCCTTACTGTACGCACCTGCAGGAGACACAAGAACCGAAACGAGTCCTCGGACTCTGCGTGACCCCGTGCCCTTGTCGTACCGCACGCGAAGTCCCTCCAGGCGCTTCCTCCGGGCAAGGTCGGCCCATTACTACCATCTCGCCTCGTCCCCCTTTCCCTGAAGCCACTGCGACGACGACACTTGGCCGGAATCCCGGGGAAATATTACCGGAGAAAATACCGCGGGTGGAAAAGCAAACTCACGGGGATCGGTCACTTACGGCTGCTTCGTCCCTCCCCCTTCCCTCTTTCCTCTCTCCTCTCCTCTCCTCCCCTTCCTCGACCGCCTGTCTATCTCCAATATTCGTACTTTCACCCTTTCCTTCTTTCCTTTCCTCCCCGCCTCTACCTGATTCACCGTTCGGTACCTTCCGTTCCTATTCGACTGGAGAGACGGGCCCCCCGTCTCTCGCGCCCCGTATCTTCCTGTCAACATGCGATCGAGTATCGCCTGCGCTCGCTGCCGTCGCAGCAAGATAAAATGCGTCAATTCCGGCATCGATACTACCTGTCGCGCTTGCGAATCCTCCGGCCGTGAATGCGTCTATCCTACTCCGGCCATCGGCGTCGGGGGAGGCTCGGCGAAACGGGACATAGCTACTATGGGGGATGGTGAGGATCGCAATGGTGACTGGGATAGCCCGAAAAGACATCGCTCCCGGAAGGCCGTCGGAGTTTCCTCTTCCGCGGCCAAGGACGCAGCCAAGGCTTCCCTTGATGCGCTGGATGCCTCCGTCCTCACCGTCAAGGTGTGGGAGGCCGCCTTCGACCTCTTTCAGTCCCACTATGCGACCCTTCTACCTTTCCTGCACCCCGCCACGTTCATGAACCAGATTCGGCAACTCTCACAAGCCGCCTCGTCGTCCACCCATCCCTCCTCGACTTCTACTGCTACAATCGCTGCCCCCGGTGCCGTAGCGCCCTCAACACTCCCCGATCACACCCGCGATGCCGCTCAAAGTCCGCCGGTCCCGAAGCCGGAGCCGAATCCCTTGATCCCTCTCGGTGTCCTTGCCCTCACCGCTCGCTTCCACCCTCAACTCGTAGCTTACCACTCGCCATCCTCACCGGGGAATCCGCCCAACCCTCTCGCTGCGTCCGAATTCTATGCGACAGCTTTGCGCAGCCGGCTGGCCGGCATCGATGGCGCCAGTTTAGCCGTGCCCGATCTAACTCGCGTACAAGCGCTATTAATCTTAGCCTTACACGAATGGGGCATGTGCCGGGGGAAGAGTGCGTGGCTATATGTGGGCATGGCCATTCGTTTGTCGCAAGCCATGGGTCTGCCGTTTGAGCTGGAGAATGACGTGTTCGCCCGTGAGACGCCCCGGTCACCCGCCCTCAAGGCCGAAGCCGAGCTCTTCGGCGTAGTTCGACGACCGACAGAGCCCAAGGAGCAGACGTCGGACGACATCATTGCGCAAGAGACCAAGCGTCGCACATTCTGGGCGTGCTTTCTGTTAGACCGTTGCTTAAGCAGCGGCAAATATCGCCCGCGGATGATCCGTGTCAAGGAGCTTGGCATCCAGCTACCGAGTGACAACGCTTTTGCTTTCGGAGAGCGCGTGCGCACCTCGCGCATCAGCGAACCGGTTGTGCGTCGTCCGCAAAGTTTTGGCGCGCAGGGCGTTCAGATTCCCAGTATCCGTCAGAGCTTAGGTGGTTTCAGCGACGACAAGTTACCGAACAACGGTCCCCAAGACGCAAAATCGTGGTCCCCTATTTCCCGACGGAAGGACTCCAGTGAGGATGAAATTGACCGATGGGAAATTGGGGCTGAAGAATCGGTGTTGAGTCGTGTCATCCGAGTCATTCGCATTTGGGGGAGCATTGCCAAATGGTCTTGCGCTGGCGGGAGACGGTATGTTTGAATCTCAGCCGTAATGCCCTTGATGTGTCCAACTAACAAAAAGCAGAACCGAACAACTTCCACCATGGCATCCGGAGTCCCGCTTTCATAAGTTGCGGTTGATGTTGGGTGAGTTCCAGGATGGCCTCTCTCGCAACCTGCAGTATTCGCCACGCAACACCGATACACACATCATGTACAAAAATACCCTCGCGTCGTACACCGTCATGCATGTAGTCTATTTCTTATCGGTCATCGTTCTCCATCGCGCTTATGTTCCGTTTCTCCCCGTGCGGTGTTCGGAGCCCGTCGGTCCTCTCGACGAGCCGCTCTTCCCCGCCGAAAAGTCCCCCATGGATGGATTTTGGCGGGAAAGTGCCCGAGAACTCTTCGCCGCGGCCCGACAAATGATGGATCTTGTATCCACCTGTCAAGACCGGGGAGTGTTGGTGGAGAACCCGCTGGTGGGCTTTGCCGTCTACAATGCCGCCTTTGTAGGTATCTACGCGGCTCATTTCCCACACATGGACTTGGAGGGCGCCCTGGCCCCCAAGCCGACCTCTCCCGGCGATCGAAATCATCAGGGTCAGGCCCAAGCTCGCAAGTCCCTCGATGTCCTGCGTGACATGCGAACCCGTCTTAAAATGGCCCGCGGTTGGTTCCGCACGCTAAATCGACTGCACAGCTACTTTTCCAAGGTCAAACGGGACTTCCGCCGACACTCTCGCCGGCTGGACATGATGCCAGAACTTGTGGATGCTCATGTGAACGGCGTTCGCCCTGTTCGCGATGGTGGCGCCGGTGGCGGGCTGGAAGAGTTCAAACTCCTTGAGAAGCTGTTCCTGGACTTCGGATCCATCGAGGATCAGTTGCCCGACGGAGCTGCGGAAGAGGATGCAGCAGCCATTGCTAGCGACCGAGCCACCAATCTCAGCGATGCAGGCAGCAACGCCGTTCGCAGCGAAGCGGGTGAGGCGGGAGAACCGCCGCTGGACGGGGCCGGTGGACGCCGCGAGTCCTGGATTCCGGTTAACAGTCCCGGCATGCCATTGCCCGGTCCGGACGGAGAGCGACGACCCAGCCTGCCTCTACCACCTGGTCGGTCCTTACAATCCCAGTCTCCGTTCTCCCTTCCCGCATTGCAAAACCATCCAGAGGGTGGTATCTACAACAATCCTTCCCCGACTCTTCCGTCAATCGGTCCAGCCGGATCGTATCCCCCAACCACCGCCGGGGCCCCAGCTCCGGCTCAATATGGCGGCTCAGTACCTCCACCGCCGACAAATCGTCTTCAGCCTATCAACTCGTGGTTGACATCCCGGTCGCAACCGCCAGCTCCATACTCGCAATCTCTCCCTCCTATCAACCAGGCAGGCTCGCACGGCCTGCCCCTGCTGCCACCTCCTGGAGCAGTAGGACATCCGGGAGCATCTCCACCGGTCACCGTGGATGGCTTCGAGAGTGCGACCTCCAATGGAATGTGGTCTACAAGTCTCGGAGGAGACGATGTGCTAGCATTCCTAGACGGGTGTGAGTACGACCAATTGGCCGGATTGGTGCCATCCGAGGTTGGCATTCCCGCGGGATGGCTTAGCACCGTCTGGGCTGAATTCGCCCGTTAACCTTACCTCAACTCTCTCGTTTCCTTTGTTTATTTCTGCTGCTCTCCTTATTCATTATCTGTCTATCAAATTGATATGACACCTCACCCTGCACACCTTTTGTCTGTATCATTATCTTTCTCTCTTCTTTTTTTGCGTGATGTGTACTGTATGAATATGTATGCCGCCGACGGCGGCCTCACGACGATCATACGAACGGATGGGCAAAAAAACAAGGGGTGGTTTGTCCCGGGGCACCCGGAGGCTGGGACTGATCTGATTTGACTTGTTTCTACTTTTCTGACTGGTTTTCTGGGCGCAAGCGACGGCTGAAAGGGTCTGGACTTGATCATTGATTCTCTATGGGTCTGCTTTGTTTAGTTTGAGCGCGGCGTTTGGATGGTTTGATTGACCTGGCTGTTTTGATGGACAGATGGTCTTGATTTGTTTTCATTTCATTTGACTGTCCGATGAGAATACCTAGTTACGATCTTGCATGCATTGCATTTCTTGCCTTTCTCTATCTTCGGTGATATTCGGTGATTTCGAATAGTCTGGTCTTGTTGGCGTGAGTCATGTTCGATGTATTCGAGTCAGGGCAAAATCGTTGATATATAGTTTAACTGACGTGGTTTTATTCTCGTGTCTTCTATTCGGTTATCACGATCAAATTGAATCGATGAACCGCAAGGACTATTGAGATGGATTAATTCTCCGATCTGTATGATCTTCACGAAGTCTAATTTAGGCTCGATCAAAAACGTAGCTTGGTTACAGTTGGGGTAAATCAAACGCTAATCCATAGCTTCCAGGCCTTATCTAAAAATATACCTCCAGGGCTCACGTGAGAACTACAAAATCGCTAGGTTTGGCTTCACTTCACTCGTCACGCCTTCTAAGCTAGATCAGAAACAAGAGATGAGTCCACGGCATGTGTTTATCCCTGCTGCTCGACAAACAAGAGGTAAACGTCCTCTTCGATGATGTCAATGTTGACAACCCAAACAGGCCTAGCGCAATCCCGGCACATGATCGGTAATACCAATACACCTGATCTGCCAATTTCTCGACGCCACAAAATCCGTCCATACAAGCCACTACTACGATTATGTTCCATTCAATCCCTTCTCCCACATCTCAATAAACACTCAATCGCATGAATAATTCATTCTATCTCCATTGATCTCCATCCCTTCTTTGCGTCTCTCGCGACATGCCCCAAAACCATCCCGACAATGCCAATGCCCATTACCCCTACGACACTAATCGCGTCCGCGAACTACTGAAAAGCCATCGCAAGACCCGCGGCCTGCGCTCCTGCTTCCCGTGTCGTCATCGCAAGGTCCGCTGTGATGGACTCGTGCCTTGCTCGAGCTGCGTGAAGCGCGGACATCGCGACTTGTGTCGTTTTCCGACGGAGGAGAGGGGACGGGCTGCTGGTCCGGTTGGGACCGGCACGGCGTCGAGCTCGGGCTCGGGGTCGGGGAATGGTGGTTGGGGTGGTGGGTTGGATTTGGATGTGATGTATGTTCTCTGGCGCTATATCTTACATTGGGTTATGTACCTGCTAGGATCTGCCCAGCGTAGGTATGTATGGAATGCTAGGACACGGACTAACCAATGATACAGAACGCACTCAATTGAGGAATCTCAATCTCAAGCGCAGCAGCCCTCAACAGACCCGAACCTAGTCATCACTCGGCTCGAGAAAATCGAAGAGCAGATATCCGCCTTGAAGGCGGAACTTCGCGCCTCGTCGGTAACCGCGCCGCCATTGCAGAGTCCGGACCACGAGCCAGGTACTGCAAACCGATCCGGTCTCTTGCGCTCTCGACCACCTAGTAAATCGCCCGGTCGGTACTGCGTCGAGGACGCTACCGGCGCGACTCTTTATCTGGGTAGTCATTCAGACACACCGCTTGCGCTGGGCTGTCGACAGGCGTCCGACAGAGGCGATCTTCTGCTGCACGAGGTCATGGCGAATCAGTTCGTGCCGCGCGCGTATCCGTTCACCAGTCTCTGGGGTCCGGAGGCGACTACGGCGGATATTTGTGAGACGTTGCCAGAGGATTCGGACATTATCAGGTGGGTTGTTCTTTTCCCTTCGTTGACATAGGTGACATGGGATGGCTGACTGGTAGAATGGATAGGTATTGGCAGTTCTATCAGTCAAATGCGTATCCTTTTTATCCAGTCTTGGTGTCCATCGAGGAGTTTGGTCCAGCGCTGTTTAGGTTTCTGGATCGCCGGTTCTTAGCTAGGGAAGGTGGAGAAAGTAGCGAGGGTGAGCCAAATACGTCGTGGCTGGCGCTGTTGTTTGCGGTGTTGGCGTGTGGTGTGCAGTTTTCGAATGATCCTATTCGCGAGAGGGATTTGCGGTCGAAGGTGTTTGGTACGTTTTTGTTTCTTTTGGATTTGCGTGTCCTCCATGTCCGAGTGAAAGAGCTAATGAGTGGCACAGTTTGTTCATCTTTCCATTGTCTACGGATATCGAATATTTTTAATCGCACTGATCTCGACCAAATTCAGGCTATGGCCTTGATTGGGAATTGTCTGCGAAACAACCTTGATACTAACAGTGCATGGATCTTGATGGGTGCGTTCTTTTGTATTCATTTGTTTTCATTGCTAACAATATTAGGATCAACTATTCGACTCGCCCAGAGTATCGGTCTACATGATCCTTCGCGATCTTTGTCGACAGACGAGCAAACCAAACAGAATCAGCTGTGGTATGTCGCCCTGATAAGCTTTCCGAATACATCTAACTAGCGCAGGTGGATGATCATATGGCAAGACACATTTCTATCGTTTACTTATGACCGTCCCCCAAGTTTGATTCCCATCGATATCTCCCTCTCTTCCGACTCAATGGATCAAGGAGCGTCGAATTTTCAACATTGCGTCCTCGATCTCTGTCGCATCATCTCAATTCGAGCACAGAACAAAACGCCCAGCGATCCCCGGGAACTGCTCCACAATACACTCCAATATAAGCAGCAAATCGAGAAGGTCTTGGACCACGCCCAGCCGTTCCTCGTCGACAGAAGCCAATGCTCCTCCCTTCAGAATCATCTAGAACGGCTAGCCCTGGGCATCCATTTCGGATACAGTATCTGTCGACTGTGTCAGATCTACGTGGACGACACGGACCCGAATTTACCGATCCCTGCGGCGATTGAGTCCGGCTGGTCGGACCGGGCGATGCAGGTCGTCGAATGCTTCCTGGATCTGCATCGGCTCTCGGCAAGCGTCTGCCGCTCGTTGGCCTTTGTGCATAACTCGGTCAGCTGCGCCATTACGCTTATGAGCCATGAGCGTCTGCGGCCGGCAGATGACCGTAAGATGAGGTCTCTCATCGAGCGGATGATTGCGGTGCTAGAAAAAGAAGAGAAGAATTCAGAGTGGCGCGACGCGGATACTAACGTGCGGTATTTTGGACCGTATTCGCGAGCATTAAAGGCGTTGAGGGAGATCTCCTCGAGCCATGAAAGTGTTACAGACCAGTTTTAATAATGTACATTTGTCTATTTGTCTAACATTCTTCTTGCGTCTATTCTATCTTTTGAAGTTCAACACCCAGCACCTACGCCCGACGCTTAGCCCGGACATAAAAGTTCAACGGCCGAATCAGCTGAAACTCAGGGTCATAGTCGATCGCTTCCAAGCCCTCCCGCACAAACTCGTACCGGCTCACCAGCTCCGACAGCAAGACCTTGACCTCCAGCAAAGCAAAGTTAAACCCGATGCACCCGCGCGGGCCCGTCGCAAACGGGATATACGCACAACGGTGCCGATTCTTGACCTCCTCTGTGCTCCAGCGGTCCGGGTCAAAGCGGAACGGATCCCTCCAGACATTCGGATTCGTGTGGATGGCATACAGCGCCGGCACGATGACACTGTCCGGCGGCAAGCGGTACCCGCCGGGCAAGACGACATCCGTCTTGGTGGTGCGACCGGGCTGAAACGAGGCGTTGTGCAACCGCTGCGTCTCCTTGACGAAGCTGTCCAGGTAGGGCAAGCCGTGCGCCAAGTCTGGGTTCCATTCTGTCTGGTTGCGTTCGCCGTTCGGCCCGACGATTCCATATAAAACTAGCTCCTGGTACAGACGGTCTTGCGTGCCTTCGTACGTGACTAGACAGTATATCAACCAGGACATGAGCGTCGACGTCGTCGTGAACCCGGCCCCCGTGATGATCAGCGTGTTGCTTAGAAGTAGACTCTCGGGAAACCGTTCCCCCTTGTCATCCACCGCGTGCAGGAGGTACTCGACGAAGCAGGACGCTTTCAACGCGGCCTCATTCATCGGGGCATCTGACATGCCCGACCCGGCGACCTGATCCACAGCCTCCTGCAGCAGCGAGTAGACCGTCCGTTGAACCTCACGGAGCCGAGCCGGGTCCCCAAAAGGCAAGTGACGATACCACTCCCCACGGGCCGTGATCTTCTTATTCAACGACAGCAAACTGGCAATATTCGTAACAATCGGATGCAACGAACTATCAACGGACTCGAAGTGTTTGAAATCCTGATCCAGCGCAAACGAGCCAATGGTCTGCGACGCCAACTTCAGCATATACTGGTACACATTCCAAGACTCGTCACGAGCATCCAACTCATCGAAGATCGGCAGTGACTTGCGCACGCAACGCTGCATCAGGCCCGTGTAGTGTCGCACAGCCCGGGGCCCCATCGACGGCGGTAGATACTTGTGCGCGAGTCGCCAGTTCTCGGTTTCTGTGTCTCCGATGAATATAGCGCTGTTGTCCTTGATACCCCAGAGGGGATGCTCCGCGTTGATCTTCTTCGTCATGTATGCGGACTCGATCAGCGTCACGGACGCTACGCGCGGGTCGTCCGTCAGGTAGGTTGTCTTGCCCATGTTCGTGGTTTTGATGACGGGTCCGTATTTGCGGAATAGTCGGTAATGGTTGCCTAGGTGGTCTGGGAAGATCTCATAGAAACTGCCGACGACGGGGAGACCGGTTGGGCCTTGAGGGGATTGGACGGCATTGCCGTCAATGCGAAGGCCGATGGGAGAAGATACGGACGTGATGTCGGGTACGGTGGTGAGGGTTTCGGTTTGGGTGTGGAAGGAAATGCCTGGCTAGTTGTGAGCTGGGATGGTTTCGAATGCGTTCACCTTAGGGAAAAATGTACCGGTTGGTTGCGCAACGTGGAAGACACTCCCAACTGCGCGCTGCAGGTCCTCGAATTTCCAGCTGTCGTCGACGCTCACGGTTTGAGCGGAGGCGATGTCATCGCCAACGAGGTAGAATTGACACTGCATGATGGGTTCTGTGTGTTTGGACTCAACAACAAAATACGAACACAGATTCTATGACTTTTATATCTTATATTTGCTACATCTATCTTGGAAATCGCCATCATCTCCGAGTATCCGACTGTGGACTGGCTCTCCGATGTTGCTCCGTCGAGCTCCGTTGCTGCTCCGTTAGTTCCGTATCTCGCGCGAACTTCGGCCGTGGATGCCGGCCCGGATGAATCGCTTGACGACCAACAATATCCGGGATATAAATAATATCGCACGGTGTCTGCTTTGATGTGCATGCTTGGACTTAATGAACAGGGTCAAAATGCCGTACACTCTTGAGCAGGTCAAAACGCACAACAAGCCAGACGATGTCTGGATCGTGCTGCATAACAAGGGTTTGCATGTCTCAATTCTGTACTTGCGAGGTCACAACTGATTCAATTGTTTTTAGTCTACGATATTACGAAATACCTCGAGGATCATCCGGGCGGAAGTGCTATCCTGCTTGAGGTTGCCGGTACTGATGCTACCGATGCCTTTGAGGAGGTCGGCCACTCCGATGAAGCCCGCGAGCAGCTAGAGCCGTTCTACGTGGGAGATCTCCCGGCTGAGGTACATTCGCAGTCTTTGTGATAACTCCTTGCATTATGTTGACGTGGAACAGGAACAAACTGAGATGATCGAAGTCTATCGTCCCACCTACCAACAAGTCTCCCAGGCCGCCGCCGTGAACGTACACAAACCCTCCTTCTGGACAAAGGTCCTGCGCGCCATCACCAAGCTCGGTCTGACCGGCCTCGTTGGAACCGCGGCCGTGACAATCTACCAACATGACCTCACTCCTCAAGTCCTACAAGTCCTACGCAACTCCACCGGCAACGGCACCAGCTACAACGGATCCTTCTGGACCGGCGCCGGCATTGCCACCATCAGCCAGCTCACGATAACCTGCAGCCTCGGCCTCTGGCTGTCCTCGAAGCTCGACGTCCAGCAAGAATTCACACACTATAAACCCCGTCGCGCAACTCACGCCGCAACCCTCATTCCCCTCCGACGCACCACGCAGACCCCAGCATCCCCTCCCATCCTACACCCCAAAGCCTGGCGCTCTCTCCCCCTTTCCCAGAAGACCGAAATCGCCCCAAACGTATACCGCCTCGTCTTCTCCCTCCCAAACGCAACAGACACCCTCCCCCTCCCAATCGGCCAACACATCGCCGTGCAAGCGCAAATCAACACCCAGGCCATCTCGCGCTCCTACACGCCCATCTCCTCCCCCACCGACGCGGGCCAGTTAACGCTGCTCGTGAAAACCTACCCCAACGGCAAAATGACCTCGCACATGGCCTCGCTCTCTCCAGGCGATTGCCTCTCCTTTCGCGGCCCCAAAGGCGCAATGAAATACACCCGCAACCTCGCCCGCACAATCAACATGATCGCCGGCGGCACCGGTATCACACCGATGTACCAGGTCCTCCGAGCAGCGTGTACCGATCCCCTCGACGGGACGAAAATCAACCTCCTCTATGCGAACAACACCGAGCGGGATATCCTTCTCCGGGAGGAGCTTGATACCCTGGCGCGGTTGTATCCAGATCAACTGAACATCAAGTATGTGCTTAGCCAGCCGGACGAGGATGGAAAGAGCAAATGGACCGGCTATCGCGGCTTCGTGAACGAAGACATGATGAAGAGGGAGTTTTCGGCGCCCGCGAAGGAGAATAGGTTGTTTCTGTGTGGACCGCCGGGGATGATCGAGGCTATGAAGAAGGTATTGGGGGGGTTGGGGTGGACGGTTCCTGGGGGGTTGGTGGCGAGGGGGGAGGATCAGGTTTTTGTTTTTTAGATTCTGTTTGTTAGGCCATTGGAAGATGAATGTGCGAAAGGGGGACTTTGTATAGATTGTATCATACGTGTTGGAATAGAAAAGGGTAGAATAGAGTATATGTTTCGTCGTTATGATAGTTTTGAACTTTAACTAATATAATCAAGATTGATCCATACCCACTCAACCCAACAAAACCAGTCTCGACAACAGAGACTAGAATAGAATTAAATTAAATCAAATTAAATTAATTATTCCATGCCTTGCAAACACATACACCCAGTCAGACACCAACTACCCAGACAACGAACAATTACATTATATCCTTCCAACAAAAGAAACAACCCGGACGATCCAGACTGAACCTGCTTGGAGAGAAGTATATCCGTGGTTTTCAACCAGGCAGGCGGGAAGTTTATGTAGGACGTCATATCCCGCCTATTTCTTCTCCCTTGTTTGAAACTAGTATGCGATGAACTCAAATGTGTTTGGCTCATGACGGTTTGCTGTCTAGATTCTGAATCTACAGTTCTAACTGAGTCGGTGAATTAGGTGGTTAGATATGGGCAAATCGGCACTCATGGTCAATATATCATTCCGCTCCGCTCCGCTCCGGTCTTCCTCCGTGCTGAATCCGAAGCGTCTCCGAGCCTGTCCGAGTGTATGCGAGGTTCCGAAGTCCGAGTCTCTCCGGCGTCTACTGGTGATAATGATACATTTCTGCTAGCTAGTATCAGTATTGGTTAGAAATGATAGGATAGGGTACGGATGATGTCATTCGGATATCGGCATCTGGGTCTTAAGTCTTCTCTATCCTTCTGAACCTGAATATGTGTAAAGCTTTGGACGAAAGGTTGTGGGTAGGTTGTTTGTTTGGTACTTCCGATGTCTCCGTATCCAAAAGGCAGGTTTTGGGTCGGTAGGGGTGAGTATAAATAGTACTAGAAGGACCCTGGTTGCTGTGTTTTGAAGGTTCGTCTTGTTTGACAAGCTTGTTTTCTCTTCTATTTTCAACTTTTATCGCTATACATGGATATTATATATAGCTGTTTTGCTTGACATTGTCTCATTATTTCTTTCCTCTTTTTTACTGTGGACATTATTCGGTCATTGGCTTTAGATATTATACTACATCTCTGCTTCATCTATACTTACTCATATCTTTATATCGCAACACCTGAACATCCATCCCTCGAAGACCAAAACCCTACGATGAAACCAACAACTACTCCCCGGCCCATCACTGTCCTCGGTGCAGGCGTGCTGGGCCGTCGCATCGCCGCCGTCTTCCTTGCTGCTGGATATACTGTCCATACCTACGATCCGTCTGCGGAGTCTGTACTCGCCGCGACGGAGTATATCGAGACTCATATCGAGGAGTTCGTGGCGCTTGTTCCGTCGATTGCGGACAAGATGAATACAGATGTGGGTTCGGATTCAAGTTCGGATTCCAGTACGCTTAAAGGAGCGAATGGGCATACGTTTACATGTACTCATACGTATACGAATGGGGCCGTCAACGAGAACGGGACTGTCAATGGAAATGGAAATGGTACAACCAAGACACAGCCGAAACCAGGCCAGCACGATACCTTCACGGATCTCCGCGCCGCAGTGACAGACGCATGGCTGGTCATCGAAGCGGTTCCGGAGGTACTCGACCTCAAAACGAAGCTCTTCGGGGAGGTGGACGACTGCGCGCCTTCGGACTGCATGATTGTCTCCAATAGCAGCTCGTACAAGTCGCGGCTGATGCTGGGGAAAGTGAGTGATGAACGCAAGAAACGGGTCGCAAACATGCATTTCACGATGCCCCCGGACATCCGGACGGTGGAGTTGATGACATGCGGAAAGACTGAGATGGGGATGTTGGAGATGCTGAAGGAGGTGTTGAGCGGGTGTGGCATGTTGCCCGTGATTGTGGGAAGGGAATGTACTGGGTGGGTTTCTCTTTTCCTCCTATTTGGTCTAATCGAGGGCCCATCTCAATGAGTCACGGCGACAATGCTAATGCTTATCAGATTCGTCTTCAATCGCCTCTGGGCAGCCATCAAGCGCGAAATCCTGACCATTCTCGCTGACCAGGTCAGCACTCCCGCCGAGATCGATATGCTCTGGGATAACATGTTCACAAAACCTCAAAGTCTGCCTTGTCGATTGATGGATCTGATAGGGTTGGATACGGTAGCTTTCATCGAGGACAACTACATCCAGGAGCGCGGACTGGACAGTCGGCCTGTGGACTGGTTGAGAGAGAAGTATATCGACTCGGGACGGTTGGGCCTGAAGAGCCAGGAGGGAGGGTTGTATCCTCCTACTGACCCTCCTTCCTCAGTCGAGGTCGAGAAGAAGTCGAACGGAATTAAATCTAATAGCGCTCAAGCCAACGGAGCCGACCAAGAAACTGTATACGTCCTCGATGTCGGCCTCGGCGCCAATAATGAGCTCTCCACCTTCAACTCCGCCGGAAAAATCCTGCGATACTCGCCTGCTACGGGAAAGAGGGTCCCGATTGTGCAGGGTCAATCCCTACCCGATGGGATCGACATCTCGCGGAAGGCGGACCGAATCTTCTGGACAAGTATGGGCCGCGCCACACACACCTGCGACGGAGCGGTGTATTCTGCCAACCTGGACGGAACGGATATCAAGACTCTGCTTCCGCCAGGGAGCGTGCACACACCCAAACAGCTCGTGGTAGAGGAGAGCACGGAGATGCTGTACTTCTGCGACCGCGAGGGCATGGGCGTGCACCGCGTGCGCTTCGACGGAACTGCCCACGAGACCCTGATCCAGACGGGACCCACGACAAAGAAGAACCCCGACGAACCAGTCGACATGACCCGCTGGTGCGTTGGAATTGCCGTCGATATCACTCGCGGTTACATATACTGGACGCAAAAGGGCCCGAGTAAAGGAGGTCAGGGGCGGATCTTTCGAGCGCGAGTGGAGATTCCCGCGGGCCAGACGGCGGAGTCACGTTCTGACATCGAATTATTGCTGTCGGGTCTGCCCGATCCGATTGATTTAGAATTGGATGTACGCACGCAGATCCTGTATTGGACGGATCGGGGAGAACATCCTGTCGGGTGCTCTTTGAATCAGGTGGATGTGAGTGGGAAGGTTGACCCGGCAGATCGCGTGATCCTAGCAAGACATTTCAACGAACCCATTGGGTTGAAACTGGCAGGTCAAGACCGAGTGTACGTGGCAGACCTCGGGGGACGGTTTTATTGCGTGGAGAAAGGGAAGAAGAGGGTGATGTGGGAGGACGAGGGGAGCTATACGGGGATAGCGATTTATTGATTTGTGCGGGGGGGAGGCATATGACGGGTAAATCAATAGTCAATAAACTGACAGACGAACGGACGAATGGAAGTTGAATGAACAGAATGCCAATGGAAGAAGGGTTGATGCGGTGACCATCGAGGATGTACTTTTTGCCTTGGGGTCTTTGTCGACCAGTCACATGTCCTGAGCCTGAGGCACCGAAAGGGGAATCCCGTAGAATTCTCTCTCCCTTCTTTTTCCCTTCTTCATCCCCTGCCATCATCCCCCGTCCCTGCAGAAGGATGCATCATGCAGTGCAGCTCCCACGAGCATGCCAAGTTCCAATTATCTATCACATTACATCATGAATTTACTATATCCCAACCTCTCCTCCTTTTCCTAGTGTCCTAGTCTCGACTGAGTCAACTCACAACAACCCAACTTGCTCAGTGCTCTCTCACTTATTACCAATCCACTTCCCGGTACCCAATCATGCCGATCAACCTGACAAGTGGACGCAACCTCACCGGAAGGCTTCCACAGCAACCCGGACTCCTGGAATTGACCAACTCAGGCTAGAGAATTACTGCAGCAAGTTAGCGATCTTCCTGCTAGGAAAGAAGCCGAGGAGAAAGGGCCAAGCAGCACTAACAAAACCTCGAGACAGGAGCGGCGGAGACCGTGGCAGGTGGATCCTGCCGCCAGTTTAGAGCGACGTTAGGACCAGGTAGACGAAGGTCTCCACTACTCCTGGCAATAAGAATTTTTGCCTCTAGAGAGCTGGCGCCTCCTTTTTGCCCGCAGGGATGGAAATTTGCCAATTTGGTTGGAACTTTTGTTTCCTTAAATCCTGAGGGATCAATGTTATTGTTCCTGACCGTCAGGGTCTTGGCGTGAGGGTGATGGTACGTGTGCATCGCCCATCATACCCTTAGTGAAGCTTTCTAATAATAGTTTAGCGAGATAAACTCGTCGGTAGTTCAGGTGCCGAAGGACAATCCCAATTCTAAATTCCCATGGTCTTTTCCCCATGCCCGTTAGCTTTTCAATTTATTTTTTCTAAAAACAATCGGGGAGTCCATTGTCAATCACCGGTAGTGTCAGGATCAACATGGTGCGGCTGTTGCCAAACAGCGATCCTTTCCCGCTTGCTCTAGTTTACCATAATTTCATTATGGTGCTCTGCCTTGGTCACGACGTCAGTGCGAATAATATTTGGTTCGTTGTGGGTCCCAGGAGATTACCTGACCCATTGTTCCCCTAGTCCTCCCCGTCCGCTCAGAGTTAACGACTTAGTCAATGGTGGCTTGCATTGGGTGGTTCAGGTTGGCGTCTGTCAGATGCAGTCTGTCAGGCAATAGTGCGAGACAAGCGGTCCCCGAGTAACGCAAGCAGACAATGAGTCTATTCAAGGGGATCTCTCAACCGAGACCGGAGCACCAGGGGGCCCCTAATTCTCATGTTCAGAGTACAGAGTAATCAACCAGATCAACCTCCCAATTGATAACTGACAAGGCTGGTCTGGATACGAAGCGATCAACCCCGATCAATGGGCACTAGCCCATCACTTTCCACATTAGTCCGCGGCACGGTCTGGAAGCCGAGTTGGCGTCGCTCATCTTCCCTCCACAGTAAGGAGGCCGACGCGAATCAAGTCTGGCTGTTCTCCTACTCATGGCAAAACAATCCCCGGCCAGTCAGAACTCACCTTCGTATAAATTCTCCGGAGTCGAGGCCCCCATCGCGTAATGGGGGGGGGATTTAGTTTATTTGAATTTTTTTCCCTCTTCTTGGGAACGTTTGATTCTTTATCCGACGGTTCCCCCTTCCCCCCGGTAGGAAACTTTTGGAACCCTTGAAAGTTGAAACCCTTGGGGTATACCAAAATTCCAGTCAATCATGCGATTCCAACGGGGGCTATTACTTTATGGATTCCTTCTAATTACTCTGGTGGTCTGTTCGGCCGCCAAAGACCCCGATCTTTATTCCTTTCCTCAGTGCGCGGTATGTTTCCGTCCCATCGTGTGATGGTTAATATATTTCTAACCTTAGCAAATGTAGCTGTCCTGTGGAGAGCAAGTAAATTGCGCGCCGGACGATACAAGATGTGCCTGTTCAGATCGGGTATTCGAGGGATCGTTAGGAACATGCTTTACATCGAATTGTACCATTAAGGAGCAGTTTGGTAGGTTTTCTTCTTCAACTGCATGGAACAAACTGAGGCTCATTAATCCAGTTACCAAACGACTTCGTGCCCAAGAATGCGGCTTTTCGGAACATAAGGGTCGACCTGCCATAGATCCGGCGACCCTGGTGCCGCTCATTCTCTCCTCACTTCTCTTTATCTGCCGTATATTCGCTAAGATTATCCATCTTGGTGGAGGTTGGGGATGGGACGACACCACCATTACCATTTCCTATGTGCGTCTTGCTGTCAATGCTGCTCGCTATCTGGGCTAATGGTTTCTAGGCTTTGGCGTTGGAGTTGTTCATTGTCAACATCTACAGTAAGTCTCGGCCCCCAAATTTTATTTGGCATCCGCACTAATCAACCCCAGTGATCCATCATGGCTTCGGCTCGAACATGTGGGACATCATTCCTTTCAGCAACATTACTATGGTTTATAAGGTGATTCTTTCTCTAGACAGGTTGCCACAACGCATTCTAATATTTCAATAGCTCTTCTACGCCTTCGTTCTCAGCTACAAAGTTCAAATCTCTCTCGCCAAAATATCCGTCTGTCTATTCCTGCTGCGAATCTTCCAATCGGCCGTCTTCCGTCACGTCACGTACGTCGTCATCGGTTTGAATGCTGCCATCGCTTTGTCCTGGGTGATGAGCGACTCGCTGCAATGTATGCCCGTGCATATGGCCTGGACGGGCTGGGCGGGTGAGGAAGAGGGGAAATGCATCGACTTCATCACGGCGACGTTGACCAACGCACTGGTGAACATTTTTGTGGATTTCGCCATGGTTGCTGCACCTGTGTATGAGATCACGAAGTTGCAGTTGTCCAAGAAGAAGAAGATTGGAGTGGGACTGATGTTTGCGATGGGATTGCTGTAAGTCCTTTTGTCCATGCTTGAAGGGTTTCATCTAACTAAGAAACAGGTTAACCATTGTGGCAATCATCCGAGTCATCGTCTTCTGGAACAACCGCTGGTCCGACAACCAGACCGGTACTGTCACCCTTCCTCCCTGACCCTAAGAGCACCACACTAACAGTACCAATAGCGCAACTTCAACCCATCGTCCACTGGTCCGTCATCGAAGTCCAGATCGCCGTTCTCTGCGCCTGTCTCCCCGCTACCCGCGCTCTTGTCGGCCACTTCATGCCTGACCTCGTCAGCGTGTACGGCAAGAAATCGTACGCCACGCACGGCGCCCCGCTGAGCAGTAACGCATACCCCCCCGCTTCAAACGCAAAGGGCGAGATCGCCAAAACGATGACATACTCGGTGAACTATACATCGAGGGCGCAGCGCGACGACTCGGGGAGCTCAGTCGAGCTGGTCGAGGTTGACCAGGAGAATTTGGAAGGGGGAAGGGTGAACGGAAGAAGCGGAGGGAGTCGAGTGTAAGGACTCTACTCCTCTGACTTGGGCATTTCTTTTGTATTTTATTCTGGGTTGGTTTCTATTTCTTGTACATTACGGTATACCTTCTGGGGTGGTTATCTCATTTTTCCTTTGTTGACTCATTTGCGTGGGTGGGTGTCGTTTTATACCTATTGCTTCTATCTGCATATTTAATCCTATATAGACCTATATATCACATGATCACGAATTGATACATGAAATCAAGTCTGGGAAAAGCCAACTAACAGATTTAAGGGAAACACGATGCATTGTCTGAATATCAACTGGGGAGACGTCTTCTAATCAATGAAGAGACAGATCATCCCTCAGACCCAGGTAGAATTTTCACTTTGGGATAATATCTGCTTGAGCTCAATACTCGACAACACCTCTCAAATACCTTACTTAACGTATAGAAATACTCCCGTCAGATGAACCCAACATCCAGTCCTAGTACCTAGAATAAGAAGAAACTAACTATAGCCGAGCTCTTTCTCTCATATGCTGTACGGTTAGGTAGACACATTTAAAGTAAACAGACCCATTCACCAATTGCCTAACGCCTATTATGAGCATCAACAAAAAGGCAGACATGCACCATCCCACTAGCCCGAAAAATTATTCAAAGAACCGAATTAGCCTAAACTTTAGCAGAATACGAATACCCAGCATCAGGGAGATGAAAGATCCACAGCACTACGGGTCTTCTGGAATTGCACTATGCCCAACTTACCTAGGGGGTCGGCACTTAATGCTTGGCGGGAAATCAATTACCAGGGTAGTCACTAGTTGGAGGGGTCTAATTTAGCCAGGGAAAAAAAGCAAATATGCTCCATGGTTTTTGGGTTTAGGGAGTTGGTTTTTCCAGGGGAAAGGAGCGATGAAGGGTTTGGTTTGGTTTATGCAGACTTTATGAATTGGTTGTCTTGATATAGGCAGGTCCTAGGTATAGTATTGGATGAGTATAGGGAAATGAGATCGATGGTATTGATGTCTGTCGGACATGTTTCAGGATAGAAGTTCGCTAGCTGTGTGCAGACTTTTAAGGAGTATGAAGGCTTATAGCATTGTCAAGATTGGATATTCAAAATGGTGACTGTACAAAATCCCGTTAGGGGATTCGAACGTATTGGACTACCACACACATAAACATCCTGGTTCTTTGTAGAAAATGAGTATATGGGTGATTACCGTTCGTAAGTATAGACTACATGATTACGAAAAAAGCCTCAACAAAGATAGTTAAGCACAATGCTTTGTTCAGCCTACCAATATCTCGGGAAGGCATCTATAGGGATCTGTCGGTATCAGAGCGGGTGTTTCAAGGAACTGTTCCATTGCTATTTACTATATAAAGCCACGAGAATAAGAACAGATAGAATATCACCATCATCTTCTTCTCTACCTAGTTCGATATCGAGCGAACGTCCGAAGCAGAAGATAGTCCAACTTTCAAGTTCATCCAACGCCAAGGGAAATAGACCGTCACGCTATTTACCACCACGGGCGACTCTATCGTTAGTAAAAATGGCGGGTGAGTTTGAGAAAAAGCAAGTTTCGTCTCTTGTGGCACTCCCCAATGAGATTCTATATCAGGTTGCTAACTATCTAGAGTATGCTGATGACGCCAGTGCGTTGTCACGAAGCTGCCGTTTTCTCTATTCGCTCGTCAATCCAACCCTGATTGCACGCTACGCCAAGAGTCACCAGAAACAAGCCATTCAATGCGCCCTCGAAAAGGGCGACCATATCCTCCTGCAACGACTCCTTGAAGCAGGGGTGAAACTTGGCCGCGACGTGCGCAAGGAAATGTTCACCAATGCTGCCGAGCGCGGATACACGGAGCTGCTCCGATTTTTGCAAGATGCTAACCTCGGGGGTGATCCTAGAGAGACAAGAGAGTACAATTTGCCGTTTGTATCTGCCGTTCTACATGAGCGCTGGGAGACAGCGAGGTTTCTCGTATCTCGCGGGGCAGATCCCAATTATATTGTCCCCTGGGGATGGGAGCCCAGCACCCTCAATGCCATGGCGCGGAGAGGGTGTCTGGATGGTGTGCGCTTCCTAGTTGAGGAAGGGGTGTCGTCCCTAGAAGTTCCTTGGAGGGGCCGGACTCCGCTTATGAATGCCGCTCGTTGTGGGAGCTTGGATGTTGTGAAATATCTCATCGCAGCTGGGGCAAAGCACAGGACGAAGGATGAATATGGCCGAACTGCTATATTTCATGCGGCGCATAAGAATCATGAGGACATTATGTTGTTCCTGATAGGTTTAGAGAAAGGCGCTGACATCTTTGAGGCTGATTCTGATATGGAGGCTTTAGTTTATGCAGCGAATTCCAAGAAAGGCATCGGTGCTGCCAAATTGTTGCTCGACAGGGTCAATATTGAGGCAAAACTTGCATATCGATATACACGTCACCATGGACCTGCCCTCTTGTCTGCTAGTGCAATGGTAGGCTGCGAGCCGACTGTTCAACTCTTGCTGAATGAGGGCTGTGATCCCTTGGAGCACCGGTGCTATGCTGTAAATTGTTTGCGTCAGGAGCTCCACGACCCCTTGGGGCAGGCAACCGCGAAGGGTCATGGAAATATTGTCCGACGATTCTTGCGCTTTATACAGGTTCACAACCCGTCGATGCTTGAAAGATCTCGCGCGCGTGTGATTATCTCGGCGTCCCGGGCCAACCAGGTGCAGCTCTTGCGAGAAATCCTGGACGGCAAGATAACGCGGAAGTGGAATCTGGGCAAGACTCTAGACGACGCTCTAGTGTGGGCTTCGTATGCTACGTCGCACAAGGAAGCAATTCTTCTGCTGATTGAGCGGGGCGCGACTATGGGAAAGGACAAGCAGCGCGACTTCGAGATACTCTGCCGTGTTGCAGCACAGGGTAGTCCAGAAGTCGTGCGATTGCTCCTCAACAAAACCGGCTTCATGCCAATGTCGCAGCTCCATGGTCATAGTCTATCGTCGGTGGATGGCCGATTCACATATGTCTATGAGAACGCACTGTTCGGGTTGGTTTCTCACCCCAGCAGCGATGCGAAGATAGAGAGGATCCGACCTCTTCTAGAGTCGAACTATGGCGGCTCTCCCCCTAGTGACCAGAGCCTCCGAGCAGCTCTAGGAATGGCAGTCTATAACGGCCATGTGGATATCGTCAAATACTTTCTCGACCGCGGTTTTGATGCCAATTTGCTGGTCCCGGTCTTTCCGGGTGCCGAATATAAGAGATTACTCGCTATAGCCGCTGGAGGCAAAACCCCTCGGGCGAACGAGATGACCAGTTTTCTCCTGACGTCTGGTGCCGACGTGGAAGCCAGAGGCGGCCTTGATGGTGCAACGGCATTAAAGTATGCCGTACGGTGCCCCAACTACGACACTGTCAAGATCCTGCTCAACCACGGCGCCAACCCCCTTGCTACATGCGATCACTACGATAAACTTACAGGCGGCCCGACGCCTCTGCATGACGCTTTATACTGGCGCTGGAATGAGATGCTGCCCATTCTTCTGAAAGCAGTTGAAGAGAAAGGGCTGCAATGGGATATCAAGAGTTCTCTAAATGACCTCAAAGCTCAAAATGGGCATCATCTTCATCAGTATGGAAGTGATCTGTTTGTGTGGGCAGTAGTGAAGCAACTGACGCAGCATCAATGTCGAATGACTCATCCATGTCCATAGACATGGACTCTGAGCTGGGATTATCAGGTCATTCTGAAATAGGTTCTTAGACTAGCGTCTCTTATCATTAATTTCTTTTCTTTCTTAGCGTTTACTTGTAGTTACGGGTCCATCACCCACAGTAGATCCCTAAGCACCATTGATGGCTGGATTCATACTCCGTACGGAGCTGCTAGTATGCCAGACATGGGCTCAACTATCTTTTTAACACAATATTTTTTTTCTTTCCATTTCCCTTTGAAAGCGGGAGCAACTGTGGCGTATATGTCGGAAACCCAGGCATTCGGGTATTTTGCAACCAAATGATCGATTGAATGAATGATTGATGAAGATCCAACCAGGAAAAAGCATGCTCTAGTTATTGATACTGTTTGCTAACTTTGTGAAATATCGTCTTTTCATTGTAACGTCTTTTGATTAAAGATACTAGAGTCATATCCGATCGAGCTTATTTGAGACCCAAACCCCTTATCCCCTTGTACTTGTATGGACCTACTCAAACTAGCCTTGCGCTTACTGCTTAAGTTACTTCTTCTAGCCCTCGGATGTGAAGAGACTCTTGTCATGCGTCTTGCAGCTCTAACTTACCGCTCGTAGTTTCAATGTATGTGCGATTTGCTGTTAGTGTGTTTCAGAGCTATGCTGAGCTTGTTTAGTGTAATTGAGCTTAAAACTTACTCTAGTGTATATATTTTAACCGGTCATGTAGAATTGTTGGTCGTTTGTCCTCTGATAGTTTATAGTTGCTTAGATTCCAATAGATTTTTCTTTAACAACTGGGGTAGGTAGATTTTGTCTCGCGTAGTGATATAGTTGCTATGATCTGTATAAGAGCAAGAGGAATTTGGTAGAATTAAGTTTACTTGTATAGCTTAAGTCCCGTTCAAAGACGATTGAATCGAACCTTTTGGTGACTAAAAAGGCCCCGGACTTATGACGTGTTAGAGTCCTAGGTGTCTAAGAGTATGATGATACATGATCATTGCTGGAGATCTAACAAGGCGGAAGACCATAAATAGAACTTGCCTGACTAATTTCATGAATTTTTCTTTAACTGCAACGTCTGACATCTTCTGACTGACCGGGAACTTCTATAAGATAGGAGACGTGTATGTCTGAGGTGCAACATGCCAAGTCACATATACCCATTTTCTTCAACAACGACCTTCATGGCCCGCAGGGATCGAAATCCAATCTTTTGGTAATCGCGATAGCTATACTCTGCCTCTAATTACAACAATTACTCGTGACGCTTATTTCCACAAAAGGGCGGCCATTATGTACGTCCGCGGTGGCTGCAACACATAGTGACAATATGAAGTCAAGTAGCTGCAGTATATGATTCATCTTGGTTTATTTCTCATGCTAAATAATGGAAACTGCTGACTCGAGCCCAGATGTGTGGTGTACTCTCAACACTACCTTTCTAGGTTTCTAAGTCTCATGACAGATTATTCAGACACTCTTGTCTAACCTGTAGTCTGTTCACTCGCGACGCTTGATGAAGGTGTATACAAACCGAGCCAGCTCGGACTTGCCATCCTTCGACACCACCACGCGACGAGTATAGTACCGTTCTCCGTTGACGTTCTCGAAACCCCAAATCTATAGAAATCATCAGCATCCACCCTATCCCACCCTCACAGCCACGGTACACAGGGAAAGAGGTGGGGGGAAATACCTGTTCGGCCGTCCATCCATTATCCAAATTGTTCACGAAGCTCTGCAACCACAGACCCTCTCCCTCACCGTACTCCTCGCCCTCGGCATCGACCAGGAACCCCTCGGTAGCAGAGCCATCGGCCAAGACCTCTCCCCGCAGGAACTTCTTCACCGTCTCGTCGTCCGTCTTGGTCTGGATATCCACGTTCGGCCGCACCTTGCCATCCTCTCCCTTGACGCCGCGGAGCAGCCGCGACTGGCCCTCAACTCGACCGAAGATGTGGTCCTCGTGCTCGCGCTTGGTCCAGTCCGTGGTGCGGTGCTCGCTGGTGCCCTTGATGCCGCCGGTGACGACCTGGTCGATGTCGACGTGGAGAAGCTTGGGGTCGGTGGAGTCGGCGTGGGAGTGTATTTGGAGCGTGATGGTGGCCATGTTCAGGGCTTTGCGGAGCATCCAGCCCATTCCTTGCTGTGGGGTGATGTTAGTGGGGTGGATGGTGACTAGGAGGGGTGGTGGTAGGAGGGTACCAAGGCGAGGAGCGGCTCTGTCGGATCAGAGACATTTTTGTCCTAAAAGATCAAAAATAACATGGTTAGCTTCGGGTAGAGATTAAGGTGGTATGGAGATATACGCACCATCGTCCATTCTCCACTGAGGTTCTTGATGGTGATATCTGCGGGGGCGGCCATGATGAAATGAGGGGTAGGGAAGTAGGGACTGATAATGGACAAAGGATTTGAAAGAAGTCAATTGAAGGAAGTCTATCTAATGACAGTATGACAGACAGGGAGACACTCGTGGAGATCTGCCAAACGACCAGGATGGAGCCAGAATAAATAGGCGGGGAGAAGTGCCGGACGTCACCTTTCATGTGGTGCCTGGGGCCAAACCACCGAGGCTTTCACGTGAAGCGGTCTTGCGACAGGCACCGGCGCTTTTTGGCCGTTTCTGCTGTAGGAACAACGCCTTCCTAGTGCTTGGACGCTGTGCAATCCACCAATCTGTGCTCCGAGCTAGATTACTTTCCCCATACTTGTCCTTCTTGGGTTCTTGGGGAAGTTGGTTGGCGTCGAACATGGTTCTTGGCGCTCGATCTATTCGACACGGAGAGAGGAAGACTGTGGAGAGGGAGTTCCGCGCTGTCCGAGATGGGGCAGATGATACATTCTTTTGTAATAATCTCACACTGACTCTGCATTGCAGCCCATGTGATTATCGGCTTGTGTGATGACGGATTCAGGTACGACGCCGTTCATCGAGATCATGTATGACAAGTGGTGCCTCAGGCGCCACATCCGATGATGCTGAGTCAGCCTTCCTCCTTCTGAACAAACACAACAAACAAGCCAAACATCCCAAGTATATCGGATCAACAACCTCCTGACCTTCTTCTCTCTCCATTGCCCTCTCCCACCCTCACAATGGCCTTCAACAAGAAATACGCGGGTCTTCCTGATCTCGTACGTCCTGTGCTCTTTTATACATTTGCTGTGTTCCACGAATTAATTGTGCATTAGGATCTCGCGCCCGATATTTACGAAACCCCCGATCTCACCGACGAAGCTTCCACCGTCCCGGTACTACTGCCCACTGTTATGATCTATTTCCTACAGCTCCAATCCTAATATACTTTACCCCAGACAACCACTATCCGCACTGCCTCGAACCTCGATGACGATGCCGGCTCTAACTCCGACATTGACCGACAAGGCGTGGACGCCGACGCGGCGCGCGCCCATTTCCTCGGTGCGACGGTCGACGCCCGCGAAGTGAACTTCTCCGACAGCATCGACACCAAGCGCAAAGCGTACCGGAGCAAGAGCCGACGGAGGCGGAGGAACGAGAACGGACTAGAAGAGGTCGGCGACCTGAGTGACAGCGAAGACGAAAGTCTAGACAGGAAGCTGGCTCGGCTGCGACGAGAAGTCGAAGAGCTCAAGGATGAGATGGCGGCGAGGGAAGACGCTACTGAACCGCAAGACTCCGCCGCTGGTCACGACAAGGAGCCGCTCGGCGACGGCGTCCTGGAACTCAGTCGCGCGCTAGATAGTCTCTATGCATCCTCCCGCGGCCCCGGTGGTGTCGGCGTCCCGCACTCTGCCGCCGCAGCGTTATCCAAGAAACTTGACGCCGACTCTGCTACTACGCACTCCACTGCCCCTGCGATGACGGCTGGCCCCGACACCCAACAAACCCTTCCTACTCCTTCCTCTGACCAGACCTTCCCCAACGTGGGCGTCCTCTCCCACGCCGCCGCCTTCGACAGCCGTCTCGCGCTCATCGAATCCGCCATGGGCATCTCCAGCTCCTCCAACCCGTTCGTCTCCGACGGCATCTCCGAACCCCCCTTGCAACCCGTCCTCCCGGCGCTCGACCACATCACCTCGCGGCTTGCCACCCTCATGAACCTCCTCGTCGGGCCGGCCCCGGCGTCCGCCGTTCCCACCACCTCCGCCGGCCACCTGCCGCCATCGACGACCGTCTCGACGCCGCACCTCGAAACACTATCCACCCGCGTGCGCCGCCTCACCGCCGACACCGAGGCTCTCGCCGCCGCGCGCAAACGCGCCCTCGACGCCGCCAAAGCGGCCCAGAACGCCCGCATCGCGGCCGCGGCCCTCGAGCCGTCCGACGTCTCGGTGTCGTCCTCCTCCGCCACGGAAACCGATCCGGCGGCCACACAGCGCGACGAACAAGCCACCAAGATCCAGGCCCTATATGCCACGCTCCCGACCATCCAGTCTCTGCACCCGATCCTGCCCAGCGTGCTGGAGCGGTTGCGCTCGCTGCGTGCCATCCACGCCGGGGCGGCGCAGGCGTCTGAGTCCCTGGACGAGTTGGAACGACGACAGGCCGACATGGCAAGGGAGATTGAGCAGTGGCGTGAGGGACTTCGCGTGGTGGAGGAGAAGATGGGGCAGGGCGAGGCGGCGCTGAAGAGTAATGTGGAGTTGGTGGAGCCGTGGGTGAAGGATTTGGAGGGCAGGTTGGAGAGATTGGATACAGCTTGTGGTGTTTAATACCCTGTTTTCTTTTGATTTCTTGTGGATATTGTTGGTGGTGTGTCGATGTGTGTGTATACTTCTGGTTGAGCAGTAGCATTTATTTACGTCAGTCAAGGATGGATTGGCACAGGTATACCAGCTTCAAGAACGTTCCAGTAGTTTGAATATTTCACCTTGGATCTACTACCTTCGACCAGACCTGGGTATATGTCATTGAAAGGCCATTCAGACATCCAAACATCCCCTTGTTCAACAAGACATACCTACCCAACTATATAATAACCCATTATTCCAACCAAACAACACAAAGGCATTAATACAAACAGCCCATAAGCAAACAACTCAAGATAATCCCTTCATTAGATAATCTCTCAACACAATCCATTTAGAATCAATCACTTCAACTTCGCCACACCATATTACTAACCTCTTACGGGTGGATTGAATGTGTTGGATGCGCAGATCGCAGTGCATATGACTTGACTGTTCATTCACGAAGGACAGACGAGCCGCTGGTTGTCAGAGAGCCACGAGCAGAGTTTTTGAGGGTAGAGGAGTGGCAGATCGATATCAACAGGGCAAACTTCGGTCCAACATTCTGCAAGGATGCGAAAGCTGTCGAAGCTGCTCTTAACCCTCTTAGTCAATCCGAACGCGAGAGCTTTTCTGGCAGATTAGGACAGCAAGGTTTCATTACACTACAAGTCCTTGGTATGGTCGACGGCACGGTCAAAGTGCTTCAGGACCTTATAATCCTTGAAAAGCGAACCAGGGTAGAGAATATCCGCGAATATACGTCGAATGTCATCGAACCTTCTTTTGGTATTGGGCGGATTCTATATAGCCTTTTGGAGCATGTTTATTGGTATCGACCAGATGATGTTGCCCGGGGGGTAGGCAAATTCTAAACATTACAGATCGCTATGCTAATGTACTGGTCTAGGTCTTGTCGCTGCCCCTTTCTGTCGCACCGATCAAGCTGTTAATTGTACCTTTGTCAAACCAGCCAAGTTTCCATTCAGTGATACAAACGGTATCGCAGTGTCTTCGACAATTTGGAATTTTTTGCCGTGTCGATAACAGCAGCGCAAGCATTGGAAAGAGATACTCTTGTAATGATGAGCTGGGTGTTCCACTTGGCATTATCATCGATTTTGATACGCTGAAAGACGATACAATCACATTGCGAGAGAGAGACAGCACTAAGCAAGTCCGAGCGTCACAGTCAGAGATAGTGGATGCCATTCAGAGCCTCGTGGATGGTAAGGAAAGCTGGCGCGATGTGTTCAACAGACTCCCAGAGTTTGTTGGCCAAAGTGGTGATGATTGAGCGCTTCTTACCGCCACGTACGAAGGCCCAATGTCCATTGCACCCGCCTTGAAACAGTTCCTCGAAATGTTTGACCAGTCAAAAAGAAACGGAACCTTGTCTCTGGGACCAGAGCAGCAAGGCTCACTTCAGGTTCTAAAACCCCCGCTTACCCCATCAGCGTCTTACCACCATCTTTCTGTCGTTGTTCAAGGACTCTTATCTGGCAATATTGTATGGCCTAGCTCAGTTAGCGGAACTCCGCGCTCATGACAAAGGTAGCATGGCCTAGTACGTTGAGTTCCGTAAGCTAACGTGACGTTATAGCCTGCGAAAAAAATGCCAAAACTGTTACAACTCACTACGGCAATGTCATGGCGGGAAACTCGTGTGCTCCTGATCCTCCCAACTACTCGGTCGACCGTAGCCGAGGGTCTAACTCTGCTATCTCTATGTGAGCTACCTTTATCTATAACCTCTCTCTTTGATCAAGCTTTCAGCGGACTGACCAGCGAGCTGTTCAATAGCTACTACAAGCGTTGTGATGGGTCGCTGCGCAATGGGCGTGGTGAAGAGCTTGGCCGGTACACGAAGCTCCCAAGAGTTAGGTGAACTCCAGTTCTGGTAATTGGCCCCTTTTATGGAGACCAGTACTGTACGCTGGATGAGAAATACGGTACTTCTATTCTTAGGGTGCCTCAACGTGTTCTGACGTTTGGAAGCTGGCAGCATGTCCATTATTACTGTATGTTTTTATCGTTCTGTTTTGTTGCTATTGGTTTTGTACTTGTTTTTGTTTTTGGAATCCCTACCTAGTACTCTCCATCCTGTTTGTTGGATCGTAGTGTAGGACAAGTAAATGTCTTTATTATGGAGTAGTCGCTAAATCTGAATATACGATAACAGAGGCAAAGAATTCTATTATTCACTACATAATACATATGGGAAAATGGGATCAGGAATGCTGTCTACACCGTTACCTATCATTATAAGAGCTTTGAAGACCTTATAGATATTTTGGCTATGATCAACTCAATGGATAGGAACAATTTCGATTGTGTTCATGCATAAATTCACAGGCTGACGAGCAATTTGCAAGGTATATCTTATAATTGCCAAAGATCAGTACATCCAGCAATTAGGTTTTTCTTCAGTTACGGCCGATTTTGAATAAGAGAAGCTGAAAACGAAATATAAAGAAAGATATATAGAAGAAGTGACTTACCTGTAAGGGGGGGAAGCCTCATCCAGCTAGGAAAGTAGCTGGCTTTTCATACTATTATTCCAAGCCATTACCCGGGCAAATCGATAAGCATCATTGATATCACACCCTAAGACAATCGCCACAACTGGCTGAAAGGCCATTTAGTTTTTCCTTTTTTTTTTTTTGCCCGGGTATACGGAGTAGACTAGAACAAGTAGACTCCAGAAATGCCCATGTGGACCGCTCACCCCGCCTTTCATAGACTGCTCGCACAAAATCAAGGACATATAAGTAAGCCGGGAAGCAAGTGACGGCTCAGTGAGCACTTGGTAAGTGCTGGGTGAATGCTCAGTGAGCGGTGATCCGTAATGTGAAATACTGAGTACCCTCACTAAAGCGGCGGCACCCAGCAGAGGAAATCCTGAGTTGTGCTAGATATTCCGATACGGATAGGTACATACAAACAACCCATTCTTCCCCCATTAACCATATCTCTCCAACATCATCCTCAACAAGATCCAGGAAATGAAAAAAAAAAAAAAAAAAAAAAAAAAAACTCTAATAAACCCTCCCCAAAACTCGCACCCTCGGCTCAACCCGAACCTCAACAAACCAGCCCCTCGCAAGTTTTCTCACCATATCTCTCAAGAACAACCACACTTCCCCACACGCCTCTCCACACCAAGACCTCAATACCCCGAGTTCGATGTCACTTGGTTCATCACCGGGTCGAAGAATCCGGAGGCCTGCGAATCCTGGGATTGTGTCGATTTCGGTCCAGGTTAGGGGAATACCACTTCCGCTACTCGCATCTTGGGACATGGAGGAGGAAGGGGAGGAGACAGCACGAAGTCGATCTTCCTCCTCTCCCGGCTCAACGAGGACGTAGTCGAATCGAGACCAGAAGCTGTATGGGTTCTCAGTGAGGACGGCAGGGTCCGCGGAGTCGGATTTATCGTAGGCCCACGCGGAGTGGGACAAGGAGACACGGCCAGGGAGTTGTTGGAAGCGAGTGATGCCAGTTTGGCAGGCGAGGTTTCCCAAGTGGACGAAGATGACGGGTTGGGTGTTATCAGCGTGGCGATGGAGGGCGTGTAGGGCCAGCGCGCCGGGGTAGTTGGCTGCAGAGGCGGGGAGGAGGACGAAGGTGGAGAGGAGGAAGGAGAGGGCGGTGGTAAGGAGTAGGAAGAGAGAGAGGAGGCGCGGGATGAGGGATTTGGCGCGGTGCGTCCAAGCGTAGGAGGCGCTGAGGGAGGCGGTGGCTGTCAGCGCGGGGATGATGTAGACGATGAAGCGCCATTCCTTGTGCGGCTGGAAGCTGTAGATGGCGAGGAAGGCGAGGGACGGGACAGTGAGGAGCTGGGCGGAGCGCGCGGTGGAGGGGAGTGTAAAGGCAAGAGGGATGGCCAGCAAGGTTGACGGGTTGAGGAGGAGGCGAGGAAGGGCGTTGGTGAAGTAGAAGTGCCAGGGGTGCGTGCCCCAGGCGGAGGCTTGGCCGGCGAGGACGTTGAACTTGAAGGCGGCGAATTCCGGCCACAGGGGGAATTCTTGCCAGAAAAAGGAGTCCACGCCGACGGTGAAGAGGAGACCCAGTAGGAGTCCGAGGGCCCCAGCGGGGATGATGTCTCGTCGGATCTCGACGCGGCCGGTGAGGTAGAGGAAGATGGTGATGGTGCCCAGCAGCAACGCCAGCTCCGAGCGGAAGATGATGCCCGCCAGCGTCAACAGGAACAGCGCCGTGCGACAGCGTTTCTGGTACGCCCGCGGCGATACTGGCACGGGAAGCAGGTAGCTCAGCGCCAGGGTGGAGAGGCCAAAGGCGAACATGTTGGACAGGGTTCGCGAGGCATAGAAGAGGACATGGAACTGGCTGGTCTGGAAGAGCAGATACCACATGGCCGCCGGTTTGCCAAAGGCCCGTCGCATGCTGGATGCGAACGCCAGCAGCGATGAGGAATTGAGCAGGCCGAGAAGTGCTCGAGCTGAAGCGCTGTCAATCATCTGTACTGGAAATACTGCGAATCATCGAGCCAACATACCCAGGAATTGCCGGTCAACATTCGCGTTCAACCAGATGAATGGCCGCGACAGCCCGGCGAGCGTCACGGCGCCGACAAACGTCCGAGGCACAGCCCCGGGGAAAGTGAAATGATCATACTCAGCGCGCAGCGTCTCTGCGACATTGCGAGTGGGCAGCTGAAAGGCGAGCAGATCATGAATGGCCTGGATGTGAAAAGACTCCTCAACCTTGGTATAGGGCGCGACATACAAATGCAGGCCGACCAAGACGGGGAGGATAAAGCAGAGTAGCGCATACACAGCTGGGACAATAATTAGCACGGGCACCACATCTTAATGGACATCAATTCAATCGGAGTATACCGTCAATTCGCCCCATTGCGACAAATCCAGCCCAGCGTCGAGAGACCGGGGAGTTGACGGGGAGAGTTGCAGCAGGCAAAAAGATTCCCCACATCAAACGAACATCTGGCGGCTTCACTCCAACTTTAATCCCGCCGCATCTTTTTCTTCCGTCATCTCCCTCCACGCCAAGTCACCCTCACCCCTCATCCTCCATTCTCCGATCCGAAAACGAAACAGAAAAGAGAAAAGCGAAAAACGAACACGAACAATGCTCGGCCGTCTCGTCTACGTCCTCTGCCTAATGGTCAACGCCATCGCAGTCCTCTCCGAAGACCGCTTCCTCGCAAGGAGTACGTTACATTCCCTCGATCTCTCCCTCCCTGCCCGTTGGCTTCTCTTCTGCTCTATTCTGTTCCAGTCCCAACAGACAATACATTATCAAAACCCAGAATATCAATGGGAAAGCTGACCCCTCTCTCCAAATCTAGTCGGATTCGGTCGCCCGCAAGCTGACCCGGCCTTTGGCGCAACATACGACAGCACCAGCGTGAAAGCGAAATCAGTCAATTTGATCGCGAGTGTGAGGACTGTTATGCGGAGTATGTTCTCTCCCCTTTTCTTCCATCCTATCCTCTCCTATTATATGCTGGCTGTGCTGGCCATGTCAAGTTATGTTATGCCATGTGACGAGATCTGACAGCTAACGTAACCGCGATGCCTACAACAAACAGTACCCCTAATCGTAATCAACACGATCATAATCGTCTACGAATTGATTCTCGGGTGATATAACTATCTACGGTCTATGAATACATAATCAAATACAAACTTCGCGATTTCTTTACGTTTCGTCTTCGTTTGTTCGATTCTATTGCTTTCCGATCGAGTTCGATAACCGGCTTGGTTTGGTTCAGGTTTTTGGGGTATGGATGATTGATTGATTGGTTTGGTTTGGTTTATTGGCGTTGGCTTAGCGAGGGAAAGAAAAAGAAGAAAATAACCAGAAAGGAAGATAGACAAGACGGGACACGACACGGAAAGGGGGAGACATAACAGACACAACAGCACCGACCACGATACGACGGACATAATACCATCTACCTCACCTGCCTACCTACTCGACACGCAATCCCCATCTCTCGATCTCAGTCTTGATTCATCCCGTCTGCTTTCTCGTCGAATTATGATATGACCCGGACTCGCTCGACACGATACCCCCGAACGAAATCAGCATGGGTCGGTCGATGTTGGTTTGAGAAAGGGAAATACAAAGGGAATGGGATGATGTTGGAACGGAACGGAACGGACGGACACGACAGATCAAGGAATGCGATGGATGGAATGGTGCAAGAGAGCATGCAGAAACATGCGTCGGATTACTAGTGGGGTTCTGCCCATCCATCATATTACATCCAATTGTGCATGTTTGTCTGTTGTGGTCTCTATCTCATGTACAAGTCTATGTCTACGTGTCCCATGTCTCGTGTCCCAAAAGTGGACGGTTATCCCTCGAAAGACCCGGAGTTTATTTGGTCTGATTATCACATAACGAGAGACGTGCGTTCTGAGTTATTGTTTATAGCATTCATCCATCTAAGATACTTCTTGTCGATGTTCTAAGTACTGCACACACCACGATAAACCTTTATTCAAACAGATGGGATCTCCGAAATGCTCCCGGAAAATAGAACGAGATTGGAATGGATATGAGAGAAACAATATGCATGATGAATAAATAGGTAATACTCCAGACCAAGAGCGACAGACGGCTTCTGGCAGTAGTATGGAGCTGCTCTGCTTTTGGTAATATTTCATAAAGGACAGAGAAAAGAAGACAGAAGACACGCCGTTCCATACAAGAACAAGTAGAATGATGAGTCCTTGGAGACCTCGGGATTTCGAGTCCCATATAATTGATAAGTTATCGCCCAACGCCTCACTTGCCCAGCAATGTGACCCAGGCATGGGTATCACAATCACAATGAATCAATCGATCAGAAGAAAAGTGATGGCTAAGATACATGATGCAGATAAATGCAAAGGAAAAACATATGCAGGAATGAGAAGAATGCTACTGAAGCATAGTAAGACAGTACCCGGTCCCATATCCGATGTAGTCTTCAATGATGACGTGCGTGCAAGTGACAAGGTATCGATGCACAATGTTGGAACCGGTGCCGAAGAGAAAATGATAATACATCGAAGGAAATATTTACTGCGAAGCAAACCAGTAGTAGTATATGTGCAGGGATGAAACCTTGAAATCCAGAAATGAGATCTGCAAACGTTAAGAAAGAATGCTGAACGACTTCTTTCTAAGGCTGAAGCTTCTCCATTTCCCATGGCTGTTCTTATCGTGCTTGACGTCCTTTAAGGTATCACGTTCTTCGTCGGGAAGTGCACGGTGGTTGTGATTGGGGGATGTTTGAGTTCGTTCAGGCTTCGCCGGTAGGGTCGGCGTACTCGGCTGCGGCAGCTGCTCCGAATTCCGCGCGGAGGCCGGATGTTCTGGAACGACCGGAGTGGGTGGGAAGCTCGACGAAGAGGCCCGGCTCTCCTTGTCTTTGCCTAGCCGATGACTGATGCTCTTGCTGCCCCGCTTCAGACGACCCAGGCTACCCAATTTCTTCGAGTCGCCGTCCTTGCTAGACTCAGGACCGTTGCGCTTATCCTCGTCTGCCTTGGATGTTCGGCTGGCTTCGAGGGCGGCCTTCAATTCGGCGTCTTCACGGCGCTGATTCTCCCTCATCCGGGTCTCCTGTTCCTTGCGACGCTGCTTCTCCTTTTCTTTCTCGGCAGCCTTCCGCTCTTTTTCTTCCTTGGCCCGCTCCTTTTTGGATGCCAAGTCACTCTTCTTAGGGCTCAAAGGCTGCTTGACCGGCATATCCGGGATAGGAGGCACCGGGGGTGCGTTCGCGATGGGTGAGCTTAACGGAGTGGCGCTCTCTGCATCGGCAAACTCGGGGTGAGTAGACAACTGAGGCGCGGTTGGGGCCCGGGCGAGGCCGTTGAATCGATTGGGGTCGTCGGTCGACGGGATCTGGGAAGCACTATGGACGTGGGCCAGCGGCTGGGCGCTGCCATTCTGCTTCAGGTTCAGCTCGCTCAGCTCTGCGGCAGCTGCTGCGGCGTCCATGTTTTCCTGCTCCTGCTCGCGCATGACAGCCTCTAGCGTCGTCTCCTGGTAAAACAGAACATAGGCGCAGGCCAGCCCGGGCTTGTCGCCAAAGAAATTCCGGACGTAGTTTTTGTCGACGGGTTCCACCATCTCGTCGTCAAACAGCAACCAACCGCGATCCTGCGTTTTGATGATGGCAACGTAGTGTCCGTGATAGGGTCCGCCACCAATGTGCACCACCACCGCGTAGAGCTCATACAGCCGATCGGGGTCTTCCGCGTCGTCGGTTGTGTTGAAAAGGCGGAGGTGGTACGGGTAAACCACGCGATGGAACAGTTTTTGAAGACGTTGCAAGTCCTCCGTGTATTTAAACCGCTTCAGGTGCAGAGCCAAGATCCGGGGCAAGCGCTTGATCTTCATCCGTTTCTCGGCCTCTTGCAATCCTCCACAATTATCGCAATGGAACTTGTTTCGTTCGCAGAGCATCTCCTCCGCGGAGAACTTTCTCAGACAGGACGTGACCGACGAATGCTGCTCCAAATCCACCGAAAGGTCCAAAAAGACCTCATCACGCTGGGATACTTTCTCGCAGGTGAGGCACTGCGTTTCCGATGTCAGGGTGCCTTCAAACAGTTCATGCACCCAGCGCGTCGTGTTGGGCGTTTTCGACCCAGAACTCGACGACAACTCGCCCGATTCAGTACTCTCCGGCGGCGGGAGGCCTTTCATTACCGGCTGTTTCAAAGCCTCCTCCTCCACGTTGGCAACCACTTCATTCAGTAAGAGGTTGAGGAACTCATGGGCGTCCTGGTGCATTGCCGTCCGGAACATCTCGTGCTCCCGTCGCAGAACATCCAGAAATTGTTGTGGTCGAATTATACCGATCCGCGACTGACTGACCACGAGGGACTCGAATATATCCTTGAGCGAGGTAAATAGCGACTCCGACATTCCATAGCTCGTCGCGTTGTTCTTCGTTTCTAACAACGGCATCGTCTGCAGTGCCATCTTCTTTTTGTACTCGGGCGAGTCCTTGTCCTCTGGTTTCTGCGGTGGATTCGGGGGCAGCCCCGGTCGCTGTTGATTAGCGGCTTTCTGTTTCTCGGCTTGGGCCTCGGCTTCCAGATTCGCGGCGAGGTTCTGATAACGGAGGTTCTTGGCCAAAGCGGCCTCCAGGCTTTCGATAGGCGTTCGCGTGGGATAATTAATGACGGCTTCCCGAAAGGGTATCGAGTAATAAAGACATTGTAGGATGGAATTGCAGTAGCTGTGGAAAGGACAATCAGTATTATGGTCCCCCACCCTCCAATGCACGTTGTACAACGCTGAATCCTGGTCGGCTTACCAAGTATTACCATACTAAAGGAGGGAAACGTCAGCACACCCACTCGAAAAGACCAAAGACCCGAACCCTCACGATAATGCCCAGAAGAACTCACATTTTCCATTCCGAAAAACTTATCACTGCCATCCTCGCGGATCGGGCCCATATCCTGCAGCATCTTCTCTAACGGGGTCAACGGAATGACCGGCGGTTCTTTCTTCGTGGGAGTCGCTCCGACCGAAGGCGCAGGAGAGCCCTGGACCGTTTCGGAATTAGCCATCTGTCGTCACCAGGACAATTTGAAATGTAGGGTGTGACTGGCGCCTTATTTTCGGCCTCTCGAAAAAAAAGGACGAGGCCAGGGCGAGGCACGAGGGACGGACGAAAAAAAAAAAAAAGAATAACGGCAAGGTAGGCATACCACGTCTCGTCGTAAGCTCCTCAAAAACGACCCCATGATTGTCACCTAATGCTATGAATCGAGGCGTGCAACTTCATCTGGTGACTCTGGCGGGAACAGAAGCCGACACCACGCCGGCTGACGGCGGCAAAACTGGGTGGTTTGAAATTGAGGCGCAAACGGGGGCGAACAAAGATTGCGACGGCGACCCGAGAAAAGCAGTAGAAGGCCAGAAGGGCGGACGAAGAGGACGAGGCGAACGATTGAGGGAAACGGAAGGGTGAATTCGTAATAATTGAGCGAAAGGTACGAAACGACTATCGAAGGCGACAAGGGACCGACAGGAGTAAGCCAGGAATAGGCATAAGGTTTCGAAGGGCCCGCGGATCCGAAGAGGAGAGCGTGGAAAGGCAGCGCTCGGAGTGCGTGTGGGTGGGAGAAGGCGAGGAATGGGGCGGATTCGAGATGTGGGGACGCCCGGGAAAGCAGGGGAATTGAAAGGCCGAGGGAACCGAGAGGCCGGTGAACCAGGAGGTATATAGAGAATAGAAGGTAAGAAATAAAAGTCGAGGGGTTAGAAAGGAAGCAGCAGAAGAATGGGGATGAATTGACCGAGAGGCAATGGGGGAAGGCGGGAGAAGGAAAGAAGAAGAAAAGGTGGAGGAGGAGAAAGTGGGAGAAGGACGAGGAGAACGAGGAAGTCAGGAAGTCAGGAAGATGGGGAAAAAGTGACTAGATCCAACTAGTATGACGGAGCGCGCGGGTCCGAGCGAGACGAACGGGCGGATAAAATGAGGGGAGTTCGGTTTATGCTTTTCGCTGGAATTCTCCCCTCTCTTTTCTCGTCCTTTCTTTGCTTTTCTCTTCCTCTCAGCCTCTCAGCCTCTCAGCCTGTAACCAAACCCATGGATGTCAGTCCCCTCGAGAAGCCCTGAATGGCGGGCGGCCTTGTACTCCGTTACCCGCCTGTCTTACGCTGTCAGACACCGCACATAACTACGTCAGTCTTCTCCCCGCGAGAATCTGAAATGTCGCATTGTCATTCCTGAACGGGAACACCTTGGGTTTCGGCATGAGGCCGAAAGACGCCGAACTCGATCGCGTCTATCGAGATGGAGGTTGAAAGGCACCCTTACATCCGACCTACATATCTAGCCTTCCACCTCATCAAGCTACGTAGAAGCCTTCTCACAAGGATCAGTCAGATGAGACACATCAGACAGGCAAAAGAAAGGAACAAAGGAAGGCAGCGAGGATGACATGCAGATAAGACAGGCTGGGAAGAGGGGCCGAGAAGGGAAGAAAGAAAGGATTCAATATCGTGGCCAGGGTTGCATCGGAGCATGGATCAGGTGGAATGCAGGGAGTCTGATTCGTTGCCAGCCCGTTGGCGATGGCTTAGCCTCGTCCGTGAAACCGACGATGGACGATGTTGGATGGATGTATCTCAGAATGTCCAGGAAGAATGGAATGCGTGATTTTTGGACTTGGCATCGGTCACGAGTCAACTCTAACGGGGCGTCTCCTCGAGTCTCAGGAACAATCCAGCTTCTACTCCGTATACAGTAAGTAAATCACTTATGTACTACTTACGGTGTATTATCAAGTATCGCGCTACCGACAATCCACGTGGCTTGCCCGGGATGAGCCAATCGAGGGTTTCGCTGAGCCCCGCTTGTTAGAATGTGGTGATGTCGGATAACTCCAGCTTAAGTCTCGATACGCGACAGTAGTTGATAAATGTATTCCGTAGGTGAAGACGTGCAGGTGCTCTCTACCTCAGAACCGACATCACCCTGACTTATCCCTCTGTCTCTACAGAAAGAAACAAACCCAACCTCATGTCCTTTCCAAGACCAACCCGCCACTTAATATACCACCTAATTTAAACCCGGATCCGAGCCACCCACTAAACCCGTAACAGATAATAGCAGCATCCCCTACTCCCACCTACACAGTGTACGGTGTATGGCGTATGCAAACATCTGCCACCAGCCGCCGTCCGCAGCAAATCACATCCCATGCGTCCAAATTCCACCCTTCCACAAACCCTTCCCAAGCCTCCCCCCCGCCAGAACATCCCCCAACCGATGCGGGCGTCTAAATAATGCTCTGCCACGAGCGGAGATTATCTGCCAGTCTAGCCTCTCAGAGATAGTCTATCCCGTAGCCCATCACACCATGTGCCACCCCTCACCTTAGATCCGCGCCTCGTTCGTCCGTCACCAATGAGACAAGAGTGGGGGGGGCTGTAGCCTGGTCGGTATTTTTTCCATCGAGTGTCCACGGATGACAGAGCCTTCTGCCTGCCAGTGCCACCTGGTTGTGTTTCTTGAGGTTCAATGTGCTCACGTGGTGGGTTGAGGGTAGACATGGTCACATGATTCATGGCCAGGCATCATCTATGTCCCCTGTCGTATCTCTCTTTAGCATATTGTCATGTTGAAATTTGACCACTTCTTCAGAGCATCATTACAGCAAAAAATAAAAATCTGGTTCCCTGAGGAGCGATTACAATCTGCCAAGAAATCAGCCATTTGCTTACCTCTCTATTTATGCGATGCTTGAGAAGATTCTTAACTTTCCACAATGTCGGAGGCCATCTCCATTCGCCGAAAACGATCATTTGGATCGTCGGGTCAGTACCCAGTTATCTAGGTCTGCCTCTGGTGTGCATACATGTAAAGTATCCTTTTACCACATAGATGCAGCTATGTGTACCTTCAGGGTTAGGAGCCTTTCAGGATGTCGCCGATCTCTGCTGCATCTTTTCAAGATCATCTATGGCGGCTCAATGCGTTTTCTGATCTGAGGAAGCTAACATCATTGGGCGAGACTTGTGTTGTTAGGCAGCAGTTGTGCAACTGACTATATTTTTTCTTTGTTCTGTGCATTGCTTGACCTTGATCAGACTGACCGTCACCTGATACCTAGTGTCACCCCACACCTCCTTCTTCTTCTCTTTTCACTTCTTTCTCACTACTTGTACCTTGTGCTGAAGCTAGTGGTTGAGCAAGGCCCAGTTCGGCTTCTGTTAAACAAGACCAACTTAGTTCCACGATAACGGCGACCCCGACTATACAAGGGAAGGCCGAGATTTGATTCAGTTTCGATGCGAACTCAACGCCTACCAGAACCACCATGGACAGGAAGCGTTTCAACGAGTATTTGTTTCTCTTTCCGACTACACATCGAGAAAACTGGCCCGTCGGTCTACACTCCTCGGCTTGAGCATTGCCTGAACGATAGATAGCCCAGGAGGGCTTATTCTTGGGCGAGCTCAGAAAACCTAGACTTTGTGAATTACTTGATGATCCTTCTAAGGGCACGGTTGACGGGGTCAAGGCGATCCGTGATACTTTCGTCCGCCGATAATATCTACTCAAAGAGTATCTTAATCACGCCAGATAGGGCAATATGGAGGGGCTTTGGCGTTGCAACCACTGCTGTTGGGATGGGATAAATTGGTGTTCCTTTGGACCAACTATTTGTATCCAGAGAGAGGATGAATGGCGAGGTGAGCCACCAAATTAAACTTCAACGTACAATTATTTGTTTGGGACCAAGCCTGTCGATGACACCACTTCCTTTCCCTGAATTCATTCAGACGAGTCAGGAACACGGCAATATGTCGTTTGCTTCTCGCACAAAAGAGCAGTTGATTGATCTTTGCCATCGCCACCAATGCATATATTTATTGCCTGGCCAGATCATCAAACTAAGTCTTGAGTTATCTTGCGTTTTAATTCGATAGCTTAGCAATGCTAACAACAGCCATCACACTATGTTTCAAAGAATCCACGTCCAGTCCATAACCTGGAACTGCTCAACAGACGCCAATAGCGAAGAAATGTTACGTTATAGAATTCGTTGAGTATATTTCTATCCGTACGCTCGACTCAAACTCGCACCATCGCTAATAACAATAAAAGCATGTATTTATGTATATGTACTTGTGAAGATATCCTAGAACTCCATAGCCCGTCTAATCCACCTGTGCGTATGCATCTTCACCAACGAACCCCCATAGAGTCAACCAAAATCTAAGGACACTCGATATCATCACTCCACTGCTTGATGCACTCGCCATCCTCACCGCTCAGGTCGCAGTGAAGGTATCCGTCGACGTTGGAGACAAGGTCATCTAGTAGAGCAGAAGTATCATTAGCAAATGTCCCCTAGCACGGCGTAATTGATAACTGAAATTGACTTACTCAGATCAATGCTGACTACTTGGGTCTTGTCGCCCCCGTCCAGACAGTTACAGGTCATGACACTGCTGTCGGACAGACCGCAGAGCTGGCAGCGCTTGGCGTATTTGCCACTGTTGTGGGTTGCGATTATTGGTTAGTCTTTCGGTGAATAGTGCAACTTTGACCTAGATCATAGGGGGAGGGAGAAAGCAACTTACTCGGCCAAAGGCAACATAGTACCGTCGGGGTTCACACCAATGCACTTGTTAAGGTCGAGGATGGTGCGCAGCTTGCCGTTGGGACCACCACATTGGGCGTTCAGGTATTGGTTGTTGCTGAGATCGAGGACGTCGCAGCTCGCTTTGTAGTCGCCGGCGGCGGCGAAAGTGACCAGGGAAAGGGCGGGGATGATGTACTGGAGCTTCATGGTGAGGAGTTGGTTTTGTGTTTAGGCTTTGGTTTGGGTTTGGTGTGGTTTTGTGGTGTGAGAGTGTTCTGGTGGGGAGGATTGTATGATTGATTTGTATGTTGATGATACTCTCTCTCTCTCTCTCTCCTGGGTGCTCGTCGTGGTATTTATATTCCACTGACACAGGGTTCTTGATGTGAGGACATGTCTCGCCTCGCTTCGCCTCACCAAGTTTTGTCTAGGTTGAGGCTCAGCTGCGATAGTTAGTGACTGCAATACTCCATACCTTGCCATGTGTGCTGCCCCCACCATCATCAACACAACCAATACTATCTCCTGATCAATTGTTGGAACGGATGGACAACGTCTCCCTAATCTTGAGTCTGCAGCCTGCATATACTAAACCCGGTTAGCCCCTGCCCTACAGGCGAGGCTTCTTCACTACTCTAACTGAGCTACACGAGCTAAACGAGCTAATTTAGGCATTCATATCTAAGTGAAGCTATTCAAAGTGATCTACATATACCAGATGCGGTTAGTCTTGGCGCTATACCAAGGATTTCCCTCAACTTAATTAAAACTAATTGGCATTCCTTAATCATTCAGTGGCGGATTCTTCATGAATCCTGCTCCGTCCACCGTAGTGATTGGGGCCGAAACTCCACGCAATGGGGTACAAACTACGGAGTTCGGCGCGCAAGGCTGAGGAGGATTTTATGAAGATATTCACAGGATTCGATCTAACATCGGAGTCTATCCGAAGCTGTAACGGTTAGTACTACGGCACACCCGGGCCATTTATTAGTGCGACACTATCTTGAAACAGCCTAACTTGAAATAGAGCCCAAAGGCGAATTCCTGTCAATCGCCAACCTACAAATCCTGTTATGCTTCTCCTCCTAGGTACTATTCTGAATAAGGCTGGGGGAAGCCCGGACACGAAGTAGCGTCTCTGTACTTTTCTGGGGTCTACTACATGTTGTTAACACCCTTCGGGTAGATAGTAACGAACTTTTTTCCTGCTCGATGGGCCAGCCCAGTTGATCCTGTATCTTGACGGGTATAGACTATAGGGCGTAGAGTTGTCATTCTCTGCCCCCAATATCCGCTTCCAAGGCGCAGCTGGATGAACTGATAGTGTAGGGTGGGGGCGCAAAAAGGGATCCTGAAAGGACAACTCCACAACTAACCAGCTTTTCTGAACCCCTTCTTTCTAACCACACCGTAACTACTGCCAGAAACACAAACCCTGCGATCGTAAGGTATCCGAGCCATGAACGAACACGTCCGAGTTAGATACAAATTATAACCTAGTCACTACGTAGTGCACAGGTAGTAGGATACCAGAATGCCCCTCATCATATTCATTAATCAAGGACTAGCCTTATCTACTACGAGCTTGAGTCATACTCGATACTCCATACAAACGTTGCATTGAGTTAAATTGCATTGGAAATCAATCCCCACTCAACCAGCCGTTGACACCGCATCAAAAACGCGTAAGTATATACCCAGCGGGAATATCAAAAGACCAAGCAAACAAAAAGAAAAGAAAAGAAAGCTTATTAGAGAGAAAATAGGCGAATACCGAAACCCCCAATATCGTGTTAATGAAGGATTATTCTTAGTTAGCTTAGATCTACTACGCTAAGCCTCCGCTAGAGACATCCTTCGGAGTTCGGGGATGGATGAGCCGTGAAGTCTAGGGCTGAGCCCGTTGAAGTCTCATGATCAACTACTAGGTAGCTACCTAGTGAGATATATTACGGAGTACTGTGTGACGTGTGTACCTACCGCTCTGGCTAAGCACGGGGGCGTGATATGCACGCACAGAACTGGCGGAGGACGGGGTGGTAGGAAGTAGGTAGGTATGGTAGCCACATGTACAGTACCTATTGTACCTGAATACTCTGTGTAGAGTCAGGAGTTGGTCTCGATCCTTCTCAATACATCTTTTCTCTGTTGATGCTACACAGCTGTTTCGGGCTTTCACCTAATATCTCGCATACTAGTAGACAGGCAAAGTACGCCAATACATCTGATAAGTCTGTATTGACTGATAGCGTATTGTACAATTATTGCGAACTAAAGTATCATACCTAGCTACTAAGGATACAATAAAACAGTTGAACATGAGATATAGGGACCAAAAGCCCGTTCATCAGATCAACCCTCGGCGTTCTTCATCAAAAGCCCCTTAAGGAAGGGTACGCGGTCGATGATATCCAAGCCTAGACTGCGACCCCAAGCAACAGGTCCCTGGCCGGGAACATTGTAAAGCTTGTGCAGCACATCGCAGGCGCCGCCGATCTTGGCATTGGTGGCCCACCGCTCAGCGGTGTACCGTTCGAGAGTGAGAATGTCTCCGACGTCCATTCCGTGGTTCACGGCATAGTCAATGGTATTGGAGAGAGACGCCACGTCGCCCAGTCCGAGGTTGAGACCCTGTCCGGCCAGAGGGTGGATGACGTGAGCAGCATCACCCACTAGAGCCACACGGGGCGAGATGTACGTTGAGGCGTGGCGGAATCGGAGAGGGAAAGAGGCCACGGTGCCTTCCTGGACACCGGTCACCATGGGCGGGATTTGCGAGGGCTGGGGAGTATGTTGTAGGCGCCAGGTCAATTCGGTCTCGTGTTGATCTTCATACTCCTCCGACACAGACGTCGCCGGACGTTGCATGCTCATCATGTACTTGAGATCCGGCATGCCGAGACGGAAAGCAGCGTTGACCATAGCGATGAAAGCTTTGGGGGAGAGAGATTTGAGGTAGGCGGCGTTCTCGGCGGTGGTCGACCACACCAGGGTCGCATGATTGTTGGGCAGCGGGAGAAGGGCGATAGGGCCGCCCAGCGATGGTAGAAAACGCTGGTGGGCGGTTCTCGTGCCGATGGGGAACGTAGGGATCTCTGGCTCTGATAGGGCGAGGGTCGCGACCACGCCGTTTCGATTGTAGTCCCAGCCCTCGGTTGAGATATCGGCAAACTTGCGCACGGGGCTGTTGATACCGTCTGCGCCCACCAGTAGTCTCGCGGCAATCCGCGACGGTCCTTGTGTCGATGCCCCGTCGGTCGGGGAGATGGAAAGGACCGGCCACGCCGAAAGATCCGGTCCGTCGGGCGAATCGGTGCCATTTTCGATGGACGAGACGGTCGACTTGGAGAAGATGGAGAGGTTTTCGTCTCCAGAAGCGGCGATTCTCGATAGAAGCGCGCGGACAAGGTTGGCGTTCTCCGTCATTGTCGCGATGGTACGGAGGTCTTCGAACGGAGAGGATTCCATCGACCAGTCAAACGATATGCGGGATCCTGTTTCGCCGTCCCACACCTGCATCTCCTGGTACTTCTGGGCGCGCTGAGTGTCGAGAAAGTCCCATGCTCCAATTTTTTCCAGAAACGACACGGACGAAGGCGTCAGACTGCTGACTCGGTTAGAGAACTGATGCGATTCGAGGTTCCACGAGCGAGCTTTTTCGAGGTCCTGAGTTTCGACGAGGGCAACTTTGAGCTTTGAGGTAGCGGGAGAGGCTCCTTCAATAGACAGTCAGTCTTAACCAAATGAATTGTATGAATTGAGAATGCAGTGACTTACGGAGAGCTGCTAGCAGTCCTAGGCCCGCGGGACCACCGCCAACGCAGACTACATCATAAATTTCGGGGTTCTGTTGAGGTGTAGACGCAAATCTTCGGCGGCTCGCCAGACGTCCAGACCGGCAAGATGGGCAGACATAAGGCCGCAGGGTAGACCTTGCGATGGGGCGCATAATGGCTAGGAGGAATGAAGTTTGCGGAATGAAGCGTCGGATCTCCGGCGAGAAGCGCGGGTTGGATAAGGCCACGGATGCAAACAGAGCAAACAGATCAGGCCACCACAGGAATTGCGTTTCACGGAAGTCTCAGACTGTCTCCTTCATCCGGGCCATAGCTGTTGACTTTATTTGACTATTTAGTGGAATAATGCCATTTCGATTATATTCACCTTTTATGACCTTTTATAAAGCGATATTGTGTACAGTTCTCCAACAACTCAGGTTGTATAGTGTAATGGTTAGCACATCGGATTCTGATTCCGGTAATCCCGGTTCGATCCCGGGTACGACCTCTTTTTTTTCGTTTTTTATTTTGCCTCTACTTCTAGTAGAAGGAGCCCTATATTATCATTCTCATATTTGCCGTTTTAGACAGTATAAAGTTTTGAGTTTCAAGCAACAAACCTTTCAAAAGCAATCCAAAGCCGTCATATGCAGCAAGACTAGATGCGGAACTTCATGGAACCAGCTATGAACACCACGTGAATATAAACATGAAAGGGCCTTCTTCTGCGATCCCTAGATAGTTGATTAGCATCATTAATTCCATCAACCTTTTCATCTTTGGCAACCTACCCCTGGCACCTCAAATTCCTACATATGTAGATCCATATGTGCGGATCGAATGTTCGCTGCCACCCTCTATGGCCATTCAATGTATCCAGCTCCATGGAAGACATTTTGTTTAATAATACATTTTGTCATGTTAAATCATCTTAGTGACCTGGGCTTTAGAGATCCCCAGGACTCAATCATGTCGACATCTCCAAAATATCCAAATACCCCATTACCCTCTCCACCAACACCTTCCTCGGCTCCTCCTGATCCTCATCGCTCAACGCATGCGACGCTCCGGGGATCACCACACTCCCTGAATCCCAGTTCTCCCCGGCCGCCGCCTTCCACCGACCCATCAGCGCCTCTTTATCCACGTACGCCGGGACCGACTGATCGCGTCCAGAATATAGCACTAGCAGCCTGCCCCCAGGCACCAACAGGCCTCGCGTCCCGAGCACCCCAAATGTGCGCCTCAGCTGCTCATCACTCAGATCCGAGCTAAACAGATCATCTTCCGCGGGATGCTCCGGACTGCGCGGACTCGCGAGACTCAAGAACCGTCGACTAGTGACCGCCGTGGAGGCGCCGTAGCCGATGCGCGCAGTCACCTGCAAAGGAACCAGCGTATCTGTGGCGAGGACATCGGACGCGCCACCCTCCTCAAGCGTAGACTCCCCATCACCGGAACAGTGAGCGCGATAATAATCGTAAGTCCTCCTCTCCGCCTCGCCCACCGCATCCCTCAACAACACCCTCATCGACTCCGGACTATCCCTCTCCGTCCCAGACTCCACCACCGACAAGATAGCCTCTCGATCCGAAACTGGCGCCTGCATAATCGCTCCATCCACGGCGCCTCTCGTCACGACCTCGTACTCCGCGCCACGATCAAGAACCGCATGCCGAGGCCGCGGGTTCGTCTCGCACAGATAACTCATCACGTCTTGACTCCCCGTCGAATGGCCCATTATCACGACTTTCTCGCCTCCTGTCCCTTGGAGCGAGGACCCGTATACCTCCCGCTTATACTGTCGTACATACGCGACGCATTTCGCAACCTCGTCGATATCTTTCCCCACGCGGCCCATTCCCCATCCTGTGTATGAGGACGAGAGCACGATGTTGAACACGGACCAGGAGGTGTGGCGCAGAGCAGCGACGATGTCGGATAGGTAGTCGACTGTGTTGAGGCCGTCGGAGAGACCGCCGATGAAGATGAGAGTGTGGGGTTTGGGGGCGTCGACGTGCGTGTATTCGAAGGCGACGAGGTTGGAGGTCTAAGCGGGTTAGAGGTACGGTGGGTAGGAATTGTCTTTTTGTTCTTTCTTTTTTCTTTTCTTTCTTTGCATGATTGGTAAAGGGAGAGGGGACGACAGACGTACATATTGGTGAAGAATGCCCGGATGAGCTTTTCCGGGGGGTAATTGTTGGGGGAATTTTAGTTGCATGGTGTGCACTAATCACTGGACTTTTTGGTTATTCGAAGGGACAGAATGATTATTGTTATCGAATTCACGTAATATGCAATAAGTAAGTACAGACAACGTCTAGTAGATTGGATAAAATGAAATCGAATGTCAAAGGAGGTTGAAAGTCAAAAACTCGATCGATAACGGATAATCAGATCGCAATCAGATAAGACAACGCTAGACCCGATCAGTCAAATCAGATAAAACCCCCTCCTACTGTACACAATCACCCGGACTCAAAGTACAGTTCTCTCATCATTCGGACTCTCCCAAGTCCCTAAAGTAGTACCAAAACCAACCAGCCAATTAACCATTCCAGATCCCCAACAACCAGCTTCTCCGTACTCCGTACTCCGCTGATAGTCAACTCCAAATCCCCATTGCGATGTCAATCAATCCATCCATCTCCATTAAAAATAAACATCAACCATCCATAAAGCCCAGAGCAGTCGACTAATCAAGCAACGGCCGAAACAAACCCGCTAGTTAGTTACTACATCTGTGCCACTAAAGCATGGCCCCCAACCGGAGTGTTTCCAGTCTGGGATTCCGGGTGGAAAACATGTGGGATGATTGGATCTGTCGGGTTTTGTGGACTCCACGGGCGGGGACTAACTTGCGTGGTGGACTTGCTCGAAGGTTGTGGATATGAACTTATGGGTGGCGGGTTGGGCTGTGGTTGCTTTTCTTTATTCTTATTGAACCCTTAACTTGGATGGCTTTGCTCTCTTGCGTTGATTGTTTATTTGGTCTAGGAGGATTAGAATGCCATTGTGTGTACTTCTCTTACGTAACTATGTATGTAGAATGTCTACAAGTGGCAGCATGGAATCTACAGTATATACATAGCCGAATGATTCTCTCAAGTCCCAGCCAAGAGTTCGTGTACCTCAACCTCCGGCCTGACATCTACATTCTCCATACGGTCAACCCACACGAACGGACATCAAGTTATCAGATGTGTGTCGTCAAAACTCAACCCCCCGATTAGCCTCAAAGCTAAGTTATCTAGCGTGGCACGGCGGCCCGTGTGGTCCAACAACAGCGGGATAAAATAGAGTAAATCAACTCCAGATCAGACAATGAACAGGAAGTCAAGTTCCGCTTGTGGGCTACCTAGCTCGCAGATTTTTCGGAAAGCTTATGCTGGTGGTCTTGGCTGGAGGATTCTCTTTGGGCGTAGGATGGACTGAGTTATAAGTTAGGTGTCTTTCGCTTTGTTGGTTTCTTTTCTTGAGTTTCTTTCTTTTTTTTTTTTTTTGTTCGCAAGCTTTGCCTTTACCTTCGTTTTTATACAGGGGAAATATCGTGGGTTTAAGCAAATCTGCGGTTCTCCAACTGTCACCATGGCGGATAAATCCCCCGATATTAATACCGCGCCTGCGGCCGTTGACCTGACCGATGATATCCCCATGAAGCCGCCCCAAGAGGCGCAAGAGCAACAAGATGGTGTACGAGTGGCCGAAGCCGTGACGAGCTCGTGGTCGAAAAATTCCCTGATCGCGGTGTGAATCTGGTATGCCAACTCACCCTTCCCTTTACCCTTGTACTTTTACTGAAAGCGCAAATGCTGACGCCAACCAAACAAAGCATGTGGTTGATGTACTTCGTCCAAGCCCTGCAGTCGAGTCTCACGGCCAACCTATCGGCCTACATCACCAGTGACTTTGAGGGCCACTCGCTGCTCACGGTCATCGGCATCGTGACGAACATTATGGGCGCGGCGTGTACGATGCCGGTGGCTAAGATTCTGAACTTGTGGAATCGGACCGTCGGCGTGGTGGTTATGTTGTTGATTTCGATTATCGGGTTGATTCTGATGGCCGGGTGTCATGATATTGCGACGTATTGTGCTGCGCAGGTGAGTTTTCGCTGTCCGTCTCAAGTCTAAATTTGGGGCTGGGAAATGAATGGTTGGATACTAAACGGTGGTGATGATAGGCTTTCTATAATGTAGGACTCACCGGCCTGATTTTCTGCGTCGATGTCCTCACATCGGATACCTCGTCCATGCGCAACAGAGGTCTCGCCTTCGCCTTCACCTCGTCCCCGTACGTGATCACCGCGTTCGCGGGCTCCCCTCTCTCAGAGCGTTTCAACGCCGTGAACTGGCGCTGGGCATACGGTTGCGTCGTCATCATCCTACCCGCCGTGACAGTCCCCCTGATCGTAACCTGGGAGCTCGCCAAGCGCAAGGCCGAAAAGAACCTCGTGCTCGAGCAAGCTCGAAGCGGCCGTACCTGGACCCAAAGCGCGTGGTACTACTTCATCGAGTTCGACGTCGTCGGCATCTTCCTACTCATCGCCGGCTTCTCACTCTTCCTGCTCGCATTCGTGCTCGCCGAGTCCCAAGCCAACAAATGGCAATCCGCCTCGATCATCTGCATGATCGTGATCGGCGGCGTCGTGATCATCGGCTTCGTGATCTACGAGCGCTTCGTCGCCGCTAAGCCCTTCATCCCGTACAACCTGCTCAGCTCGCGCACCGTCATCGGCGCCTGTCTACTCGACTTGACTTACCAGATCGCGTATTACTGCTGGAACAGCTACTTCACGTCGTACCTGCAGGTCGTGTACGACGCGTCCATGACCCAGGCCGGGTACATCAGCGCTATCTTCGACTTCATCTCCCCGCTGTGGCTGTTCGGCGCTGGGTACCTGGTGCGCGTGACGGGTCGGTTCAAGTGGTTGCTTCTGTGCTCGATCCCGCTGTACATGCTCGCCGTCGGGCTGATGATCTACTTCCGTAGCCCTGGCCACAGTATTGGCTACATGTGCATGTGTGAGGTGTTTATCGGCTTCGGTGGCGGGACCATTATCTTGCTCGAGCAGATCGCCGTGATGGCGGCCTCTTCACATAACGACTACGCGTCGATGCTGGCCTTCCTGGCCCTGTTTGGGAACATCGGCGGCGCGATTGGGAACAGTATCTCCGGGGCTATCTGGACGAATACCCTGCCCGTGGTGCTTCAGAATTCGTTGCCCGCCGAGACTCGGGACAAGTGGGAGGAGATTGCTAACTCGTTGGACGTGCAGCTCAGCTATGAGATGGGTTCGGCGACCCGCGAGGCCATCAACCATGCGTATGCGGTCAGTCAACGGAATATGTTGATTGCAGGGACGGCGGTCATGGCGTTGACGATGGTGTGGGTGTTTATGATCAAGGATATCCGGGTGAAGGGGATGGATCATGTCCAGGGTGTTGTTTTTTAGTAACTTGGCAGTTTTTATAGATATGATTATAGCGCCAATTATGCGTTGGACATTGCTGAGCTCTGATATCCAGTCCTTGTTCTATAGTGGTCAATCTGCTTAGACCTTACTAGAAAATATTTTGCCACGAACCCAATTGTTGCTCGCAATTAGCAATAGAGAGGGCAGTGCTACCTCCCCTGCGCAGTCATTGATAGATGTCGACCACTTTTGACATGGCACCACTTTAGGTTCACTAAGTCGCCAATAGCCAGCTTCGTAGGGCTATCTGGTTTAGTGCAGCACAGATCCAAGACACCGCAAACACTCGGACTCAGCCCTCGGCATACCCTCAGCGAAGTGAAGTGAAGACGACAAAGCGCCACCGGCCATCCAACTGCTCACAAAAGCAGAGTTGAACCAAGCCCTTGGCCGAGCCCATGAACACCCATTTGTGGCAGTGAGCAAGAACGAGCAACGTCTAAGACATTGACAACCGATCCATCCATCCACCGGAAACAGTCGTTATCACACGACAGATCGATAGACAAACCGATTGCATAGCATAGCCTCCGCCTCGTCTTCGCACGCCAATATCTAACCCAACTCCACGTTGTATGTTGTGGTCGGTCCCTGACCTATAGCCTGATATCAGGGCAAACGCGAACCAATCTACAAACCAACCAACCCACCAGGGAAACACCTACCACGCTCAGCACAAGTACCTACCAGATCAACCCAATCTAAGCCTTCCTGCATGTGTATGCAAACCAATAAACCTACCACGGATGTGCCTACAGAGTACATACATACGGCACCGCTCACTCACCCCTTTCCCCTCGACCAAGGCGATCATGGCGGTGCAACCCCAGAAAAAAAGGGGTCGTCGGGGTTGTTTTGGTTACACGTCAGCAACTGCTTTTCTTTTCTTTTGCATTTTCACGGGTATACCGAGTGCGTACATCTACAGAACTTCAGGGGGCTGCACCCCCAAACCCTAGGGGGCCTACCGACCGGTGCCCAGTGCCCAGTACCTAGTCGGATCTAGTTAGTAAAATATGTAACTAGACAGGCAGGTAGGTAATAGGTAAGTAGGTAGGGGAATAGGGGAAAAGTCAACCGTAACCACACTGGGGGCCATGCCATCCACGGGCCATGCAAAGGCAAATGCAACGAGGTAGGGGAAAAAGTAGCAGGCCAAGAGGGGGTGGCTGAGTGCAGCGGCGAACGTGCAACTCCGGCACCGATCCAATGAGATAATTGCCGCAAGGTGGCGGGCTCGCAGGAGGGTATTGGATTTTGACGAGACGGCGATGATGAAGAGGGGTGGAGGAGGAAAAGAAAGAGGGAGGGGAGGATAGAAGATGGATGGAGGTTGAGATAGACAAGGGGACTTTGAGGGAGAGGGGAGAGAGAGGAATAGAGTCGGACAGAGAGACCGACTGAAACGGGAGACAATTCCCTCTGACAGCAGAGACTAACCTGTTTGGGAAAATGAGTGCCTCCGTATCCAGGCAGACAATTAAATCAACTATCCCTTTATACATCTGAGGATAGGGGCACGAGGTGTAGTACTATAGAATATAGATACGAAGTACGGATAGTCGGAATGATATTCCTGCCCTACTGCCCTATCCCTATCCCTATCCCTCTTAGTGACTACCTCTCCCTACACCGGGGTACACCGTATGTACAGTGTCCACCAGAGAATCCGAAAGTACCGGCCCTATTTGCCACTCTCTGCAAGCTGCAGAAACTAAATGGGTATCACATCAGCCCATGAGACAAGTGGCGTTGCAAATTTCATACATTTTTTTCTTTTTATCGACGGTTACAATCCAGGCACGAAAATAAACACGGAGAACCCGGCAAGAAAATCATATAATCCGATGTTTGCCCCCCTGTGTGTGTGTGTCTGGTCTAGATGAAATCGTCATAGAATTAAGGGGTAGACCCTCTTGGAGTCAATTTTTTTTGATCTCTCTTTAGGCATCTGCTTCTGTCTTTGGAAATTTCCTAAATATAACTACGCTAGCTTTGCCTACATTTTCATCCACACATACTTCTCTACCTCAACCCTACAACCCTACAACAACACCTACCTACATACCTACCCACATACAAATCAACATCCAAAAATGGCTTCAACCACAACAACCACACAAAAACAAGACCTCCTCGTCAGCGCCAACTTCGCAACCTCCACCACCACCTCCTCCTCATCCTATAACCACTACACCCAACCTAAATCCACGATAGACTACGACCACGAAATCTACCTCCAATTAACAGCCGAGGACGGAAGGCCCGCGAAGACAGCGAACCAGGTTTATCGGGAGGTATGTCAACACCAATATCCTAGTCAATTCCCGCGCACCTCACGATTAGGAGAGCATTATTAGACGGAAATAAGGAACAGGAGTTAACGTTTGTTGCGGTTTTATAGGAACGCGCACGTCAGAAATCCACTCGCGCTTTGGATCCGGCGATCTCGGATCCGCAGGGAGAGCCGGGGGCGATTGATTTCGAGTGTGTGGAGATGCAGACTCAGACGCAATAGTATTTATTGTGTTTAGTTTATTATCTTCTCTTTCTTTTCTCTATTTCTTTCGTTCATATAGTTAATTGCGGAATTTCTCTCATGTATCTGAGTTTGTTTTGGGGGAGAAGTTAAAGCTACCTATTGAAGGGTTAGTGTACCTTACCCAGGTCGGTAGAGTTGGGTATTAAGTGTAAGAACGGATTAGGTTAATGGATAGTGGTGATGATTATGACTGATGTAGATAATAATACCTTTGGTTAATGGGATAATGGGGCAAAGGGACAAAGGCGTTGATCTTAATCTTAATCTTTGCGTTGGAGTAGAGGGTCTGATCTCAGGATGAGACTCATCAAGCACTCCAGAAAAAGAAAGGAAAGAAGATATAGAATAGTGAGATAAGTCAATAAAGCTAAAGCAGTACAACCCATCCTTCCCGGTACCCCGAAATTAACAATTGCTGCTTCATGTCATATCCATGCACCCCCAATCTACTCATCTACCGGGCCACGGCGGCACCCTCCTGTGCCTGAGACGCCAGACCCTCTTCGAAATCCCCGTCCATCTCCGCCACGAACCGCTCCCACGTGTTGAGCACCCCCTGGTAGAATTCAATCTGCTTCTCTGCCAACGCCCCCAGCGTGTCCCGGAACTCTACCGCCTTTATTCGCTCAAAGTCCGCCACCTCGCGCACCACCTCCTCGTCGAACATCTCCGACGTAGTCTTGGCCGACTCGACCTCGCGCGTGAGCTCGTCGATGCGGAGTTCCAGCTTGCGCACCCGCTCCCGGCGAGACTGCTCGTGGTCGACCCCGCGCATGTCTTCCATCTTCGACCGGATGAAGGAAGCGGGCGACGAGGTGAGCGGGTTGGACGCGTAGTAGGACGACGGGTTCGTGGCCAGCGAGTCCCGCTCGGCCACCGCTTTGTTGCGGTATTCCACCAGCGCCTCGAAGTCGAGCTGCTTCTGCTCGCGCGTTTTGAGCAGCGCCTTGACCGAAAGGATGTAGGCTTCCATGTCGCGCAGCGAACCCAGGTAGTTCTGGTCTGTGTGGTCTTTCAGCGTTTTCAGCCCGCGCGCCGTCTCTTCCACCGACGCCGCGAAGACCTGCAGGGGCACCTCGACGTCCGGTTCCAGCGGAACCAGCTTGCGGAACTGCGTCGCAAGCTCATTGTAGTCCGCCTCCAGGTCGGCCTCGCGTCGAGCCACCCGCGCCACGATCTTCTCCACGTGGCTGAGATCCTCGTCCAGCTTGTCCGCCTTCTCCCGAACCTCGATGAACCGGCGGTCCGGCTTGTGCACTTTCGTAAACGCATTGACAAACGTGTCCGTGAAATTGTCGAAGATGCCGGGCACGCCGCTGCCGTCGGACGTGCTGGTCGAGTTGCGGGAGGACCGTAGACGCATGTGCGCATTCCAATCGGGGGACTCCAAGAATACCGCCAGCAAAGGCGCCCGACGGAGGACCGGGTGCAATGTCAGCCGCTTCAGGAACCGATGTAGCGACCAGGCCCGGCGGGTGGTGAATTCGGGGCCGAACCGATCCCCCCGCACGTATTCCATCTTATGCTTGTCCGGGAGCGGCGGGACCGCGCAAGCGGGATATTCCCGGTACAGCGTCTTGTATAGGAAGAAGAAATCGGTAAAGCGTCTTCTCACGGTAAACTCTGGTTTCTGGAAGGATTTGAAATCGGTCTAGGTTAATTGGTTTCCGCCCGGTCAGCATAGAAATGGGAGGGGAAGTAGCTAGGCAGCGGCATACCCTCGTCACCAGGACGAGGCTGCGATCGTCAAATATCAGAAAGACGACGTAAACTCACGTGTGTAGTAACTAGATAAGAGATGTAGGCATCCTTGGTGCCATCGTTTTCCTTCAACGGCGAATCGACCTGGCATTCTAGCACCCCGTCACCGATGCCCGCCAGGTCGACGGCGTCGGCGAGCGGACCGGCCTGAGGTTCGTGGCCTGCCGAACTCATCCTGCGCTTGCCATTGACATCGTGATGAAGGCCAGACGGCTCTTCCGCATCAGTCCCCGAGGTGGTGGGACGGGACCCGGAGGCATCACTACCAGCGTCATGCCTCCATGAGACGCTATCAAAGTCGTCGTGTTGATCCATCGAGGGGTTGGGTTGCCGCCGAACAGGTTGTTTGTCGGTTCGGCTCACTGCGGCTGAACAAAGATACGAACCAAACCAAATGCAGATAAGAAAATGATATAGGCGAATGGGAAAACAAACAATGAGCCGGAGAGAGGGGGAGAGTCTCGGTTTGGTCGAAGGTGCGGAGTTGAAGCAGTGGAGCAGACCAGGCAATCAATCCATTTGGAGAAGCGCCCGATCGGCGTCATCGTCGCCAAGACCCGCTGACTAAGACATGACATTGCTCTGCATTATTATATGCATTATATGCATTTTATTTCTATTTTCTGGCAATCCCAGCGCCATCTTACAATATATACATAACTCCATGCGCTTCTTCGTTCAGCATCCGCGAGACATCACTTTGAGTCTGCACCCAAACCAAACAGAGAGAGAGAGAAGACAAAAGAAATCCAATTCCATCCAAATCCAAATAAAAATAGGGTAATCGTTCATCCAGGCTTATCGTCGATCTCCGTGAGAGCTGTCTCGTCGCTGTTGATCATCGCTGCCAGACCGGTCACGGTACGGCTCATCATCCTCATCGCTGAACAATGGCTCTTCGTCACTCTCTCCCGCGAAAGCGTTGTAGAGCTCGCCGCCCCGGCGTTGGGTGGCACCGCCTTGTCCACCGGCCGCATGCAAATCTTCGTCGTCTTCAATCATCTCAAAGTCGTAGTCATCGCGGGGGTCGTTGCGCAGGCGCTTCTGACGCTGGATGTGGAAGTAGACGCCGAGGGCGATGCAGAACACGATGATGGACCCTATGGCGGCGTAGATCCAGGCCTGGGTGCGTTTCGAGGCGCCAAAAGTTGGGAAAAAGGCGGGCAAGAAGCTCTCGGACGATGTGGTCGCAGCCGCCGCTTCCTCCGTGGCACTGGTTTTAGAGCCAGTGGTTTCCGCCGGCGTGGGCGCCTTCGACTCCTCTTCGGCCGGGGTATCCTCTGCCGGCGTGGGGTTCTGCGGAGTGGGCGTAGGTTTCGCGTTGACCGGACGATCCGCAACGTCAGTGGGCGGGTTCGGGGCTTCGGTCTTGGTTGGTCCGGGGTGAACGCTTGTCGTGGCCACGACCGCGTCCTCGATGTCATGATCATCGTCGTGCTCGTTGGGCGGAGGATGTAGGCCCTGCTTGGCGCCGTCGATGGCTTCTCCCCAAAGGTTCAGTCGCCAGTCAATGAACTTTCCGATCTCCTCATTGACAACGGTGTCCTTGACGATCACCGTCCATTTTCCGACGCCAGATTCTCCCCTAGATATTGTCAGTACAGTGGAAATGGAATAACGTAGTAAATGAAAGGAGCGAGAAAAGAAAAAGCAGGTGATGACATACCAGTGTGCAACGGTCATAAAGGTCCAGTCAACATAGCCCGCCTTTTCGTTATCGGACCGTCTAGCGGTACTCAGATGGCTGATAATGCCCTCCGGACTGCGCAGCTCCACGCTGATATCGCCGCGGCGGGTGTGGTTAACATTCATGGTAACGGTCACATGCTCTAGTCTCTGAATATTGGCCTTTTGCACCATCTTGTTGGTCACTTCGTAGGAACTGGCCAGACCCTGGTTTCCCTGAGGAATCTCATGCTGCACCCGAAGCCACGGCGAGTGGAACCATGCCTGGGGCTTGACGAGGTCCCAGGTCTTGGCCTTCTGCACCAGCGAGTACGCATCCACCTTCCCGAATCCCCAGTCGTGGCTGAACTTCCGGCCGCTCTTGGTGACTTGCCAGCTGCCGTCGTCCTCGTGGACCGGAACAGCCGTCTCCAACATGAGGTACTGGGCATCCCGCCACGTCAACTCGGGTCGAACGCTGAGAGCGAGAGCGATGGTACCCGCACCCAAGGGACCCGCAGCCGACGTTCCACCATGAAGGGAATAGCACTTGTCGGTGCCGACATCAGTGGTGTGAATGGCGTCGGTGGTGCCACTGCTGTAGGCGACCACCAGCTGGGCGGAGCAAGACTCCGAGTAACTGGGATGATTGCCCTCGCGATCAATGGCACCGACAGTGATGCTGTAGATACTATTCGTGTATCCGTCGAAGTTGCAGTTGTCGTCGTACGAGGCACCGTTTCCGGCGGCGAAGACGAAGATGGAGCCTTTGCCGCCGCGTCCCTTCTGAATACCATTGACCATAGCTTTCTTGATCAAGATCCCGGGCGCTTCCATCGTAGCTCCGTCGTCAGGTGGACCCCAAGAGCACGAGTAGATGTGGTTATCCTGGTAGGCATAGTTGATCGCGAGCGCCTCGTCCTGGTCGTCAATCGGTTTCGAGAGAATGCGAATGCCGGCAACCTTGCTGTCATACGCAACGCCCACACCGCAGATGTCGTTTCTCGCCGCCGCAATCTCTCCAGCACATCGGGTACCGTGGTTATCATCCGACAGCAGCGGTCTCGGTTCCGGCGACTTCTCGTTGAAGTCATAGGAGCCCTTGGCGAAATAATTCGGCTTCAAGTCATTGCTGTACATGTCCAGCCCGTCATCCACCACCGCCGTGGTAACGTTATGTCCTGTAATCCCTTCCAACCAGATACCGGTGACGTTCAAGTCGTGGCCGAGCTGCACGGTATTGTAGAGATGCCACTGGCCACTGAAAATCGGATCAGCGATTTGCAGCGTGGACGCGATGTTCTTCTGAATCTTCACGGCCTCGGGGCTCTCCTTGGTGGTACCCGCGGGCTCTCGCGGGAAGTTCCCGGGCGGCGGTATCCGTTTCTGCAGTCGCTGCTTGAGAACCAGTTTCTGAGACCACAGCACGCCGTCCAGTCCCTCGTCGGTATCCAGCGAGGAGCTGGTATCCTCGGAGCGTCGCCTAAGTTTCCTTCGTGCGCGCGCACGTTCCAGCATGGAGTCTACATCTCCGTCGCCATCGCGCGGTACGGAAAAGGTATAGTGGCCATCAAGTTCTCCGATAGGACCTTCAAATCGAGCCCCCAATCGCTGGGCGATGCCGGAGGGAGAAGCGGAGTCGTCGAGGTGGAGGGCGAAGTAATCGTGGGTTTCGTACGATCGGTGAGGATGGAGGGAGGCGGACGTAGCAGTAAACAGGCCAAAAGCCACAGCCGCGGTGTCGAGAAGACGCATGGTGGCGGCGAATTGACACCTTCTTCACGGAAGGCGAGATCAGGACAGATATCGGATGATTGCCATGGAACGAAATTCGGTGCCAGACCTTGGAGAGGGGATTCGCTTGAGAACAACAGATAGAAGAGATGGAACAGAAGCAAAAGCACCACAGACGAAGACAGAAAAAGAAAGTAGAATTAATCACAAAGGCGGATGTTGAGGATGGCGAGCACTGCTCGAAGGCGTGGGAGGACGTTTGGACGGGGAAACTCCTGAGTTGCGCTCGCCGTCGATCTTCACGGGGCTAAATTCACTTACTCCGGTGTAGTCCCGAGTGCCACCGAATCTTGGCGGGTCTGCAGATTGAGCCTTTAGGTGGCTGAAGATAAAGATCGATTACTTCTTCTTCGTATTACTGTGTGTTGCCTATGAAGAGTAACGCGTATTTGTGTTCATCCCATAAGGTCAAGTCCTTTCTAGGGGCACCAGAGAAGACACGTTGAAGTCGGGGCTCCTTGCAGTGATCCGCATAGGCAGCCTCGTTATTGTACGAATACGGGCCCAGTTATTCAGATTATTCATCGACAAAGCCAAGAAGCATCAATAAGATTTGTACTCAGTAGGGAAACACCAGCATTTCGAGTGGTAGGCTTCATATTTCCGTCGATTCTTTTGGTCAACCTCGGTTGAATATTGGTAATAGTTCTTAAAAATCAAATGGCCGATCGGACGAAGCATTCCAAGCATCTTTGAGATCCACGCTAGTCCAGGAATCAGTGCTGTCATTTCAATGCTCTCTCTCAATAGTAACAATAGCGGTCGGTCAGACAGCATAAAGATTAAGGACAAAGGCTATCTGGAATCGAGGGAGGACGATCGTTTAGGGCTATCCGAGTGACCCTCCAGCTCCAAGTAGCGGTAACTCGCACGCCTGCACATTCATTAGAGGTACGTTTCAATTATTATTCCTTTCATGCTCCGTTTGGTTTAATCGAATTTATGTCTTATTTTTTTGTCTTCCTGTTGCCAACCATAATACCTTGAATCATTGAACCAATGCCTTCAACTGGCATAGCAACCATTCCATAGTATAGAGGTGGCATCCGCAAGTATACAAAGCCTCGGCGTCGAGACATGTCTCTAACTCAAACACAATAATGTCGAATACACAGTGTATCTCTCTGACCGTTTCCAATTGTCATCTCCAATTCTCCGACACCGAATGACAGGCGAATAACCCACTGGGAGTAGACACACCGCTTGTTGGTCAGATGGGAAGTATACGGTGTGATTGGATGGTCGGGCTGCGAAGGGCAGTTGGGCCTATAATATTCCCAGTTTTCTTTTTTTTTCTTCTTTTTTTCTTGTCTTTCTGATTGAGTTTTCATCAATGGCCATTTTCTTTTCTTAGAAACGTGCCTTGCGACGGAGGTTTGTGCAGCACGAGAAAGGCCCCGCAATGATGAGGGCTGGGCTTCTTTCCAGCCACCGGCTTAATTCAATTAATCTCCTCTCGATATATTCCAATTTCCTGCCCTCTCATCTTTTTTCGCTTCTCTCGGTTGGATTCTTGGTGTTCGAAGACTAGTGTCATCATCTGCATCCCTCTCTTCTGGTTCATCTCTTCTCCCCTCATTCTTGTCACATTGCATTCACCCCCCATTGACTTGACGTGACTTGTATACTTCACTATCCCCACCGCAGCCGGCGTCAGATCGAACGACTTTGCCCATCGATCTACTCGCCGCTATCATCATGCACTGCTAATTTGTTTTGTTTTAATCTGTCGCTTATCGGTTAAATTTGCATTCAATCCAATTGTCTTTTGACAATCGTTGGGTCGTGACAGGCAATTGAAAGATCGCTCCAATTACGCACCTCTCTGCTTTAGTGACCTGCATCTACTAAAGCCCCGACCATTCATACTAAGTATGTCCATGCAAGGCCACCCTCGCTCTCTTTAGCCGCCGAATCGATTGACCTGTGGAGATTTGACACTCACAAATGGCCAGACAGGTACCGGAGTAATTCAATCCCACGTAACCCCGGTTAGCCAAGTCACTCCCCACGTGTCCGGGCCTCTCTGGACGGTGGTACAGGAATCGAATCATTGGAAGAATGGCCGCCGTCGCATCTCAGCCCCCGATGAACGGGGATTCCAAGGCACCCCCTCCTCCTCCTCCTCCTCCTCCTCCTCCACCACCACCACCACCACCACCTCCGCCGCCGCCGCCGCCTCCTCCTTCCAATGGCGCATTGCGCCCAACAGTCCTACATACCCGTCAACTAGCTCAACTTCCCAAACCAGTTGACATGGACACGGAGGACGACTCTGAATCGGATGTCAGAAGCTCAGATATGCCCCGCACGCACCCTAAACCATCCAAGGCCGACCCTCCCGCGCCAAAAACACAGGATGTGGACCGCTCGTTCTCCGCTCGAGCTAAAGACCTTTCTCGGAAGGCGAGCCTAGATTCGGTGGAGAAACCAGTCTCACCTGAGCCTCCAGTATCGCCTGAACCTTCATCATCGCCGGAGCCTTCTATCTCACCTAAACCTCCAGTATCACCTGAACCCCCTGCAACTCCTGAACCGCCAGTCTCGCCTGAACCGCCATCATGGCCTGCGTCTCCAACATCGCCTGAGCCCCCAGCATCGCCTGAGCCGCCAGTCTCGCCAAAGCCCGTGGTTTCACCAGAGCCGCCGGTCTCGCGAAAACCTCGAGCTGTAAATGATGAATTTACGCCGGGGGATGATGGTGCTGTCGTACGCAAGGCATCGGTATCCAACAGTAACGGTCAGCCGAAGCCTGTAAAACGGTCGGATACGATCCGTTCTACGTCGGAGCAGCAACGAGACTGGGCTTCAGACCGATCGCCTCTCCAAAAGCTGGAGGTCACGCTGAACGGAATCAGTAAAGAAGAGAAACGAGCCCGAGTCCAAGAAGCAGAGATGAGACTCAAAGAACGCATGGCTCGCCAACAGAATGGCGGCAAGAAACATCCACCCCCCGCGGCAAGAAAATCCCAGCGCAGATCCACACGGGATGACCCCGATGCTGGAGCTGGAGTCTCCCAGAGACCTAGAGCCGAAAGATCGGCGATGCCACCGCAGCCTGTGCAACCACCCCCAAGGCGATCCGATCATCGGCGGTATGCCTCCGAGGGGGTCGAAGATATGGATCACCGCGAACACAGACCGGTCGACAGGTCGAAATCCACTCGCAGCAGAGGACCGTCTTATCAATACTCACAGTACCCGGATGACAGACCTACTGCTGCTCCCATTATCAAAACAGGCAGTGCCCCGAGACGATCAGTGTCTGTAAGCCATCAGGCTGGTGGTAATCGTGCCGACCCGCGCTCGATCAATCAACCCATCCATCGGGACAGCAGATTTCCCAGCAACGCCCCCATGCCTCGCGTGATTCCAACGCAAGAACCCCCTCAAGTCGCGCCCGCGGCACATGCTGATGTTCAAACCTGGGGAAATTCACCCTACGGCCACCCTAGGGCCGCCCCGAATCGAGCGAGGGCGCAATCAATGAAGAAAAAGGATGTACCCCCCATGGGAATCCCACCTCAGCAGGCTCGCAGAGGCTCATATGCAGCCGACAACTCCGTTACATCTGATCCAATGAGTCCCGATTCTGACCAAATGACGGCGCCGTTCGAGAACGAACCGCCCCCGCAGCCCAGGGCTAAAAAGCAGACGGTTTCATTCAACGTGCCGCCGCCCACGCCCCCTCCCCTTTCAGAATGGAGGACAGCACCGATCGCAAGGCTTGGAGCCTCCGACTTTGAATTTCAACATTTCGACAAGGATCGGAGTAAGGCGTGGTGGGAAGGCGGAGGCAATAATCGCCGACGGAGCAGAGCGCTGCCGAACAATTATCAGAAGCCCCCGGCTCAGAGATTGACTTGTGAGTATAGACTTACGGATGCCGAGGCTTTCGGAGCTTGCCTTGGTACTACTGGACATGCAGACTGACTTGATTTTACAGCAAGACTAAATCGCTTTCAACCTCAGCTTTTCTTAAAGTGTGGCCCGTTGCTTCGCTATGCTGGACTGAAGCGGGTGCGAATCGACAGCCCCAAGGGTCCGTTTGACAAGGAGACGTGGAGGGGTAGTATCCTGATTGTGACCAAGGATTCCCGCTCTACTTACGAACCAGCGCCTACGTTAAGACTGTTTTCCCAGCCAATGGATCTCTTGCCGCCTCCGCCAGCTGAAGTCAGCGGCGAAAATGCTCAGCTTCCTCCCGAATACGTCGATCCGACCGCCGGACTTATGAAGCTAGGTCGCGACGGTAGGGCTCTCTACGTAAAACCCGTGGAACACACCGAGGAAGAAGTGGATCTGTCGCAGGTGGAAAATGATGACGGCATCTACGAAATGTCCCCTAGCATCATTGATTACAGCGAGGGTATGAAACAGCCGATACCTGCCAATAGGCTCCACCAGGTGGACGGAGAGACGGCCGAAGCATATAAGGATATTGCGGGTGCTCGCCTCTATGCCGACCCCGGGAGAGATGTCACCTTCTGGAGATTCAACCTGGAAATCGAGCTAGGACCGACCCAGCAACGGGTCGCCTATCGTCTCAACCAGGGCCCGGCTTTGGGATTCTGGGTGCCTGCAAGAGGACAGTCGATGAATATCATGTTCCACACCTGCAACGGCTTCAGTCCCGGCGTCGACTCCGACAGGCTCTGCGGACCGGACCCTCTGTGGCGAGATGTCCTCAACGAGCATCAGACGCGCCCTTTCCATGCCATGATCGGTGGCGGAGATCAAATCTTCAATGATCAAATAACTACGGAATCGACCCATTTCCAGGAATGGGTGAAGATCAAGAACGTGCACGAGAAGTACGAAGCTCCGTTTACTCCGGACTTCCGAGCGGAACTGGAGACCGCGTTCCTTGAGCGCTATTCCACGTGGTTCTCGCAAGGACTCTACTCGCTAGCAAACTCGCAGATCCCCACGATCAACATGTGGAACGACCATGAAATCATCGAAGGATTTGGATCCTACTCCGACGAGTTCATGGGCACACCTGTGATCTCCGGACTGGGCAACATCGCGTACAAATACTACTTGCTCTTCCAGCACCACAGTGTTCCGGAAGAGACCGAGGCGGAAGAGCCGAGCTGGTTGCTTGGAGCACAACCAGGGCCGTATATTAACCAACGCAGTCGCAACCTGTTTATGTCCTTGGGCGACGGAGTGGCTCTTCTTGGATTGGACTGCAGAACGGAACGAATGGTGAGATATATCCGACAAATTTTGACTTGGAAATAGTGCTAATTATAACAGAGCGACGAGATCCTCAGCGAGCAGACATGCGACTTGATCTGGGACCGATGCCACCGTGAAATCGTCAGAGGCGAGACCAAACACTTGCTGGTTTTGTTAAGCATTCCGCTGGCATATCCCCGAGTAGTAGGTAGCCGTTCCCAATTTTCTACATCATTTAGCTAACGCAAACCAGGCTATGGTGAAGAACATATTGAACAGCAGAAAATCACTCGGTAAAGCCGGCATGTTGGGTGGTTTGGTCAACAAGAATGGCGGCAAGGTCGAAATCTTCGACGACCATTGGACGGCGAAAAATCATAAATCCGAGCGCACTTACTTGATCGAGGATCTTCAAGATCTTGCGGCAGACAAATCTGTGCGGGTGACCATTCTGAGGTAGGGCCTCCTTTCATCGTTCAATTGTAGCATTGGGCTGACAAGAATTGGTTTATAGTGGTGACGTGCATCTGGCTGCCATCGGCGAGTTTTACTCAAACCCGAAACTGAACGTCCCCAAGGATAGGGATTATCGATACATGCCCAACATCATCTCCTCGTCCATTGCGGACATGCCCCAGACGGACGTGGTCTCGGATACGCTCAACAAGCGTAACCGAGTGCACCATTTGGATACTAATACTGACGAAGATATGATTTCTATGTTCACTCACGACGTTAACAACAAGCCGCGGAATAACAAGCGACTGCTTCCCCGGCGTAACTGGTGTGCCATCCGAGAATATCAACCTGGTAAGTCGGCGCTCGACCCATCAGACAATCACAATCACCCTCTGACCGAGAATAGGATCTACACCACCAGGAACTCCGGAAATGGAAGCTCTTTCCCTTGACGAACCTCGTCCGAATAAGCTCCAAAGAACACTCTCGCTCAACCGTGGGGACCGACCCCATGGCAGTGGTGGTGGTGGTAGCGGCGGCGGCTTGTTCCGTCGACTGTCGCAGCGAGGCAAACCACCCACCAAGGATTTCAACCTTGGAGGACAACCCAACGGCCGACGAATGAGTATGGATGGCCCATTCCCGCCCGCGGAGACCGGAGACTCGTACTATGAGCAGTCTGCCGAGTTCCGGCCGGGTCCCTTCATGCGACGACCGACCAACCTCAGCCAGAAGGCCGCCAAGAGAGCCGCGAAACACGGCGACGACGGTACCGGCGGCTTTGTCAACCTGGAGGGTGGACTGGCGATCACGCTGAACCTCGAATTGAACCCGCGCGACCCCTCCGGCATCACCACGCCGTACAAGATGCTCGTACCGATGCTCCGCTTCGAGGGCACCGAGTACGATCCCCCCGCCACGCCGGTCGCCAAGGGATGGAGAAAATGGCTGGGAGTGCGCCGAAAGAAGGCGGACCGTCACGCAGTGGCCGAAGATACCGAAGCCGAAATGGCGACTGACGAAGAACTTGAAGATGAGGACGATGACTACGATGACTACGACAACCGGGGAGGAGGAGTAGGAGGCGGTCAGAGACGATCTAGCGGACGGGACTATTACGACGGGGCTGGCATGCCTCCGGAGACGTTGGTCCCGATGGGCGCAGGTGGAGCGGAGGACGAGGATGGCGTCAGAGCGGCACCAAGGCGAAAGAAATGGTTTGGGCTGGCCTGAGGGGCGGTGAGGCAAGACGGTGAAGTCGATGACATGATGATTGATGAATTGATGAGTTAAGCCATGTACCTATGAACCGATGAACCTATGAACGATCTAAATGTACTTACAAGTTACTACCCATGATATGATATGCACTGATCGATAAGCAAAGGCGGTCTCGGCCCGGACTCGCTGCCTAAGCTGCACGTGACCGGGTCTCGCCGCGGATGATTCCTAATCTTTTCTCCTTCCTTCCTTCTTCTTCATGCTTCGTCTTGTTTTCTCCATCTGCCTTCTCATTTTTCTGCCACTATCCGCCTGTCGTTCCAGATCTTATCAATTGATCAATTTGGTCCATCTTCCCTGACTCAGCTTCAATTGGTCATCGTCATAGTGTACGTTCCAGTCTAGTCCCTCCTCCTCCCCGACCAGATGAACTAATCGCTCTCCTTAGCTAATCGCAAGTCCCCACCATCGGAAATCCGCCCCTCTTCGCCTCTTCGCCGTGCCAGATTCTGAAATAATAATTTAACCTGCCCTCCTCCCTCTCCTTCTCTCTCCCCTGACTCTCGGTCAATTCTCTCGTCTCTTTTCCCCAACCCCGTTAACACCGGCAATCTGTTTTCCTCCGCCTTTCGCCGATTCCCTTTCTCTTCCATCCGCTCCTCTCTTGGATTGACTGCTGCTGCTGCAACTACCCTGCACAACCAGTCCCCTCCGTCTGCCTCGGTTCTATCAAGTCCGCTCTCGACGCCACTGCGCGTCAATTCCACCGTCAGAATGGTTCACACTCCTGTAGTTAGTGAGTATCTCCTGTGCCCTCGTGGAATGGGCTGGAACGAAAACGCTAACCGCAAAACAAGTCATCGGCTCCGGCCCCGCCGCTCACACCGCCGCCGTCTACCTCTCGCGAGCGGAACTCAAGCCTGTCCTCTACGAGGGTATGCTGGCCAACGGCACCGCCGCCGGTGGTCAGCTCACCACTACCACCGATATCGAGAACTTCCCCGGGTTTCCCGACGGCATTGGTGGCGCGGAGCTGATGGAGAACATGCGCAAGCAATCGATCCGATTCGGAACCGAGGTGATCACCGAGACCATCTCGAAGATCGATCTGTCCCAGAGACCCTTCAAGCTGTGGACTGAATGGAACGACGGTCCTGACAACGAGCCCGCTCGCACTGCGGACGCCGTCATCATCGCCACTGGTGCCAACGCTCGCCGTCTGGACCTGCCCGGCGAGGAGAAATACTGGCAGAACGGTATCAGTGCTTGCGCCGTCTGCGACGGTGCCGTGCCCATCTTCCGCAACAAGCCCCTGTACGTCATCGGTGGTGGTGACTCCGCTGCCGAGGAGGCCATGTTCCTGGCCAAGTACGGCAGCCATGTCACCGTCCTGGTCCGTCGCGAGAAGTTGCGCGCCAGCAAGGCCATGGCCAACCGTCTGCTTGCCCACCCCAAGGTCACTGTTCGCTTCAACTCCGTGGCCACCGAGGTCCTCGGTGAGGACAAGCCCATGGGTTTGATGACCAACCTGCGCGTCAAGAACACTGTCACCGGCGAGGAGGAGGTCGTGGACGCCAACGGTCTCTTCTACGCCGTCGGTCACGACCCCGCCACTGCCCTGGTCAAGGGCCAGCTCGATCTCGACGAGGATGGATACGTCATCACCAAGCCCGGTACCAGCTACACCAGCCTCGACGGTGTCTTCGCTTGCGGTGACGTCCAGGACAAGCGTTACCGCCAGGCCATCACCAGTGCCGGTACGTTCAACTTTGCCCCTTCCGTTTTACTCTTATAAGCATACTAACAATTCCTCAAGGTTCCGGCTGTATGGCCGCTCTCGACGCCGAGAAGTTCATCGCTGAGCGCGAGTCTCCTGAAGAAGAGCCCGTCAACGAAACCAAGACCGACACCGAGGGCACCGGGGCCGAATACAAGTCCAACCCTCTTCTCTAAGCGCAAATCCCGTCGAAAAACTCATCCATCTTTCTATCCTCCCCTGGTCTTTTAGATCCCCTTTTATCATTCCATCATAAATGATTTAGACCCCCCTCTCTGTCAGCTGACTGAATGCGGCGCACTATCTTATCATGTCTCATGTCCCGGATGGTTTCTCTTTTGACCTTCCTTTTTCCTGTTTCTGGACGGTTTCTATCACGCTTATACTTAGACGTCAGCGGTTTTTCTGTTCTACTTTTTTTTATAATTTTTTTCAATGATGTTATAGACATATATCTTCTTTTTTTCGGGTGTGAATGAGTTGTTTCTTCGAAGAAAGTGAAGAGTTGTTTGCTTGATTCGCTTGCTTAGATTTCCTATCTGGTTCTGTTGTTGTCTAGATCTCTTTATATCTACCATGATACATACAGCCAGGCAGATGTTAGTAAGAAAACATTCGATAAATCATATATTTCTTGACATGAATCGAACTTATAAGATCAAAGTTCTGCTGAGCTAGCTAGCCCTGGATGTAGCTAAACATTCTATTTCACTGTTTGATCACTACGATTCACGATATACCTTACAGATATGTCAATCAAACCGGTTACAAGCTCTACGTACTAGCCTACCTACCTACTCCTTGAAAACCAGGAGAATGGCAACCTATTTCTATATCTACTGAATATAGAGAAAGGAAAGGAGTATGTAGAGTTAGCACCTGATTAGTGATTTGCGAGATGAGACGGGATAAGACGACTCTCTTGATTTTCAAGTACATAACAAATATAAATATTTTGTTTGGTATGATCGAACCCAACCCTCGGTTGAGGTAGTAAGTAGGGTAGAGGAGGAGGTGGAAGGGGAGTCTTTGGACTCTGGCATGTATAGATAATATAGTTCATTCATTTTGAGTCCTCTAAACGGGCCGTTTAGTCTCTTTTCTCTCTTTCAACCTGTTCTTTGGTGACGATGAGGATGATGGTCGGCGCGGAGGTTTTGTATCTGGAGACAGGAGGGGGAAGAGGGAAGGAGACTGAATGTCTCTAGAGCAAAGGTGGTACTGTGGAACTAACTTCCGCCGTAATCGTAGTAGATGAAGGCATATACTGCGTAGTCGATTGAACAGGAGGGCCCTGTGGATGCGATCCATTAGCGCCACCGGGGGCAGCGACACTGGCGGCATCAACATTGGCATCAGCACTAGAATGGACCCCAACCTCGGCCACGGCATTAGCACCCAGCCCAGGACCCGATCCACTGCCAATCGCATTCGTCGCGGTCTCCGACTTCCACGAATCGAACGGATGCGCGGCACACCAACGCTCCTTCACCTGGTCCATCTTCTTCTCCCACTCGGCCATCTTCTGCCGCCAGTTGGAACTCATCTCGGCGTTCGTCTGCTGATTAACCTCCGCTTGCTCGATGTATGGTCGTTTCTCGTCCTCGGCGGCCTGTCGCCACATCAGGCCTAGGGCGTGGCGGATTTCGTCGCGCGGCGTTTTGGCGTTGGGGTCGTTCGTCGCTTTGCGGCGCGCCTCGTCGCATTGAGTGCGGCATTTTACCCAGTAGTCTTTCTGGTAAAGGAGGAAAGGGTTTAGACCGACGGTTCGTGCCGGTCGAGGGACGGGCGGTCCTATTTCGGCATGGATGGCCGCCCACATGGCATGTTCGTAGGCCTCTCGAAGGGCCGCTTCGGGGGATTTGGGTGCCGACGGAGCAGCTGGTTCTAACGTGGCGAGGGAGGAGGCCGTGGCCGGTTGCTTGCGTTTCTGCCCGCTGATCGGGGGGCTGTTGACTGAGAAGAAGTCCGCTTTGCCTCTCTCGGGGACCAGCGGATGGGGTAGTTGGATTGGCTCTAGAATGGATTCGATGACTTCCGACGCAGCTCGCAGGCCGGACAGGTACGCACCGTGAACGGTGGCAGGATGGGTGCCGCATGTGGCTTCACCTGCAAAGTGGAGGTTCCCAATCGGTTTGGCCATTGAATCGTAGTCCCCTGGGAGTGCTTGAGCAGCTACGTAGGAGTAGCTGCCGCGAGTGAACTTATCCGAGCGCCATCGCGTAACAATGGTCTCCAACGGGTCCGGAACAGCAGCGTGCTTGAAGACGTTGCGAAGCTGACTAGTGACCTCCGCGATGATTTCGGCGTCGGGCGTGCACTCCGCTTGAAGCGCGGCGTCTCCGGCCATTAACGCAATGAGAACGGGAAGACCAGTGGTTTTCAGGCAGTTCCAGAATAGATAGAATCGGCCGCGATTCGCAGAGTAGTCATCTTGCGTCATGCTGTCTCGAGACTGGGGCTCGCGGAGGAGCCCAAACATGTCCCTCTCGGTGTCCCAGAATGGCTGCTCAAACACAAGGATCACCTTATTCATGACGCCAAAACCCAGCCGATCAATGGCACCGAGTTTCCAGTCGGGAAGAGGCGGCGAGAATTGGACTGAACCGTGTTTGAGAACTCCCAATGGGCAGGTGAAAACCACCTTGTCCGCCACGATCAATTGACCGTCCTCACATTGAACCACCGTCTTCTTCCCGACCCCAGTCGGGTCGTATGTGATCTTGGACACGGACTTGTTCGGTCGAACGTCGAGTTTCGTCGGCCATGCATACAGTCCGTACGGTACTTGCTGGTAGCCTCCCACGACCTGCGAGTGCTCTCCTTCGAATTCATTGCCTATATCCTGGTCCCAACCAGAGAGACTGAGCTGGTCGATATTGGTGGCGTTAGCGTATTCCAAGTTGGCAAGATGCCAATTGAGCAATCGCATGTCTTTCGGCGACAATTGCAGCATGCGTTGGTACTGTCGGATTCCGTCATCCATCACAGCACCGAGGGTCTGGGACGGCGAAGCCTTCGCGATGGGATCGAGGTTCAGCGTATCGTTCACCGAGACCCCAGGATTCAACTTCCACCCCATAGTTTGAGAAGCTAGGGCGACCGGATCCTCTTCGTTGCGATCGAGGTCTGCTCCCGCTGTCTTAATGTCGGCAGTCTTATGGCCAACCCCCCGGCGGACACGTTTATTGGGAAACAATTGTCCAATAGTGCCAGATGCCCTTGCCTCCTCGTATTGCCTTACTGTAAGTCCGTCGCTCGTTGACACGTCTCGGCCAGAGTTGATGAATTCTCGGTTCCCCTCTGCTGTAGGGACGATAGCTGATTTATGCCGATAAAACCCGGACCGATCCAGAACATCATTATAGAGCTTCTCGTCCATGGCGTCACGCAACTCATCCACCGGAGAGCCGTCTATGTCATAAATGGTTGAGATATCGCGTAATAAATGGTATGAAAGAGCCAGCTGGCCTCGAATGATCTGATCTAACGGGTTGCCATGGTCGAAGCCCACAACAATGTGCGCCCCCATCTCGGCCTTGGGAACAAGCCCAGGGGGTAATCTAGACGACCGAAGGCTCTGTAGGGGATGTGAATAGATACGTCCTCCAATCCTGCGCCTTCCCTCTAGAATAACAACACGCGGCGAAGCGGCCTGGTCGTGGTAATGCTGAAAGAGGCCCTCCAGCTGCCGCGCACAGCCCAGACCCGCCATTCCTGCTCCAATTACGACAATCACGGGACCATCTCTTCGACGACCTTTTTTGCTGGACACCAAAGCAGTTGGGATCTCGACGCAGCCAAAATTGATATATCCGTTGCGTATTAACCATTCATACGCAAAGGAGGCAAGGTTCATCCACCGATATTCCTTTGCGCAGCCTAGAGCTTCTTCTTTGGTAACACTCACGATTGGATTTCGTGTCCACAGCCGCAGAATCCCGTTTCGAATATTCAGATACACGGTGACGTGCAGATGACAAAGTTGGTCCTGCAGGGCGTCTTGTTCCTTTTGATGAAGAGCATATGGATTGAGTCGAGAGGCATACGCCGCCGCGACGCACTGCTGGGCGTAAACGCCAGTAGGGAGCCTTGACGGGATGGACGACTTGGGACGGTATCTGGGAGAGCCGGGTCTACTCTCAACTCCCTTAGGGTCTGCAGCAGACGATAGCGAAGAAAGTGAATTTAGGGCGGCCAAGGGCGACGTTGACTTTTTCTGACTGATGGTAGATACTAGCGAAGCAGTCGTAGCGGAGTCGTTTGGCGTACCCCGAACCGTATCTGCATCGAGATCACGGGAAACATCATCGGTGCTTTGAGAGCCAGTGTCGGCTCCGGGAGTCAAAGTAGCCTTTGGAGGATTCCATAATGGGCTAGAAGGAGGAAAGGGGTATACATTGGTATTCGGGTTCACATCTTCTCCCAACCCAGAGCTAAGTGGCTTGTATGACTGCCCGAGCGTCGCATGAGATGATGACAGCGAGAGCCTTCCTGTGTCATTGACGACGGCATTTGTAGATGAACCTTGACTGAACGGCGTCATTTCGACGACGAAAGCTTCTCTGATCCGGGTGTCCCGATCAACCCGGAGTTGAGGATGTTATGTGTGTATGTATGTTACTTCTACCAAGGGGGATCATATGATCACCAGACAACTCCCACCAACTCAATCGGGAATTATCCGCATGAGAGATGGATGATTGGGACCAAAAACGTTTCCCCAGCCACGAGATTATACGGAGCACTCCGGAGGGATATATCAGATCTCGGCGTTTTCATCCATGGTGGGTCCACTCATGGTAGGGAGGCAAAAGGCTTGAAGTGCGGGATGTATGACAATCCTTGAGGTTATGTCAGAGAATTAAGATACACGGAGAGGATCACAACTCGATCAAATCAGATGTCTAGGGTCAAATAAAACAACAAGCACGACCAAGGTGCATTGGAATAAATCTCCGGGGTTTGGTAGGCATGTAGGGATAGTTCGACTTACCTGTGATATAGCTCTCGTAACGTGGCCCCGTCTTAGTTCCCGAGCGAGAAAAGGGGTGAAGAGGAAGGAAAGTGAGTTGGGAGAGAGACTGTAGTAGCCCCCAAAACATGAAGCAATCCGCCAGGCGCCAGGAAAGAACCGCGGCAATCCATGCAAGAAGAGAGTAGAGAGAGGGAGGAAGAGCGGGAAAGAGACAGACGGACGGAAGTTTCGCAGTGACGGAGCGGAACGGGAGACCAGCGTATTTTTCAGTCCGAACCGTCAGCCCTTACTCGCTTTTGCCTTCTTCACGCCTTCTGCTGCGATCGCCCCTGTGCACCATGCAACAACAGCGCTTGTCGTCCTGTTGGAAATTCTATTCCATTCGCTAACCCAGAATTCATTGCCGCAGGTTGACGCCGGTACTGCACCCGAGGGACAGGGACTGGTACTACAGTAACTAAGATTTTCTACTAGTATTCGTTCTCAAGGGATTGGCCCACTCCCCAGTTCAACCGCCCAATGCGCCTCTATTATATTGTATTATGCACAATCCACCGTTAACCCGCATAAGAACATCGCTCGTGACAGTGACAAGTGGTCCACTCAATACAGAGAGGCGGCTGGTTCAGGGCTTGCGCACATGGGTATGCAAATTGTATATTTCACCCTCCGTGCCATCGCCATCCCGGAAGACGTCGGAGTTACTGTCGGTAAACTCGTCGCGGTACGAATCCCGCGATCCCGTCTTCAGGTAGGGCGAGTTGTCGCTCCCGCTCTCGTCATCGATGACCAAATCAACGTTGTCATCGTCAAAATCGTGGAACCCAAGTCGTTCCTCCTCGTCCCGCGCAAGGGTGGTGGCGGCAGTGTTAGTATCCGGATCTTCCGAGAAGGCATGATGGGGACGATGGGCCGCGTGGTCGATTTGAAGAGAACGACGGATGCCGGCCCTCTCCTGCGCTTCTAATTCTTTGGCACGCGCTAAGGTTCTAGAGAAAGTGACTAGTCAGCGATTGGATCAAGAAATAGGCATGTAGCCATTCCGTCGCATTCTTACCTTCTGTATATATACCAACCAGTGAAGATCCCAACGGCGATTGAGATGAGGATGCTGCAGACGTTCACCGCCTTGGAGCCAGCGCTCATCTCCTCGCCCTTCTCCGCCAGAATGCGTAGTCGACTGCCAATAAAGGCCGGCACTAGTAGTTTGGGCGAGACGAGTGCCGTCGCAAGGCCATACATCAACGGCTGGACCGTGGGAAACGTTGACACGGCCCCGTTACATACCGAGTACGGCAGCGGACAGAGACGGATCATACACAACAACTTCAATCCATCGTACTTCAGCGTCAACGCAAGAGCGGCAAACCGTTTATCGCGTTCCATCATTCGAGTGACAAATCGGGAGAGGATGGTTCGGGAGACAATGAAAGAAAAGGTCGAACCCAACACTGTCGCCGACGCGTAAAGTGCCCAGCTATCGGAGATATTAGTTTTTTCATGGTTCGTCGAACCGACGAGCAGAGAGGCAAATAACGTACCCCTTCCATACGCCGAAGATGTACCCCGAGATGGTTCCAAATGTAGACCATCCGACCAGAGGCGGTAGAGCCACGAAGAATATGCATAGCCAAAGCACGAAGAATACCAGCGCCGAGTGTTCCCACTTGGCGGCCACCGGTTGTAACCAGACAAAGATCTGGCCCGTAAATATCAGAAATCCGATTCCCAAGGCATTGGCAAGTACCGCCGCTAGCACGGCCCCCACCCTCTGCCAAAAGCTCATTCTCTGCCAGGTGGCCATCAGACGCCGTGATGTTTCCATTGCTCGATTCACAAGTTGGTCCTTCAACGAGGTCGGTCCTCTACTGTTGGGCAAATTAGCGGGATTCCGCCCGCCCGAACGGCTCCATGGCGGATAGGAGTCGGAGGCTGACGGCGAGAGAGGTGCTGGCGGAGAGGCTGAAACCGATAGAGCACGAGCCGTAGATGTATAGTCGGCCGGCATTCTGGCCGGGAAACGGAGACACCGTTCTATTCCAACTCAAGGGTCTAATTCCGCACAGGATATTGCACGGCGTTCTGGAGCAAAGATCGGCGGAGTGGAGTGGAGAGGGGATTGCGCAGGTTAATTACCAACGGGCGCAAAGACTCGGCAGCTGACGAAGTACCAAATAGATACTTTTCAATGGATGTAATCTCCCGAATGGCTCCCATATGTTGTTTCTCCGGGGTGAGTTGTTCGTTCTTAGATGGCAAATCAACGGAGCAGCGATCGGAACATGGGCGGAGGCGGAGTTAACTGCAAGGACGGTCGGCGATTGGGGATTGAGGAGCTCTGAAATTGCGAAGAAGACGAGGGATATGTCAAGGAGTGGAGGCGTTCAACGGTTAGGCGGACATTTTCAGGAAAGGACAAAGACAAAGGAAGAATAGTTCATCAGGCAGAGAAGATCAGCTTATGGATACGAGGATGAGATGGAGAGGGAAACACGGATAACGATGAATCCAATGATGTCTGCCTGAGGAGCGGTCTTGGCGATGGTCGGCTGCTTACATACTCACTCTGTGACGTCGCTTCTCTCGCTTCTTTTGTCTCTCTTTTGGGGGATTAGCTCGTCATAGGTGGGATTTTGCTTGACATTTCTCTACATCGACTGGGCCTCTGCTGACTCCAAAGCTGTAATATAAGTAAAAATATTAGCTAAGAATCTTTACCTACATAGATACTGTGATGGGATAAACCCCTCTTTGTATAGGACCCTAATTCAGTCATAACCTCATTTCCTGAGGCAGCCTACCATTAGTTATTTACCGAAGGGTTGATTAGACTAGTATAAAATCATATTAATCAGGAATTAAATGCTAAGAGCACGAGGCAAATGCTATTTAAGAGGGCCTATATCAGCCAAAAGTAGCGGTATGTAAGTAAGGCTCGCATTGTGTTTACATCTATCTTGAGATTTCTTGTCGAATATATAGCTAACCTATTTTGTGATCTGCTTATTGAGTTATGTAGCGGTAGAGTGTCCCAAGCCCATAAATTACCATTATTGATAAGCTGCAGTGTAAAGATAATCTAATAAAATATCTAGTGCACCTGGTACATGAACCTGAAGTAGGCCCTACCTCTCGCTTTTCACAGCATGGCCAAATCTTTTTTCATGATTGAATGGGGATAACTGAGAACAAACACTAATGCAACAAGGGTGTCCTGCTTTCAATGTCGATCCAGGAATGCCGATATAAAGGTTTCTCATTTGCTGGGTACCCTGTGGATCTAAGCCAACCAAAGATTCCGCGAGTTGCCGCCTCCGAAGCTACCTGGGAAAGCAAGTTTGAGCCATCTTGTATCGGGTAGTAGTTTCCCTTATGTTTCTGTGTTAGGAACTCTCCACCTGATTCTACCAGAGATATGCCAGAGTCTTCGAGCGTTTCTCCATTTGATAGATTCCAGTTCCAGGTTTTGTACTTCAAACAGTGACAGCGGCAAGCGGCATGTTGCTGCACTGCAAGATCAGTATCAAGAAGCCGAGTTTCTCCAAACGGTTTCCACGGATAAATGGGGGGGGCTAGTATATCCATCACAGGCCGTGATAAATAGAAAACGGCATTCGTCCTCCCTGCGGATCACTTGACCGTCATTACTACCAGGTTCCACCGTTATGAAAGATTGGCGTGTTCCTGTCCAGGCCGCTGCATTGAATTCCGTCGCTGTAAGCCCGATCCGGATATTTCGTAATGTAGGGTTTGCTAGTCCCACCACAATCGCACCGAGCCAAAGGCTAGCTAATCTGGGCTGCCGATATCCAAGGACTTTGGCGAGCGTAAGAGGTTTTTCGCCCTGGACCAAAGGATTTGCTATTGCAAAGATGGGATTGAGCCAGGCGCTGACAAGATTGCATTCAGCCTCTCCGTTGAAGAAGGTGCTGGAAAGTAAAGATCGCATGCCCCACACATTACAACTCAGCATCATGTAACGGGAAAGATATTCCGAATATTCCTTCACTAGATTTGATGATTTTTGTGACAGAGACGACGGTCCATAGTGCAGGGCTGATTTCGGGGCAGGAAGCGAAATGGAATCTCCGCTGAGCAATGGAATGTAAAGCGCAGCACCTAGGGCCACGGAACACTGCCCGTAGAGTCGGTGACGAGAGCAAAACCTGGCCAGATATTCCAAAGCAGCACCAGATGAGGGCGGTCCTTCCTTAGAGATTGGATAACTTCCTGCTATCTTCATGTTGGCTTTATTGGAGAGATTAACAGACCAAGGTGAGCAGTATGTTTTTCTTTGGTAAGCTGTAGTTATTTCCCAGCCGCCGCCAGAGCAGAATATAGCCCCCCACCAAGCTGCTTCAGCTGCTTCAACATCGTGTCCTATATCAATTTCGATTGTATAATGATGTCTGGAGCCTGTTGCAAGCTGACTGGCCTTGTGCGTGAAGTTGATACTGCATTGGTGTCCCGAAGCGTGCTTCAGTGATTCTGCCCATCGCGCAGAAAGGATATAAGCCCACGCAAGGAACAAAATGCTAATATAATTTCCCTCGTCATGGTTTGAGATGCCATCGACACCAGGCCATTCTTGCAGGGGTGCAGAATTTGATATCCCCACTGTCAATGGGTTGGGAACGGCCAGCAGAATATCCAGAGACATTGCTTTCGGTTCGAGGTAGCATTGCCCATGTGAAGTAGTCCAGGTCGATTGTCCAGAAATTAGAAGACCAGACTGTCCCCTGCTCGATTACCTTTCTACACAAGTGAAGGACACTTCAGTGTCTTTGGAAACCAATCCATATCCAAGGAAAGACGGTGTTCTCTCGAGAAGCGATTTCAGATCGATGGAAGAAGGTGGGAGACGAGGGCTTTTATGAGCGTTTGTCAGATAGGACGACCATTCATAATAGCTTTCGGAGAGGATACGATCGAATTTTTCTTTGCTTGGACGAACGGCATCATCCATGTCAGACTCGGACTATGTAGTTGAGCCCAAGGCACTGCCGCTACGAATCCAGCGGGGTGCTAGACAGACCAGTTCGAATAAAAGATAAAGGCTATTTAGGGAATTCGGTGCCTATGAACGCCAGACATTTAATGGGTAAAATGACGCATGAATCTAATGAACAAAGATAGCAACACTGGCAAGTCCTTGGGGAAGGGGGAGGCTGGGAATGTACTTAAATTGCTGGGGACGAAAGGGGACGATTACGGAAGAAGTACGGCGATAATGTTTGTCCGGGACCAGGACAGGGATACATAAATGCGGTTTTTGTACAACCAAGTACATTCTAAGTCTTTTGCCACTGATTGGTTCATTTTTTGCAGATGCTAAAACACTAAGCTGGAGAGGAAAGAAGGAAAACAAATGATCCACCGCTCCCACTGCCGATACAACTAAGTACAGCTTTATCATGAATTCATGATGTCTTCGCACCTCATAGAGAGGCCTGCTATCGGGACAGGGGAACATACACCCGATGTCCCGTACGAATGGCAGGCACACAGTGACGTTGAAGCAAAGTCTACCATTTATTCTCACTGTATCTTTCGGGTTTCCAATTATACCGATCCTGAGGAACATCTCTCCCGCGGCGAAATCGTGGCCATTGTAGCATATATGAGATGGAGGATGGTAAAGCTCAAACACATCCGACACTATGTTTTCCCTGTAAGCCAATCTACAGTGCATTTTCTAATCACATATGTTATGTTAAGAGCTGAACAAATGCTAACCCTTTTGTTCCCAGGTCTTGGTCATTTCGATATTTCGATCCAAAGCAAGGATTGTGCAGGCGTATCACAACGGGGAATATCTCTCCATATCTAAAAGCAAGCTCTATGATTTCAAAGAAAACATTAAAGAAAATTACAAACTGTTCATACGGTGGGTCTATAGTGTACCCTGTGGAGACACAATGACTCCTCTCACAACTGTGGGTGAGACATTGGACCATGATATGATGGAACAAGTGGACAGGATCCTGCAAGGTCTTCAACTTCCATGAAGCTTGTATTGCTGGGACTGTCAATCGTTCCGTGCTCTCAAAGTCGGCAAAGGGGTATAGTGGAAAGATGGCAGATCCCCTTTGTTTTCCCCTGAGGAGTGATTTGTTGTGACCTTTTTTCTTTTAATATAACGGTGTTTCTGGACTTGCTTTTCATCACATACAATCAAAGCTACTCTATATGTGAGATAATCTAATAGGTCTAATTACTTGTTTTATTCCTAAGACTCTCTTCGAGAAACCAATAGTCAACTTGTGGGTCTGAGTAACCTTGGAGAAAATAATCATCAGTCTGGAATGTATCAGACCTTATCTTGCCTACTTTACTCCGTAGATTGTGTAGATAGTATACTAGGCATGTAAATGTAATGTAATTAAAAGCGCCTGTACTGCTTACAGCTAACTTGCATATAGATACGCGGGGATTTAAAAGAAGCACTGATCTTTCTAGTTAATTTGAATGAGCTGGCTCTATTTGATATGTACCCTGAATATTTACCTGTACATACATACTATAAACTACTTCGGAGTAATGTGATATTGCCAGAAACCTTGGGAGAAAAAAATAGTGTTTACAAAGATCAGTCATAAGACACCTGACTCTATGTGGAGATTCTGTTTTCCTGGCCCCTCCTTTTAATAAGCGGGGTTCTCTTTCCCCTCAATCCGGCCAACATTCACATCCAGTTCACCCAAACTTGATCTGGAAGAAAAACAATAAAAACAGAGCAATGCCTGAAGGAAATCATAGCCAGCTTTTCACCTATATCGAAACTGATGACCAATTCAAAGAGGCTGTGAATAAAGCCTCAACAGCGATCAACCCTCAACATGCGCGTCGAAAGGAGAACTCGAAGATTCTTGCCGTTATCCCAACACCATCTTCCTGTGTTTTAGTCGCACAGCTATTTGATGATACCCATCTATCCCATGTAAGAGAGCTTAATTTAATTCTTTGCGTTTCTATCTAATTTAGAAAGGTTTTAAAAACCGGCCTAAATAGACAGATCCTACCCGGCGATTCACCCCCTCGTGTCAAACTGCTACACACAAGCGCTGTTATGCTTGAAAACGGCGATTTTACGCTCGATGGCTGCTTCTTTGCTATTCTTATACCTTTAACAGGACTGGACCAAAATACACGCATTGAGGTTAGAAAAAAACATAGCGCGCGCGAAAATTCCACGCTCATTGATAAATGGCGAGAAGGTGAAATAATCGTGATACCTGGAGACAATCTGCTCTCTTATGTTGGAGAGGTTGAAAAAAGATGCTGCTTTCTCTTCCTTCCATACGTGACTATAGAATGAGCAGTATTTGTTATGGTACCAAGATGGTTGGGAGCTTAATACCCCGTTCCTTGTTTAGCGTGCAGGTTTACGATTATACAAGCATAGGTCAATAAAATGTGTCATTGAAGATCAATTATTTATTAATATTGGAAATGAAAAAAGAAAGAAAGATACAATCCAAGTAAGGTTATATCGCCTACCGAAATCTAGCAATTCAACTATCTCAGATCAACAATAGACGTAAAGAATTAATAAAAAGGGATTTCCCTTCCGATTCAATTCTGGGGATAATTCATACTTTCGGGTTGAAGAACGTTCGGGAGGCCTCTATCAACGCTGTTGGAGAAACAGCAGCATCTTCAGGGACCGAGTGAAGCTGTGTAGGGATACTATGAAGAAACCCAACTGTTGAGACCAAAGACTCGGGGTTATACCTAGGATCTTCGAGAGCGAGCCTTTCTTGCTCGGAAGAGATATTTGTAACCTGACCAGATCTATCTTGTAGGTATTCTATAGTATTAATCAAAGACTCGGGGTCGTCTATATCGTCCATATTGGGCAGAGCGTCCTGGGGAGGGGTACTCCAAAGCTGTGGAGAGGTTTCGTGTAAGGCTGCTAACGTAGCGACTAATGGTTCGGCATGACTATTGTTTCGATGAATATCATTACCGATGTTCTCGCACGCGCTTGTGTCAAAAATGGTTGTTTGAAATCCCTCGTTGTTTGCCAGAGGGGTTCGAGATGGAAGCTCTTTATTTGAAAGATGAACCCCCGCTAGTCCGTCTTGCAACTCCGAGCAAGGGCCAATATCGGATGCAACTGATTTTTGCACGCATTGCCGTTTGCTGGAAGCTTTTGATCGATACTTTTTTCTTTTTCGGTTCTGAGGAACATCGATTAGGGGTATTTCGAGGACTTGGCTGATCCCAGCAGGGAGTGGCGATTGATTATTCAATTGAGGACCCATTGGGTGCAGATCTTATAGTTCATCAGCTGACTAGTTACTACTTCGTGTAGAAGAAGGTTGTTACCTTGAGCGTTTATGGGAACTAATAAACGATCTGAGGCATGTATACGTTGTTGGTAACTACCACGATAGAACGTAACAATAGATTCCCAGGCTCTTTCAAGGTCATCGAGGATGTTAAACTGAGGCAATGTTCGTACATAGGCATTTATCGCATTTGCTTCTGAAGGTTGCCAGTCTCTAAGCTCATATCTATATGAAGTCAGCTGTCTGGGTTGAACATAGATATTGCGTGGGCTACTGACCTCTTGATATTGGCGCGTGTTAATGATAATACCAAAGCAACATTTTTTAGCAGGTTCCATTTCCATCCACAAAGCGAGTCAAGAGTTATCCAGGCCTTTTTGGCACGCTTCTGCTGCTCACTGATATCAGGATAAAGGTTTTGACATAAGCTCTCGATAGCTAATCTAAGATGAGATGCTCGCGCAGATTTGAGGTCTTCATTTGTTTGTTTGTGCGTTCTGTCGGGGCACGTACACATGCGCTTTTGTTCAAGACTGACATCTTCAGAAAGCAATACGAGAAGGGCTTTCCTCTTGGACGAGTCTGTCTGTCGTATGTGTTCTAGATTCTCAATACAGCGCCTTGTCGCATTACTATCGGGGGCTCCATGCCAGAATAACGCGGGATGTGCTTGCCAAAGACGGACAAAGGCTCTTAGGATACAGACTCGCTTGTTATCAATCTCCCAATCTTTTGTGATCAAAACAAGTTCATTAATCTGTTTTGGAGATAAAGTCCGCTCCGTAGATGAAAAGTTGGTGAAGAAGTTATGGCGTTCATTCTGAGATTCGTTTGGCCTCTTTTTCCTTTGAAAGAACTTTGAGAAGATCTCTTGCAAAGCAGTGATCTGGTTTAGTGACTGTATGATCTGCCGGATCTGATCTCCGACTGCCTAGTAATAATGTCAGCTTTTGTGCTCGAGGATAGTAAAGCCAGTATATACATCTTCCCCAGCTTCACGGACAAGCTGCTCCAGGCCTCCGAGACTGTCGCGTATACCTGTATATATCTCACTCATGTTGGAAAGAAAACGGTTGAGAAAGTATGGTCATAGAAAAAAGGTATGAGAAGCGCGCCTCAAATTTGGTGGTTAGAAAGTAAGGGGGGGAGAGGGGAGCGTGCTTCTACCACAACTGAACTTGGTCCCGACGGCCTAATGTTGGAAACACCAGGAATCGCACTAATGCAACAAGGGTGTCCTTCGTCTGTCCGGATAGACGATAGCCGTGTGAGCCAAAGTGTCTAGATCGACAGATCAATCCACTCTTCAAAGCTGTCAGGCCCACCAGCGGGGTGAGCACAGAAACGTGTTCCGCAGAACCGACGGAGAATGGGAAAATTAAGCCTATTCTTTTCATATCAGAAGTACGTTCGGGTCTCATGAATGTACTTACTGAGGAATCTGAAGAAGGACCGGGTTTATCTATCTACTGACGAGGCGGTCTAGGTAATCAACCATCAAGTCGACGTGCATTTCAGAGATAAAGGACTCCAAACATCAGCACATCAAAAAGGCCAAAACGTGTTGGTTCCTTTGGTGCCTGAGGCATGAATCGGCTCGAGCCAAGGGGTGAGTGTTTTAGTATTTGCGAACTGTGAACTAATAATCAGTGGCAGCATCATTCATGTTAAAGGCAAGGCATATGTAAAAGACCTGAAGTACTTCGGTCGTAAAAAGCCGTCGTTATATAGATGCCCGTATGAGCACCGTATATTATTTATTGTCTACAGCCATCGGTTCTCTTTCTGCGACTTATTCGCCATCTCCTACTCACATGACCGCAAAATTTTAGGCTCGATGACCTATCTTCTTATTTATGCCTATGTTCTTTAGATATATATGCTCTTACAGGCTACGACGAGTTCATGTTCAGTAGTTTGCGAAATTTGCTTTTCTATGTTCTGAAGAGCTAAACGTTTTTTCAACCGGAACCCTCGACGTTCGCCTATCCATCCAATTCGACCCCGTTATCCCTCACCAGGTCGGTCGTGGCACAATGGAAAGATCCCCCGATGCTGTTGACGTGCTTGAAGGGGCACGGAATGCACTGCATTCCCAGTGACTCATACCACTCCGCCGTCCTGCGATCGCTGGCCTCTACTATCATCTTTTTTCCGTCAAGCACCAGAGCATTGAGCACGAGCCACGGACTGGTCATGAATAACGGGGGATCCTGAGGGTCCTGCGACTCTTGAGGAACAAATGGATAGGGCCGGAGGTCCCAATTTGCCAGGCATTCCACGCTGCGCAGTGCGTGCTCAGTCACTTTGGTCGGGTTGTACACCAATAGACCCTCTCGTAAGGGCAGAATCGTGGCATCGATATGCATTGCATGTGGATCGTCAACTTCGATCATCTGAATCCTGTACCCCGCGGGCAGATGACGCTGAAGATAATCCACGCCGGCCTGATTGGTAACATGACTATACTGTCCGACGATGACATTTCCAAATCGCATAAAGTCGGCCGTGTCGAACGCCGGACGGCTATTATTGATGGCCCACTTGTTCTGTTCAGTCCCATCGTTGTCAAGCAAAGAGTCACCAAATGTGTCTGCTGGACGCCGAACGACCGTCACCCGGCTATCTTCGGCGAGTTCATTCAAGATGTCAGAAAACGCCAACTCGATCTCCCGTGAGCGGCAGGACCAGCCGAAGCAGGCCTCTATCAGAGTATTATGGACACTCATCAACCCGTCACGGGGCATAGCTCCGGTATACCCCTTCTCTGCCAACCAGTCAATTCCATCCGGCGGTCGGTAGACCTTGACACCTTCGGCCGTGAGAATGGCAGCGAAGGCATCCAGCTCTGCCTCTGCCTTTGCGATGATGTCTTCAGGAAAAGGGGAGTCAGATTGGAATCGGTGGACATGGGCGGCGGGCATAGTGGCCTTAATCATAGGCGCTGGGGCATTTGGGAAGCATGCTCGACCGGCACGGCCAACGATGACGGCCTTGAGAGGAGACCACTCATCGTCGGCATGAACAGAGGGTAGAGGAGCTTTAGTCATCGTAGTTAATTGTTTAAGGTAAGATATAGTTGTCTAGATAGTTTCCATTGTCTGCCATCAATACCATGAGTGTCCTTATATAGACTTCTTTCCATGCACTGTTTTCACGAAAGTATTGCCTATGGGAGATTGCAAACTGGACCATGGACTCCCCTGTCTATGCTCCCTGGATATACGATGTCGAAGGGCATCGGAATCCGAAAAATGTCTGTCCATCCTGTAGAGTAGTAAAGCTACATGAAGACAAATACCGAGAGGGGCTGTCAGTGATGACTGGACTGCAGATTCCCCCAAAACCTACTCGAGAAAGACTCGATGCCAGTGGGTACACGTATGCGTTCATCTGGCCATCTACAGTTGATGCTTGCCTTGCTTTCTGCCCTCCATCCGGCAGCTCGCAGCTCGCATCGGTACCCCAGACTGCACTTCCTAGCCAGCATATTCCGAATTGGCCGAAGTGCATGATGGAAAGTTATTTCTAATGTGTCCTGAAGTAGACCAAGCATTATGGTTCTATGGAGATCGAAATGAAGCTATAAGGAGTAGTGTTAGAACACGGACTGATGACATTCGGATTAGTGCGAATGACTGCATAGTAGAATCGGAGAATTCAGAACATGATAGTCAGGGACTGTATTAGTCTAGACACCGTATTTATATACAGTAAGTTTGCTTACGTGTTCTACTTCAGAAGAAGAGAAATCTTAATCGAAAACCACCCCTCCCTGACAATGATTTCCTGAGGTGGATCCTCTTCACTCTTACCTCGTTTCTCTATCTTTGAACGCCTGGGGGATTCGAAACAACGGGAAGTATATATAGTATATTGGTTCGACAGACAAATCTTCCTCGCATAGTCTAACAACCAACCCACTTCAGCTATGTCGCCGTCCATCACTCATCCATCAAGCCCGCAAAGCGCCGATGTCGCCGAGATTCCCGTCATCGACCTGTCTAGTCTTCGAAGTCCGATTCTCGAGGATCGCCAGAAGCTTGCAGGACAGGTCTATGATGCCTGTACTAATGTCGGATTCTTCTACATTAAGGTCTAGCCTTCTTATTTGTGCCTGTTACTTACCAACATTGTGACTTTCATTGATCGAATTGTTTGTTGCTGATAGAACCACGGAATCCCCGAGGAGCTCATAACAGAAGCCCAGTCAATGGCTCGTCAATTCTACTCTCTCCCGGAAAGCCAGAAAATGAACTACTATATGGGGAAATCCAAGGTATTAGTTCAACTTACCTTCCCCTCTCCTGAGTTCCTCAGTTCCATGGATGTAGAATAACCCCAGACTAGAGATACCGAGGCTACATGCCTCTCTACTCTGAAAATTCCACCGGCTCCAAAGGAGAAGATCCCACCGAGCTGAACACAATGGGCACTCTGTCCGAGTCCTTCGATTTCGGATATGAGATCGCCGCGGACGCGCAACGAGCCGTGGACGACGTTCTACCCCCAGACCCCTTCAGTCTCTACGGCGGCAACCAGTGGCCCAGCGATGAACTTGTCCCTGGGTTCCGAGAAACGTACCTCCAGTACTTTTCGCAGGTGCTGGACTTGGGACGGCGGATGATGCGGATCTTTGCGCTGGCGTTGGATCTGGAGGAGGGATTTTTCGACGACAAGACGAAGTATCCGGGCGCTACTATGAGGATGATGCATTATCCGCCGCAACCGGTGGAGGGAGGAATCGCCGAAGGGCTTGGGGCTCATACGGTAATCTCATTTTTCGTTTCTCTTACTCGTTGATGCGCCTTTATCTGATGCTCTGTGGTCGGTTGACAGGACTATGAATGTTTCACGATCCTCGCCCAGGGTCAAGTTCCGGCTTTGCAAATTCACAGTAATACCCGCCAGGAATGGATCCTGGCGCCGCCGATTCCTGGGACCTTGGTCGTGAATATTGCAGATTATCTATCCGTATGGTATGAGATCGAATGATTTGCTTTCTTTCGAACACTACCTTCGAAAATTCTGGACACGGCTGACCGACCACCCGATTATCCAGGACTAATAAGAAGTTCAAATCGACTATGCATCGCGTAGTGAACCTGACCGGCCAGGAACGATACACGATCCCATTCTTCTTCGGCGTCGATTATGATACTACGGTGTCCGTGCTACCGAACTGTATCTCGGAGGACAAGCCTGCATGCAGCGAGCCATTCAAAGCCGGCGCGGTATGTTCCTCTCTGCAGGCTGACTCTTGGCGATACAGGCAATGCTAACTTTGCGAATGTAGTATGTGCGTCAAGTTTTAGGAAAAGCATATGTTGGATATAAGGGATAGTGTCTGGAGATGTGGTTGAAGAGTCTTCCTAGCAACACATCGTGTTTCTGACTGGACGAAGGATCTGTTGTGTTCTAAGATGTCAGTACTCCGGGTGTCGCTTTCGGATTGAACTTGTTCTAGACAATAATTAAATGCAAAAGTTAGTGTGAACTAGCAGTAATATTCCGAGATAGATGTTCAGCAAGTCCCGTTGGCAAATTGCGAATGTCCTCATGCCCACGAGAGGAAAGACGAAAATATCTACAACCGAACGCCAAGAGAAGAAAGCATCCGATCAATAGACTCTGCACGGATCTGTATAGGATCAGGAACGGAGTGAAAACAGAGACGATCCATGGTTGGGATGAGATGACACGCCAAGACGCGGTTGGGCAAGTCTAGATTTCCCCCACATCCGAGGGGGAAAAGGGGATGAGGGTTTACAGGTTGACAGTTGGGATGGAAGAAAGAAAATAAGGCAAAATAATTGTATCAAAGACTAACCAATGTGGACGAATCCGGTAGCATCGTGGGTGGCGAGTTCGAGGTGTTTGGAATGAATAGACGATTGTTTGCTTGATTGGCAACAACAAAGCAGTGAATCTCATCTCATCTCCGCCTTTTTCCCTCTCTCCGTCTCTCCCTCTCTCCCTCTTCCTCTTCCCTCCTCGTCTTCTTCCCCTCTTCGATCTCCCCTTCTTCGGACCCTCTTCGTGGCTTTGATTTCCTTTCTCTCTTTTTCCTTCTTTTCTATTTCTTTCTTCTTTATTCTCGGCCTTGTGTTCTTGTTTCTTTTCCGTTCTGTTCCTGTTTTCCTCGGGTCCTCCCGTGCATCTGCTTATCTCCACCTTCTTTCATCCCTTCTTTGGCGCCCCTTATCGGTTCAATATTCTCCATCGACTGATGCGATGTGATGATCTCGAGGATTAATCCCCAGTACACGCCGTCGACCCCCTCTGACTTCGCTTGTCCCTGTATCCATTCCAGCGACGATCTCGACGACTCCTTGACACAAAGAACAATGGACTTGGCGCTCTAGGCCTCTGTCTCCGCTAGCTGTTTTGACGATCTTATCACCGACTCCAGCTTTCCCTGGTTACCCCTCATCCTCCGTCCACCGTGTACTTCTCGACCGCTCCGGCCACACCACCTCCCCCCTCCTCCGACCCTTTTCTGGAACCCTCTTAGCACCCGATCAGCATGGTTCCAGAGGATATTCTCGACAGTTGTCTCCAGATTCTCCAAGATCAGGCTCTCGACGAGGAGGATCAGGCGGAGAAGGCCGAGGACTTTCTCCGCGAAAAGACCTCCTTGTCGGGCTCGTCCTTGGAGAATGCCGTCCTCGACGTCCTTTGGCGCCATCGAAATCGCAACCTCCCCGATTCCTCCCCTCCCCCCGCCCGCCATACCGTCATTCGTCGCTCCTCCCCCGCGCCATGGCAAATGGCGCGGTCGTCCACACCGCTATCCCCTCATTCCAACCTGGGGACCAGCCCCGGCAGCACCTCCTGGTTTCCGGGTTCGCGAGGCGGTCTTTCGTCACGACCCCCGATGTCCTCGACGGTGTCGCCGTTCACGTCCCCGCGCCCGTCGCCCCGACTCGCTCTCGCGCAACCCATCCCGCACTCCCCCAACCTGAACGCATACGAATTCTCCGATCAGAGTCAAGTCTCCGATTTCTACGGGGACTTTGGCAGCGATAGCAATATAGATTGGTTGGTGGCCGACGATGCCAATAGCACAACTTCGTCGCTGGGAACGGCCAGCTTAAATGCGAGCTTGAGCGCGACCGCGCCCGAGTTCGTGCCGGATATGAGCCCTCATGATATTCTGCGCACCGTCCTCGGCGACAAGAGATCCAACGACGAGATCGAGGCGGCTCTCGAGGCCAACAGCTATGATCTCGGGGCTACCATCGCGTCGCTTTCGCAAGGTGCCGATGGAGATAGTCTGTCCGTTCATGCGGATGATGGCCGTGTGGTGGTTGGAAAATCGATGTCCATGGATCCGCCCAAACCGCCGGCCTCCCCCAATCCCCATCGCAGCCCGGTAGTCTGTAAATACTGGTTGTCGACCGGGCAATGTCTCCGCGCGGACTGTCGGTTTAGCCATGACTTGACGAATCATCTCTGCAAGTAGGTCTCGCCTTCTGGGAACATTTCGAGTCTCGAGGTCGTAGTATGCTGATCTGCTTTTGTTGCTACAGGTACTGGGTCATGGGCAATTGTCTTGCCGGTGACGGATGCCCGTTCTCCCACGATCCCTCGTCTCTGGCCGCAAGTATTAGCATTAGCGATGGCACCCCCCAGACTTTAGGTGTGCCCCAATTTTACTCGGAAAACTCACCGGAAGCCTTCCCTCCGTTGCAGGGCGGTGCAGCAGGTGGTGATCAATGGATGGGCCACTTCATGGGGAAATACCCTGCCCATCTGGGTTTCATCGGACATAAGAATGGCCCGCAAGGGATGCCGCTGGGGCCGGGCAAACGCAATGGGAGTATGCAGCACATGTCTCGCCCTCACTCCCGGCCCGGCAGCCGACATCAGCATCGCGAGTCGAACCCGGCCGCTCTCTCGGTAGACGACCCAGATGCGTTCCCTACGCTTGCTGCCGGCAGTGCGAAGAACAAGAAACATAATAAACGTAATGCGCACAAAGAGAACGGCTCCAGCAAAGAGAACCTACCGACCTCTCTGGCCGACGTTGTGCGCATGTCCCCGTCGCCGGCGCCCGGCAAAGGGAAGTCCTCGTCCAAGCACAAGGATGGATCCAAGGGCCGCGAAAACAGTGCCGCTGCGCAGTCTATCCCGGCTCCCCATAACATTCCCTGGTTAGAGACGGGCTCGCGCGCCAATCAACAATATATCAAGTATCGTACGGAGGCGATTCGCCACGGGACCGTGCGAAACAAGTTTCTCCAGAGGTAAGATTGGCCACATGCCCACCACGTAGTTTTTCGAAAGCTGACTGATTCTCTTAGTGCCGCTCAAGCTTGGAACCGAAATGATGCGCGGGCGGCTAAAGCCCTGTCTCTGCGCGGTCAAGCCGAAAATGAAGCCATGCGCAAGTGTCACCGCGAAGCGGCACGGCAGTTGTACGAAGAGCGCAACAAGCACCTCATGAGCATCGGTCTGGAGGATACAGCAGAAGAGCTCTACATTGACCTACACGGGCTGCATCCTGAAGAAGCGATAGAATATCTGGAGAAGATCCTCCTCAAACATTCGCGCGAAGGCCGCCGGGTCGTGTACGCCATCACCGGCACCGGCCACCACTCCAAGAATGGCAAAGACAAGATCGGCAAGGCAGTGAAGGCGTGGCTGAACGAGTGGAAGTACCTTTTCCGGGAGTTCAGCGTGCCCGGAGAACGAGGCGGATACGTCGGAGGGATCTTGGGAATTGATCCCACTAGCTACGACAAGGCACTTGCGCGCAGTCTCCAAGAGAGCACCGACGGAGCTGCCGACGCGGATGGCCTGGCTAACCAACAGGCTCTCACGGGCAAGATTCAACTGTTGAAGCGGGAAGACCTGGAAGTGAAGCATGTGTAAGACAGAGGGTCGATACACGGAGACTCGCTGCTCTTTACTCCAGTCTATCTATTTCTTGTTTTGCAAAGCGATTAAGATATCCCTTTTTTTGCTTTCAGCCAGAGACGGAAACTTCACGGATATGGTAGTACCTGACAAGTCGTCGAGGATGCCCTTTCACTTCCACACCGAGAGAAAGATGGGTTGCTTAGACAGGTCGTTTTCTTGCCGTTCAGCTCAGAGCGAAATGTTATTTAGCGTGTTATTTGACCGTTCTATCTCACCATGGTTGACCTTGACCTTATGGGAATCAATCCTGATCTAGATAGTGAAGTATAGCAGCAAATCCATCACCTCTCTCTATCTCTCTCACTTCTACTACATCTTGAAGAAGGAAATTTATTCCGGCTCCTGCCCCTTCCACTCCTCCCTCAACCTCCCAACCTCAAACCCACACTCCTCCGCCCTCCTCACAATCGCCCTCGCCTTCTCCGCCACCGGCACATCAATCATCTTCCCATCCAACGTCCACGCTCCCCTCCCACTCCTCGCCGCCTTCTCATCCGCAACAACCACCCTCACAGCCCACGTCACCTCGCCCACCTCGGGCCCAAACACCCTCTCCGCCGTCTCCACCTGCGACGGATGAATGCACTGCTTCCCATTGAACCCCAGCTGCTTCCCGCCGCGACATTCCTCCTCTAGGATCCGCGCCGCGTCGTCCCCACCGGACCCGTGGGCTTTATACGCCGTGCACACCAGATCGATCGTCGAGGGGAGGTTCGCTGCGCGCGCGGCCGTCGCGATGCTGGATCGCGCGAACAGGAACTCCGTGAGGGACGGCGTGCGCGTGAGGCTGAGGTCGAGGGCGAAGTCTTCGGCGGCGAAGATTAGGCCTTGCAGGAGGGGCGAGGCGGATGTGATTTGGGTGAGGTTTGTGAGGGATTTTGCGGATTCGATGAGTGCGAGGAGGGAGATGGGGGTTTGTCGCGGGGTGTCGGTGGTTTGTTGTTGTTGTTGTTGTTGGGCGAGGGTGTGGGTGATGACGTCCGTTACGAAGGTTAGGTCGGATGGGGAGTTGACTTTGGGGATGACGATTGTGTTGAGGTTGGGTGATTGGAGCTTTATTCATGTTAGCATCCTGACCCAGGTTTATTGTTTTGTAGGGAATTTAGGATGGGATCGAAGGGACATGTATATCGATAGGTAAGGAGAGTAATGGGGAGAAGGAAGAAAGACATACCACTACCGTCAAATCCGCCAACGCCAACCCACTATCGACCGAGTTGATGCGGACGGCGCGCTCGCGGATCCCCTGCGTCGGAGGCAGCTCGAGAGCTCTCCGCACCAGCGACCGGGCTTCCGCTTTCTTGTGCGGAGTGACGCTGTCTTCGAGGTCGTAGGCCACGCAGTCGGCGGTCAGACTGCGGGATTTGTCGAGGAAGCGCTGCGACGAGCCGGGGACTTTGTTCACATGTTTTGTTAGTCTGGTTTGTCTTGTTCGGGGTTATTGGGTGGGTGATGTAGGTGATGGTGTCAGAGACGGGGATGGGAATGCGGGGAAGTGTGCTGGGTGGGTTATGTATGAGAGTTGGTTCTATGAAGGTGGGACGTACTGTAGAGCAGGGAGCGACGGAGAGTGTTTCGTGCTGCCATGATGCTGCGTTAGGCTGAGTGTGTGGTGAAGTTGGAGAGTTGGGGGCTATGAGAGCTTTATCGTGCGGATAAGAGCGATGAGGAGAAGGCGACATCCTCGGCCGTCTGCATAAAGGCTTCTCCGGATTGGTGTGGGTTGGGACTGGCAGGTTATGATGGATACCACTCTGGGCTATACCCAGGAATTACCTGAGACATCATCCTTTCTCTCTCTTCCCACCCAACATGACCATGATTGAGCAATCTCGCAATATCGTCACTGCGAAGGTTCCTGCATATAACCTTGCCTCGGCAGGCTCAGAGCCTCACCTATTTGTGGGCGTTCTTTTGCGGGTCGCTAATTTAGAACGACAAGTCCGCCAGAACAACGCACCCCCTACATAGTTGGCTTTAGCTTTTCCTGAATGATCTGTTTGTCAGATAGTTCGAGATAATTGGAGATAGTTTTCCAAGCGGCTGAGCTTGCTGAGGTCACATATAACCGATGGAGCTTAGTTGTTGACCTCTATTCTGCCGACATCCACCGCCCGCAGGCGACACGCAGCATCATCCATCATCGCCGATGATCCCGTCAGTCCTCCGTCTGGAAGCTAGAAGAGTGAGCGGGATTGCTCCTATCGCTGTGGCCGACTATCTTCCTTCCTGATCTCTGCTTAACTTCGGTTTCATTATCTGCCGTTCACCATGGAGAACCAAGGCCCTTCGCAACAGGGCGAGCTGAACTGGCGTCTCAGCGCCCATCCCATCACCCTGTTATGTTTCCTGGGTTTCCGCATCAGCGCGCTGCTGATGTACTTGTTCGGAGTGCTCTTCATTAGAAACTTGTATGTGACACCGCATCCTCAATGCAATGCGATCGATCAGTTCGGTCCCCTCGTGGCGCAAAACCACCCGCACGAGCACCCCTGAACCTTGACCGTTCAAGCAACCCAAAGACCAAACATCTAACCATTCCACTCTACGTCTAGTATCCTCGTTTTCATCATCACCCTCCTTCTCCTCGCCGCCGACTTCTACTACCTCAAAAACATTGCCGGTCGACGCCTTGTCGGCCTCCGCTGGTGGAACGAAGTCAACACCACCTCCGGCGACTCGCACTGGGTCTTCGAATCCTCCGACCCTAACACCCGCACCATCACCGCCACCGATAAGCGTTTCTTCTGGCTCAGTCTATATGTCGCGCCCGCGCTGTGGATCGGGCTGGCTATTCTAGCTATCATACGACTAAGCAGCGTGATTTGGTTGAGTTTGGTTGGTAAGTTATCTTCCCAAGGCTTGAACCTAATACGCCCCCGGAAACGAAATGTCCCGCTCACACGTCATCAGCCATCGCGCTCGTCTTGACTATCACCAACACCGTCGCCTTCTCTCGCTGCGATCGCTTCAGCCAGGCATCGACCTTCGCCAGCCGTGCTTTGTCCGGTGGAATTGTGAACAACCTTGCCGGTGGTCTGCTGGGCAGACTATTCAAGTAAGGGCAGCTGGGATGGGCTGGAAAGTTGTCATTTTTGCAGTTGTTTACATCCATATTGCTATACTTATTCTTTGAGGATGCACGGTTTCTTGGCCGAGATATTGTTCCTGGTTGGATGGGTCACGTGTTTGGGTTGTAGTTTAACCCGAAAGGGTAACGCGGCCAGTGTGGTGGATGGATGAATGCAATGTTTCTCTTTCTTTTCTTTTTTCATCTCTAGACTTCAGCTTGATCTGATAGTTAACATTACGAATTTTACCAACATGGATCTCATGCTGGAATCATTGCTGTTTCTGGTCTCCATTAGTCACATTCTTTATCCTCGTTTGACAGAAGAGATATCACTCTGGCGCTCATAGTCGGATTATCTGATCCTGATCATTTAGTTATTTTCCCTACTGGTGATATTGAAGAGCAGTAGCAGCTGTTCCATGGGTTGGACTTATCGCCAGGGTAGCTTTTCCCAAACCTACACATGGCAGGTTATCCAGGTAAAACCGTACACAAACTGCAAACGCCCTTTGTCCTTTATACTTTCTCATTGAACCAACCATAGGCTTCCGCTAATTTTCTTCGTTTGACTTGATCGTAAGTCTTTGATATCTTACTATCTTACAGGTAGTCTCCTCCATCCTTACCGAACATTTATACAGATGCAGAAATGGCCGGTCGAGCGCAAAAAGTATAAATACCCCCTTCGTGTCTTCTCTGCGTTGTGTTTCATCACTTCAGCACGGATCTTCAGGGCTTTACCACCGATCTTCAGAGCTTCAACACAGATCAAAACGCAAGTTGTCAACATGGCTGATATGATTCTCACTTCCGATACTCTCCCAAACCTCTCAACGAGACTGGAAGAGTGTGAGTCCAATCTAAACAGGATCAAAGAGAATATGAGCGAAGCGATGCAACTCTATTGGGGTCGAAAGACGCTCCCTCCATACGATAATCCCGATGAGTGGTCCTTGCTCATCCGCGTGGCCCCTGCCGAGCTGCAACAGTGGATGCACGCGGAGATGGCCAAAGCTGATGTAACCCTAATTTGAGAAGATCAAGCGTATCAAAGAAGAGCTGGCTGAAGTCAAGCACTACTTGAGGACCTCGAACTCGCCCATCGCCAGGTTGGCAAGAACTCACGGTGTGGACAAAGATTTGGAAGACTTACCTTCCGACGAAGACTCAATGACCGAGGACGAGGCATCTTCCGACAAAGACTCGCCTTCTGAGGAAGCTGATGCTCACGCGAGAGAGGTCCTGGCCAGGTTCGCGAATCTTCCCGAGCTCCCCGTATCTAAAGATTCTGAAGATGAGTCGCCTTCTGACGAAGACTTTCATTCAGACAGGGACTCACCTTCCGAGGAAGATGATATTTACCCGAACGATAGCGCGTCCATGAGGATTTAAATTGGCCACCGTTTCATGCGTCAATGTCAAGAATCCAACTGAGACTCGCCTTCCGACAAGGATGGTATGAGCCTTGTGGTCGAGTAGTATGGCTTCTGCTGTTTGTCGACCTTCTGTTGTCTGTCATCGTTTTGTCTGATGTTTCTATTTCGTCGGTTTATCATATCAATGGGATGAACATTATGCACAGGTTGAAGAAAATTTCATTTTTTCCTTATAAATTCCAAGGATAGCTTGTTAACTCGAGAAATGCCTCCACTTCGTAACTTGATGGTTGAAGATGTCATTAACACAAAGTCCTCCGTTATAGACTAAATCACAAACATTCAAAGTCCGTCAGCTAGTATTCTATAGTAGTCATGTATATCTTAAATGGCTAATTTATTCCAGTTCATCTTTCGTAACACAGCAGAAGAGGAACCATCGAAACAGGAAGGACAGAGTTCAGGTTGGGGTACAAACGAGACAGACATGAGCCACAGTGAATGACTGGCGTTTGTCTGTTCCTCTTCTGTTTACTTCCCCCCCTCCCACTCTTCTCTTCCTACCTTCACTCTCCCACCTCACTCCCTTTCTCCTCCCTCTTTTTCTTTCTCATCGTCTATTCCTCTTCCATCATCTCTCTCATTTTCTTTCATCGCTTTCCTTCCGTTCGAGTTCTCGATAGCAAACTTCCTTCGGGGATCCCTTTCAGGTACGCATTTCCTTTTGCTTCCAGGCAAAAACCATGAGATTCATCAAGATAAGCTTTTCCCACGTGTTGTTGGTGTGAAAAACATCACTACCCGGGATTGCTGTCTTTATCTCACCGCATTCTGTCTCTTTCCATCTTCATCACCCCCTCGTCTCACTTCCAGTCAAGGTTTCCTGGCTAATAAACCGAGTATCCCCAGTCGAGCGCTTTCCTTTCCAGTAATCCTTCACGTCCAAAAGCCAACATGAGCGGATGGAATCCTGGTGGAGCGGAATGGACTCCTAACGACTCCGGTACGTATCTCCATCGCCTTGCTGTTCGGGACTCATGTCCGCAGAGCTATCTCTGACCAAAAGCAGGTTTTGGAACGGACGAAAATGTCAACCCCGGTGGCTTCAAGCCGTCTTCTGACTACGGAGGTGATGACTTTGGCGGGGGTGATTTCGGTGGTGGCGACGAGAAGCCCTACAAGGGTGCTGATGACAACAAGTGCCGCAAGTAGGTCTCTCCCTGTCTTTGTCCACTGCTATTTGCTGATTTGTCCTAGCTGCGGTGCTGATGATCATTTCGCTCGCATGTGCCCAGAGCCTCGTAAGGGTATGGCTTGCTTCAACTGCGGCGAGGAGGGGTAAGTATTTCTGGTGGAGTAGGTTGATCCATCCTAACATATGCTTCTAGCCATAACAAAGCAGACTGCCCTGCGCCTCGTAAGAGTATGGCTTGCTTCAACTGCGGTGAAGAAGGGTGAGTATGCCTGATTGTCTTACACAATTCAGCACTGATCTCTGTTTCTAGTCATACCAAAGCAGACTGCACCAAGCCTCGGGTCTTCAAAGGCCCTTGCCGTATCTGCAACCAGGAAGGACACCCTGCTGTTGAATGTCCCGAAAGACCCCCTGATGTGTGCAAAAACTGCAAGATGGAGGGTATGTGAATAATTCTTGGTCTGTTGAGACATGTCGAAGATACTAACATTTGTCAGGCCACTTGACTAAGGACTGCACCGAAAACCGGAAGTTTGACACCAACCATATTCCTGACAAGCGCCCCGAAGAGGCCTGGGATGACATCAAAGAGGCCAGTGCCAAGCGAGATCTCGAAGATTTTCGTGATGTATGTCCCTTTCTTGATGGAGGCCACCCGTATCCTGACAACAAAGGCTATCAATGTCTATTCCAAGGCTGTCCCCCAGGCCACTTTCGTCGACATCGAGAACAAACTGAGAGAAGACAATCTGAACTTTTACCTCATTGCCATGGTCAGTGACTTAGTGAACTTTCTCTTTTCTCAACGCAGCTGACAAATGTACAGGAGAGACAAGTGGAAGATTGCATCAGTCTCATCAATTTTCAGGGCAAGTTGAACTGCACCTATGTTGTCGGCTTCTTCTACAGTGCTAAGCCCCAGCGTGCACACCTTCGTGAGCGCTGGCCTCCTTCTGTTGAAGACAACCTTGAACGCCTTGGAGATGCCGGATTTCCGTTTGATCGCCAGGTTCCCAAGTGCCGTAACTGTGGTGGTAAGTAGACACCGTTATGCGAAGGACAACGCTGACAATATTTAGAGATGGGACATACTACTCGCGGATGTAAGCAAGAGTATGTCGCTCTGGGTTTCGAGAAAGTGGAGGTGAAATGCGTCAATTGTAGCGCCGTGGGACATCGTGCTCGCGATTGCCCTGAGCCCCGTGTTGATCCATTTGCGTGCCGAAATTGCGGGTATGTTTGTCCCTTGGATTAGTTACACTTGATGCTAACAGCACCAAGATCCCCTGAGCACAAGGCTTCAGATTGTCCTAATCCCCGCTCTGCCGATGGGGTTGAGTGCAGACGTTGCAACGAAGGTACAGTATACTCAGAAATGTTGGCGTGATTGCAGCTAATACGGTTTAGTCGGCCACTTTGCAAAGGACTGTCCTCAGGCTAGTGCTTCTAGGACCTGCCGTAACTGCGGGTAAGTCGAGGCTCGTCGCACGCATTTCGGAGGTCGAGCTAACGGAAAAGATCCGAGGACCACATTGCTAGGGACTGTGATCAGCCACGGGATGTGTCAACTGTGACCTGCCGGAACTGTGACGAGGGTAAGTGATGATGATTCCAACGGCTAACTGGGTGCCGGCTAAATATCGTCATCAGTGGGACATTTTAGTCGTGACTGCACCAAGAAGAAGGACTGGTCCCGAGTCAAGTGCAACAACTGCGGTGAAAGTAAGATTTTGTCCAATCGTCGCGGAGGTCTTGATCTTTAGCAGGAGACCGGCCCTGGCTAACCAACCTAGTGGGACACACCATCAAACGCTGCCCAACCGCTGGCGAGTCGGGTGAAATGGACACGGGAGACGCTGAGAACAACGACTTTGGAGGTGGTGCCGATAGTTGGAATCCCGGAGCAACCGAGTCCTACGACCAGCCTGAGCCCACCGACGGAGGCGGGGGAGGATGGGGTACCGGGGCCGCTACCAACGGTACTTGGGACTAGACAAAAGACACCGCGCCCGACAGCGAAAGCGATGGCGCGACACGGAATAAGATCGTCTGAGACGATGTCTGATGTCATAAGTCCACGTTCCCTGATCGTCATGAATGCGCTTTTCCCCTCGTCTTCTTTTCCACCGATTGTCCAACGACTGTTGTTCTTGTTTCGATTTCCTGTTCCGCCTTAGTTTGACCACACAACTAACTCGGCAACCTCTATTGCACTTCGCCAGATGACGGACGATGTCACGGCTGCCGGCTGGCCCGGGGGCAATTTCCACGGACCGAGAACTGGCATTTCGGGTGAGATGCAACATCAACCCGGTTTCTTCTTTATTCTCGGCCTCGAAGGAATGCAATTGCATACATAGTTCGCTTGGCAGAGTCGTTAGTCGGTTTTGTCGGTCCGGTTAGTTTTAGTGCGTCAGACTCGAGCAATGAACCAATTCATGCGTCTTCTTTTACAGTAGTCGCGTCTAATATCCTGTAGCCGTGATCTTTATCTAGATAGGTGTATAACACAGTCAAGTTTGTACCGATCATACGAGCAGACAACCAATCCGATCGATCGGCAAGAAAGGCCGATTCTATCGGGCGGAGAGATACCATGCGGCCTCCTGCCTTTAACCGTCTAGGTACTTACAGTATTCCGTCCGGTCTTGGCCCTCAGCCTTGGCTCTGTCTTGGTGTCTGTCCTAATCCCGCTTTCTGCGTGATAGTTTAGCCCCGTCGAATGGCATGTATGGGCACCTCTCACGAGAAGACGATAGATCGAGTCTCGGTGGCCTCTTTCATTCAATAGATTGAATTAGACGTCGGTGCTCAGGTCTGAGGTTTTAGCTAAGATTAATATATGAATTACAATTTATTGGGACTCGGAAAGGCAATGAATGAAGAGGGGTTCCTCATTTTAGAGTTTTAGGGTCAGGCGAGAGCATGTATATGGATTGTCTGTATATCGAATGATAGAAAGAAAAGAAAAGAATAGAACTTGGCATTAGAAATCAAACACAAACACTGAATAGTGAGAGAGAGGAAAACCAAATCCCCCTTGCATTTACCACTAATATTTAGCCTCGAGATAGTGGATGTTACATGTGCATGAATGTACGTGTGTATGTACTGTGCTGTGCTGTGCTGTGCTGTGCTCCGCTGGGCAGTACATACAGAGTTCGATCTACGTGCACTTCTAGAAGAGCTCTGTGGTCATTGATCTGTAGACAGAATGGTAACAACACATAGGCGGAAAGCAGTGAGAAGTACAGAGTCAGTCAGTCATCCTTTGACAGTATAGTATATCAAAAAAAGCACGTCGCATCAGCTCATTGTACATGTACGACACATTAGGAGGGGGTGGGAGGAGAGAATCATTCAATCTGAGGCTCTTTTGCGAACAACGACTCGTGAGCCAGCTAGCCAGTCAGTCAATAGTTGACGCAAGGGTATATAATCATATTATATTATAAAGTAGGTAGGAACCCGTCACTCAATCACTACTCATGATTAAATCATTTAGCCAATACCCCTGTCACAGTGTGTCTACTAGGACCGGATACCTACCTGGGGATCTGGCCAGTGGGTTAGATAGGTAGGAGACAATACCATGGTTAAGTAGTCGATCGCCTCGTTTAATTGTTTGTACTCAGAGTAATATGGAGGTGAATATGATCAACGACTTCAGAGAACAGTAACTAATATTAGGCGTGGGTGTATGTACAAAGCACGGGATAGTGATATTATGCAGATGCGGATGCACTGTAGGTGCGGAAGAATGAACAGATAGATAGATGAGAGACGTAAGGGATGTAAATCACTTATAGCAAATAATCGAACAACTATCACAGCGGAAATGGGTTGAGTCTGATATCATCCATGGACATTATGATATATATAAATGGGATCCCTTCCGGGGAAAATGGAGGTGCAATAAACGAAACGGTAACCCCTAGGCTATGGAGGCTCTCTCTTATGAGCTCTGTTTCTTTGCCAAATGGGCCGATGGATTGAGCACTATTACACTGTTGTCCGATATGGGTGGGTGAGATTCATGATCCAGATAAAATCGAATCAACCATTTCCCGTTGTCTAGCTAGGTAGTATCTAGGAAATTTCAGCTAATCTCCCTCAGTTCAATGCTGGGGTAGAGCGTACCCTCCGTGGTCCGCAGTCCATTCACACTAGTCAGATATTTGTTCGAATTCCGCCCCATTCTTCTTCATTTACTCGAAGAAGAAAGTAATTATCTACAGAACCTGTAAGGAATAGGCAGGAGCAGTATATTACCCGAGAAGGGATTCCCTAACTGAGTAATATCGAGGAAGAGTGGTATCTGTCCTTCGATTCTCGGAAAAAGAGAGAACAGACATACAGGAAGAGAGAAAGAGGATGGGCAGTCCGGGTAACCTTCTTCAATTCCCCGGGTGGCGTTAGGGTAAGCCGATTGGATAGGTACATGAGTTGCAATGGTCACGCAGGCGGAAAATGAAAAGAGGAAAGGAAAGGAGATATTCTGTAGACCCTCTACTTCACTGTTAGACTTAGGGCTGGATTATTCTTGGTAAAAAAAGTCAACGACAATTTATTATGTTTCCAGTGGATGCTCAGATCTCGCATACAACTTCCGGTGAGCTAAAGGAGGAAATAGAAATGCTACGTTAAATCATGTATTAAGACAGAAAAATATCCGGGGTCCGAGTCAGTCGATCATGCGGGAGTGAGTAAGTGGCTGTCAGGTCCGTGTCCCTGTCACGCGTTCTCACCCCATCTTTCCAGTTTCCCCGTAGGAAAAGAAATCCTGGAGTGATTCAAATCGGTGGCCAAAGCGATTGCGTTGGTTAGTTGATGGTGGGGGCAAATACACAAGTGTTTTCCGTAAAAGTAAGTACTACAGTAAGGTAGAGTTCTAAGGTCGGTAGATTCGGTAAGAGAATATGCAGCAAGGGGGAAGATTCTCATAATGCTAATCCAACATAAGATTGTTTTCTGGCAGTTCGTTTACCTTCCGGTGTACCTACACATAGAGAATGGTCGGCTGAGTGTTAGGTGTTAGTGCAAATCCATGCATAGAACTATGGACCACCGGGCAACACCACCTCAGACGACAAAATGACCTGCCCGGGAAGTCCGAAACAGGAAACCCGTTGGCAGGATGACAGACCGTTCGGCTGTGGCCGAAGGGAAAGGGACAAGGCAGTGCACGTTTCCGTCTTGTGGGAGGCCAAATCCAACTCCCTCTCTTTCTTGACACTCGACAAAGCAGGAAAGGAAAAATCCCCTCTAGCAAGTATCGACTAAACCACACTAGGCTAGCATGACCGGTGCTGGTTGGTTGGACGATCGTCTGGGCCTCCATCCTCGGGCCCTGGGGAAATGCGCCCGACCGACGAAAGGGAAAAGAGACGCGGCTGATGGTCCACGAAAGAGGGTGTGTGGCACTTGTGGTCACTGTGGTGTGAACCTGAACATGCCATATCGACTCATCGACCTAAGTGGGGTTTTTAGTCTGGGGATGGGCGTAACCCCAGCATTTAGCCTGTTAGCCTGTTAGCCCGTTAGGTAACCCGGACCCTCGGCCTCCGCAACACCCAGCGTGGTCGTCTATAGAGAGTTATTTTGAGTAGGACTTTGCATTTCTTGGGTTTGTCTTGGGAGATTACTGCAAGAGTCTTGTCCTTTGCTTGGGAGTGCTTGAATCATCCCTCAGCGTGCCTGTGCGAAAGGCTGAAGGATGCCGCGGGGGTACGATTGGTACGATGGGCACAACCCCCAGACCGTGGCGTTCTGGGCCGATGCTTCGGTGTCTGGGCAGTCTAGGATATACCATTTCTCCGCTCCGACGGGAGGGAAGCCGCTTTTTGTATGCTCTACACGGTAGTCTGTTGGGGAATTATAGAGAAGAATCGCCTCAAATTCACGGTTGCTCCACCGTGTCTCATCCATTAGCTGATGAAATCGCGATCAATCCATCTGTTCTCTAAACTGAAGCAGCCCGTCAGAAATTGCGGCCGTCTTCCTTGTTTCTGCCTAGATGCACGGTAGCGTTGGAAGTGGAGATGCACCATCCGCGCTCTGATTGGCGGCCAAGAAAGAGGAGAAATCGAGGACGGGGAGAGAATGACACAGAAAAAAGGCCGAGAACGTGGGAAAGGGTTACAACCTCATCTGTACTAGACGACTAGCCGTGCGGACGGGACCAAGAGTGTTTACCCACGATAATATTACGGAATGGCAGAGAGGCGCACATGGAAGGTTCTAGCAGAGGTGGTGTATAGACATTGAAAATATGATCTCAGACTATCAATTAAGAAATTATGAAAAGAATTGATCAATCCCATGGATGTATAACCGTCCAGCCTCAGGTAGAATCAAAAACCCATGGCAAAAAGGGCACGACGTCACCCATGGCGGATAGGGCCGAGGAAGTGAACTGAGCGCCCCTCCTTTCCTTCCCTCTGGCCAAAATCCGGAGTCTCCAAGTCCCCGGATTCATGAATAATCGCGACTGGGTCGGGTGGAGATTGCTGGTATCGGGTGGTACGGTGACATGTAACGGGTCAGTTGAGCAGGTCGATGACGATGATGGATCTTTCTCTCGCGCTCAACCACGCGAAGGACCACGCGAAGGGTGTTGGATGTGAAATGGAGGGCAGAGCTACTGCAAGCGACAGAATCCAGAACAGTCATCGGAGAGCAAGCTTCTGGAAGGAATGGACGGAGGAATATCAGTTTCCATTCTGGTTCTTGGACATTTGGACTTACACGGAGTACGGCGATTCCGTAGTACGGAGGTGCTCATTTGAATCTCGAGTAGGAATAAATTAATTAATTCAGAAAATAAAGACAACGAAAAAGGAAAAAGAAAAGAAAAGAAATAATAAAAGGAAGCCATTGCAGGATACCTTTACGGAGTCTCAGTTACACAGACAGTACCAGATGGTATTCGGTTTGTCCAGAACGGGCTAGACTGCACGCACAGCATTGGGTGGAGTGGAGACTTCCCTGTATCGTGCAGACACGCCTTGCCTGTTCGGGCCGACAGAGGGCCAGTTCAGCCCCCGCCGATCCCATCGTGGACGTCCGTCGTCATTTCGGCCATGCGACCTGCTTTTGCGGAGTGGTCTCTCCCCGAGGTCTTTAGCCTACCGATGCACTTCGGTCCACGGACTACACCCAACGTCGGCCTGGAAGTGGAGATCTCTCTGTCTCCCCTCTTTGGCCGGTCTGGTACGGCCAATCGCACCAACCCAGTCCGTCTGGAGAGTCAGGAAACTCGGGGGAAACATACAGTCGTCGCGATTCCGTCGTCTACCGGGCTACCAGTGCTTTGCATTCTCTCGATCCGGAGATGTGGAGACATCGGCCTCTCACCACAAACCAGTCAATCCAATCATCGTACCGTCTGATCGTTTGCGATAGTCAGATGCTAGGTAGGTTCTATCTGTACAGTCTTCTTCCGTGGAAGTTAATTTGGGGGCACCTGTTCGGGCCTGGAAATGTCGCGGCGTCATTGGCCTGTTGGCCTGATTGGGATTATTATTTGTTTCATTATTTTATTATTCTTTCGTTTCTTTTCTGTTCTCGCGGATTTAATTATTCTTCTTCCTGCCTAGTCAATGTACTTCCTTTACCCTCCAGGAACTCATCCCGGTCTCTGGCTGTCCCGGCGCCGTTTATAAACCCATTCTCCTCCCCCGTGTAACCTCTCCGTTGATCTTCTTCCTTCTTTCCTTTTAACCTTGTTTCTCCCGATCTCTGTCATACCCTTCTTCCTCGAGAGGTCATCCTTTTAGACATTCTCTTCTCTTCCTCTCATGAGTCTACCTCTTTTTCCTGGTGCTCCTTAATCAATTCCCATAGGGAGTCGGAATTACTTGATACAGAGATCCGGCCTACACTTCACCATGGCGCGCAGTTACTTGGGCCTACAGGGCGGCAAGCTGCAAGTCGCTATCGGCCTCATTGCCGGTATGGACTTCTTGCTGTTCGGATACGATCAGGGTGTCACCGGTGGTCTCTTGACCCTCGAGTCGTTCATCAAATACTTTCCTACAATCGCGACCAACGGTGACTACTGGAACAGCTTAACGGCCGCTGAGCAAAGCGCTCAGTCAACTCGTCAAGGTGTGTCCAACTTTTTTTCTCTCTCTTCTCGCCTCAAGCTGACTGAGTATATCAGGTATTGTTGTTGCTGCTTACAACTTGGGATGTTTCGCCGGTTCGATTCCCACCATCTGGGTGGGTAATTGGTTGGGTCGTCGGAAAACGATCTTTGCTGGTTCTTTCATCATGGTTATCGGTGCTCTGCTGCAGACGACCGCCTACCATCTGCCTCAGCTTATCGTCGGTCGTCTGGTTACTGGTTTCGGTGAGCCTTTTCTTTCCAGATCATTTGTACAATATTATTGGTGCACGTCAAAGATCGCTAACCACTCGCATCAGGAAACGGCATGAACACCTCGACGGTGCCTACTTGGCAATCCGAGTGCTGCAAGTCTAACCGACGTGGTCAGCTGGTCATGATCGAAGGTGCCATGATTACCTGTGGAATTACCATCAGCTACTGGATCGACTTTGGTCTTCTCTTTGCCGACCCTAACGAGGTTGCCTGGCGATTCCCATTGGCCTTCCAGATCTTCTTCGCCGCCATCATCCTGGCCTTCGTCATGTTTCTCCCGGAATCCCCTCGCTGGCTCGTGCTGAAGGGCCGCGAGGACGAGGCGCAGGAAGTGCTGGCCGCTCTGCTCGGCGACGAGGCCGACGAAACCTTTGTCCAGACCGAATTTACCGCCATCAAGGCCACCGTGCTGGAGATGGCCAAGGGCTCCTTCCGCGACATGTTCACCATGGACGAGAACCGCCACTTCCACCGAACGGTGCTCGCCTACGTCAACCAGATGTTCCAGCAGATCTCCGGTATCAACCTGATCACCTACTACATCCCCGTGGTGTTGGAGAACCAGCTGGGAATGAGCCTGATCAACTCCCGTCTCATCGCCGCCTGCAACGGAACCGAGTACTTCATCGCATCGTGGGTGGCCGTGTTCACCATTGAAATCTTCGGTCGCCGCAGTCTGATGCTGTTCGGTGCTGCCGGTATGTCGATCTCCATGGTGATCCTTGCCATCACGGCCAGTATTGCGAACTCGGGCGCCAACGTCGCCTGTACGGTGTTCCTGTTCGTGTTCAACACCTTCTTTGCCATTGGCTGGCTGGGCATGACCTGGTTGTATCCGGCCGAGATCGTGCCTCTGAAGATTCGTGCGCCTGCCAACGCTCTGGCGACTTCGTCCAACTGGATCTTCAACTTTATGGTAGTTATGATCACGCCGGTTGCTTTCCAGAACATCAAGTACCAGACCTACATTATTTTTGCCGTGATGTAAGTTTTTTTGCCCTTACATCAATATGATTCGAAGACTAACCGGTACAGCAACGCGGCTATTTTCCCCGTCGTCTACTTCTTCTATCCCGAAACAACTCGCCGATCCCTGGAAGAAATGGACCGCATCTTCCGCAAGACCAAGAGCGTGTTATCCCTGGTCAAGACCGCCCGCGACGAGCCTCACATGTACGGCAAAAAGGGCGAGCTTCTGCACACCCTGGCGGATGTGGAAGACGACGCGGTGCGTCGTGCCAGCGTGCTGAACCACGCCCACAAGTCACTGGAAAAAGACAGCGACGAGAACGTGAGCGTGGAGCATCGCCATGATGCAGAGAAGGCGTGATCCAATAGACGGCATGCTTATTCTTGTGGATGATACCATTATTTTTTTTTATGAATTTTACATCGTTGTGCTTACGATGGAGGGAGGCCCCTTGCATCGGGCACAGGTTGCAGGAGGCATTCGCCTGCATGATCCTAGCTACCCTTACTTCTCACTTATACCCATGTCATGTCGCTTCATGTATAATTAGATACCAGTTGAGGCTGAGAATCTATTATTGGTTATGACCATATATTTTATCTGTAGGACAACACCAAGGTAGGGGGAATTACATCCAGGATGATTGACCCAGGGGCCCTGTGACTAGCCCTATCTTTATCACCACGCCCTTAGCTTACACAGTACTGTACGTATTGCAAGCACGAGAGAAAAACCGAACACCTCGATCTAGACCACGCCACCAGTTTGGCCTCACCCCCTGTTGAAAGCGATTGGGTCGACCCGTTACACCGTGACACCCTAGTGATGCACCTGTCCGAAGTGCAGTGCATGTGGCAACCCCCCTTACTCCTGAGGCCTCCCTTGCTTCGGCTTACTCTCCAGCAAGCAGTCTCGGGAAGCCTCGATGCGACTGGTGTCTGGAGTCTGGACGGTGGAAATGAAGATTACATGCCGACTGCTGACTCGGGCGGAGGGCTCGGCCGAGATGAAATGGACATTCCGAGTATTCGGTATTGTCTGGTTCATGTCAGTGTATCGGTATCCTATATTGAAAGCGTCGTTTTCACGATCGACCTCGACCAAGTCCCGTTCATATCCACAATCCGCATCGCATACCTACCGGCTGCACCAGATGCGGACTGTCAGCGGTCGAGATCCGGGTGGAGACGATCTTCCTCCCGTACTTTCTTTCGAGTCAGGTCGACCGCATGCGGAAGGCCGAGATCTGAGGAATGTGGTGAGATCTGGATGAAATATCCGTGGAATGTATTGCCATAATCAATTCCCAAGTCTGGAGTAGTTAGTTACCATTGGGGCTCAGTGTTGATTGTAGAGATAATCGTTAATTATCTGATCGTACTGCAGTTAGAACTTAGAACTGTTAGGTAGTGGAAAGTGGATACGCTGGTTAACATTTTAGCTCGCAGCTTTACCTACCTTAACTTACCGGGCGAACGCATGGAGAAGGACACGGGAAAGTGTTGACTTGACTGTTGGCGGTTGAGTCACGCCGATCGACCAACTCCAACGCGTTCACCGGGAGAGATGGCCTTCTCAACAATCAGCCAGATGATTCATCGCCAGACAGGAAGATTGAGGATAAGACCACTCGGAATGGTATCTTGACAGCCAGTGTCTCCGCATCGTTGACGGTTGAGACGATCACGGTCTCTGATTGGCTGTGTGGGACTCCGACGGTCGGCATCTTAGATTTTTCTTCTTTTCCGATCACTTTTCCTTTTGACATTCTGGACTGCGTTCCTTTTCGTAAGACCTCGGTTGTGGCAAGTATCAAGCTTAATATTGTTCTTTCTGCCAGACCCGTCCGGACAGTCCCGTGATCAGCTCGGCTATCGTCAAACTTATCGTCATTCAAATCAAATCAATCAATCAATCAATAATCAATAATCAATAATCAATCAGTGCCTCATCCCGGCAGTCGCAATCTAAATCCCATAGTCTGAAGATTACTTCCCCTGCCATGTCCCCTGTGCAGGTATGTTATTGGCTCCGGTCCATCGGAGAATAATCCCCAGTGTTACACCCTCAATTCTTCTCGTTCGTCCCCTCCGAGAAACCAAGAAACTAATTAAATACCGCAGGGTTAACGGCGCAACTTGTGTGGATCGACAGTCCCCCTCGTTCGAGAGTCCAGATCTTCTCCGTCGACGTGCGGGGTTCGAGGTTTTTATTTCTTGATCTTCGGTCGCTTTCTTTTCTTTCACCGGTGGCTGTTGCTTTACCTTCTCTCTTCATATTAAAAGTTCGTTTGCTCCTTCTGCAGCGCTTCTGTGGTAAGGTTGTGGCGTCCAATGAACGAACCCTCGGAATTTCACTAACCAGCTTTTTTTTAGCCTAATCATGTCGTCAACGCAATACCCCCCGGTCGACGACCGGGATAAACACCCGCCCGAGAACATTCACGAAGGCGATCAAGACAGTCGCGATGATCTCGAGTCGGGCGAGCCTGATGTCGCCAACATTGAGCGCATCTACCGGTGAGTTGAAGTTGGAGCCAGAAAGGTCCGGAAAGGAAACTGACCGGCGCAGGAAATTGGACTTTCGCATCATCCCCGCCTTCTGGGTGCTGTATTTCCTCTGCTCCGCTATTCGATCGAATGTTGGGTTGGCGCAGACTATGAACGCCGACGTCGGGCATGATCTCGGGTCTGTCTTGAATTTGACGCCGCATCAGATCTCGACCGGGTTGGCTTTGTTTTATGTGTGTTATGTTGTGTTTGATCTGCCGTCTAACCTGATCATGACGCGGTTGAGCCCGCACGTCTGGATGAGTCGGATTGTCATCAGCGTGGGCATCATCGGGGCGTGTATGGCGGCGATGAAAGCCGCCTGGAGTTTATAGTACGTCTTCCACCCGATACATGACAATACAAACCCAAATACTAACAATCGCAGTCTCCTCCGTCTCCTCCTCGGTGTCGTCATCGCCGGCATGTGGCCCGGCATGGCCTACTACCTCACCCTATTCTACCCCCCCTCTCGCACCGGCAAACGCATCGGCCAATACTACACGGCCGCGCAAGTCTCCGCCGCCGTCGTGGGTCTCGTATCGGCCGGATTCCAGAAGATGGACGGCGCGCACGGCCTCGTCGGCTTCCAGTGGATGTTCCTCGTGTACGGCGTCATCACCGTCGCCGTCGGCATCGTGCTGCTCTGGTGGCTCCCCGACCGGCCCACGGCGCCTGGCGAGCAGCCTCCCCAGCGCAAATACCTCTGGTGGATCCCGCGCAGTCCGCCGGCGCTGACCGGCCGCGACGCCGAAATCCACTACTACGATCTGAAGCGCGTGTATCACCGTCCGCAGTGGACCTTGCGTGATCTCACGCGGGTGCTGCTGGACTGGCGATTGTGGCCGCTCTTGATCATGTACTTTGGCGTGGTGGGCGTGGGCATCGGCGTGCAGAACTACGCCACGGTTATCATCAAGGGAATTAACCCTAGTTTGAACGGGATTGACTTGAGTCTTTTGACTGCTCCGATCTGGATCGTACGTCCCCTCATCTATCTCAACCATCTCATCTCAACTACATACTAACCTGACACTAAACAAAAGATGGACCTAATCGCCATCCTCCTCGTCACCCCCCTCTCCGACCGCTTCCACCGGCACCGCGCAATCTTCTTCTCCATCCCGGTCTGCTTCCAAATCCTCGGTCTCCTCCTCACCACGTACGCGGGAACCGCCTCAAACAGCTGGCCCCGATACGGCGGCCTGCTCATCGTCGGCTTCGGCCTCGGCCCCACAGTCCCCATCACGATGACCTGGACCACCGAGATCTTCCAGCCGCGCCACGGCGAAGTCGGCGTGGCGGCCGCGTCGGCCGTCGTGTCGGGATTGGGGAATCTGGGCTCGATCCTGACGACATATGCGTTGTATACCGGGTGGGCGAGCGACTACGAAGCCGAAGGACGGGCGAAGTATCGGAAGAGTAATCTGGTGATGGTGGGGATTTTGTGTGCGAGTATTCTGGCGTCGGTGGTGATGGAGGTGTTGTTGAGGGTGGTGGAGGGGATGAAGAGGAGGAATAGGAATGGAGGGGATGGAGCGAGTGGGAGTGAGGATGGGGAAGGGAAGATTGTGGATGGGGCGGCGAGGAGGGAGAGGGAGCAGAGGGGGTTGGATGGGTTGTTTCGGTTTGGGATGTTCAAGAGGGGGTAGGAATTGGGGGGATTTGGTGTCTGATTATGAAGGTATGGGGTAGAAAAACCGTGGTCTTCACTTCAATTATAAGGTATTTCCATAGTAGCGTTCCTAATGGGGAAAGCGCTCTTAACATCATAATACATAATCTATAAGATAGCCTCCTCGCCTGCTTCAACAGTAGTTTTGATTAAATTCCTTTCGCACCCTTTGGCATGATCCAGATGGCTCTGGAAGCGTTACACAATTATCACATAAGCATTGGGAGATGTATTTAGCTACATCAATGATATTGATATCCTCTGCTCAACAACGCCGCCGTCACAGAAGGAACTAAGACCTCTTCACGATTAGCCAGGGTACAAACATCTCTATCCTATCTGCCAGTATAGCTCACATAGCCCACTTGGATCATGACGGTGGTAGTGCAAGTGGCTGCCAATCCGCCGGTAGTCCACCGTACAGTACACGAAACCGCCCAGATAGGGAACTGGATTCGGAGGAGGATCTGTATACGAAACAGCGATAGGCTTCCCTCATATCCCTCCTGTCTTTGCATGATAGCTCATACATAGCTCTCGTCCAAGTCCTCAGGCATTGTCGTCGTATAGGTTATCCTGCAACAAGTCCTTTTTATGGGATACAGACAGCATAATGAGTCCGAAAAGTCATCAAATGACGGCCGGATATTATTGAATTGCTTGAACATGGTCTCGCTTTGCGCGCGCTTTTGTCGTATTCTTGATCTCTGGCCAGTCTGGATGTTTATTTCGAAAATCTCGTTCGAATCGTGTGCCTGACCGCCTCTTTTTTCCCTGTTAAACTGAAGCGCGAAATAACTGCATTAGGGAGCGTCAAACAAGACTATATGATGCATGATTGCATGGCTCTTACATGAGTTGAGTACACAAGTACACAATATTCTTGATCGAGCTTATAGGTTGAACATTGCAGTCAAAGTTGAATTTAACATTATCCGAACTAAGAAACCAAGCCACCTACTATACAGTTTAATATCCATATCCTAGGTATTATAATCCAATCTATACTCCTCTCCATACACTATACAAATCACAACCTCACCCCTTCTCCATAACCATTTCCCACTAATCCCTCTCCTTCCATCCCTTATAATCCGGCAAAACCCACCCCTTCTCCCCCTTCGCCTTATAAATCTCATCCCTCACCCACCCCCCAAACGTATCCACCCTCAACCACGAACAAACACCTAGCATGGCATTCCACAGCCCGACACCGAGCTTCGTCTCGGGCAGCGAATCCCATGCACTTTTGCCTTCGGAGAGGTCTTTCTGGATGTAGGTTATGAAGGGACGGAGGGTGCGTTCGTAGTTGAGGATTGCCTTTTGTATATCGGTGTTGGAGGTGGTTGTTGATGTTGATGAAGACTCCGGTGTGGATTTGGTGGGCTCGGATGAGGATGACGGAAGAGCTCTGGTAGGTTCTGCAGTGCAATATTTCCCAATCTCTCCGGCCAGGACATACGCGCCGACCACCCCCGCCGTGGTTCCCATGCCTGTCGTCACGGAGGGTGCGTACGCTGCGTCGCCGACGAGGACGATGCGCCCGCCTGTGTAGCTGGTCGGGTCCCCATCCGCCCCAGTTCCAGGCTCCTCTGCGGTAATAGCAGAAGCAGAGGCAGAAGCAGAGCCAGTCGAACTCGAACGCAAAGTCGAAGGCAAAGCACTCAAACTCGACCACCCCTCCATCTTCACAAACCCAATCCTCTCACAATAAAAATCCTCCGCCTCCTCGAGCGCCTTCATCAATCGATCTGTCTCCCACCCTGCGCTTTCGAAATGCCGCATCAGGAGCGCTTTCTCCTTGGCTGGATCCATGTGTCCTTGTCTGAGCTCCGCGAAGGCAGGACTGTCGGTGCGGCAGAAGAGGTAGACTTGGATTCGGTGGGGGTGGTGGCGGCGCGTGAAGATTGCTCGTTGAGAGGGGGCCAGGTAGACGGTTCCAATTAGCTTGTTGGAGTCGGAGTCCGGGGTTGGTTGGGTAGATTGAGATGAGGAAGAAGAGGGAGTGTCAGGGAGAGGAGGCCACGATGTCGTGAAGAGACCCGCATACACACCCAGAGGCTTGAATGGATCTGTCTGTCCATCATCACCTTGATCCAGCTGTGCATGCTGCTGACCCTGAGACAGCCGTCTCTGCCGCTCCCTCTCCGCAATCAACAACCCCCTAACCTTCGAATTCTGACCATCTCCCCCAATCACCAAATCAAACTCTTCCTGCTCGCCCGTCGAGAACCGCACATCCACTCCATCCACCCGTTCACGCAATCCCTCAATCGACGTCCCAAATCGATACTCCACCTTGCCCTTCCCTTGCCCCTGCTTCAGACCCTTCTGAGCAGAATCAAACAACAACCGACACAAATCCCCCCTCATAACCTCCCACTCAGTAGTCAGAGACGTCTTCCTCTCCTTCCCCTTCTTTCCAGTTCCAACCCCAGTCCCACCACCCCCTTTAATCTGTGCTGCATCCCCCCCAGAAGAAACAGGAAACCAAGCCCTCCTCCTCCCCACCTTATCAACAACCTGAATCCCTTCCTCTTGGATCGTCTTCGCCTTGAGTGCCCCCTCAAGGCCCATCCGTCGAATCACTTCCACACCCGGGCCGCGGAGGTCGATTTGTAACCCTGTGTCGCGGAGGGTTGGGGCGCGCTCGAGGATCGTGAGGATGTGGCCTTGGCGGGTTAGGAAGTGGGCGAGGGTGTTGCTTGTTATGCCGGCGCCGGAGAGGAGGATTTTCATTTTGATTTTTGGTTTGTTTCGTGGGTTGTGGGATGGGGTTTGAAGGGAGATAGATATGTGTTTTGGGAGGTTTTGGAAGTTGGTTGGTTGGTTGGTGGTGAGGTTTGTCAGGTGAGTGAATGAGTATAAGTGAGATAAAAGAGTATAAAGTAGAATATAGAATAACAAATAACAAAAAGTCAAATCCGATAGAAACACAAAGTATCTAACTGCCCTTTTCGATCTGAACGAATCAATGAAATCAAGCTAAGTAGCTATACTTATACCCCTACTCATCATGACAACATACTCCATCCCCCAACTACAACTCCCAACTCATCTACCAGTTATGTGTAAGTCAGCTCGGCCGAGCTCGGGATATTCCCTTCTGCTCTGTACAGTACCTACAAATCTACCAAAGATCCTTCATATGCATGTACCTAAAGTAGACGCTTATATCCGAAGGATTCGGGAATTTCTAGATTCGAACACATCTCCGAGGGATTCGGGCTAGTTAGATGGAACTAGATAGAGTATAGTGTGTATTTATTCATTCGTTCAGTTGTATGTTATGATGTAGGTAGTTGATTTAACTATACGACATAGTTATTATGTTATGTTATGTTGGGTAGTTCGCTGATCCTATCCTGGTCATGGATATGAGAGGAAGGAGATGTAATGTAATCCGTACGGTTTCTGAAGGGCAGGGAAGGATAACTTCAGCTCGGGTTAATGTATTAAATGTATCGTAAATGTCTGAAGATTTGCTTAATTGAAGGAAACAAGTTTTTGACCAGTACTGACTATGACTACAATACTCGATTCATCAAGCTCAGCTATGACCATCAGGTAATAATGTAGTTGTCATGCAACATGTAGACTCCATTCACATGCAATCCTTCTACTGCAGGTTTTGTGCAGTCTGTCAATCTGCTTATAACAAATGGATTAACACTAGAGGTACTCCGTATATGCAGACAGATCCTGATGATTAGTGATCGATGACATGTGGATCATTCTGACGAGTCTAGACTCATCTGTCTGTAGGAGTTCAGTGGATGACACTGTTTACTTCCATGACTTACGCAGGCAGATCGACCAAGTCTGCCCTACACTGTTTAATTTGATTTCAATCTGATAATTAATGAGTGATATTGGTACACTATCTACTGACAAGTATAGCTATTTTCGGTTTCTGTTTTTGACCCATATTCATTCCTATGGTCCATTTCACCTCTGTGAGAGAATGATTCTTCTATGTTTGCCGTAACACATAACACTAACAAAAAACAATGCAAGCATGGAAAACGAACGTAGATGGCAACCTGGCATCTTGGAGTAAAGAAAGAAACCCGGAACCAATCTAATAGACCAGGATAAGAAAAAAGAAAACCACAAAAATAAAATTCTATGTTTTCTCCCGACTGCCAAGGCTGCTTCCCTCAGTTCTGCTCCCATATGACGCCGGAGGGTATACGAGTTGCTAAGAAACAAGGATTTAAAGGCCACCGCAGAGCTGTTAAATCAGAGTTAGCAATGTTCTTTTTTCGGATGATATCAGCAGAACTTACAGTCTCAACGATGATACCAGTGATCTGGTAAGGGCAAGCATTACTGGCAGGGCGACGATCTTCAAAGTATCCCTTGCCATCCTTGGCACATTGGCGGGGAATACGGATCGATCCGCCACGGTCGGCAACGCCGTAGCTGAACTTGTCGATGTTGCCGGTCTCGTGACGGCCGGTCAGACGCTCCTCGTTGCCCTCACCGTAGACGGCAATGTGCTCAACGTGACGAGCCTCCAGCTTCTTCATGGCGGCTTCGATGACCTTCATACCGCCATCGGCACGCATCGAGGCGGAGGAGACGTTGGTGTGGAGACCAGCTCCGTTCCATTCACCCTTGATGGGCTTGGGCTCGAAAGAGATGCGGACACCGAACTCCTCGGCGACACGGTGGAGGATGAATCGGGACATCCAGAGGTGGTCACCCACTGTTGTTGTTAGACATGATCAGATGAATTATCAAGAAGAGGGACTCACTCTCAATTCCGCCGCAGGGACCGACTTGGTACTCCCATTGCGAGGGCATGACCTCGGCGTTGATACCGGAGATCTTGATACCAGCGTACAAGCAAGCACGGAAGTGAGCCTCAACAATATCACGGCAGTAGACCTTGCCGGTTCCAACACCGCAGTAGTAGGGGCCCTGGGCACCGGGGAAACCTCCCTTAGGCCATCCGTACGGCCAGCCATCGCTACCGAGGAGAGTGTATTCTTGTTCCAGACCGAACCAGAACTCCTCCTTGGCGTTGGCCTCCATCAGGCGGTTGGCATCGTGACGGTAGTTGAACTTGTTGGGGGTTCCATCCGAATCCCAGGTCTCGCAGAGGACGAGGATGTTGTCACCCAGACGGAAGGGATCGGGGTAGATGGCAACGGGACGGAGGTAGACATCGGAGTTATCGCCAGGGGCCTGACCCGTCGAGGAACCGTCAAAGTTCCACTCGGGGAGTTCGTCAACAGACTGAACGGGCTTGGAGAGGGTCTATAGAGACAAGACGTTAGCCATTGTATCGAGAGGGGCATGGTTGGTCACGTGGAGCGGGTGGATGCAGGGGCAGGAAGCCAAGGGCCCCGTGCGCAGGCTTATCGCAGGATCAAGTCGACCAGATAAGAGGATCTTCGATCTGTTGACCCGCCAACTGCACCATCACCGTCCACATCCACATCCACCAGATTTGCCGCAGTTTGTGAGCAAAGATTGAAGGATCAGGCATACCTTGGTCTTGCTGCGGCAGCCACCGACAGCGTCAATCCAGATGTATTCGGCTTGGACAGCACCCCGCTGGTCGAGGGCCATGTACTTCATGAGCTGTTGCCAGCGCACATAATGTTAGTCTGACTGTTTCCTCTGACCGCAAGCGGCTGAGAAAAAAGTATAGGTATTAATAAGAAGAACGCACATTCTCCGTGTTGGAGATGGTGGTCGATTCGGCCTGGGTGAGTCATTAGCACAGTTCGGTTGATCGACCGTGAGATCGACAAAGTGGGTGTTAACATACCATGATGAATTAATGTGTAGGTAAAGATGGGAAAAGGTTAAGTTTTCAAGATTCAGCTTGCAGCAAGCAGAGCGAATTCAAGTCACTGATCAATCAACGAGTTCGATACTGCAGTAACAGACGAAAGCGGCAAACAATCACAAAGATTGAAGATAGCACGGATAGAGAGAGATAAGTAATTCCAGAGAATTCGATAGAGAGAGGAGAGAGGGAATATGCGAGGAAAGGAAGAGAGTGGAAAGCGGAATGAAATATGGAGGAATGGAGATGTGAGATACAATGAAACTGTGGGTGGGGGGGGGAGATGCTTTAAATTTAAGGAAAGAAAGGACGGAGAGCTTTTTTTGGGGGATGCGAGAGGGGGGCAAATTCGGTGCCAAATCGGGAATGGCGGGAAGTGGATTTGAAAATTACCGTAATGAAATATTTTTAGTGCGCGTCGGTTGCCAAAAGTGGTTTGCTTGCACTAACTAAAAGTCCCGCCTTGTTGCTGCCAGACCGAACCCGTCTGGCCCTCTATTTCGGTCGATCGATCTTCATCAATGTGTCATGGTTTGCTGCTCTGCTCTGCTGTTGTTTCAGTCGATATAATTAGGGAATAAAAAAATAGAACAGGTCAGGAAAAAGGCGCACGTAGAATCCTGAATACCGAAAGTAACGGACAGGCCAGAAGCGTCCATAAGATGGCGGTGCGGCAAGGCTGCAGCTTCGACCAGGGTCGTCGTACGCCACAGTTTTCCACTCGGACTCCTACTCTACTAGATTGCTATCAATAGACCTACGGAGTATAGAATATAGTATAGAATATACTATTACGGAGTACGGAGTACAATACTCTCTACAGACTATCACCGACATGAAAACGGACATCCCAATCAGGCAATGCAATGCTCCAAAAATGACTCCCCCTTTCTTCCCTGGCCGGGGCAACCCGTCAGGCATGCACACACGTACTCCGTCTGCGTGCATTGCACTTGCAGCTAACATGTAACGACGAACTCTACGCTGATAGGCAAATGCCTCGATTCCATCCGGATGCCAACCTATTCTAGACGAGTCGATGCAACGATCCATCCATCTGGGACGGGTCAGCTTGCTGGGATTTCCCCGGATAATCCCACCCCACGCCACGGTGATCCAGTTGCCCAGTGCCCAGTGTCCCTATCATGATCATTCTCGATCCCACCATTTTACTTCCATAGATATCTGACCCTCGAATAGGATGGGAGATGTTTGAAAAAAGCAACGAGCAGATGGCCTGATCCGTAGCGTCCAGGTCAGCCCCGGAGATAGCGACACGAATACGTTGCTAACGGGTATTATCAACAGCGACCGGGATGGTGGTGCATATCAGCTGCAGGACCCGAGTAGTTCGAACGTTGAATGCACCTAATCTGATAGATCTGGTTTCTATTGGCAGGAGGGGAGTATGGCGTTCAGGTAATAATCTGGAAGTAACTAGTTAATCCTCTGGTATCGGTCCTATCACTGAGGGGATATATAGCACGGGTAGAACTCCTTCTGGCATGGTGATAAGGAAGACTACTCGAGTCGACGATGCCAAAAGTACGAGTATAGCATGATAGCAATCATATCAAATCCAGGTACCGTAGTTACCTGTACCTGCGACTTATCAAGAACGCATCCCAATAAATTAATTCCTTATCAAGTGCCCCTCAAAAGGACCCCCGCCATGTCGCGTGGGTGGGTCATAGCGCGTCTGCCGGTTTTGATTTTTCTTTTTGACTCATTTAATGAAATTCAGAAATCCCTCGTGCACACTTTCTTGGGAGGGAAAAAGAAATCCTGTTTGAAGCTAGTTCTTCCTCCGGGAAAATACTACTGGATAGAATTGAGCCGTCAAGCTAAGACAGATCAAATATCCAGTATCACTATCGCTATCAACATCTGGAAATCTCGACCTTTCTTACCACCCGGTATCTCCATTACAACTGCCCAGCCTCAATCAATACACGACACACCCCGGCCACTCTTTTTTTTTCTTGTTCATTTCCCATTTTTACCTAAGTATGACCCGTGATGTGGGGCGATGGCAAAAGATTCTCGAAAAGGCGAGAGAGCCGCCGACCGCCGTACGGTGGCCGGTGGCCCCGAGACCGGCTTAGTTAGTCAGGTTTATTCTTAGCTTTACTGTACACTGAATACTGCGTGCTGTGTAATGGAAGTAAAGTTCCCACTTTTCTTTTGTTGCCCTAATTCTTTCTATCCTCGGGTTGTATTTGAATTTCCCCATATTCTACGGAAGAACTTCACGGATGGGTTTCCCCGGTGGCAAAAATTCTGATTCACCATTGGCAATGGATTCATAGCCCAGGGTTCATCTGCTAGGCTTCCGATCCCGTTTGCTTGGATCATCGTCATATTCATGGCATTTCCCCTCTTTCGTCGCGCCGAGCGTGTGAGGGACGACTGCGGTAGCAAATGACAGGGCGTATACAGGAGATGGTTGCTGGGGAGTCGGAAGATTCAGGAATACTCCGGCAATTAGCTGTGACGTCTGCTTTGCATCTGTACTGTGTGTAGGCAGCTGCGATGGTTGCAGGATATGTATCAGCAACTGCACAATACATCTACAGTACGTATGCATCGAGACATCAAACCAGAACGATTGGTTCAGCCCTGTGGATGACAACGACAGAACTAAGGGTAGCTTCTCTACAGTAGCTGTCTCTCTAGCACTGAGAGTAGCTCAGAATTTTCATTCCGGGCCCGATTACACTTTACATTCCCAATCAGTTCATTGTAAGACAAAGTGGTTTGAGAATTAAAAATAGCGAGGCTAACGAATACATTGATTCAAATTGCATTCAATACAGCTTGTATTTTCGCTTTTCGCTATTCCTTATCAGCTGCGCCGCGCCTGGTCTCAAATATAGACGAGGGGATATAATAATAGATCATCCATCGTGGCGCTGCACCACTAGCCGAGATGGGTTAGCGGGTCTGATTCTCAAGGGCAGAGTCGTGACTCGACTCGTGCATCTATCTCTCTTTGACTAGGTAACATAGGTATTCTTTGTCCGACTGATCCCCGAACGTGAACGTGAACTGGGCTGTCAGGGGACGCGAAAAGACCAAAACCTCTCCGTATGGAGGCAGAAACAGCCGAGCAAGTCCCAGGAAATTAAAAAGGCCCAAAGGGGGAGAACCACCAAAGCAGGCTCGGCAAATCGCATCGCACAACCCCAAACCCCCAACGGACGGATTTGGTATAAAATATCCCTCATTCACGCCCTTTGATAGGGACTAATTCTCACCGCCGATCAAAAACTGCGCGGTTTATTGGAATTTCTCAGATTGAAATTTTAATAAGTCTAGGGGTGAAAGCCCATGACTTGTGCACACCCTCCCTCCACCGACTTCCTCAAAGGATAGAACGTAAAACCTAAAACGCAACAGAAACAAAAAAGAAAAGAAAAAAAAAGCCTCATCAGCCAAACAAAGGCAAACGAGGGACTCCGCCGCCCCGAGTCTCTTATCGTGGGCCGCTGATTGGCTCTGGGCCGAGGGATCGTGACAAACGGCGCTGACTGACCTCGGGCCGAATCAGAGGCAAGGAATATTTCATTATTCACGCGGACATTTCAATAATAGGGATTAATTGGAATTGATGGTAATGTTGGGCATGGTTCAGAGAGGTTGTCAGATCGGAGGGATCAGATTCATGGTGTATTCTCCGTTTTGGGACGTTGCTGCGGCGGACTAGAGTCTGCTTTTATCGAGGTGCAGCTCTTTGAACTTACTTCTAGTGAGTATAGACTATACACTATAGAATAGGAACCTGAGGTATCCGATGGAGAATTGCAAGATACATTGAATCATCCTCTATCCCAGTTCCCAAAAGGTGGAGGTACATACGTCGATGGTAGGTCAGTCAATGCAAGATACTCTCATCTCATGGCAAGTCACAAGCTTATCCGCCTTGCCGAGCGGTTACTTGGAAATGATGTAATATCCAGCAAGGTAGGACTTTGAAGTACATCAAGAATGGTGTGTAAGTAAATTTGCAAATTGAGAACTACTTCCCTCGAGCAATGACATGAATGAAATAAAATACATTCATAGTTATTGAAGTCTTGAAGATGAGACGTCTCGCTGCAATGCACACCTTGGCACCATGCACAGGTACCTTCCTACCTACCTGCCTAGGCACCTTACCTACACCTTCACTTCTGCATAGTGTACAGTATAGTGTATACTCCGAAGTGAGGCGCCTTTAAATCGCGCAGTTGATCATTCAAGATACGAAGAACCCAGTATCCCTAGAATTGGTCTGTCTGTTGACCTAGGCGAAACTAAGAAATAACTATCCGACTGGTCATTCTTGAGGGATATATCTCTACTCCGTCCACAGCACGGACATGGAGTAAAGTAAACCTTTTTTAAGATTAATTTCATTTTACCTGTCAGCTCCCTACCAACATACACAGTAAACCCTGTAGTCTGTACAGTAATGTACCTAGGTTCTAACCTCTCCCCGCGAGATTTTCAAATTTGGGATCCAAGTGATCCCTCGCGCCGAAGCGGAACAACGCAAAAAACAGAGCAAGACAGCTGGGGAAAGCTCCTTGCGTCCGTTGTGGATTGCGGACTTCACCTACCTGCATGCATGGTTTGGATTTATTTTAGTTAAATCCCTCACACACACTCACTGACATACATTCCATCTTATGTTTTTATTTTTAATTTATTTTAATGGGATTTTTTTTCTTATTTGAATTCTGCCCGCTTGGTCAGGTAGCAATGTTGAAAACCGGAAAGTCAAAATCGATCTTATTTGTAAATTCCTTTGGTCATCGATTTGTTCCCGTCGGTGGTGGATCGGCAACTTTAAATCTACGACTTGGTCTGCATGGCTCTTCACTCTTGTGCGAGTGAGTGCCAGGTGTATAGTTAGTAAGGTAGCTTGCTGGTGATCTACAGTTGATTCGACTGGTAGAATAGTTATGCTGTGATTATATGGTCACTTTTTCTATTGGATTGTCTGCATAAGAACCCCAACCCCGTAGTTCGCCTTTGCCTCACTCCTGTATACCAGTCATTTCTAGTCCCTTACATAGTCCAGTCTCAGGAACTGCCACATGCAGACCGTCGTTGGACCCTGGGATCAAAGCAATCCATCCCAAAAAATCCAAGTGGGACAAGCTCCTGCAGGTACCTCCTGCGCCGATTGCTGGAAAGCTTAGCCCAACTCTCTAAACTGGATCAAACTGCACGGCGTCTCAGGTGACTGGCCGCAACGCTGGCCGGATGAATCAGCGTCTTCACATCCAAATTGGCTTGATAAGATCGAGACTCTTAGTTCTCTCTCTCGGGTTCGGTATCTCCACTCAGGTGTAAAGTGGACTGCGTGCTAATTCAACCAACCCATCCAATTCAATCCAATGCCTCTCCACCTGCAAGCGGGAGGATGATCACCGACCATTTCGCTGTCGTAACCATCGTAGGATCCATTCGACCAAAATGCCAATGTCTTGAGACACTTCGAATACTCGGGCGATTTTGTTTTGCAGTTCGGCGGCTTCGCTCTTGGTCCCGTCGGCTCCCTGTGTGTCCATGCCGTCGCCGGTCTCGTCGTCCAGTAACCCTGCCATGTCCACGACCGAGATGCGCCCGTTGACGCCGACTTCCAAGCTGACAGAGACCTTGCTCAGGACGGGTCGACCAATAGGCGACATAGGCGCCTCCGGCCTCGTATCGTCAACGGCGAAAAGAAGCATAATGACGGGCGGTTGTCCGAGTTGGGTCCGCAATGTCACGTCCACTTTCACTTCATCCTCCGGAGTGAAGGCGTCTTCCACGGAGTCGGCTGGCGCCTGGGGGTCTTTCGCCCTGGTGTTCACGAGGCCCGCCGTCTGATTAGACCCCCTTAATAACCAATCGAGTTTGCTCTCGTTGGGGTCGTTGTTGCTCAGGACAATCACCCCATTCTTTCCGCCGAGCTTGCCGGGTAGGCCTGAGAATTTCAATTCACTCAGCTGGCCGGGGCTGTGTGTTTGGGGTTCTCTCCCGTTGTAGTCGTTCTTCGCGGGAGCATTGAAAACATTGCGGATGGTGTTCGCTACAAATGCGTACTGTCGCAGAGTCTGATCCCCCATTAGTTTCAGTCCCTCAGAATACATAATGCAGATCGACTTACCGGAAGAATATCAGCAAGTTGACGGGGATGAGAAAATGGAAGGTCACGTATCGTCCTTCCTCCTGTAGGCTCAAATGGCTGGAAAGTGTAGCTGTGTTGCTTGGTACGAGGCCGGCCTTCCATGTCGACTGACTGGACCGACACCGTGCGCTTCTTGCGATTTTGCTGAGACGCTTCCTCAGGGCCGAGACCCATCGCGCCTGTCGACGACAACGGCGACCATCCCGGGGCCAATAAACCGTCGTAGGTAACCATTTTGAATTCCTGGGGTATCTGAATCCCGAGATGTCTGTAGATCTCCGAGGCCGGGAGGATCGGCAAATCGAGCGGTGGCTCCAATCGAGCAACGAAGCGACGGTTGGGTTGGGAGCCTAGCATGCCAGAATCCAGAGCCATTGCATCGGAGTGGTTTTGTGACATGGTGACTGGCGGCTCGGTCCAGTTCACGACCACCGTTTCAGACTCGGAGGCATCGTTTGAGGCCGACGGATCGTTCCCGTTGTTCATCACGATCAAGGCCTCGGGACCTATCCACTCCTTCGACACGCGCAAGGAAGGATACCCCTCTTCGCACTCGACGATGATATTCCACCGGCCATTCTGATCCGTTGGCTCTTCATCCGATTGCGCAGATGGTTGGTCAACCGCCATCTCATCAGCAGACTTCTTCTTGCGCTTCGCATCCTGAACCTGGGCCTGCTGCACCCAGTAATTCATATTCAGGCCCACGCGCCCTTCCTGATGTAGACACGGGCGACCTACCAAGCCCCGGCAGAGATGATCATAGACCCCAGAGAACTTGCCACGGGCCTCCTCCTCATCCCACACCCGCTTATAACTCTGATGCAAACCTTCAATAGCCTCGAAACAATTCACCTCTTGGCTCAACCGATCATGTCTGGCCAGCCACTGCAGATTCTCATGAAACCCCGCTAACGACTTCCAGACCCCCTTCTCCCCCTCCTCCGGCGGCTGGATCAAATCGCGCTTCAGAACCGCCGTGGCCTCTTCCCTGCGCTCCCCGTCCGGCGCGTCCGGCGTCGCATACTTCAAGCTTACATCCTTCACGGTATTCCGGCCGCGATGAAAATCAATCTCCAGGTCCACGAAATTCCCCGCAATGTTCAGATTATCCTCCTGCCAGATCGACTCGAACCCTTCCAGCTCACCGAGCCGCTCGATGCCTTCCCGGCACACGCCCCGGCCTGCCACGCGGGTCCGCAGAAGCTGCACCACGTCGTCGAGATGTCGTCGTCGCTCCTCGTCGCTGTCTCGCGCCGTGCCGAGCTTCAGCCCCTGCATGCCCAGCGCTTGGATGTCGCTCTCGTTCATCCCCGACGCTACCAGCCCGTCGTGAACGGCCGGAGACGGACTGATCCCGCTGTAACCACCGAGCGCGAGAAGAGCCGACGGGGAGCTGAACGCGACGGGGTCTTCGGGCCCGGCGGTCGCTGCGAGAGGCGTGGCGTACTGGTGCGAGACGGCTGGCTGGTTGTTGCCGTGTGCGGGGCCCGAAACGGACGGAGTGCGCGCTGACGGCGACTTATGGGAAATCGGTCGGGTCATGGGTCCTGAGGGGCGAGGGGACGAGGTGAGATGGGTGGGCGTTGCGCCGGGATTCTTGGATGACGGGGTGGCCATGGTGGTTTGCGTTCTGGACGTCTCAGAAAAGATTGGGAACAATAAACAGATCGAGCAAATCTAGAATCAAAGGGTATCGTATGTAGCTAAAGGACAATCAATCACTCGGCAACGTCGGTGGTTCCAATCGCATGAGTGCGCATAGCTTCGTTCGTTTCGTCGTAGTGAACTGGAGACCTAAGCCAAGCAAAAAGTACAAAATAGTAAAAATAATCAGACGGGGACAAATCCAGATAGCACCAATGCCATTCCCCCTCAAAGAAAGTCCAAGAACGCTGCAAAGCACAGGAAGAGGAGCTCAGGTCGCAACCGCAACCGTCGGGTCGATCTGATCTGCAACAATGAAACGCGCAGTCACATGAGTTTGTCCTGTTTGCTCGGCAGCGTCATAGCATCTTTTCTCAGTACGGAGTAGTCCAGTCGGTCCTCTACACCTTTACAGATTCCTTCTCCTCGATTGAATTGAACCATCATTCCAATCAATTGAACTACGGTCGTCATGCTGGCCTTACGCTCCTTCATCCGCCAACCCGGCATCTCATCTCGATATTCACAGATCCGCAGCGTATCAACACTAGAAGGCCACCCTCACATAGTCAGTTCATACACCTATCCACCTAGCTACCTCTTTATATACTCCCTCTCCCCCACCTTTCTAACCCCCCTGAACCAGCTCAGCTAACCAAAACATTAGTACACCTTCCCCTCCAACGGCTCCCACATCCTCACCCTCCTCCCAACAACCCCACCCAACGCGACGCTCTCCATCGGCCTAACCTCAAAACTCCCACCCACGCCTGACTCCTTCCGCGAGAATCCCCGCTTCCTCAACATCCTGCAAGACGTGCTCGCCGAGCACGGATACCAGGACCCCGACGCCGTCTCGCAAGCCCAGGTCATGGTGTCGACGGCCGGCGCGAATCTCAGCTCCGGCGGCGTGTTGTTGACGGGGGGCAGGGCGAGGCGTAGACGCGGGGAGACGGCGGATTCGAGTGGCGGGGCGAGTGGTCAGGGGGGTGCTGGGTCTGCGGGCAGGGGCGGGTGGATTCATTTGTCGGATGGGAGGAGGCCGCCGGAGTATGGGCGCATTGCTTGGTGAGTCATTTTCCCCCTTTGCGCAGGGTGATAGAGAGGTGCTGGTGGCGTGTGACTGGCTAACCGACTGACTGGGTATCTAGGCCGGAGGATATCTTTGGGAGTTTGGAAGTTGATGGAGATGGCAACTTTGTTGGGGGGAATGGGAATTACCAGGCGAGTGGTAGGTCTTTCTGTTGCTTAGAGATGATGGTGAGGGTTGGTCAGGCGTGAGCTGATCTTCTGTTATAGGTACCTATCGCATTGTGACGAGGGATGGATTGTAAGTTCCTCTTTTCATTCTCATACAGACCGTGGGTGACGCTGAGCTAACTGTTTGTATAGTTTCGGACTGAGTCCATTCCTGAGAGAGAAGCTGGTTCAGAAGTTGCGCGAGATCGAGTCTCAATCCTAATAAGGTCTGGCCTGTCAGAATGCAAGGAGCTTATATCGCAAAAAGTGAATGGCCAATTTGGTCATCTGTACAACTATATAATGAATTGTACTATATTTGATGCCTAGGGTAGTTTCCAGAAGGCAGTAATTGAATTGAATCCGTCTCATTGTAAATAAATGCATTACCATATGGGCCCAGCCCTAATTACAAGCCATATAACAGTCCCCCGAGTCATGCAAATTGAAACTGACCATCATTTACCAAAAAACTTTGTGATCCGCTGCGATCCATCCGACGCCTTCTTACTATCCGTTTTCCTTGGTGTTTTCTGGTTGTGAGTGGCACTGCGCGTCTTCCTACCTGAAGGCACGGTCTGTTGTTTGGACGGCGACGGCGAAAGCTGTCGGGCCTTTTGCGGCGACGGAGTATGTTCCTCGAGCCTAAGTCTCTTCTGATCGTCCATGTCTTCGCCCTCAGCTGGCCCTTGCTCGTCATGCCCTCTCTTGACAGCGGATACAGGCTTCGGGGCATGATCCTCGCTCCACTCATCATCCTTCGTCGGTCTCTGCTCCCTTTCATCGTCCTCTACTTTCGGCTCCTTCGTTGATATTGGTTTCTCCGCAGAAGCCGGCTCATTCTTCTCTTTCGCGTTGGCGAAGAAATTCGCAATGTTGTTCTTGTTCTCCTTACTGGCCACAGGGACCATGAAATCCGGCGAATTGTTGCCCACTTTGCCCACCTCCTTGGAGACGGCATAACACTCCAGCTCGCCCTCGTAGGGCTTTAGCACGGACTGTAGTTCCTTCGACCATGTCGTACGTGTCGGATCTAGCCATGTCTTCATGGCCTCGCTACCGGGCTCGAGGATCACGGGCATCCGATCATGCAGGAACTTCAGGTAGGGATTCGATGAGGTCGTGATGATGGTATATGTGAAGAGAGGTTCTTCGGAGTCTGTACCCGGGATCATGTCAGTTCACGCAGCCACCTACATACACCACCCAATATCTCCAAATACAGGCCAACTTCCAAATAAATGGGGAATGGAGAAGGGAAAACTCACCACCAAACGAAACGCAATCCCACAACCCCGCAAAGAACATCAAATCCCCGTCCTTCCTTTTCACGAAATGCGGGACCTTCTCCTTCCCGCCGGGTCCCTTCTTCAACCACTCGTAGAACCCCTGGCAGATGACCACGCACCGCTTCTTGCGCTTCATAGACGTCCACATGCCGCGGTCTTCGACGAGCGAGTCGTCGCGGCAGTTGATCGTGCGCATGAGGGATCCGTAGTCTGGTGAGCGCTTTGTCCATGAGGGGATGAGGCCCCACTTCATGCTTTGGAGTTTGTAGTGGGGGTTTGCGCTAGCGTTGTTGGATGAGTTGGATTTGGGAATGTCATTCACTGGCCTGGGTTCTTGCTCGTTTTCGGGGGAGCTGGGGTTGGTGTTTGAGAGCTGCTGATGGCGGTGGTGTTGTTCTTCATTGGGACTGTCAGCGCGGTAGATAGCGCCGTTGTAGCCAGGGGCGAAGTTGTAGGTCTCGCGAATTGAGTCATCAGGTGGTGCGTCGTCAACTTGAAGTCCTTGTTCTTGCATCCGGTTGCGGATGAAGCGCATGCGCTGATTGTATTTGATCAGTTATTTATATGGTGTGCAGTTTATGTAGTCGATGAAGGGAAGGACATACCACGCCTAATGCATATCGTCCGCACATCGGAGTAGATTTCCTCGACGGGTAAAAGGGGATATGAGAGTCATGAAGCGATGAAATGAGTTCCAAATCACATACTGGGAGATGTGAATGTGAAAACAAAGAAGATGGAGGAGTCCTGGACGCGACGTCATATGAAAGCGGAGAGCTTGGGCCACCTCCGCCGGCGGACTTTCGTTCTTTTCTTCTCACTTCGACTCTCTGCCGTCCGTTCTACATGCATTAACCGCCACTTTCACCTATCTTTGTCACTTATCTTCGAATCGATATATGCCATCATAAATCATCACTTGAACCCTCATGCCAACACTCAATTAATCAAGTCAACCACCTTCCTCATCAATAACCAGCATGTTCAACGCAACCACCCGGCGCGCCTGCGCCCTCACCCCCAAGACCCGAATCCTCCAACACAACCAACCCTCGCGCTCAATATCCCACCTCCACCCCCGGCCACGCCCCAATGGCCTCAACACCACGCGGTCCCGCCTTCCCAGCGGAGTCCAGCAAACCCGCGCCCTCTCCTTCATGCAACGCATGAAACTCGGCTTCCGGGCCGCCTCGAAAGACATCTGGCGCAAGAACCCCATCCTGCTCCCCCTGGCGCTCTTCTCCACCGCCGGCGCGACCCTCCTGTTCACCTACATCGCCTACACAGAGTACACGACGGTCGGGCCGCAGTATCACAAGTTCCCGCCGCCGGTGGTGCGGTCGCTGCGCACGGCGGTGTATTATACCGAGGTGGATCTGAACCCGCCGAAGGCGCTGGAGGCGTATAAAGAGGCGTTGCATATCGCTGTGGAGATGGGGATGCATCCGTTTTCGGATGAGGTGGTGGGGATTAAGTTGCAGGTGGCGATGATGTTGGAGAAGGCGGGGTTGGCGAAGCCTGCGGTTGAGGTCCTGGAGAGGACGAAAAAGGAGGTGTTACAGTGGGTTGAGGAGGAGAGGAAGAAGGAAGAGGCGGAGGCGGAGGCTGCGCAGAAGGGTCAGAAGAAGGAGGTTGCGCTGGAGGTGACGGATCCCGAGCTTTTGGCGGAGCAGCGCAAGATGCAGGAGGTGGAGGCGTATGAGCGCGTGCAGCGGGATAAAGCGCTGAAGAAGGCTGTCGGGATCGAGATGAAGTTGGCGGAGCTGTACTCGAGCGATCACATCCAGGAGGACGCCAAGGGGGAGGCAGCGCAGGTGGCTGCGGTGGAGCTGTGTCTGGAGGAGATGAGACGGCGACAGCGCCTGGGTCTGCCGGTGGGTGGCGGATCGCAGGACAACAACGCTTGGTTGAATCTGACGGAGATCGCCACCGCACTGTCGGATCTGGCGTCGCGATACACCGACCAGGACAAGCATGAGCTCGCCATGCCGCTGTACCTGCGCGCTCTGGACCTCCTCCGGGTCGACGAGGGCGAACAGCCTACGTGCAAGCAGGTCGTGCTGCTCAACGACGTCGCCAGCGCCATGGCGGGACAGGCCCAGAAGCCGATCCGGGCGGCGGACCCCAGCGCGGCGCGCAATCAGCTCATCGAGGCGGCGAAACAGTGGGCTCAGAAGTCCGTTGAGGTCGCTGCGAGAATCCAGCCGCCTGTCCGTGACGAGAACTGCGATGCGTCCTGCGTGGCGGCAACTTACAACCTCGGCGAACTAGCGGAGCTGCAGAACAACGTCAAGGATGCGGAGAAGTTCTACAAGAAAGCCAAGTCCCTAGCGCAGGGTCTTCAATACGAAGAAGGAATTGCGATGGCCGATGGTGCCCTGAAAAGGGTGACGAAAAAGTGAACGAAATCTCCCTTGAAAATCAATATATACCTTGTCTCAACTCAGAAAATGTACATTACATAGATAGGATAGAATGAAACGAACTACGCAGCACGGCAGAAAGCAAGACCAAGACTCGTGCATCAAGCATAGCCATAACCTAGAAGGAAAGACTATATCCAACGACAGGATCTACACAACTACTTTTAACTACTGGGGCAAACAGGCAATCTGAACTCTGCCTTAGGCATGGATACGAGGATAAGACAAGACAAGCAATGATCCAAGAGGACTTTCACATCTTCAAAGAAAAAAAGTGGTGGTATTAGAACATCGCATGTCTTTTCCATCACAAGATACCAGACGGGAATCAAGTGACGTTGAAAGCTCTAGACATGTTTTAGAAAAACCGCCCCGAAGACAGTTCACCTTTTCAAGAGAGAAATCCAACTAAGGAGCCCCTTTAAGAAAGTAAAGCCATGTCTCCAGAGGGGGGTGCTTCATTGCTCATGGCTTCATACATCCCGAACCAATTGCCTGCCCATGAATCTTAAAAAAAAGGGAGGAAAGAGATAAAAAAAAAATCGAACAAAAGGTAGTAGTAAAAAAAAAATGGAAAATAAAATGGTTATTTCTTTCCTCTCATTGATCTCTTCTCTCTCCTTTCTCAAAGGTTTTTTTTGTGATCCCTTCCCTTTGTTTTTTTCGAACATTTAAACAAGCTCACGGTTTTAAAATGTTTTGATTTTTATCTGAGAATCTATGCCCGCGACATGACACCCCAAGCACGGATCTTGTTGTCAGTGTAACCAGCGAACAGAGTCTGGCCGTCAGCAGACCAGGCCAGAGACACACACTCGGGCTCACGGCTCTTCTTGCCCTTCTCGATGTACTCGGGCTTGAGCTCGTCAACCTTGCTCTTCTTCTCGAGGTCGAAGATGGTGATGCTGGTCGTGGTGGCAGCGCAGAGCCAGTAGCGGTTGGGGGAGAAGACAAGGGCGTGGATCTCGTCACCAGCGTGGAGGGAGTAGAGGTGCTTGGACTCGTTCAGGTCCCAGAGCATGGTGGTACCGTCCTTACCACCGGAGGCGCAGAGGGAGCCATCGGGGGAGATGGTGACGGCGTTGATGTTGCCGGTGTGACCGATGTGGTCGGTCTGGAGGCGGCAGGAGGCGAGCTCCCAAACCTATTGAGAATGTTGGTTAGCTTTGGCCTTTCCAAACTCTCACAGCATTCTTTTGACAGGAAAAAGACAAGTGATTTGATAAAAATCGCAATTTGTTTGGTGTCCATCAGGCATTGGGTGAATTTTTGTCTCATGGCCATAAGGCTCTGAAGTAGCAAATACGTAGAATATGCAAACATCTTCTGGAATTCAAAACAAAACTCGGCCTCACATCGAGTGCACGAGTGGGAGGGGGTATGACACGGGGAACGATTGAGGCATACCTTCACAAGCTTGTCCCATCCGGAGGAGACAATGACGGGGTTCTGGGGGTTGGGGCTGAAGCGCACGCAAGAAACCCAGTCGGAGTGGCCCTTCTCGGTGATGGTGAACTTGCAGTCACCAAGGGTGTTCCACAGCTTGATGGTGCGGTCACGGGATCCGGAGACAATCTGGCGGTTGTCGGCGGAGAAGGAAACGGAGAGGACGTCGTTGTTGTGGCCAACGAAGGTACGGGTGGTCTCGCCGGTCGAGAGCTCCCACAGGCGGAGGGACTTATCCCACGAGGCGGACAGAGCGTAGGCACCGTCGGAGGAGATGACCTGTAAACACATCCCACACGGTCAGCCGAAAAATTCTGTCTTTCCATCTTTCTGTCTTATCTTCTCGTCACCCAGCTCTCGCCGACGGGGTTCCTCGATCTCAAAGGGGAGGGTAAAATGGAAAAGGTTTCGCAAGACATACACAGTCCGAGACGATGTGGGAGTGACCCTCGAGGCTGCGCTTGGGGTAACCGTAGGCCTGGTCGTCGCGGGTGAGGTTCCAGATGATCAGAGTCTTGTCGCGACTGCCAGAGAGCAGCATGTTGGGGCTAAAATCGAGAGAAAGAGATACATGTCAGAAAACCCAATTCCATATATGTGAAAAGCAATCATGTATGCATCCACCGAAATCCAGCCCATGTTCCAAAGAATTATTTTTTCTTCATCATGAAATTTTTTGGACATGTTCCTATTTCGGTATGGATTTGATCGAAATTGCAGGTGCCGGAATTTCCCTTACTTCTCCAGAGAGGTGGCCAGGGAAGTAACCCAGCCATTGTGACCCTCGAGGGTGCCGCGAAGGACCAGCTGCTCAGCCATGTTCGGAGTCTGGGAGACGATGGAAGGGGACCGCGAGAGGAGAGAGGAGGATGAACGCGGGCGGAGCAATTGTCGTTGACTCTGGGCTGGGGATAAAATCACAGCGTTCGACGATGGAGGAGCAGCCCAAACCCTAACCTACTTTGCCGGCGCCCGCTTGTTGTGGAATCACGTGGCGGAAAGCCCTAACAAGCGAGTCACGTGGTCTATACCTGGACAGCTATGGGTAGGTTGGGACTTGAATCAGCTATTCTGTCTGTACGGAGTTCTCTATTGATTTGATCTTTCTCATAGAACTTCATTCCTGATGCTATGGCATCTGTGAGACTCATGAGACTCGACTTTATGTCTAGACCGAGTCAACACACAGACTTGACACCTGCAGTAACTGACAATCATGCAATGATATCATCAATTATCTAGCTATCCAGCTATCTAGCTATGTCCGGAGTATAGGAAGTTGGATATCAACTCGACAACTGACCGATATAACCAAAAACCTCATCACAACTTCAATATCACATACCCCATATCTCTCAACGTGCGAACAAAACAAGCAAAACAATCAAATATCTTATAAAATGATACAACAAACAGCGTAGTACATACAATATGTTACAGCATCAACCAGAACCTTTACATCACTTCTCCCCCAAACTCAAGAATCGAACACCTTAATATTCGGCATCCTCCCCAACCCACTCCCCCCGGTCTTCTTATTCTTCGCCGCATGGAACCCCGTGGCGCTGTTATCCTGCACATGAGCCCTCAGCAGATTCAAGACCTCCGAGTCGGCCCATCGAGCCGGAACGGGCCGATATGCAGCCTTGAACGCGCCGACTGTCTGCGTCCACTCCCCGCTCTTGGCCCCGGTGCGCTTCCAGGTCTCCGTCGGCGTGTCCGAGGCCACGCCCGAGGTCTCCTCCTCCGATGGCGGATCCTGCGTCGCCCAGTAGTAGATGTCCCAGTCGTTTTCGTCCAGGAAGCGGTCGAATTCCTCGAGTTGCGCTTTGTCCATCTTGGCGAGGTAGACGTCCGCGAAGGTTGAGAGGAGGAGGTCGGATTCGAGGATGCCGCGTTTGCGGCTTTGGTCTGTGTTTCGTGTTAACATCATCTCTTCATATCTTCATATATCCACAACTAGCGAGTAAGAGGCTAGAAGGGGGAAGGGAACTAACAAAGCAACCTCGCCCTCATCGTAGCCAAATCCTCTCCCGTCCGTTTCAACGGCTCAACCTTAAACGTAATGCCCTCCATCTCACCAACCCCGAGCTCCGGTTTCTGCGCTCCAGGCTGCTGTCTCCCACCCGTGAAGTGCTCGACCTTGCCCGGGTACGGGTCCGCCGGCCTGTAGTCCGGGTCGACCGAGTTCAGCATCTCGGGCGGAGCGGACTTCGCGCCGACCTTGGGGTAGTCCTTGGTCATGGTGGAGGTCGAGTGCGGGACAAATTGGTTGGGGGGCTTCGAGGTCTGGTTCTCGCGATATTGGGCTGTCGAGTCTGAGTCGGAGCCGGAGCGTTCATTGCCATCTTTCGCGCGGATTGCCGAGATGCCGAAGCTGCGACGAGGGAGGAGAGGCGTTGAGCGGATTGACGACGCAGAGGGTCGTAGGATGCGGTGCATGAGTCGCGGGGCGGACATGATGGTCTTTATTTCTCTTGATGGGTTTGTTTTTGAAAGATTGGGGATATCTGGGGAGAGGGAGGCGAGAACTAGAGGGAATGGCGAATGGTTAAGCTATTAGAGCCGATGAATAATTGACGGGATTGACATCATCCGGAGGTAACGGTGCAAGTAGGCTGTTTGTGGTGTTTGCATGGGCCAAACATTGGCCAACCGAGATATGCCGATTTCCAAGATCGAGCATTTCTACTAATATAAAAAGTTCCTAGTAGCCTTCTTCACTGATATGTATTATCCTAACCCTCCTCTAGTCGAGGTTTCCCAATACCTGAGCTCCTTAATCCGGATGTCTAACTGACAGCACCATAACCGGTATGAACAAATCTACAAAACACTATTGCCAAACATCACGCCTCCATTCTCAGTGTATAATTCATAGGATCATAAGTATTCAAACAGTGTAGCGTCAAAGATATGTCCGAGACTACATAAGATCGAAGAAAGACCAACACAACTCGGCACAAAATGCATTGTAAAACTCCGTATTTTGTCATGAAGAAAATATGAAAATAAAGAAGCAACAAACAGCATCAAGCCGCCTTCTTCTTCTTCCCCAACCGGACAGCAACCACGAACGAGAAGGGAAAGATTAGATGAGATGCTTGGATCTATGGGAATCAAAAATCGTTAGTCGCGATAATCTCAAGCCGGTGGTGTGAACAAGATCAACAGGGCAAGAGAGGAAGATAACATACCGGAAATAAGCCCGCAGATAAACCACCTGCCAAGCACCCAATCCCACCAGCATACCCATCGTCCCGAAGGCGAACCATTTGACACGCTCGTTGGTGCTCTCGTTGGTATCGCGCAGCTTCTGCTCACGCGCCCGCAGGTATTCCATCTCGCTAACAACCTCGGCCACCATCTCTTCCATCCGGCGGAGATCGGTCTCAATGGGCTTGAGCTTCTCGTGCTGTTGAATGCTGGACCAGTCGCGGGCGTCGGCGCCGATGTCGACGTCGAGTTCAATGGACCGGTAGAGGTTGCCACCCCCTGTGAGAACCGTTAGATATATATCATCCCAGTAATGCCACGTGGTGGAGTATGGGTTTCCCAGTGGTCTGGAATGGCAATGCCAAAGAGGAGGACTTACGGCCGGTAGTAAGCACGTTCTCGAAGCACACGTCGAAGGAAGTGTCGGCGGGAGGAGTGAATGTCTGACGAGTCTCTCCGATGATGTCCCTAGGACGACCATGTTCATTGCCCAAGGAGTCTTTGATCTGCATCAACCAAGATCAAACCGTCAGCGAAAATAATATTTTTTAAAAAAAGGGTAACAAGTAGAGCTTCATTGAGCGCCGCTCCCCAAAACAACCACCAACAGATCAAACAATCACAGCCCAAAAGAACTGCACCCTTCAGGGAAGAACCTCACATACCTCCATATTAACCTTCTGCCCGTCACCCTTCGCACCACCCACAATAGCAGTCACCTGGACCAGCTGATCCTTATGAGCGAAGTTGCGTATACATCGCTCATTCTTGCCGCTGACAGCGGGGAGGTCGAAATGCAGGGCGGAGGAGAGCTGAACCAGACACAGGAACAGAAGACCGAGGACGGACTTCATCGTAAGCGAAGACCCCATGGTCGATTGGTGGATTGTCGCAGTGGTCGACGCTGGAGGTGTTGGGGAATTGAATATCTTGAACAGCGGCCCATTGATGCCACGCCGCGCTCAAGGGGATCTGTCCGGTGCGGTCGGAGGATCGTTGTTCCGGGATAACTTGGGCCACGCGTTTTCGAATAGATTGGCTGTACAAGGGATTATGACTTTTGAATGGGTACATTTTCAGTTTGAGAGGGTCTTTCAATGATTCTAGCTTCTACTTTTCTAATCTTTTCGAATAAATCATGATAGGTTCAGAAGATATTCATTGTGGACAGATATACTAATCCGTCCAAGCCTAATCCGGCAATATGAAAATATAGTCACCAACAATCAAAATCCCCGTAAAAAGCCGCCAATTTATCCCAAGGTATTGAAAAAAAAAAAAAGAAAAAAGAAAAAAAAGGTCCACCATACTCAGTATAATACCACTTTTGATATCAAAAACAGAAAACAGTCGTGGCAGGAATATAAACCCCAAGAAGAATGTGACAAATGGAGTATAAGAGAAGAGAAGAGGAGAACGGGAACCAAGCCTATACGGTCAATACCAATATAGCAGATCGACAAAGAAGTAGAAAAAAAAAGGTAGATGAAGAAGAAAGGAGTATCACGGCAGGGATATAAACACCAAAAGTAGTTCATCATACGGCTCAGAACGCTTTCAAAGGACACATATCATCGCCAGCATATAGCAATTTCGTGTTTGCATGTCAAAACAAGAAAGGAGATCTCAAACGAAAGATTCAAAAAGAGAAGGGAAAATCGAGAAAGAATGTGTGGGTTCATGTAGCCCATCAAGTTTCAACCTTCTTCCGCCGCACGAACAGACGGGAGAAGCCACTGCTCGATTCTTTGGTCTTGCTCCCAGCATTAGGCGGTGGAGTGCGGACAACAGGAGGCTCCGGGGGACCGGTGCTTCTGAGGAAATCAGCCAGTGCGCTGGTCTCTGTCTGTCGTTGTGTGACGGTAGGCATATTGTAAGGGTTCGACCGCGCTGTTGCATTTCGCTCCATGCCAACCTTAGTGGTGTAGTTCGCCGATACCACAGGAGGGTTACTGGGTGCCGGCTGTGGGCGGAGGGAGGTCCTGGAGGTTTTTGCAGAGGGGCCATTGCGAAGAAGTCGCGCCTTCATCGAGGAAGTGCCGCCAGAGGGGGGTTTTGTAACGGACGCATTCACGCTAAAAGGTTGCGGGGGTCCAGATGTATCTGGTGGTGGTGGAGCGTTCATCAGGAAATCCATCAAGCTCTCTTCCTCGCGCTTGGGGGGTTTCGGTCCTTCCAGAAGCTCCTCAAGATCCTCGTCATCATCAGAATCGATGGCATAAGGATCAGGCACCCGACGCTGTTTTCGGACGGGGACCGGGTCATCAGGTACGTTGACAGGCTCCGGAGCCACCTGAGGAGCTGGTCTCGGAGCACTGGTCTGTACTGGGACCCGGTTTGAAGAATCCAAAAGCCCCGTGTGAGAGCCCACGGAAGTTATAGATTTCGTGGCGTAGGATTCATCCTGGGTACTAATAATCGACGGAGCTTGGTTCTCCGCATAACTGGGTCCTAAGGATTGTAATTCGTCCGAGTCCATGGTATCACGGAAAGGTGCAACGGTACGCGGGATGCGACGGGCCCCAGCAGTCGGCGGGCCCTCCCGAATGAAATCAATCAGATCAGAGCTCTGGTCTCCCTTGGGAGCGACGGCAGGACGAGCCTGCAGTCGAGGAGCGGTGGAGCTGCGGGCCGTGTTCGAAAGAGAGCTTGGAGGCCGAGTGAACTTCTTTGAGAAGTCTGCAGCATCGGAGAACCGACGAATGCGCGACTTCATGGTGCTGGGACTAGGTGGTCCGTTGGATTTGACCGAGTTGGCAAACTCGCGGGTCGATCCAATGCTGGGCTTCATATCACGAGAATGTCCTGGACTTGTCGGCGGCAGGCTCATATTCGATGGCTGGATGGGTTTGTATTTAGGCAGGTCGGAAGATTTGGTTTTGGTTATGGTTGCAAGATCCGCTTGCCCTTTAGCCGTACTGGAAGTGCCAGGTCGTGGTGATCCTGGGGGTGCAGTGGTTTTCAAGAAATCCGCCAGGTCAGCGGTAGTAGATTGCTGGTTTCGCCAACGTGGAGAATCAGGCTCCTATTTAAGTCAGTAATCAAGTTCCCAAACTCGACCGGATAAAGTAAACATACCTCAATCTCTCGCATGTTCCGGGGAGTCAGGGTGAAATGAATTGTCTCCTCGCTGCGGATCAAATCATCCAAGTCCGCTTTTTCGTCATGCGTCGAGGCTCTGCTTGTTTCAGAGGAGCTGCGCAGGAGCGAGCTAGAGTCTCCCTGTCGAACAATCAAACCCTTTATTCTGGTGGAGACCTGCGATGTGGTGGAGCCGGCCGTTACGGGACGCTTATCGCGGTTGCTACTGAAGCTTTCGGAACGGCGAGGCTTGGAGTAGCTCGAAGAGGCTGCAGAAGTCGTCGGTCGCCCAGACAGTCGCTGAACGGCTGCCCGTTCGGTACCTGAGCTGGTGGTGGACACTGCCGGGCTCGAGCGCCCGTAGGGAGTTTGTTGATGGGTACTTCCGCGGTGCAGGGGCAACGGGCTAGGGCGTTGACGAGCCCGCGAACTCTCGGAATACGCACTCTCGGCGGACGACGGCGGTCGGGGGGATTTTTCCTCGCTCGAGTTGTCGGTTGAGAAACGAGGCTGAGGGGTAACAGGGTCCGGGGAAGTCAGATCCGTGTCAGAAGTGCTCGACGCATCGGTGCTGACGGCGGGTTGCGCCGGGGTGGAGTCTCCCCCTTGCGTTTGGGGCGGATCTTCGGCCACGGACTGCACCATTTGTTCGCTGCTGACGGCCGCAGGAGTCGTCGACCTCTCGTTTTTCCGACTGGGCTCCCGGCTCGATTTTCGTCGCGGTCGCTGCACAGACGCCAACTTGGGCTTTTCGGCCATCCCTTGTCCCTCGATGATCTCAGCCTCCGAGTCCGGTTGATTACGGTCACTCAAAGACGAGGCTCTCGTGCTGTTGGCCCGGCTTATCACCACTTCGGCTGAGGCGCCAGAGATCGAAGAGGTTGCGGCTGTATCCTGTCCGGTCGATTCTTCGGGGAAGCTGTCTGTCTCGGACTTCTTCGTGGGCGATTCAACCGAAGGAGAGAGCACTTGCTCCGCGGAATCCATGACGGCGGGTTTCTTATCGGCAGTAGATTCGTCATCTTCGTCGTGTTCATACATGGTCTCCAGCTGCCGTCGCTCCTCCGACGAAGTAGGGGACGGATGGTCGGCGGTGTGTTCGACCTCAGGGGTCTCCTGGGGTGGTAAGGGGGCGCTGGCACCGGGCAAAGACCGCGACCGAGCATGTCGGTGGGTCTTTGCACTCTGCGGTCTTGGGGAAATCGGCGAGGAGCCGTTGAAGGTCGGAGACCGTGGCGAGGGTAGAGTGAGCACCATCAGACTCCGAGGTCGCACTTTGTGCGCCACGACGGCTTCCATGGTTTGAATAACCTCACCGCCATCCGTGTCAGACGCGAAGCCGGGAACCTCAATTTCCTGCACGTCGTGTTCGTTCACAGGAAGCGCGACGGAAGCAGGGTCTACGTCCGCAGGAGACTCGGGCCTAGGGCTGGGTTGTGAACGAGGTGGTAGGAACTCATCCACCGCCAGACTGCCTCGCCGACCACGCACAGGAAGGTGGCCGATCGTGCCGCGACGCCGAATGGATTCGCGAGACGTCGCTCGAGACAAGTTGGGGGAGCGCGTGCGCTTCCTCCACGTGCGCCAGAGTCTTCCCAGGGTCGGGTTCAAAGCTAGTTTCTCCATGTCGAGATCTTCAACGACCAGACGATCCATGGTGCTTCGTTCCGCGCCAGATTCCGTCATTTCACCATCAACTTTGCTCGACAGTCGAGATCGAGCCGTCTCGCCCGCAATCACCAAGGCCTTCTCGCCGAGGTATTCAATGATGTGCGCCAGGAAGATGGCGGCAGCCGGGGTGATGTAGCCGATGTGGCTTGAAAACCTCCGGGGACCATCTTCATCCTCGCCCAAACCGTCCTGTTCGATGTATTCCTCCTCGTCGTCTTCCTCCATATCGCCCAGTCGAGTGTACACCATGCACCGCAAGCGAGTCAACTTCCATGACCGGATGAGATCAAACTCGGCACTCGGAGTCTGGCCGCCAAACTGCTCGTCTTCCGGACCACCCATGTACTCGCTCAGTTCCTCATCTGCGGCCGACACCACTTCCTTCGCCAGTCGAGGCTTGAGAACCTCCGCCACTGCGGGTCGAATGCAGGCCAACTGGGTGGACTTGGAGGAGGCAAGGATATTGTAGAGGAGATGGTCGAGAAAGCCGTTCAAAGCGGAAAGGGCTTCAGGAGTGACGAGAGCGCTGGCTGAGGAGGCATTGTCTTCTTCGTCGGCCACGAAGTCCGCGGCGTTGAACTCCTGGTCAGCGGTGACAATCTGAGCGGCGGCGGAGGATGCGATGAAACAAGGAGCCGGGTTCACGGCGGGGGGTACGAGGAGATGAAGTCGAGGGAGCTGAGAGTCGCTAGACATGCTGGTACTGCGCGAGCGCGAGACCGTCCTCCCCAGATCGAGAGATTCGGGTCCTTTGCTGGACTGCATCATGACTATATGTGGGGATCACATACAGTGACCGTCGGGGTTTGTTATTTCTTATTGCTTATTTTTCTGACCGTCAAAGGCGTCGGAGGATATAAAGGGTGTCAAAAAGATGGTGTGGAAGTGTTGTGTGATTCGAGCTCCGAGAGTTTCAAGAACACATAGGTCATCCTAGAACCATGAAAAGCGAAAGACTTCCTTTTTCGTCAGTCAGCCTGAATTTCTAATTAACACAGCCCGTTTGGGGGCGCTTCCGCCTTTTCCTGCATGCACGTAGTATTCTGCCCCAGGCGAGTCTGACGTTTTCCAAATGACTGCATTCAAGCCAAACTCAAAGGGGCGAGAAAGCAGGAAAAGAAAAGGAAGATGAACAGGGATCTGGCAGATGACAATGCAGCCCGGACGAGTTGGAGTTGGTGGCGGTGATGGGGGACAAAAGGGAATTCAAGATCAAACAGCAAAAAGCAATCAAATAAAAATAAAAATCAGAACTAGACGTACCTGTGTAACGATGGGAATCATCAATAGAATTAATCACTCAGCACAACGGTGACTATTCGGAAGATTCAAATTTGCATCATTTTTGTCCTGGTGCCAGTACCGTGGGAATGGGTCAAAGATCAATTAAGACCTCCAGCGGAGTCCAGGGGAACGGGTCAGTCTGGTAGTTCGAGAAAAGAGAAAAAGAATGAACGAAGGAGGGTGAGATAGAGTTGGACTAGGCAATCTTATTATTATTATCACTCAAACCCACGCGGAGTGAAGAAGCAAAGGAGAGGAAGGAAGGAAAATGAAGGACGTCAAGTCAAATTCAGGAGTTTAACTGGCGATGTCGACAGGGACCGTCCGAAGTCAATGCTCATACCTCATTGGAATGGATATTATGATTTTTTATTATTACTACTATTTGATTTTCTCCGTCTGTCTTCTACTCCCGAGGACTACTAAGAGGTGCACTAAGTCACTAGCGACTTGCAGAATCAGGAGACAAGTGGAGCCCAGGTACCAGATAGCGTACCCTTTTTTCTGGAGTTGGTGGACATTCGGACAACAAATGAAAACCAACCGCGAGTCCCCCTCGGGTGGATAGGGGGGCAACTTGGGTCGGAAGATGAATTCCAGAGGGAGCGAGAGAGCGGGCGAGGGAGAGACATGGTCTTTGGAAGTTGTCCGTTGTCCGTTGTAGGATTCGAGGAATTATGCCTCATTGTCTAGGTATCCGTGTCTACTCCGTAACCTGTCTAGCGGCTTTCGGGACATCCGTGTCGGTCAAGTCTCAGAAGGCAGCACGAGTCGAAATCCGGAGTTTCACCAGGCACGAGGGACTCCTGATCGACATTGGTCTGGTCTTGCCACAAGGTCTCCAATGACAACGGCCCATGGCCGGAGAGGCGACGGCGCTGCTGTTAAGCTAGCCAGGAGATCCATGGAACCGCGATGAACCGCCGATTAGAATGTACTCAGAAGATGGGATCCAAATATTTCATTGTTCAAGGAAAGGGAAAGTTCCGGGCGAGCGACAAAAACATCCACCAACAGAAAGGATCGGAGGCAAATGCAGAGAGGACACCAAGACGGCGAGAGAACGTGGGAAGAGAAAGAAAAAGAATGTCGATCTCCGAATGCCGCACTAACGACGCTGGACCCCACTTGGGCCAAGCGCGGCGAAACCCTACCAGGGGCGCTAAACCCCTTTGGGCAAGAAAAGGGGCGCCAGGATGTGCCGACCGCCCGGATGCCTCAGGTTTGCCTTTTTTTTCCTTCCTCCGGGAACAATAATAGTCAATCCTTCTTTCTTCCAGTCTTCTACGGGCTGCTCGGTACTTAGCATTATTATTGATGATTTCTCATGCAGGTTGATGCAGTGGGAGGCACAGTTGGGCTTATGTCAGATCCTTCCCACGGCACCTTTCTTCGGCCGATACGAGTATTCATGGTTGACCTAAATCTTTGCGTTCCATCCAAACTTCGGCGCTCCCATCTTCTCGGATTTGGAGTCATCCATGATCCATCCCCTCCGCTCAAACTTAGTTTAACCACTATCGATTCCGATCGGGTTTTCTGGTTGGGCTACGAACCCGGTATACGGACGTTGATCCACCATCCGACTGCCTTTTGTTTCCTGGCCCTTCGAGAATCACCTTATTTGTCTCTAAAATGTCGTTTGACGTCGACTGGTTTAGTGGTAGAAGGTCCATCTGACCGTTGAGAACATTATCTGATGGGGCTGGTCACGTCTATCTCGGTTTGGCTTTCTTTCCACGTCCAGAACAAAGAAATCGTTCGTCAGAGCGATCTCCCTCTTGTCAGGGTCGATCATCCATGATGTACCCTTCAGCACCCACCACTTTCTCCTCATGATATACGAAGCTAGGACAAAGTCCGACAAATAAGAACGAGGCAGCGTCGCAGCGAACATCCCTATCCATCCCTAGTCCGTACGTGTACTCGCCGCGGACTCCGTTGACGCAAACCTACGAGGTTTTGCCTATCTCGTGCTGGTTCCGAACCCAACTATTAGAAATACACCAGGCGCGATTAAATTAATTCATTTCAATTCCGTCATCGCACCTTCGCAAGCCTTATCCTTTCCGGTAAGGCGGCAACCTCGGGACTAGGCTTACAGCGCGCTATCAACCACATCTCAGGGCTCCGATTCCAATCTCAATAATCGTAATGTCTCGGGTAAACCCCCGGTGTCCTTCTGTACTCTCATTCGACATGTGGAATGCGCTCTGTACGGAGTAAATCAATTGGGTGCAGTGGTGGGTCGGAGGACCCATGTGGTTTCTAATCCAATAAATCCGGCACTGGGTCAGGGCAATGAATGCGTGCCTGAGCCAATCAATTGGCTATCGTCCATCATGCGCCCACTCTCCAGCTGAGGGTATGCGTTCGGGGTTCACCACCGATCTATTGAGCGGGGAACAATACAGAACCATGGTTGAGCTGGCTTCGATGGACCGTGTCTGACCAAGGCGGCGGATAATGAGCACTGGTAGGCTGATTACTGATCTGGTTGGAGTGAGCGACAGAGCGAGGTACGTGCATGCTGCATGGTAAACTCGACCGCATCAGAATAATTTCTTACGTGCAGGTCGTCCGTGGGAGCCGGAATGCACTGCATGGATGTGCGGACAGACGAGTCAATATCAGATCTCAGCTGAGATCAGCTCGTTTGTGCAACACGTGTTCGGCAAAAGCAATAACAAAGAAAACGCAACTACCTAATTCTATCGAATAATGGCTACCAATAATGCTACCACATCAATAATCAACCACCTTTGAGTCGTGACCTTGTGACTCGCAACGAGCATTGCCCTATTGCGGTATGGACGGCTGATATTTCCCCCCTTTCCTTTGTCTTCGGATTCCCACCTACTCAAAATAGTAGCAATCCTCAATAGATTCATCACCCGAATCATGTACCCCGTTGGACACGAGGCTCTTCGATTCAGGTATTTCTCCGTAGGCGGGAATTAACTGCATCGAATGATCCACTGACCCTCTGAGTTTAATGATTTAATCGTCATCTGCCGCATTAGGCACGGAGCATAATATTGATGGAGATGAGATGTCCCCAGAATTTGTGTGGCCGACTAGCTTTGTTTAACATATATTAACTAATTAAGTATGGTCTTTTCTTTGTTATTTACCTGTGCTGGACTGCTGGTGCGTAAAACCAAGTCCACCACGGGAACCCCGCTGTAACCCTATCGATATGCTCTGCATAACGAATAACGATGAAAGAAGTCAAGAGCATAAGACGCTTACAAAGTAAGCTTCACGCTGGCTTTAATCGAGTGTTGCATAATATCCTCCTACAGGGTACTGTGCACGGTGTACAGAACATATCCTTGCAAAACACCCACTACTCCGTACCCCGTAGATATATACCAGCTCCACATATGAATTAAATCAAATAGAAATTAACCCAACACCACCCAAATACCACCGCACCACCGCAATTAAAAAAACTAAAAACCCTCCTGCATCCCACATTTCAATCAAGACGTCTCATCCAATCCAACGGTCTCTGTACCACCCATCATTCTGAAATCATATCATGATCGGCGCACGGCTCGGATTCCCAGCCGTCCTCGCTGCATCTCGCGCCCGTCTCCACTCCTGCATGCATCTCGGCGGTCTCGACTCTTCTATCTGTTACAGATTCGCTTCGGGTGTGTCGACGCTTTCGTGTTATTTGTCGGGGGTGCAGGCGTAGGGCATATTGAGTACGGTGTAGTGTTAATGTTAGGCATTTTCGGTGGTGTTCCGAAGGGATTGGCTGGCTGGCTGGCTGGCTGGCTGGCTGCATCACACGGGCTACGTCTAGAGAATGAAGAAAGAGGAAGAAAAAGAAAGTAACGATTTGCCCCATCTTTGTCTCACGTCGAGGTTGTCAGGGATGGTGGTTTAGATTCTAAGGTCTCGATCGGTCGAGGTAAGGCTCCCTGCATACGGATTGCTCTGCACCTTAGGTATAAGTAATCCAATTCCCTGTGATCGGGAAGATTTGACCAGGATGGCTTGAGTTGAGCGATTATATCAGATCGGAACTCACGGAGGCAAGGTCATCGTTTTGTGTTACGCTGGCGACTTGGTAAGTGAGGATGGGATGAGTGGGTTTTCAGTTCTCGTTGCTGTGCTGGGTCTGGGTAGTTGTTTCGTACGAACGCTGCCTATGCCTACGCTTCTACTATGTCGCTTGTACGACCTGCCTTTCCTTTGTGCTTAAGGTCGGTTTCTTCAGACCTCTGGCTGGTCATAGATGACGTTTTTCTTTGTTTCAGATGGAATAGGTCGGCTGGATGGATATGGAATGAGGGGCATTAACCTGCGTAAAGACTCCATTCCCTTGTCTATATACTGGTTCACAGTTTCGTACCTTGTCGCCGTGCGAGAGATTGGTGAGATGGGCGATTCTTCCTGCGAGGGCCTCTCCAAGATCGATCAAGGCAAATAATCCGCTTACACAGCGTTATGGACTTCTCGTCTCTAAGTGACTCTGATCTAGAGTAGACTCATATTGAGCATTAACATCTACCCAACATCCCCAGATCCATCAGAACTACCGACCGCATGGTCTCGACCAGCTGCATACCGATCATTCGCTTGCCTGATAAACTCATCTCGATATTCTTTAGCCAAGTCTCTGCTATTTCGATAGGCATTAAGACCCTGCTGATAGTACTCCGGGCTTCCATCTAAACACCATTTCCCGACCTGAGTCATCATATAGTCAGTGGCACAGTCTTTACTCTCAGATCTTCTAGGCCGAATCGCGTAGATCCCCAGAGTTCCAGCATGATAAGTAGATGTTATAGTATAGGCTTGCTTATCGTAATTGTAATCGTTCCTTGTTCGATTGTCGCTGTGTCGGGTGCTGTTATTGGGTTGTTCAACTCCATGCCCATGTCCATGCCCATACTGCTGCAGGGAATGCATCCCCCGTGCGCCCAAAGCACCAGCATACAGAGCCTGGAGTCTAATCACAGCAAAAGACCTATCGTGGCCCTTTGCCTCGACGAAGAAATTCGGCGCGATAGGCCGATTGCTCCGCCTTGTTGGGATGATTGTGTCGCTTAGCTGCTCGCGAATTCTAGGATGAAGCTGGTCGGCGCGCGCGCCGTGGTAGAAACTTGGTTTTGCATTCGGTAGTGTGCCATCCGTTAGCGGCGCGAGGTTTTTGAATGCGTGGTTGGTGCCGCAGGAAGCTGGAGCTTGATCTTGGATTCGATCATTATGAGCATGATGATCTTGCTGTGACTGCTCGCCTTGACCTTCGAGAATCGGAAGAATGTTCTTGATAACTAGCTGCTCGTCCACGGCCTGATTATCGATTCGTACAAATTGCTCGTATTCTTTTTCTAGTTTTTCTTCTGATAATGCGAGTGAGGGTCTTGGGGCGCGTATTCTGGCACGGATTTCGGCCCTGTTCGAGGGCTCGCTGGGCGAGGTATCATCTGGGTATATAAACGATGGTAGGAATACGCCGTGGTCTATTAGGTGGCTCTTGAAGTGTCGGTCGTATACTGTCGTGCTTTCGACCTTTGTTGTCGGTGACGAGGACGTTGTATGCGTTGGTGTAGAAGGAGGGCGCTTCGATCTGGTATTGGGGTTTGTAGAGGGAGACATAGAGTAATGATTGAAGTGGGCTGGTACGGGATACTAGGTAGGAATTATGCTGGTTAGCTGATATACTTACATTACGGTCAGTGGCTGAAGGGATGTTAGGCAGATGTATAGCTCACGTCTCTAATATCTGATAGATCTGGTCCTCCGCTGCGAGACAGTTTTCTGACCTCTTGTAAACAAGCAGTGGAGCAGTTGCGCAGGAAATCAGAAGCAGAAGTTTGGGGATTAGATGTAGATGAAGAGGTTTTCTTTGGAGACAATAGGAGATTGTGTCGGCGGTCATCTTCTCTCAGCGCGCTCTTAGTCAAGTATAATTCTGTGAGTTTATCCCAGAATTTCGGAGGAGGATGAAAGGTACGGCGCTTCCGTGGTCGATTTTGGTGTTTGAAGGACGGCATGTAGGAGATATGTTAGCGAGAAAGACTATAGGGAGTACTGAGTAACATCATGGCTGTCTGCTCGTTTTATGCTGCGCCTGCATTAATAAAGAGATCTTGTTGAGACAAGCTGGCTGGTCGTGTTCTGGGTTAGAACAAAGGATGACCCATAACACGACGTGAAGCCCATCTCAGAGGATTCTGAAAGGGAAACTTGAAAGAGGCGTACATGATCGTACGCTTCTGCTGTATGTAGTTCTTATTGATGGTCAGTTTTTAGGCAAGAATTTCTGGGGCATATTGGAAAGGGCCTCTGCTGTACTCCGTCCCAGATGTTGCATGACATAGAAGAAGAAGAATTGTCTTTACCAGGCCTCTTTGAAGTGCTCGGTGACTTTCTCTTTGTCTTAAGATGAAAGTCATCTAAGTGCTCTCTAGAGGCTCCGATATATACTTATGTTAGTACTTAGAGAACAGCTTTTTGGACAATTATCTGGTACCCTAGATGGGTGTTGGAAGATAGTAAATTCGGCTCTAATGGTGGTGCTGCAGATAGATCCTAGATCCATATCGTAGATAAACTGCGGCCACTGTCCTTCTCAATGCTGATTTCACAGGCTCTCACATTCTAATTGTGAGAACTGAATAAAGACACATCTTATCCAAGTCTAGAGATGTAAATCATCTCGGCTCCGACTATATAGCAGGCCTGATGATGGTGGGCCTAAACAACAGCGTCGTAAGCACAGGAATGCTCAAACGTCATTACGGTTCCAATCTACCGGAATTGCTGAAGAGATGAACAACAGGGGTGTACTAACTGTATCCCCAGTCCCCACGCTCTATCGCTCTATCGCTCTATTGCATGATGTGTATCCCTCAGGCACGCACTAGTAAGCACGAGCAGAGTGGGTCACCCTAAGGCCACCTTTCCCCATCCACTTCCCTGACAGTTGAACCTGACAACAACCTCAAGCCGGCCGCATCTTTTAGCAATTCAAAAATGAAAAGTCCAATGAGCCGAGTGGTCTTACTCTGAAGTCGTGATCGCACGCACTATCTATAAAACTAGTGCCACTAACGTATCCCATCAGCTGACGTCAACCCCCCGAGATCGAAGTCCCTCCGAGTCTCCGAGCGACAATAGGAGAAAAAAAAAATTGTCCGTTAGGATGGGTCCCGGCTCCAGTCTATAGAAAATAGAGCCGCTATTTTTAGTCTTACCCCGAGCTTCCATGCATTGTAAGCGCTTCGATTCAGGGTCTATTGCCCGGTCACTTACGCAATGCTTCTATAGTGTGTACAAAAATAAATCGATTTGGCCTCGTTGGGGGATTATTTATGGGAGGGTAGGTAGGTACATAGGTAGATAGTTTGCTTGTTTGAATACCTATTCTGTCGTTCGTTTGGAGGACGATTGTATATCCTAGTATTGAGTACTACTAGTTAGTTCGTTTGTTTGTTCATATTATTCACTCCATCAATTTCAATGTCGGGTCTACTATACGCCTCCGGAGGCCGCGGCCTACCACGCTACTTCTTCCTTCACGGCAGCCACGAGCGCACCAGCTTTCCTGACCAGGTCGAGGTCGAAGCAAATGTCGTTAGCTTTTCAGGGAGTGGCAAGATGTATGTTCTTTTTTACTTATCTTATGTGTTATTCAAACCATCTGTCTTCTATGTCTTGTCTTGTCTTGTCTTGCGTTGTCCATCGCACATCCACCCGCCCAATTCCCACCCGACGAAATCCTAACGCTGTCCTCTTCTCTCGTTAAGAATCTCCGGCGATAACAACGAACCCATATCCCAGAAATACTGCTTCTTCAATGGCGCCCTGACGCATACGGACGGGCAAGCCCAGGCGCCCGTTCCTGCCCGAGAGTTCGTCGAGACATTGCTGAAGAATATCAGCGTTCCTGCTTTGATATTGGTTGAGGTACCTCATAGGTGAGTGACTACCTATCCACCTCTACTAAATAGATCCAGTCACTGAGAAATCCCACGCGAAAAGTGAACAATCAACCTCCCAAGAACAAGAACCTAATGAAACCATCTACGTGTATGTATATCACCCCCAACATAACATCATCCCCACGTCCTCTACCCCTCTCTCTCCCTCCCTAACCAACTAACCAAAACCCAAAAACAGCGCCATATCCGTCCTCGGCCGCAGCGATCTACGAATCTGCGTCGGCGAAGAAAGACGCTACATCGCGCGCATGATGCGCGTCTTCGTGCCCCGCTTCACACAAGCCATGGCTCAGCGAAGCGACGAATATCTTCCCGGGGATGCGCAAAATCTGTGCAAGGAGATTGCGCATGATATGGGGGCGTCGTTAATTCATGATACCAGCAATAATCCTAACAGTGACGGTGATGAGGGGGATGAGGAGGGCGACGAGGAAGAACTAGTCGGTTTCCTACACCTCTACCGACAACGGTATCTGGGGAAGTCCGGGACAGAGAGCGGGTACTTGGATATACTAGAGGCGTGCTTGCTGCATGTCTTGAAGATGCCGTTCGACCTGGAGTCGTCGGTGCAGCAGGGGTTGATTCGTTATTGAGCTGTTTGTGGGCATTGGATTTCCGGGGTCTGAGGGCTTTGTTTCTGTAGATATTTTTTGTATGTATATAAGTTGGGTAGAGTGAGAGAGGATTTGAGGGGAACGTCGTGATAATTGTCAACTCGAAAGTATAGAAGACTAGATCTGGCAAAGTAGGTACATAGATGGCAGAACAAGCTAGACTGTCAAGTGTTGATCATTCATAGCAAATGATTGCTTCAGTGTCTTTTATGCTAATTGCGGCTGCATCGAAGATTACGGATAGCTACAGGATAAATCCTACCTACAAGTACCAAGTTGAACTCTAGATTGTCATATTGTTCAATCAATCGTTGAATACTGCAAGCTAAACCCCGCTAAAGCTTTTACAAATTTTTATCGTAAGTCATACATAGAAAGTTCATTTTCCACCGTTTCCACAGATTTTTTTCTTCGAGATTTTTAATTTTCTGTTGTCCTGGTCTCTTCAGTGATTTGTTGGAGCTCACTGTAGGCTCTCAATGGCAGACGTAAGGCCTCCAATGGTCAAGTGCAAAGCCAACACCGCCCGCGAAGAAGCTCAGCTCCTCGGGGCTGATGAGGACCTCGTCGGTGGCCAGCCTTTCTGAGAGGAAGCCCTCTATCTTGCCCATCAAATAACGATCAAGGCTTTCCACGGCCCCAGGTCGCCGCAATGAAAGCCCCTTTGTGTCGTTGATTGTGACAAGTTCGTCTAGTTCCTCTTCAGTGACGAGGTTGTGAAAGCTTCCGATGACATGGTTTAGAGCCTGGTCGATGTAGATATAATCGGGGTCTTGCGAATCCAGGTATGGCGACTGAGTGCGCCCCGCTTTGACTTCTTTGGTTCGCGCACGAAGGCGCGCCTTGTAATCAGGGTCGGCGATCCCTTGGATGCCATGCATGTAGGCCGCGAATAGGCGCTTATCCAGGTCAGCCACATCGCTGGGATGCTCTTCTGGCAATTCTTTGATATGATCAGAAATTTGATCTTCATCAAGATCCTCGTCGTCCATGTCAACATCAGACGAGTCGCTCTCCGCGAAATGGAGTCTCCCAGAAGCACGGGCAAGCTCCATCATTTCATGGCATGTCATTCCGGTCTGGGGCTCATCGTCTTCGTCATCGGCGTCGGAGTAATACGGAGCCTCGATATAAGAGACTTCCGGAGCAAACCGAACGCCGGTCGACTCAAAAGAGACAAAGGAACATTCGAGCGAGTCAGCTTCGTCCTCATCATATCCGAACACAATGTCAGATCCATCAGAGACAGACTCATCAGTGTCATCCTCCCATGCGGTTTCGTAGTACATTTCATCGTCACTTTCATCATCGCATCCATCCATGAGAACATCGTCATCCTCACTTTCAGATGATAAGTCGGATGCATTAATGCATTCACCATCAGACATTTCATGAGATCCATAGCCCGACTCCGATCCCTCTTCGGGTTGGGCGCATGGTCTCTTCAAGATGGATTTCAAGATGGGACGAAACGGGGCCGTCAAGGCAGTAGTCAGTGTCTTTGTTGCAATCAAGTTGGTCGAGGTCATAGAGACCTCGTCCGATGCATAACAGCTGTCCTGCGAAGTGGTAGAGCATTCAAGACGTGAGCAAGTCGAAGAAAAGGATTCCCAGGACGGTTGGTTCATGTTTGTGGCAATCATTGTGACTGGGGTTCTTGATTCAACGGCGTTCTTTTGGCCGTATTAACCGAATTCAAAGACGATGTGCAAGATAGGGATATAGAGCTGCGCAAAATTTCCGCTTGTGCTAACCTGAGCAACCAAGGTGGATAGAAGGGGCTTTGTGATTCAAAAGCGAATAGACCGTGCTGTTTGCGATCAAGATAGATGAACGGCTTCGAAGGCCTTCGACAAACGAGGAGGGATCCATAGCGAAGCTAAAGCGTGAACGAAGTGTTCAACTAGTGGAAGGCGAGGGAACCCTCAATGGGAGAGGCCTTCTGAGACATGATTGATGATATTACTTCGAAATTTGATCGTTGGGGGTTTCAAGATTGTTGCGCATGCACTTCTGTTGGTAGCTTTCGACTTTCCAAAACGAACACAACCCTTTCAGCTCCTTTCTTCTGATCGAAACGATGGATTTTCCGATGTTATACATATGTATTGTCGGATATCTAGATCGTGTAAACGGATCTTGTCGTAGAGTAGGAGGGTCGGAATAACGCCCTGTCGCGACGCGTGGGATCCTAAATAGGAAATAGGCACGACTTCACGATATATGAAAGCCTGTTCGGTAGGTTTCGAGCACTTAATTCGCGTTAATCGAGCGCGAATGATGGAAAGCGACCTGGGTTTATTGAGTCATACCCACTTTTCGTGGGATGTGTGGATGACTTCGGCGGGGGTACGAGGGGTAAGGATCAAAAGAGTACCGGTTCCAGTCGGGTCAGAGTTCGGACGAGAAGTTCAAAACGGTGATAGAATGTAGTGTGTGTTGATGGTATATGGGGATAATAATAAAAGCGACACTATATGGGGGTGGCGGTTAGCACCTTTATAAGCGCTGAAGAGAGAGGAGAGAGAAGAAAGGGAAAGAAGGAGCAGGCAGTTCCCGGTGACCAGCCTGACTTTGCAGTCAGATTTCCGTCATCATCAGCGACTTTCCGGCAGTTGCCTCCCTCTCTCTGCGGCCTTACAGTCGGCCCGGCGTCCGACCGGTTGCCCCGGGTGGCTTAGCGCCGGTCACGCCTAGTATTGTTCCCTAAGCGAACGTCATGCTGACTCAACTTCCGATCGATGTTTCCGGACGCTTCCAATTTGGTGGTTGCCGTGCTCCGTATTCAGTGCGTGTGTACGTAGATTGATCCCTTCACTCTAAACAATTACCTTCTGTCTAATTTGACCAAAGATGCGGAATCATTGAGGGAGGAAATGTTTATATCCAGGATCTATTCCATGTCTGTCTAATCCATTGTGCGACATCTTGCATTCATCGGATCATTGATTTGCGGTGGCTTGTGGTAAGGGTCAGGAGTCAGTAGTACCTTATTTGGGCGTATCTGGCTTTCCTTGCATTTTGATCATTTTCGATCACAAGTCAATACTATCCCAGTGTCCCTGGCTCCCTAGGGTCCTAGACAGAGCAATTATTGATGCTGGGGGTCATAGGTGGAACTAAACGGGACGACCAAGCACCCGATCAGGATTAGACTGATCCAATATAGATGCCAAGCGGATTGAAGACTCGAATCATTGTGATAGATCAGATTATCAGAGTCGTGCAGGACGCATGGCCCAAACGGACCCCTTGTTCGAGGGCTCCTATTCTTTCAATCCAATATTCTTACTAGTAGTGGGCGTCTTCCAGGTCAATGCATAGTTGAGCACATTAACTGCCCATTATAACAGGTCCACGTGATCGGGGCCGCTACCAGTCACATGATTGCCTTAAAGCGGCATCATCTGCAATAGGAAACCACGGCTTGACCAGCAGGATCTTAATCGGTACGGAGTACCTATTCATCATTTCATTGTGCTTGCTTCTGTTTCTCGATTAAGCATTGGTCAAGGCAAGCTATTACTATCCATCTAATTGACGGCTTCTCTAGTGATCGAATACTCCCAACTTCCCTTTGTGGGAATAACCCTTGCGAGAAGAGTCAGGAATGCTTTACTGCAGGAACAGAACAGGACACGAGCCAATTGCTTTGTGACTTACCCAAAATACAAACCAGTCGCTGATCGCCCTGTACCTACAGCGTTAGGACTCTAAGCAAAAATAAAGAATGCTTCTATTCATGTTCCATGCTATGGGTAGGCTGGACATTCCTGCCAGTGGCTGTTGCCACACTCTGGCATTGGACGAGCCCCCTGAGTCGACACGGATGTTCTTGCCCACCTGAGATTCCGCTTGCGGATCTTGAAGTTCCCCGAGGCCTCGAATTGGCTCTCTCCTTTTTCGGAATCGCTTTTTGTGTTGCTCTATACGGGTTTGCCCGCTACCCTGTCAGTGTGACTTCTTGGAAATCATCAAGGAGCTGAACCGTGGCTCTTCAACAGGGGTCGAGCACAAAGCAGAAAAGTGTTCAACAAAGAAATGAGAAACCGGACTAGTCCCTGTGAGTTTCTACTCCGTACAGGCTCTTTCTACAGGCTCTCGGAAGAGATCAATGCTCTGCTACTGGACTAAGAACAAAGAACCTGCGGGTTCCCGCCACCCTCCGTGTGGGACTCTTCAGTCAATAGGGACAGCCCAATTGACGAGTCACTGTGATAGTGACTTGCATATTCGGAGAATTGAAAAAAGCATGAATTGGCTGCTCAATGCAAACAGCGTTATCCTCCACAGACGCGAGAAGACCGTGACGCGTTAATGGGTGATAATAATAGAAACTTGCGTCTACAAGATAGGGCTATGATTTGCAGATCGTTTTGTGTGGAAAACTGCAAGTTAATTGATTCCCCGTTGGAATACGTGGCATGAATCGCCAGGTGGTTCGGGGGTTCCAGAACTCGGTTTAGTGCATTGTTGCTGGGGGGTGCACATTCCTCCCAGCCCCAAAGCAAAGTGATATCCGCTCCAACCTTATGAGCGTCAGTGCACCAAACACCCGGGAAGTCTCTGCTCCACCATTCCGGAGAAGCTCACGGAGAAGTCGAGACGCGCGAGAGGGAACAGGGTGAAAGAAAGGAATTGCAGGCCCCTCAACTATAGAACCACACATATGAGGTAATCCCATATGACGTTTACATTTCAAAAACTCACCTACCACGGCGGAATATTTCTCCCAGACTGCTTCTCAAACTCAGCCAGGATCTGTGTGATTGGTGATCCCCTGTTGCATCTGCGGCCTGATCATTACCCGGCTTCGATTACTAGAGGGGTGTTATCTCGTCGTCATTGGTTTGGATCCTACCCGGACCCCCAAGGCCCGCACACCGCGCACACACACCTGTCCTGCTGATGCTATCCCCTCTGTTTCTGGCATAGTGAAGGTTACATTCCGACGGGTGGCCATTTGGGTCCCGAGCCCACTCTGAATGAAAGTGTGGATGGAAGAGATGGAAAGTCCATTCAGCCACCGAACTATCCGGATGCTCTGATTGGCAGTGCCGCTCGTGCGAGGAGAATTATAGCATTCCACGTCGATCAATGGTGGGGAGGTTCCTTCAGGTCCATTAGATCGCATTCCTTGGCCATCTTTAGAGCAGATGGAATGTGTGCAGAATCCCAGAGGCTGGAAGGCCTGTGGCGGCACTTCAAAAAGGGCGACTCCTCTGTTGTTTGTTTGCTTTGTCTACTTTGCATCTTGTGCAGTGTTTTCTTTGATTGACAAGTTATCAAACTGTTCCTACAGTCCAAACATTCCATCATCACCCAAACACCCTGCTGGAACCCCGGCTCGCCTTCCGAGCTTCCCTTTAACCCATCTCTACCATTCTTTGGGTGACTTTCCCTCTGCCTGTACTATTTCCGCCGGCCTCTAGGCCAATCATCTGAACTTCTGCTGCGTCAAACAGCCTTTGACACCTTCTCTCATTGTCGCCGCAAACGGAAGGTGACCGCCGTACCTCACTCCCCCAAGATGTTCGCCCAACCTTTCGACCATTCGTTCAATGACGATATTTTCCAGTACGTCAATATGGACCCTACAAATGCCGACGGCAACAAAGACGTTTCATTTCATGGAGACTTTGATCAAATATTCGCGCTCGACTCATTGTCTAGCGATTGTGGCGACCTGTCACCCACCATCTCCGCCTCCAAGCGGGCCCAGCAGTCACCGCAACCCTGGGGTAGAGACCTTTGGTCTGTTCCGCAAGACGTCAGTTCTTCTACAGGCCAAGCACCCCTTGCTTTTCAAGACACCATCCACCCCGCGGCCGTTGCGGATCTTAACGTCAACCTTGAAGCTTCTTCTCCAAACCCCCCGGCAAAAACTCGCTCGCCGTCTACTCCCCCGGCCACTCCTCAACGCAAAGCCAAAAGCGCCTTAGTCACTCCCAAATCAACCGGCCATCGTCGTGACACCCATGAACGCCGCGGCCTTTTGCGCAAACAGAGCTTCTCCCCCAGTATAGTCCGCTCCTCTCAACTCCAAAAAGGCAGAATGGCGTACCCGGAAGCTTGGGCTCAGCGCTTTCAGAACTTCAGCTTGGGTAGTACGGATGATCGTTTGCCTTTGTCCCCACCGCCCTCCGATATTCTGGTGCAGCACGAGAATATGTGCGCCGACCACACTGCCCAAATGACACACCATGGGGACTCCTCTGAGATGGCCAACCCTTTCGACTCGGCCATATTCAACGAGTCCCCCGCTATCTCGATGCCATCTCCATCTGCCGGGGCGCTAGCACGACAGCAACAACGGTATTTGAGTCAGTCGAACAACTCCGCCATGGCCACCTCCAGTCCCCCCTCAGCGGACGACATTTTTTCTTCTCCACATTCCTCGGACCCTCAGTCCATGTCCTCGTGGCATTCCGATTCCCTTGCTACCTCTGGACTTCCATTCACACCCGATCTGCAAAGCCACGATGCGCAAGCGTGGTGGTCTCCCATGAACTCACGGGTTGCCCAGCGACATTCCTACCCACAGATGGTCGCGTCCCCGACCCCTCAGAGACCGATCCAGACCCCCAACAACCAGCACGACATGCTGCAGGGCGGTCTGATGATTCAGTTGGATCCTTCATCATTTGACATGCCGGGTGCTGCAAACGCGTCATTTGCCGCACCGCAGATGCCATCCGTTCCTAATGCCCAGGGAACTCAATCATACACACATGCTCCCACGACACCACAGAAATTTGTGGATCCCTCCTACGCACCTCAAATGCATAATTCGTCCTCGCGGTCTCCATCGCTGTCCCCGACGGCAACCGGATCGCCCAAGGGCATGCGCAACATGAAGACCCCTCCGCGCGGTCGTTACCAACAAAGAAAGATGTCATCCCAACCTATGAGCGCTCCCAGGCCGGCCAAAAGTTCGGGCGGAAGCCCTAGGGGAGCCGGTAAATCGGTGACGGTATCATTTGTGAACTTCACCCCTCACGACAAAAATAAGATCCTCACGGGAGTTGCTCCCAGCGGAAGCTCAAAAACGAAAGCCCGACGGGAGCAAGAAGCCCGTGATAGACGACGCAAGATGGGCGAGGCCGCTTTGAACGCGGTCCGGAAAGCAGGCGGCGACGTCGAGGCTTTAGAGGCAGTTTTCTGCTGAGAATCAAGCATTGGCATATTATACACATATAATATCTGTTCTGTTGTGTTTTGCTTTGCTTTATATTTGTGTTTCTCTTTTTGCTGGTTTCATATACCTCTCTCGTTTTTTGGCAATGGTCGTTTGGCGCTTGTGTTTGAAAAAGGAACTTGGCGTTTGGATTTCAAAATGTTAGATCATCTTTTTGGGTCTTTCTGGAGCGATTTATACTACAATACGCATTCTAATAACTGAGTCTAATTCATTTAATATCTCTTCAAACCTTCCCAGTAAGGTCTTGTAGAACCGCCCGATCGATGCCTTAGGGCTTTCCCCAGGCACCTGATCTCCACCTGCAACCGTCCAATCGACGAGTAGATGATTGTCATGACTTGACGCCAGTTCCCTCAGTTCAGTCCATCGTAATCGTCGTTTTCTTTATTATCAGACTATTATACAGTATGGGAAAATAAATGTATCTGAGTATGATCAAATTGACGCCGTCCCCAATGCTTTTATAATTTGCCAAATCACAATGAATCAATCCCACACTATGCCATGTCCTCGATGTGCTTGTAGGTTAGGTAGACGAGAATGGGGAACTGTGATAGCCGGGTTCTGCTATCAAGTCGAGACTGTTAAGGAACCGGCCGCTTCGCCCGACCCGTATGCCGTCCCAGATTGTATTGTGCAACCTGAAGGCCAGAGCGAGGGGTATTTGAAGAGAGAGAGAAAGATCGCTTTCCCGTACACCGCTGCTTCATCGCCCCGACGCCTTCGGCGACCAGGAATCCGGCTGCCAGTTCTCGCCCGGCGACCCCCTCGCCTTGGCCCATGGATCCTCCTTCGCGGCCGGCTGTTTCTCCATCTCGTCCCGTTCTGCAGCGGTCTCGGTCTCGGCCTCCTGTGCCGGCGCATTCATCGTATCATCGCTCGTCTTGGTTGCTGGCGCAGGTTGCTGGGTTTGCGGCTTATCAAGGTAGGACGGTTTGCTGGCCCATCGCTCGTCGGCCAGTCGGGCTAATTGCTTGATCTGAGCTTGGCGGACAAGATCCTGTTGCTGTTCTTCAATGGTCGGCGCGTCCTTTCGCATGTGTCGGAGCCATTGGTGCCATTGCGCTGCAGGCAAATATCCGTGTTAGTTCGATCGATCCGAGATGGGATTGGTGGTTGAACACGTACGGCTCACTTGGACATCTCCGAGATGGGTTTTCGGGTCGACTTTCACGATGCGTCGGTATCGCGAGGCGTTCAGTGCATCTTTGAATTCCCAGAACGTGTTGCCGCGCAAGTCCGATCCTATGCAGAAAGACGAATAAGTATAAGGTACGACTCTGACAGATCACGGCGCTTCGTTGAACACACCCGCTAGGAAGGATTTTCGCCACGGCAGTTTAAGGCTCTTCCACTTGAACCACAAACTATTGATGGGACTCATTGGTGCCCGATGGTAGTGTCTAAATACTAATCAATTATTATTCGGCTAAATTGCAAAGAAAAAAGGGGGTGGAGTTCGATAGGCGAGCAGTAGGGGAAATATGCCAGGGAGAAAGGGTCAAAAGGGATCGGCGAGCAAAGAAGCGGACGGACGTCATCGGGCGAGGCGGAGCGGCTGACGGAACATTCCATTCCTCGCCCTTTCGCTTCTCTTTCTCTTCCTCTTCCTCTCCCCTTTCTTCTTCTTTTCCAGAAATTTGGGTTTTACAAACGCCACGAGTATCCTCTGGGCTTTCGTTTCCTTTTGACTGAGAGCCTCGAGTCTGTCCCTTTCGTGTCCGGTCACTTTATATACCCTTCTCATTCTCTCGGGCATATACATACAAACCCCCCTGGCCGCGTTCCACGGTTCGCCTCAGTGGCCAATTGACAGGCAACAATCTACCGATTTCACCTCTCAACAGAAACGCCTCTTCTACATGCAATAGGCGCATAGAACCGATCCTTTCCAACCCCCAACATGGCGTCTGTCACGTCTCTAGACAAAGACCTGCGCAATCTGCGCCTGTCCCGCTATACCCCGCAGGCAGCCGCCGAAGTGCGCGACTGGATCGAGGAAGTCCTCCATGAATCACTACCTGCCGGGGATCTTCTAGAAGCCCTGAAAGATGGTGTCGCACTCTGCAGGTAAGACATTCAGCCGTTTCTCGCACTCTTATCACCTCACCAAGGACCTTCCGAGACATGCCGGCCAAGGAGACTTCATTGGGCAGCCAACTAACAAAGTCTCACCCGCTAGGCTCGTCAACCTTGCGGTCTCTCCCGGGGTCAAATTCAAGCAATCGTCGATGCCCTTTGTGCAAATGGAAAACATCTCGCACTTCCTCCGGGCCTGTCAAATTCAGCCCCTGAGTCTCCCGCCGCACGATGTCTTCCTCACCGTCGACCTCTACGAAGGCAAGGACCCCGCGCAGGTCCTCCAGTGTCTGATGGCCTTCAGTCGAAGAGCCAACGCAATTCAACCGTCCAAGTTCCCCCGGACCATCGGCCCTCAGAATAAGGGGGGCACGTTGAGCCCTAATATGACGGGGTCCAGCCAGGGGGCCTACACGCCAACGAAGTCACGATTCTACAACGGGGTCAGCGATACCGCCTCGAACGTCTCCGCGCAATCCAGCCCGTCCGCGAAATCCCCAGCTGTCAGCAGCTGGAGTAAGAAGAGCGACGAGCATTCGACCGCCCCGGCCTGGAACATTCATCAATATGGCTACATGGGCGGCGCCAGCCAGGCTAACCAGGGCGTCGCTTTTGGCGCTCGTCGACAGATCACTACCGCCGCGCCGCATGTGCCGAGCCTGGCGGAGAAAGAGAAGCGCCGGCGCGAGGAAGAGGACCGGCTCCGTGCGGAGCAGGAACATGCCGAGCGCATGCGCCAGCTGAAACGGGAGGAACGCGAGGCAGAAGAGGAGCGTGCGCGCGCCGAGGAAGCGCGTCGCTGGGAGGAAGAGACGGCGCAGCTTCGGGAAAAGGAGCGGCTCGAAGTGGAGCAGCAACGGAAACAGTGGGATGAAGAACAGCGCAAGTGGGAGGAGGAGGAGCGTCAACGTCAGCGCGAGGAAAGAGAAACGGAGGACAGGACCGACAAGGAGAGACAGCGTCGCCGCGAGGTCAACGACACTCGTCTCAACGGCCAGTTCCTCAGCCAGTACCAAGCCAGCCAGCCAGTATCTGGTCGTGCTGCCGCCACCGAGCCCAGCGAGAACCAGCGCATTCGACAATTGGAGATGGAGCTGGAGAGTGCCAAGGAAAGAGAAGCCCAGTATGAGCGCGAGCGACGAGCTCTCCGAGAGAAGGATTCCGCAGGCAGCAGCAACAACACCCCTCCAGCCCGCAGTCCTCGTCCTGTTCCCGTCCCTCCCAAACCCAGCTACGATCTCTCTTCTCTGGAACAGGAGCGCCGTCTCCTACGCACATGGCAGGATCATCAGCGGGAAGAGCCCATTGCCGAGTCCAGCCCACCACCTATGCCGCCTCGTCGGCCCCTACCCGACCCGACCTCGACAGCCAGCAGCGGTGGTCCCCCTCCCAAACCTCCCCGCCCTCTCCCTGACCCGGTGAACCAGAAACAAGAGAGCCGCGTCGACCGATTCCTCTCCTTCAACCGTCCCCCGGTAGCCGCCAAGCCCGCCGCCCACCGTCCCCAAGACTACAGCACCACCTCTGAAGTCGACGCCGAGAACAGCCGCCGCGAAGCCGCGCAACAAAAGACCAAAGCCGGCGGCTGGGCCTCCAAGTCCCTTCTCGAGCGGGAGATGGAGCGCGAACGCGAGCGCCAGCGCGAATGGGAAGACAACCAGAAACAGACCGAGGCCGTCGCCGCCCAGGGTCTCGGTGACTCCTCAATAGGCACGGGCCCCGGCCAGGGCGCCTGGAACGTCCACCAGTATGGGTTTTTGGGCGGCGATAGTCAGAACCGAGGAGGGCCTGGCTTGGGCGTTGGTGGTGCGAGGCGTCAGATCATCGGTCCCAGACCTCCTCCGTAAAGCGCGATCCTTCTTTCTTTTTTTCTATCTATAACTTAACATAGTGATATCCATCCTTGTATCTATCTAACTACCGGGAATTTTGGCAGGGAGTTCTTGCTTTTCTATCTTCTATTGTTTAACTGGGTGGGGGGTCCGTGATATCATGGAAGGTTCTGTGTGGTCGTTGTTGCATCTAGTTTTTTTGAAATTTGAATAAGAAGTATCAAAAAAGAGCAAAGCGCCATCATTCAAGAACAATCTGGAAGTAGGGACAGAGATAGAGGAGTGAGTGTAAGTATCGAATTCTAACGGGTAAAGAAGGATATGCAGAAATGACCAAGGTCCTACGGATTCGACGACGTTCTCCGGAGACGTCCTTTGGCAGAGGTGTTCAGTGGAGATCCTAAGCGGATTTCGTAACCACTGAACTATAGAACCACCTGATCTACTCATTTCATTCCTATCAAGCCAGTTTGTCAACACTACTGATTTCATACCCAAATGATACTTTGCCCACACTCAATAGTACCTTGGGATAATGCGTGCATAGCCCTGGGCCCTCTTGGACTCGAGACTGTGCGCAACTTGAGCCGTAATTCCAATGACCGGTATATTCGGTCCATTATGGTCTTGGAGGGAGACGGCTTGTCCTCAATATCGAGCATTCCATGAATTTGGCTGATGGTTGATACATTGAATACGTACAGTACAGTCGTAGCACGTGATGTTCCGGTTGAAGACGGGCCTCCTGTCCTGTTTCTATGCTTCGTTTCCCGAGTGGCAGATCGATTGTTTCTGGCAGCATGGAGGGGGACAATGATAAGGACGGCAAGCCGGCCGGGTGTGTCTCTGCGGGAGGAGTTTCTGGCAATTATATTAGCTATCCTATTATAGTTTAATAGCAAGATATCGCCCGGCTGATCTAAAAGATCATACTAGCTTACTGCGTCTTTTCATGAGGTATATAGCGAGTGGGATTGACATAACGAATAAAACAACTCTTCTATTAAAGACGCTGTTATAGACGACGCGAGTATACTTTATGTTAATAAATCTAAACTAGAAGTTATAGTTTACATATATATAGTTAGAGATAGTATAATACTTTCTTCTACAACTCTCTATTTGTTATTCCTCAAACTGTTAGTAGTATAAGTATTTTTGATTCAACTAGATATATAATTGGAATTACTCAACAACAGAGAACTAGAGCAATTATTGTATACACTTCTCAATTATAGGGTAAAAACGTCAAAACGAATAACGAATCTTACTATTTAGTAAGATACTAGGTATGATGGTGGTTGCATATAGGATTATGGGACAAAAGCAGAGATCAGTCGACAATGAGTAACAAGTATCGCGTTTTAGTTCGTACTACGGATCTAGGAATTCTTTGGAGTTGTTTAGGGGGTTAAGGATACGGGGTAATAGATCACAGTATTCTTTACGTGCCTCGAAAATAAATGTCCATAGTATTCCTGGCGTGGGTTCATAAGCAGCCACCGAGGTTTTGCCAGGAAAAGAATGAAATCAGGACCACCCAAAGCGAACTCCGGATCTCTAGATAATGCTCTGTATGTAGTGTACAGTCCCCACTTCCCATTATGACAAACATGAGAAAAAAGAAAGTAGATGAATATGCATACACAAGCGAGAAATGAATGCAAAAGAATAGGGTATATCACACAATATCGAGTAAAAAAAGCGGGAGGAAAGCCGCCCAAACGGTCCAAACAATCAATCACATACGCCTTTCATTATTCGTCCGGAGAGGTAGCCATTTATTCTTTGCTTTACAGTCGGTATCTATCCCAGGCCTTTTTACCGGCGCTGGGTAAGGGTCGGTAGGCGTCGCCGCCGCCGCCGCCACCACCTCGTTTGGGTCCGGGACCGCCGCCACGATAACTTCCGCGACCTCCTCGATCCCCGCCGCCACCTCTACCGGGGCGTGGGGGTAGAGGATGTCTTGGTCGACCGGGAGGGGAGCGAGGACCGCCGGGATGGTAGCTATCTCTGCCTCGGCCGCGGCCCGGACGAGGGGGAGATCGCGAGCGGTAGCCACCGTGATACGAGGGTTCGGGGGCCCTTGGACCAGCCGGGGCGAAGTTCTTGTTCCTTCCGATGCCACCTCCGATGCGGATATTGCCGCGCGGTGCGCCGCGACCGATGGGCTGCCGTGGCCGAGACATCATGTCGTCGCTATCGGGGGAGGGCGAGCGCTGGTCGGCACGACCTCTAATCTTCAGGCCGCCCCGCTGACTACCTCGGGACGAAGGGCCCTTTGCTCGACCGCTCACTACCGAGTTAGTGTTGGTCACCATGTTTGGATCGACTCCCTTAAGGGTCCACGACGACGACATCAGCGGTTTAGGAAGGGACGGGCAGTCCCCGATTAGATGGCGGTTGCTGGTGCAATGCGAGCACGAGAGGGAGACTAGCACCGGTCCAGACTGCGCGTCTTGTCGGGGGATTTTCCACACGGCGTCACATTGAAGCTCCAGGTGTTCTGTCGACCCACACAGATCGCAAGGAGTCTCGGCGGCGGAACCTTTCAGCTGCGATGAGCATTGCGCCTCATCATGGCCCCGGTCCCGACAGCGTTGGCATCTTCTCCACTGCGGACAGAAACTGCTTTGGTGCTGGTTCCAAGCACCACAATGTACACACTGTGGCCGTTAGCATTTCTCACAACCAGACGTAGAGAAACTGTCTTCACAAGAACAGTCGACCAGATTCCAAACTTACCTCCCTAGATGGGCACACCTCGGCCAAATGGCCCTCTCGTGAGCACTCTGTACAAGCAATAGGCAGTTGAAGACTGATGTCATTAATGTCTCGATCATAGAACAAACATCTCGCCTGCCTTTCCATGTCGTCACGCTCTAGGTCAGCCAGAGTTGAGGGGGTCATAGGATATTTTTGAGAGAAACGGCGGAAGGCCTCCTCCTTGGAAGGATTGTTCGTAACACCGTTCTGGGCGTCACCATTGACTCGAGGCTCCGAAAGGGGCAATTGCTCAGGGTCGTAACCATCATCCTTTGGTCGTTGGCCAGAGATGCTCTGGTCCTCGTCCCGGGATCCAATATTCAACAATATAGAATCATCAGCCTCAGAATCCACAGAGTCCGACTCGTCTGAATCGCCCGACAGATGCATTTGGCTGGACTCCGCCGTGTGGTCTTCCTCCAACTCCCCCTCCTCCGAGACGTGAGGATCCTCTTTCTTGCCGTTCTCGTTGCGCGATTTGGAACTGTCTCCCCCACCAGACGAGGCCGAGTCACTGCGACTGCGCCAGAATTTATCATTTACCGCGTCGAACTGCGTGGGGGTCTTGTCGTCGCCATTTGTCTGATTTCGAGACCTGAGCGACGTCCGGATGCCACTCTTGCTGCCCTTGTTCCAGCCTCCAGCTGGTGCCTGTGTAGGTTTGTACTCCTCTGCAGAGTCAGAGCTCGAACTCTCGTCGTCATCGCCACCCGACGAGGAGGCCGAACCGCTGCTGGAGTCGCTTTCGGAATCCGAGCCGGAAGACGAGGTGCTGTCGGGGTCCACCTGCAGGGAGTTTGCACTAAACGATGCGCCTCGGGGCACGAAGTCCTGGACCTCGCGTGTGTCGGACTTGCCGTTTCTTCGTTGCCGTTTGGCGTTGGGTTTATCTAGAGAGCTGCGACGCGAAGAATCGTTGGAAGTACCGCGGCGGGTTCGCTGGACGCCCACCGAGGCGGTCCTAGAGTCGTGTTCACCATCGGAGGAGTTGGGCATTATGCGGTATGCCACATGAAAGACGGAAGGGGGCGGGGGAGGAGAGAAGGAAGGGAGTACTCCGTACAGCGTAAAGTAGTTGTAAGGAAGATTCAATGCAAGAATTGACGGAAATTCGCCGTCACGCTAAAGTTCGCCAGGAAATGTTACGGCCGACAAGATGAGCCAAAGACGCAGGGCTGGGGAAAGGAAGAATCGCCATTGTTCGAAAGTAAGAGGGAGATGCATGAGATAGAGGCGATGAAGTGTCCAAAGTGGATGTGATTGTCGCAGATTGCCCTGAACTTTCTACTTTCTACAGTGTCTGGCCTCTTCTGGACCGTCTCATCCGTGTGATATCGGGCTATTATTAGCATCGCATCTTTTGGGATCTAATTTGTCTAATTTATCTAAATCTCCCTTAGACTCCTAGTAGGCTGCTGGATTTCTTCTAGAAGCTCTTTCTTCTTCTTTCTCTCTTCTTTTCTTTTCCTTTTTTTCTCTCCAACCCATCCCCATCTTTTTTCTTCATAGGAAGCTGTCATCTTCCTTTTCCTGTCCCTGTCTAATCCATTCGTTTGGTCATTATCTCATAATCCCCACGTCACTCTCGGCGAGAGAAGGAAAAAAGAAAAGAAAGAAAAAATTGAATTGGATTCCAGAAAGATTTCTGAATATTCTCCAATTCTAGAAAATATTCTCCTTTTTTTTTCTACAATTTTTTTTGCCCCTCGAGGCTGGACGGCTGTCCCGTGACCGACGCCGATCATCGAGCGCGATCTGACTTTCGCTTTCACCTTCGCTTTCAACTCTCGCCTTCGCCTTCGCCTTCGCTTGACGGTCGGAATTGATCCCATCTCGCTTTCTCCGCCGTCGTCTCGAGACCTGCTACGGTCTACCTTCTGCCATTTCTCCCGCTCTTTCTTGTTCCTCCACCCCCTTTAATTTTCCGCTCCCTCTCTCCACTCGAATCTCTCTTCCTTTCCCCCCGAGTTTCCGATCAATACCGCCAAAGTGTCTTCCCTTCTGATTCCCCGTGCTATCTCCTTCCCCCCGGAGGCCGACAATCGGCCGCACCGGTTGACGCCAGACCCCAACATGTCCCAAAGCAAGGCTGGTCGGAGGAGAAGGTCAAGCAGTATCATCTACCAGGAGCCTGCGGAGTCCATTGAACACACCAGTGATCAGGCGGCCTTGCCCAATCTGAATGCGAACTGGGTGAATGCCAAGGGTGAGTGCGGACGAATCTTCCCCGGATGACTCCGTTCGTCTGGAGAAAGTGTGTCTGTAATCCGCTGACTCGAATGCTTCGACATAGGTGCCTGGACAATCCATTTCGTCCTCATCGTTGCCCTCAAGATCTTCTACGATATCATCCCCGGAGTCTCGCAGGAAACCTCATGGACCCTCACCAACATCAGTTACATGTTCGGCTCGTTCCTCATGTTTCACTGGGTGCGGGGCATCCCTTTCGAGTTCAACGCGGGTGCCTACGATAATCTGAACATGTGGGAGCAAATCGACAACGGAGACCAATATACCCCGACGAAGAAATTCCTCCTCTGCGTGCCCATCTGCCTCTTCCTCCTCAGCACGCATTATACCCACTACGACTTGACGTACTTCACCATCAACTTCCTCGCCACGTTGGCCGTGGTCATCCCGAAACTTCCATTTGTATGTCACTCCGTTCATCTGGGGATATTGTCGGCTTGTGCTAATATGAATACAGTCGCACCGATTGCGAATAGGGCTTTTCTCCGGCGAACCCGAGGAATAGCGGACTTTTTATCTTTGTCGTTTCTTTTCAATAATTCTCTTGCTTTTTATTTCGCTGATCTTTAATCCGCCTCTCTCTATCTTCCTTTTCTTGATAATATTCTCCACTTGGCGTTCATTACTGTCCTCTCCCTATCTTATCTCTCTACTCTTTTTCTACTGCGCATTCCCGGGAAGGTGTCAGGTCTCCCGTTGGGAAATTGGCTGGGGCCTTCCGTTCTATCCTGTCGGGTTTTATTTTGCTCCTTGGCGGGGTTAAAGGGGGAGCGATGATGTAAGGGTGCGAAAATGATGCTCTCGAAATACAGAGTACGACCAAATGGGATGAGCAAGAACACACAACAACACCACACAAAAACAACATCGAAGACCAAAAAAATGGCTCTGCAGAGAAAATAGAAGAGGGGGGGGTTGGAACGAGGCATAATGGAAGAAAGCAATAGAAAGGGACGAGGGCAGATATACTCCGTGTTGCTGCGACCCTTGTCTTCCACGTGTCTAACTCTAGATATCCAGGTTATCATTTCCATTCTTGTCTCCTTGCCTGTCTTTGTCTTCTTTCATGACCTTTTCTTGGTCCCGTAGGGCGCCTTCACCACGACGATGTAGCTTTGCAAGTTAGAAAAGTCACTATAGATCGGACTTATTTAGTACAAAGCTATGCTAATGCTAATTAATGCCCATGCTAATGCCCATGCATGCAGTCCCCGGGATCAAAGCGCCCTTTGACGTCCAGGAACCCGGGGTTTTAGCTCCTGTTTGCTGCGTGGGGGCTGAGTTTAATGCATTAGGGTCATTGGTTGCAGGTTCCAAATGGCTATGACTTACAGTAGTTAGGGCTGTCGAGGTCCATGCTATGCTAGGGAGGTGCTTTTTGCCTGTTTATCCGGTGTCCGTGTGTCCGTCCGTTCATGTGATGAGACCGGTTGGTTTGGCTAGTCTCCGAGGTACTTTCAGAGGGTTGGTTAGTGTGGTGATTTATGAGTAGAATCTGTCTCTTATGGAGAGCGCTGTGTATGTTTTTTGGACGGTTCCCTGTTGAGAGTGCGTTCATATGTATTCTTCTAATTCTACTCGATTATCTATATCTGTATGTGTTTGCTATAGTCGCGGTTAGTTAGTGTTGAAAGTTGAGATATGTAGCGTTGGACGTTGAGCGATGTTACTATTATTACTATTATTATTTTCTTGTTAACTTTGCCCGTGCATTTCTCTGGTGGTTTTCTACCTTATAGTTACAAGTATTTACTGGGGCGTGTTTGAGTCGATATATATACCCGAATCCCAGCCACGGGCGAGAGAATACATTGTTAGTTAACATGGAGTGGGGTAGAAGCGAAGAGAAAGAGAACCCCAACAAAAAAGTACAAAAGACAACAAACATTATTTTTAACCATCATGAAGAAAGTACATGAAGAAAGGTCCATCTCCAAGATGCAAAAAGACAAATCAAGTCTCAACGCCAGATGGCGCCGCTGGGAATCGAACCCAGATCGAGACGGGACTGCGGGATGAACCACAACGTCGCATGATAACCATTACACTACGGCACCTTGATTTGATGAGTGGGCCGCCGTTTTACTGTCTCTTATTCCTGCCCTCTTGGAATCCTTTCAGTATCTCGTCGACAAAGAATGACACCTTTTTTCTGATTTGTTGGAAATTGTTGCTCTTGTCCAACTCTGACGCATTATCTACACTCTTTTCAGATAATCTCAAACAGATATCGCGTTCCGTGCAATTATCAAAGAATTCGGCCGTGCGACGACTATCGATAAGCGTCCCGGCCCGCGATTATCAATCTATCACATACCAACTACCGCCGTCCTCAGCACCACCAATTTCTTGCCATCAATCATGTTAAAAGACGAGGAGGCGACTTTGCCCTCCTATCGTCCTGTTAAATCCATTCCCTTCGAACTCATCCAACACTCCGGTATCTTCCTGGAAGAAAAACTCTGTGCGCTCCCCCCCTCCTCTGTCAACACCACCGTCGCGCTAACTTTCTCCGCATTCAAAGACACTCAAGCTCTCGACCTCCTCGTAAACATCCTCTCCACTGCCACAGAAGCCCCGACTCCGGTTTTCGCTCCCCTGCCGCAGCATCTTGCCGTGGCCGCAACCTTCCTCGTACACCCGTCCACCACGACGCGCGCCAAAACAGCCGAAGAAACGGAAGCGCCGAATGCCTCGCTCCGACTCCTCCGCCTCACCAATACCCTCGCGGGGCCGGTCTCCGCGAACTTCGGACGCGCCTTTTCCTTCACACACTTCGAATCCTCTCGGCGCGGGAGACGACGGCACGAGCATGACTCGGACGACGAGATGAAGCCCCTGAACCTTGACCTGGGCCAGTCGGCGTCGGTGTGGTCCCGCGCTGAAGACTTCTGGCACGCCGTCGGGTGGGCGTTCAATTGCTCGGTGCTGCACCCGGAGCGGTGGAAGAGATGGTGTACCTGGTTGGAATTCATGTGTGAGGTCATGGAAGATGATTGGGAGGAAAGAAAGCGTCTGCACTCTGCGTCTACAAAGGAGGAGGGGGAGAAGTTATCCAAGGATGAACCTAAGATCCTCCAGGATAGCTTGATTGTCCGATACATCGAAGAAGGGAGTTCAGGGTACGGCAAGAACCGACGCATCATGCGGGCCATATTTGCGGATGGGAGTACCAGCTCCGTTAATGAATTCCGCGAGGTGTTCCACAAGGAACTCAAGGAACTCAAGCAGCCGAAAGGCGCCACCGAGAATATCAAAAAGCGAGAGGTGGAAGTCAACATCGACGAGGAGAAGTACGGAGATTATCTAAACAACGACAACGACGACGGCGGGTCCTCCCAAGACGAAACCAACCCGACTGCCACCAAAGGCAGCAAACGGCCCACGCGACAGACAAAACGTCCTCGTCGCGGCACAAGATCTAAACCGGACCCGTCTGCCAACGAGGACGCCCAGACAGCGGCCCATCTACACAGCGGCGTGGACCAGCTCGGGAGCCTGCCATCACTCGCTCTCCGACAACGTCTTCTTCACTTGCTCTCCACCGTCTCGCAGCATCTACCCGCCTCGTTCATCAACCTCGAAGAACTGTACCACCTCTTCGTCGAGAATATACGACACCTCCCGCTACCGATCTTCCAAGCCCTCGTCAGCCCCTCTGTGCTGCCAAACTTCCTCCCCGCCGCGAAAACCACCCTCTGCGAATGTCTACTGTTCCGGATGCGCGAGAGCGGCGCCCCCGTCACGGACGAGGAGTATCTCAACCAGGCCAAGCTGGCGCAGTGCTTCCTCCCTTACGCAGCCAACACGGCCAGTATCGTCGACAACGCCAAGGTGTCTGTCGCGCTCGAGTCCCTCCTGATTCTCCTCGCCGATAACAATCTACTGAAAGTCACCCCGCAGCTGCAAAACGCCGTGGAAGAGGGGATCAAGGCGCGCGCTAGGAAAACGCAGGTAGAGACCAGACGGAGTCAGAATAGCCGGAAACTGGAGAGTATCGAGTGGTCCTGGTTGATTGAAAGTGGGGAGAGATTAAGGTTCTTGGTGTATGAGATTTTGCCAATGGCGAGTGCCAGTTCCGTGTGATTGCGAAGGAAATGCCGTTTTGTTGATTTATATCTTCTTTAGGTCGTTTGTTTAATAGATACCCAGTTTGACGCGCCATCGAAAGCGACCTTCCTGTAAACGAAGATCTTGACCAAGACGTTCACCGTCACGAGAGTTGAGTTCCGCGTACATACGCCATCCAAAAGGCCGGGGACCGGGTCGTAGTCAAGTATGACGGCCGTCTGTGGATTCCGGTAGTAAAGGGCACGACTCTTCTATGTGGATAGAATATCACAAGGGAATGCCCATAGTTTCCCAGCAATGCTCATACTGATGGGGGGGTTTAACAATTATTCCTGGACCGGTCTCGTGAAATCAAGCCGCTTCTGCTAGATTTATCCCAGTCAATGGCGGATGGCCGAGGACCGCGGCCTTGCTCTGGGCGGGTAGAAGGAGAAGTTGGTTTGAAAAGACCTTGAATTTCTGCTTGGTTCCCATAACCCTGTATGCAAACACCATCTTACCTATGAATCATAAAGTTAATCGTTCGTTTTGACGGTTCTACTCTATAGCCATTCTAATTTTCCCAATTCTCAATTGTTGAGCAACTTCGATTATGTATCTAGTATTGAACCAGAGATAACCATACCACCGATCGCTTGAGGAATGATAAACAGAGGCTTGCATAGGGAAAGTATCGTGCTGTCTCTGACCCCGTGTGTGTGTGTGTGTGTGTGTGTGTGTGTGTGTGTGTGTGTGTGTGTGTGTGTGTGTGTGTGTGTGTGTGTGTGTGTGTGTGTGTGTGTGTGTGTGTGTGTGTGTGTGTGTGTGTGTGTGTGTGTGAACCATGACTCCCCGTTGTCGCATCATTTCTAGGACCTTTCTAGCCGCCGCCACCCACGTACCGTCTACACGACGACGGGAAGCCTCGATATAGACGGTAACTACAGGGTTCAGCTCGGGATCTACGACGCTTTGTCTCTGCAATATGTGGACATAGGTCGGCGTGATCGCATGTTCACTAAGGATCCGTCGGACATGCTCCTCGATTTCAACCTGTGGACCGGAGAGACAGTGAGTGCGAGGGAGTACTGTTGTCTTCAACGGTATGGAGCAGAGGTAGGGACCACCCGCTCTGAGATCCTCGTTCAGAAAGTTATCCCATGCCGGTCCAGGCCCCGAGCTTTCATCGCTAGAACTCTTATTTCTGCGGGATCTACCGTCAGAAGAGGGGAATCCTGGTGAGTCTGGGCCGGCTTCCAGCACGAGTCGTGGAGATGCATAGCACTCTTCAAAGCGGGATCCGGTGGACAGGATGGACCCCGTTGACGAGGTAATGCTTCTGGACATTTCCATCAGCTCCTAATCCTCATTCAGAAAGGTAATCATCACATTACCGTGTAGTCGTTAGAACAGAGCCTAGCAAGGAGACAGTACAAAGGACGATGGAGGTGTGGAAGTGAGGAAGGGGGAGATCTGTGGAGAGAAGAAGGGTTTGAGGGTAGTACGAAGTGAATACAGCAGAGATTTCTAGGCAGCAGGCAGGATAGAGACAGTGAATGTAATAGCGACATCATTCCCGTAGTGCTTTGGAAAATGTGCCATACCTGATCACCTGACGCACGGCACCACCTGACGCACGCTTTTCCCATAATCCTAGATACTTAATCATCTTAAAATATACTTCTATAATTGATGATACGTTATATTCTATATTTCCTCGGCCTTGTGATTATCAAATAGGGTGCTTTATAGAATATCTTAACAATCTGATTCTTTAAAACTAAATAACCCAGCTTACTATAGGCATGTTGTTCGCTGTATAGTTACCGATCTTGGCCATCGAGACAGGGAGACAACTTATTGTTCACATATCTAACCAGTCGTGATTCAGATATTTGAACTTTTCTTCTTATTGTTAATATAAAGAGCTACGAAGATCTCTTAGACAATGCGCGAAACTATTACTATACTCTATCTCTACATCGGCCAGGACTCTTAAACTTTGATATAAAAGTCGACTTCCAAAACAAGCAGCGTTAAAATAACTAATATATTGATCTGCATCTTTAATTTATAAATTCTTAGAATAGAACGCAAGCTTTACTTTAGTCTATAGTATAAAGAAAAGATGGAGCTTTTAGCCTCCGTAGGATTAAAGGCTTGGATATTAATGTTGATTCCGCAGAGAATGGTGTCAGTAGCTCTGAAATAACTAAGATAACAGACATGAAACCAGAAGGAATCTAGAAGAAGTAGAATAATTAACATTGAGTAGTGAAGCGAATGGGGTGATTTCGAGAGGAATGGACAAACCCTCAGTCACTGTATGATGATATTATGATATAGTACCATCAAAATACTTCCGTCAATAATGGCATGGAGCCGAAAGACACGGCGGAATTTCTGTCTTTGTTTTTTTTTAATGGGTGACAAGCTTGCAAGACAATGACGAGAAGTTATTCTGAGGAGTGGTGGTCCGCTTGATCAAGACCATCTTCAACCGATTGAAAGACAAGGGCTATTGGAATCGTAGCCACTGGCTCTTGAAGTATGAGGGTGAGTTCGGTGGGTTGAATGTCTTGCGTCGAGGAGGATCAATTACTGGCATAATCAGCCAGAATCCGCTCGGAGTTATCAGCTTGGACACTGGCGTCCTCCAGCTCGGCGATGGGCTGCGTTGTCTTTGTGAGCATCTTCGAGAACCAGGACCGACTTCGTGGCAAACTGCCTTACTTCCGCAAGGGATCCATCATGTTCGCCAAGGCCCTTGCGTGGGGTAGTTTGCTCAGGGTCGTCATCGTTATCATAGTCGGTAATAGATGCGGCATCAATGTGGTTGAGGGGCTGTCCTGCCGAAGCCTGTAACGCAAGGGCCTTTCTGGACACTGGGCCAAGCTTCAGGGTATTATTGGACCATAAAGTAAACTAATCTGATCGAATGCTTTTCAAGACAGTGATAGCGTTCATTTGTGGTATCAAAAGAGGCCATATATTTGGCCCGTTCATGTGATGCAATATCATACCAAAGGTATATCTCGCTCATTCGGCGTGACCGGTCAAATACCTTAGGACCTCTGCGATGCTACCTATGAACAGGAGATTGGGCTTTATTTGCCTCTTGAAAGATTTTGTCTCCAGTAGATTGGACACGAGTACTTATGCCTCTCCAGGTAGACGACGTGTAGTCATGTCCATATCCACCTCACCGGCAAGATACCTTGTAAACAGAAAAAGACCCGCCCTATCCTGCAATAGGAAACGGTATAATGGGGACATTTTCACGATCAGTTTTTCGCCATCGAACCAGGATATGATGATCCTGCCGCGTCTATTGTTGCCCATAAAGGAGACCACCATGACCTGCATTGTCTCATTCGTTAGCCTCGAACACTGCAGAAGAGAAAGAGGAAGAAGAGAAAGAGGAAGAAGAGAAAGAGAAAGATACCACATACGGGAATGATGACATGCTTCTTGAAGTCCTTATGTCCCAGACGAGTCACCATGATAGCCATAATCGCGAGTAATTCTCCCCGAAAAGGTACACCCTCCGTACCATTCGTATCGTGATGCATGCACACCTTTATATGGGGGTGGTTGCCTTCAGCAAGCGCCAGAAGTAATCGACTCCCCATTCTGGTGAAGCGGGAATAAAGATGCGGTCGAAATGCCGGCTGATGGGAATCCCACTGGATAACAGATTAGAGTTTATCACGAATGTATGGTCTCAGTCGTAAGTCTAGAGGATGGAGCACTTGGTGTTCTTCGCCTGTAGGTATCCGCCATAGGCCGGCGTCACTATACACCTTTGAGGAATTCTCTTGAAAAACATATAACAACCCTGCCCCCAGAATAGGCTACTTACCTTCTGCAAGAACATGTTTGAAATCAAGACAGAGAGCCAGAAAACTTACGTCACGCGTCGCCAATCAGTCATATGACCAATGGATTGACGGTCCTGCAGGCTTCCCTGTCGGGGGGCAACCATAAATTCCCACATCATTCTGTATGACATTATCTGGGCCCATCTGTGGGTTGTACCACCTCCGATGCTTTGAAATGTCGGACCAAGTCCAGCCAGAGAAAACCTGAGATCCTCGAGGTGCTCTCTGACTTCGCTCGCTTGTAGGTTCTTGGGGTGCTCTGCTAACTTCCCTGGAGACCATGGCTTGAAGAAAGGGACAGAGCTTTCAACGTCCATGTGCATTGAAAGTTGGATGTCGATGTTGAGGGCTTGAAGCGCCTGGTTGGTGAGATGATTTACACTCATTGCTTCGATGGCTTCAAGCCGTCTTTCGAGGATGTCCTTCAATTCTTCTCGTTGTCTCTTTACCTTGAAGAGACTCATGCGGTCCACGAGACGAGATAGGATGCTTTGCTTGTGAGACGCCATTGTTCGGGGCTGTCAAACAGTTGAATCAAAGCTCGCAGCTAGCAAAGAATGATGTGAAGGGTATGTAAACAGAGTCCTATAGAGAAGCTCGAAAAGAATGAAAAAGTTTGGCGGTTTCAAATGGGCCAAACCCTCAACCACTCGATGACTATATAGTGATGGACCATCACCGTCATACTAGCTAGAAGCTTCCTGATAGCATGCTCAATTCATGGCTGGATCATGGAAAGCATATATGACAAATTATAAAGCCCTGTACCTTGGTGCGTCTCTTTTGGAAGCATACCCTTGTAACTGTAGGTAATTCTAGGTATGTTTGTAAATAAATGGCCAACCATGGAACTAAGTAAGATGGACTGATTGCGCCACGCAGCCTCTCCATTCTCATAGATGTTACTCAATACCTCGATGTATTTGGCAAATTCAGGGGACGATCTGATTATACCGTTTGCCTGATTTGATCTCGAACTTGTCCAAGGTGCGTAAGAAATACGAGGCATTAGTCTTAGGGAACCAATGTACAAAGTCGCTTCTCGAGAACCTCACTTCGAGTAAAGATTTGGTGAGGGATTTCTTGTCAGTTCGCCTTGAATTGTGCCAACACAAGGCCGAACCAGCGGAGACCTAGTGTCTGTTTTACGTTTAATATGGGCATTGCGGCTTGGAATGGTTCGGAATCCGCAGATTCTAGAAGTTCCCTTGGAGCTTCCTTGGTGCTCTATGTCTAAGTTCTCTACCTGACCCAGTAGCACAACATCCAGGCCTTTAGACTGTAGTTACGTACCAACGTTACAGATGTAAGTGACACATTCATACAGGGTATTTGCTTGACCTCGAGCAGACCAGTCCATAATTTCAAATTAAAGAGAGCGCCATCCATGGGAGCGTTAGGGAGTAGCCAAGGGTAAGGCATGGAACGCTTTTTGCCACACGACATGGCTGGAATGTACAATCGACCGTCATGCTCGATCACGACAGCGTCACCCTTCGGAAGGCGGATCCGTCTTGGTACTTTATTGGCATCAAAGTTGTAATCATTCCAACGGCGGTACCAGTAATCGACCCAACAACGCATCAGGGAGCAGTTTATAGGGCTATGATAAAAGCAACTTCGATCGAGGTCAACATCACTGGAAACATCAAGGGATATTCTAGTGGCAACGCCAATGATCTTCTTAGAAACACACAGGCATGGATTTTGCTGATCTACTATACTGTTCTTGACTTAAATCTAAAGACAAGGCGATAGAAATGGCCTTGAACGAACGCTGCATTGTTTTGAAGATAGGAAGGAGATGTAGGAAAGGATGGGATGGGATGGAAAGGAAGGATCTCAGTCAGTGATGTAGAAGCTCTGCTGTCCTGGGGGCTTCCAGCACCACAGTAGTCAAATAGAAGATGGAAAGGATGCCTTTTTGATCAACACTAACCTGGTTGATTGATTCTTCCAGGGTGTTGCCTATCTAAAAGGTGCCTTAGCGGGCGGAGTAAATGGCGAAATGCTTGGTAGGTTGCCTCAGGCATCCAAATACCAAGTGATGGCCTTCGTGAAAGTGAAGACAGGTGACGTAGATATATGGTGAATATACTATATATTCATCTTTCTGAGTTTGAAGCCGTAGTTGGTGAATCGTAGATGCAGTTAATGTAGTCAATTCGGTAGGGATGGTTTAGGGCTATTTACTTCACGCCCAGCTGGGTCATTCCTCATGCAGGGAAGACTAGTTAATGATACTTTCTCTTGGCCCTGCGTTTCTTACTCTGTAAAACTTCCTCATGACCCTCTACTTTCTACTTCCTGGCTGTGGAAGTCTTTCTTATGGCGGTCTCCCATTTCACGGGGCTATCTTCGGCACAAGAAGTGCAAGAAAGCAACAATATGAAGTCGTTGGTGTAAGTCTGCAGATACCGAAACGAACATCTACAAAGCAACATTGACATTCAGCTAGATATCGCTTGTTCTCGGTCCAATTTGACAACTCTGGCCTGCCGAACTTGACAGTGTCTTTGTAGGGTCTATATTCCCTTTATTACGGGCTCCAAGGTTGACTCTGAGAAGAAATTGTGCATTCACTTGTCAAAGCCCATCTGAGGCTAATCACCTCCCCGCGAAGTCTGGGATCAACCGCCATTTGAATGCTTAGGTCCCAGCGACAGGTTGAAAGAGATGATTAAAGAACCCATAACGGCTCGTAGATATGATCAGCAACACTAAGCTCGAGAGGGAAGATTGCGCTGCGATCAGAATCCTCATGCACAAGGCAAAGAACAGGATGGGGGGTGTACCCTTGCGAGAGGAGTTGCTGGCTTTTATGTCGGCTATGTTGAGCCGACTGAAATACGACGATTTCAAAGATCACCTTATCATCCCGGTATGTGCCATCTATATAGAGATCAAGCTTTCATATCTTCATGTGCATTTGATGTTAACATGCAAAAATGCACCAAGTTTGACCAACCAAGTGTACGGGATTTCACCAAGGAGGTCAAGGCACTACAAGATCGGATCAATGCGATAATATCAACCAAGGCATATAACAACACTGCGCAGGCCCTCCGAGAGGGCGAGTTTGCAATTCCTTACATAGAACGAAAGTTTGTCGCCATTGGATTGATTGATGCAGGCGATATTGTTCTCCTTTTCTCCCTCGATACGGCCGGTATGTTTGCCTTTGCAGACTAGTGATGGCATTCGAAGTATAGGCCTGCACCGGCATGGTCAACCATTCGATTATGCATATTCCTACTCCAATAGGCTTCTAAAATAGGGAAGCTTGGGACACACAGCGAAGTAGTGAGAAGAGCTTCAGCTCGAGTTTAAACCAGAATACCTTATCTTCGACGAAGCCAGTTTCTTGCGTGGCCCGGATCTCTCTCTTATGCAACCGGAGTCAGATGCCCACGTGCTCTTCAGGGTGGCCACAGAATGGTCAATCCATCGTATTCAGCCGTCCGAACTTATCCAGTTATGGCCTGCGAGCGTCTGATTGACAAAGGATACCATCGGACGTTGCTGAACATCTCACATAGATCCCATGAAGTCCTATATCACCTCGTTGGCATACTGTTGAGTATTGTCGAATGCCCCCCCATGATTCGACTTGCTCAAGTAACCTGGACTGCCAGGGCTGCAGCCGATTCGTGCATCTTACGCGTGTCCAATGTTGATAGCAGGACAGGCACCCGGGCATAGTATGTACAAATAACAAAATACTGGTCAAATTGCTGAATGGCATCTCGAAATCAGCAGGCCGCTTTGCCACTGGTAATTCCTGTTGCGGTTATGGTCCCGAAGGATGCTCCAGGGAAGGCTGATCAAGTGGCTGACGATCTTCTTGCTTCTTGCGTCTCGCAGTCGATGGCAAAGCATTCAGAAGAGTCTCTGCTACCAGCATTTGCTAATCCAATGACAACTGATCATTACTTTCCTGAAGAATCGAAGATAAAGCAGGGACCTGTGCAAACTATTTGCTATCTACGAATGGCAACAGAAGAAACATGTCTTCGCAGCCATTGCCTAGTTATCAACCCGAATGTTCACGAAAGACTACACAGATTGCTACTTAGCTGTGTTCTAATCTTCCCGTCAGCGTGAGACAATGTCAGCTTTCGAAGAAGCTTTCGAACACATTTCGAACCATAAAAGCAGTCGACACGACAAAGTAATTAACTTTAATTATTGTATTTTACAATAGCAAAACCGCAATTGCAGGGGTCAATAGAATATCGAGTGGTCCCTAACAAAAGGTATATGCATACCAGATGCAGTCGGATATACGACCTCCAACAACAACATGACTGCTTTCACCCGACAAACCACGGAAAATGCAGATTATATCTTAGAATTTGATCTATATAATTACTGATAAAGATGACATACCGCGGCATTTCGATCGTAATGGAGGCCAAGAAGCCCTCGGACCTTCCTGCGAACATTGGCGTATTGAGTACGCAATATAAGTACGGCATGTGGGACGGCGAATGTCGATAAGCAACGACGTAATGATATCACCAACACCAACATCACATTGTGCCGGGTTCTCTCCCTTTCCGAAAGATCAAGGACCGTCTTGCAGAAGACCAGTGATGTTCAATACACACAGCAACGATTGAATGAGAAAGAAGACCAGTTAAGATGCATTGTGAGTCTCTATCCACAGTCATAATTGCAAAATACTAACGCCTGTTAGTGCAGAGAAAGGTACAGGGTAATCTCATTGTGGCAGGCGCCGCAATTGCAGCCCAGAGGTGACAGTTGCGGTGAGAACTGAACGGGATCCTATGTGTAAGGGGGAAGATCGCTCTTTTGGTGTCGAAGAGTGGAAAAGATGGCTTAAGCCCCCAAAATACGTTTACTTGAGTGACCTCCAGGTGGCATATATCCTCGCGCACCCTAGACCGACAGCCTGCCATGATGCCGACATGTGGTGGGCCAACGATTTCACTAAACAACGTACGGTCCGTTGTCAACGCATTCAAGAGGTATACCGGCGGTGGTAGCTGGGCAGAAGAGAGTGATGGCCACCACGGTCTGGACTCCCCGGGGACGCCGTCACCGAGGAAGATTCTAGGTGGGTGGGCGGGTTCATATCCGCATATAGACTTCAACGCAAGTGTTGTGAGCCCCCCTCGCCCCCCTCGCCCCCCCCGCCCCCCCAAGGCTTGACATCATTACTCTACCGGAGGCTCGTGCTTCCAAAAGAAGAAAAAAGTGTTTGGCATTGGCAAAGGTATGTGGATCCCACCATGTACGTTTCTAGATATTGGCTTGCTAATGATTCTGAAACGACTGAAGCACCCGAAGCACCCCAAATCGCCCCTAAAGACCTCGAGGCGGAAAGCGAAGCCGTGGTAAATGCAGCTCTTATAGTATTCTTAGGTTCCATCGGAAGCATTCTGGGACCTCGCGATTTAGAGTAGACTCTACGCCGCATCCACTTCCGCGCCGCCTTCAAGAACGCGTTCTACAACGCATACTTAGATGGGGGTTGACGACCAGCGAGGGCTCTTTTTCGATTTTTCAAATGGTACACTGGGGTTTTTGCAGCTCACAAAGGATTTCTTCCAGGCTATTCGACGACGCAGATACTCGGAGCTCGGCTTGTCAACGCACCCATGCAGAAAATGCGCCATATGTTCTAGAATGGAACAATGCCCGAAAAGCCATCCCGCAGGTCGCGGGTGAGTTCCAGAATGTCCTACAGCCTCACATAAACGCCGCTGTCGACGAGGAGATGAAGAACCTGGATGATACCTCGGACACGACAGCGGCCGCGGCGGTAAAGGTGATCACGGAGGGACGGGTCCTGGCAGACGCGGCCGCCCGGCTGCTACAGGATGTGCTGGGCCAGACAACGAGCCGCCTCCTCTTCTCCGGCCACATTAGGCACAGTCGCACGAGCTATGCGCGGGGATGCTCCCTAACAGGCAGCGTCGCCGAATAATCGGTAAGACCCGAGACCCCAAAGCTTCGATTCGAGGAAGTCGACGCGCTAAACAGTCTTCAATCTAGGCCAAATTGCTTCCTATATGCGCCAGTCGCATGTCCGGTACGGATTTCTGTCGACATATGAGTGGACAATACCCATTCCTGCGGCATGTGGAAATGGACAGAGGAAAATGGAGACTGGAATATAGCACGATAATTTCGAAGTCTGCCTTCGCTCAAGGGGGTGAAGAGGGAATAACCCTGCGAGAAGGATATGTTTTAGTGCAGGGGACGTTTCGTGGGCGAAAACCCAAAATTTCGTCTGCTAAGCGGGTTATATTGTGACCATTTGGCAGCACGTTTCGAGCCGATGCTTCTACAGAGACAGTGCAGCCTGGTTTTACGTTTCTCCAGGTAGGCTTCTCTCGATGAGCCTACCTTCGCCTGCCCTAAACAAAGAACCGTTTAGAGCTTCCCCATGCCCAAAGATATTATCTGTCTGGTTGACATCCTCTTCTATGCTCAGTCCAGAGGCTCTGCCCTTGGTGGAATATACAGAGCACACTGCCTCAACAGCAATACCAAGGCTAAATCAGACACTGAACACTGTGACGTTCGTGGAGTTTCCAGATACTGCTGCAACGTCTAGAGCGCGGCGCCACCCTTTGGACACGGGCATGCTTGCAGGCTTTTTGGACTCGATAATGGAATTAGCACAAACAATGGTGCTAAGTCTTTCTGCAGATTAATGCTTGAAGAATAGGCACCACCCGCGGCCTCAACGGAACGGTTTTAAAGCCTTACACATCCATGTCAACGAACTCTTCATAACTAGATAAGATGATAGCTAGGAAAGGGCAAGAGTGTATCTAGGATGTTTATAATAATATAATTGATTCTAACGAAAGTAAAGCCTTGCATGCCCTCAAGAAACTAACTTACACACGCCGTCAAACATACGGCCATACTTTCCTATGCAGTTCCCTCCGCTCATCGTTCTCCGCCAACTCAACAAATCTATCCTTGAATATGTTATTCACCTTTTTAGCATGTTCATAGTATTCCGGACGTACCATCCCGCCCAACGGAATGAGTCCTTCATCTTGCAGCTGATGCATAATATCCGAAATTCCTTCGAGAAGTTCCATCTCGCTTTGGTGCTCTAGTAGCTCCTCGTTCGTGAAATTGATCGGACATAGATCCTCACGGCGGCTTATGTCGTCCCAACGAGCCACAACTCTAATCAAGGTATTACGTAGCGAGAAAAGATCTTCGCGGTCCCAGCAGCCAGGTACCAAATGAATAGGGTCGGTCCTAACAGTGAGGTAAGGTTCGCAGAGAACCTTCCACCGTTGTGGGTCTGCCCTTCTAGCCGTATCACAATAGTGGTCAAGAAGTCGTTTCTCCGATGCGTACTGATCCGAGTGCTTCGGGGCCGACAGTTCCAGCATTGGTGGGCAAAGCCGTTGCATCATAACGGGGGAAGTACAAGCGAGCTGCCAGTCTATGATGCTGGTGATCTGATTGGTCTTGGGGTCGACAAAAATATTATCAAGGTGCAAGTCTGGGTGCGAAATCCTATTGGCTTGCTCTGTGCTCATTGCACTAGACACCAAGTATGGAGCGATTGCTAGATAGCGTGTGAGGAGCGAAACATAATCATCTGGCGTTTCGTAGTGTTCCATTGACCGGTGGAAATTCATCCTCGGCGCTGCGTGTGATGTTGCCCATTCGATTTCGTTCTTTCCAATGGCTGTAGTGTAATCGGTAGCGTTATTCCCTGCACTAATATTAGGCTGTAAACACTACGGCCCCACGTCACAGAAGCATACATGGTCCTCTATCCAGATTCATTGACACCCGTTCCCCTGCCCAAAGCCTAGGATTGGTTGACGGCCCGATAGCAAAATAAGGCAACTTGCTCTTATGACCAAGCGATGAGGTCGCAGTGGAGCTAAGCCGCTCATAGCTGCATGACCTTGATTACTTAGAACGGAACCTGTAGCGAACAACTTCACCTACCAGGTGGCGGGTCGCAACCTCTGATGCCACTGTGAAGAAGGCGGGGCCTGCATTGGGATTGGGTAATCGGGCGACTATTTCATCGCCGGAGCTCATGGTCAACACGAAGGCTTTGTTGAATTGCCCTTCCACACACTTGAGAAGCTTGACACCTATAGTCAACAAGTCAGCTTACGATATTTGGGTCGTAGGATGATTGTTACATTCATTTCCTCCATGCCCGCTCGCCTTTACGGATGCATCCACTAGCGCCTGCAGGTTCAATTTACGGTAGCGCATGGCGAGCTTGCGAGGTTCTTCGGTCCTAAGAGTCATTAGCCACGTATAGGCACGGTCCGGTACATCACATACAGCCACCTATATCGCTCGTATCTGTACAGGTCGGCCTCGTCGATCCGCACCTCTACCGGTCAGATTAGTAGTTTCTAGGATGGGCTCCCCAGGGATTCGGGAATCACCTGAACCGTCTTCCGTGGCTTTCCACAGAGGTATAGTCACAGATTGCATTTTCGTGGCTGTTGTAGAGTATCGAAAAGCTGTGAAATGCGGCGGAGGCCGGCGAGAAGTCCCCATCAAGCAGAAGGGTCGCATCATGGTTCTTTGTCAGGAAGGGGAATGTACACACGGAAGTATGTGCAGTACAACGGAGGTAGGTATCACAGCAAGCTCAGACCCCTGCCGCATCACGTGAAACAATCCCTTGCCCCCCTTCCTGTGGCAGTATAGACATTTTCAATTTAATCGCATCTACAGTAACAGGCTTAGATCAAAGTGGTAAAACGCTCTTGCGGGCTAACATGGGAACTATTGCGTCTATACAACTAATTGCCACCTCTATGTCCAATGAATCCCTGCTCTAGAATCTCAATCAAATCGTCTAACCGCTCAATCCAGATATCTGTATGTTCATGATCCTTCAAATAGGCGTTAAACTCATTCGCCAGTAAGACTGTTGCTGCACCAGCGGTGTGACCCGCCGTCATGTCGTCGATACTATCTCCTACCTACATCTATATTAGCCGTTAGGTTTGGAGAACCGCCAAAGAGAACAACTCACCATGATCAAATTTTCCGCTCGATTCTCCATTCCCCATTCGGTGGCTATGTACAAGATGCCAGCCGGATCAGGCTTCGGCATCAAACCAGGCGTCTCGCGCGTGATAATTGGCAGGAAGACGTGTTCTGGGAGGAAGCTCTCTAGGAGCCGGGTGACGGGTGTTCTGCCAACGTATTTAGTATCAACATCCACTACGACCATTCATGTCCCAACAGAAAAAAGAACGAAAGGGGGCGGGAAAAGATTCGGAAGCAGAGGAAAGCACGTACTCAAAATTCCGCGTACACAAAGCCCGCGGAATCCCCCTCTTCTGCAAATAATCCATCAGCTCGACAAGTCCCGGCTGCGCCTGCTGGTGCTGCATAGCGCGGCGCTCGACGGTCCGGATCTTTTCAGCCGCGATCTCGCGCTCCTCGGCTGTTGGGAGGCGCTGGATGTGGTGCAGGATGTCGACGGATTTAGGGATTCCGAGGGCTGCTCTGGTGAGTGTTAGTATGGGAGGGTTGGATTTCCCTCATGGTGGTTGGGATGCTAGAGAATAAGTAGATAGAAAGGAGGACATGTATACGTACCGCATTTCAGCAAACATGTAATTCTGCGGAAGGCTGTGGAGTTCTACATTAGCTTGTCACCTGTCACCGCTAAGTACGTTTTTATTTCATTTTTTTTTGAAAAGAATGGACAAAATAAAGAACAGACCATAGTGTCCCATCGACGTCAAATACCATGCCCTTGAGGATTGGCGCTCCTGATGACCCCGATTGACGTTGCGGATCAAGCGGTGCGAACCGTCGACGCAGAGGGGAGCTTGCTCCGCCGGCAACCGGAGCAGAAGACATGAATCGGGGTCGAGGAAGGGATCTCAACCGGGGAAAGATCATAGAATACGTATTATTTTAAGTGCGGAGCGGTGTTGCCTAGGATAGAGTGAAAGCGATGAACAGGATGAGGTTGAGGAAAGGTGATGGATGATCGACGGAAGGATTGGCGGGGTGGAGCTGCTGCGGGATGTGGATTGGCGGGGCGCGTGGTGCCATCACTATGTTGTTCTCAGTCTAGGGAATCAAATTACTGATTTAGCATGGAGTATGGAGGGGAGAGGAATATGCGACTATTTGCTATGTGCTGACACGTCTTTCTCCCAAGGAAAGTATCAATTAGGGTTCGCGAGATCCCGTGCTATGAGAGTCTGTATGGAAGCATCGCTCTTTCCTCGTAAACGGCTTCTCTTCCTCATACTTATCGAACAACAATCCCTCTCTCATCCTACCCAAATGAATCCTCCAGCATCCTATCCCTTATCCCTAATCATCACCTTCCTCACCATCATCTTCATCGCATCTTCAATCGAAACCTAACCCAAAAAATCCACTTCATCATGGAAACAAACAGACCCCAAGACCGCGACATAATCTACAATCCCAACATTATCTCCAGCAGCCAAGTCATCGGACTCGTCTACGACCTCATCGTCCTCAAGCTCCTACATGTCGCGACCGTCATCATCCGCGTCATTAACGGGCCCCAAGCGGAATCCACAAATCCCTTGCGCTGGGCCATCTCTCGGCGGGAGCTGCTGATCACTGAGGTCCTTCTGGCGACGTTTTTCAGATACGATACCGTGATTGATGATCCGGCGGAAAGGGACCGAGTGCCTGGCACAGGACCAGGAAATGGAGCGGAAACTGGGGCGGGGACTGGAGCTGTCGTCAGGGGTGGACCTGTGCCTGTAACTGGTGGACCTGTACCCATATCTAGGCCTGTTTTATCGCCGACCCCTCAGAATCCAGCCAATGATATGATGCGTGTGCCTCAGGAGGGTGATCTCAAGCTCGAGGAATTTCAGGCAGCTGTGGGAGGTGACGGGGCGAGTCCGAGTCCGAGTCCGTTGGTGCGTCTTGCTTCGACCGGGTCGACTGCACGGGCCGAGTCGCTGGGTTCGTCGGAGAGGTTGAGAGTCGAGGGGAACGAGCTCGAGCGCGGAATGCTAGGTACTGTCCCGAGGGTTGAAAACAGCTCGTTCACTCGCCCGATTCTGAGCCATTCAACTTCTGTTGTGTTTGATCGAGCTACTGAGGGTACTCAAACCCGCTCGGATTACGGTGGACTCAACCGCCATCGCACGGTCAATTGGATTGCCCAGTACCCTGTCACGGATGTTGAAGCGCATCCTATCTCCCTGCGACGACACCACGGCCTGACCGAGGCTCAGCTGGTCCAGGAGAGGAAGAGACTGAAACTCTGGCGATCTGCTGACGACCGGTACGCGAGCGCCGATGGATTGGAGTTGGGAGCGATGGGTATCTCGGACACAACACGGCGTGGTATGCGCATCAGAAGCGTGACTTCAGTGAGACCGTTTTCCGAGGTGTAGACAGAAACCATATCTTGTGGTATTCTTCTTTGACTTTTAGGATCCATGCTTTTGGACATTCATTTTTACCTGCACTACCTGTACCATCGAGCAGAAATAACTGGCAGATTCTATCTGACCCTGATGTCATGATTCGTGTATAACATAACAAGATCAGTATGCATTAGCGTTTCAATTAAGTTCATGAGCACACTTCCTGATGAATCGCATGATCCAGATATCCCATGGCCTTGACAATGATCTTGGCACTTTCCAGCACGCGTTCCCTGCTGTTGCCATATGTTTCTGACCCAGGAAAAGCCCCGTATGTATCGTCGAAGTCGGTATGTGCAATCGCCTTCCAGATATTATGCACTTCATCCGGAGGAAGAGGTATCTATATCGTCAACACCAAGCCTGAACAAGAAGAGAGACTGAAAGAAAAAACATACCATATTCGGAATCGACCACATAAACGAGAACGAAGTCGTTCCTGGCTCGCGATCAACATGATACACTCCACTCGGCACCACGAAGATGGTATCCGCCACCATCAACGACCGTTTCGATTTCCACCATAGCACCGAACTTCCGGGGAAATGGCCTCCGGTTTTGATCGCCACGATGTCTGCCTCTCCATCTTCCTCTGCTTTCTCCCCAGCACTCCCAGCACTCGCAGATTGAATCGAAGAAGACCCTAAAGACAAACCCAAACCCAATTCCAAAACCCCTCCCTCCCAAAATACCTGCCCCTTCCACCTCCGAACCGCCCACTCCTTATCCTCCCCCGACATATACACCTGACACCCAAAAGTCTCCGCCCAAACCAAATGCGTACTAAAATAATGCGGATGCGAGATGATGATCGCATCGAGACCACCTAGCTCGTTTATCCTGTCCACAGTCTCTTCATCTATGTAGGTTAGACAGTCCCAGAGGATGTTCCTTCCCGAGGGCAAACGACAGAGGAGTGCGCGTTGGCCGATGGCGAGTTTGGGCGTTGTTTGAATGGAGATGAGGGTGGTGGGGTGCTTGGAGGAGGGGGTGAATGTGTTGGTGTATTTCTTTTCTTTGTCGGATTGAAGGGCGCGGAGGGTTGTCCAGTTTTGACTGTTTTTGGTTCCCCAAGTAAGTATATTGTTTGGGGTTGAGGGGATTTGGGGGGAAAGTTATATAGAAGAGGGCTCACCCAGTCGGTGGGATGTATTGGCGTGAATCGTCGCAGATTTTACATGAAGAGGGCGCCGTCGAGGTGGGGTATTGGATGCCGCAGGCGGTGCAGATGATGAGGTCTAAGGGGTCGGTCATTTTGAAAGAGATGATCGTGCCACTGAATGTTGATGATGATGGATAGGGAAGAGGATGAAAGAGAGGGTTTAAAATAAATTAAGAGAGAAGATAGAAGTTGGAGAAGTTGACTGCGGGGAACCCAAAAGTGGGGATGATCATCTAGAAACCCCCAACTTTGTTTCTTCGTCATACGTGCAGAACAAATAATTCAGGTCGAGATCGCATTCAGCATTATCAGCATTATGCCGCTCAGCTAGACCTCGTCAACTCCGGTCATGATAAAAAATGTGCAGAGGAGAAGGGAATCACTATGTGGACATCGAATTGAATACAAGGTATGAGAAAGAAAAAAGCACAAAATCGCAAATCACAAGTTTACAGCCTCTCTTCCATCGCTTAGCTGGCTCGCATTTCATCGAATAAAAAACAAGTCTCATCAAATATGCACGGACGCTGGCCATAACCTGTGGGTAGAAGAAGTTGAAAAACCAAAAGAAACAATCATAAAGTCGTAAAACAGAAAACAAAATATTGCAAGACCATTTATGGCCAATATTAATCAATAAACATGCTCATCGTCGATCTGATCGGGACTGCCACGATAGTAGCTTCTCTTCCGCCGTCCAGGGCTGTTGGGATTCCCCGAGGTCAAAGGACGAGGTCCCGTAGGCTTCCGGGTAGGAGGCGGCGTGCTGCGAGGAGAGCGCATCGCAGAGCTCTATAGACAATAATTAGCGACTGAAATGCTTCAAGCGGTTTAGGACACGGCGAATGCTTACCCGAGAAGCAACGCGATCCGCGTAAGATCTGTCCTCGTCTCCAATACTGCTCTTGGGACCCCGCTCGGGAATCAATGGCCCATCATCTCGGATCTTCGGCGGCCTGGGTGGCCCTCCTGTGCGGGAGCTGGCCTCGGAGTACCCTGCGTCCGAAATGGGAGATAGACGACTGGCGCCACTGTGTCGCTGGTTGTTGGAGTGGACGCCTGACAGGCTGGGATTGGACCCCCACTGATCTACGGGGATGCCGTACGCCTGTGCCTGGGTTTCTAGTGCACTCTGGTATCGCCCTGTAGGACCCTGCCGCGGCTGGGGATGCTGGAGATCGAGACTATCTCGATGGGCCTGATATTTCGGTGCTTCGGAGAGCTGCGACGGCACCAACGGTGATGGAGGACGGTTCTCCTGTCGCTGATCATCTAGAGTGTAAGTGGACCGTATCCTGTCATCACCTTGGGGATCGTAGTAATCGCCTGCCCGGTACGGTCCGTTAACGTCGGATCCAGAGCGTGAAGCCTCAAAAGACACCCGATCTTTGCGCGCCGGCTGCATGCTGTTTCGGATGTTGTCACCCATCGATGACGCCGTAGTCTTGGACCACCGGGAGATCTTGGGGAAGAACGAGGAGCTGCTGGACTTGTGCTTGCGCGCTTTGTCGCTCGTCTTCGGCGTGGTTTCGTTGCTGAGTGCACCCGAAGCCATGGGAACAGTCCGAGGAGGTGTCGAGACCGGTGCAGACCCGGCCCGTTCATGCCGATTGTTTGGATTCTCCATCGAGGCTAGATGTGGGCTGAGGAACTCGCCTCGCCCATTGACATCTAGTTCCTCTTCGTCCTCCTCATCGGCTTCCGGCACGGTACTCACACGGTGCTCGGGCTCCCTCCTCGTGTTGACCCCCCGCGGCTCCTGGACCGGACGAGAGAAGGTGGACAGATATCCGGAGTGGTTATCAGAAGAAGTTCCGGCGTGACCATCGGGTTCGTAGCCCTCGGGGTCCACGCTAGGGGCTCGGTTGCTTCTGCGCATCAGCTGATCGTCTTGGCCAGTGCGTAGGATTTCGACCTCGTCTAGAAGCTGTTCTAACATGTCCTCGATGCGGCCGAGGTCGTTGCCAGACTTGAGGCTCAGACCCTTGAGGGCACGCTTGAACACATTCTTTCGCTTGGAGCGCATGTCTTCACCATCTTCGGCAGAGTTCTGACGCGCCCCTCGGGGACCGCTGGCTGGGAGTGGGCGCGGTCCACCGAGAGCTCGGAACGTGCGGTCATGCTGCCGGTCACTCGACTCCATGAGGAGATCATCCTGCTGGGAAATGAACTTTTTCATCTCTTCGAAAGAGTTGCGCATCTCGGCTGCGCTTCGCACTAGAGTCACAAGGATCTCCGTATCCCGAGCATTTCGCTGGGCATCGCGAACGGTGAGCTGTATTTGAATATTAGCAAAAGGCAGAGTTTTCTGAGTTGCACTGATAATAAAAAAGACTTACGTGGTCCATGAGTGCCACAATATCCTTGGACTGGATTCGCTCAATCCCCCGACCTGTTGCGCTATCATACAAGGGCGAACCAACTCCCTGAGAGTAGCCACTGAGTTGGCGCGGGTGATCACCGGTAGGGCTATCAAACAGGCCCATGCCGCCAAATCCCTTGGGCTCGGGGGTGTCATTGCTGGGGGAGAGAGGGTTGGCGGCAGATACATAACCCTCGTCCTTATTTCCCGGGGGCGTGCCGAACAACTGCCCTCTCGGGTACTGCTGATCGTAGTAAGCAGCACCACTGGGGTCATAGTCGTTGGCGTAATAGTCTTGGTAACCGGGTTGCTGTTGATCCATTGGATCCAAGCCAAGGCCTGCGCTGCCAGCAGCGGCGCCCGTGTTGTCGAAGAGAGGGGATTGATCACCTCTAGACGGTGTTTGATCATACGCCGCCCAGCCGTGGTCATGGGGAACTCCTCCAATGGGCCCCTGGATAATAGATGGATTGGTGTTGATCTCTGATTCTGAATCAGGGCTGCGGTCTGCCATGGGGCTGGGACTCCCGTTGTCATGGTAATCCTCGTGAGCAAACCTAGGAGTTGGCCCCAGGTCATCCAGTGACTGCGTCACACTCTGAGGAGGGGAGGTCGCGCTCATCCGTCGGGGAAAAGAGGTGGCATCCGGGCTCGAGACGTCCTGACGCTGCTTGAGAGGACTTCCGTGCCGGGACCCATGAGATGCTTGGTCCGTCCTTTCCACGGGTTTGGGGCTAGGGCTGCGGCTGTGGTTCTCGACAACCTGTCGGGAGAGATCGGTCTGCGAGCGATTGGCCCCAGACAGATCGGACTTGCCCCCAAGAATAGTAGGATCAAGGAGTGAGGCCACGGCGGACTCCACCGTCGAGGGATGGACGTATTGAGGGTTGGCCCCGATGCCTGCAACAGGATGACCTTGCTTGACTTTTTCCATAAAGTTGACTTCACTGTCGTCGGTGTAACCGGTCATTCTTTTGGCTTCATCGTTGGTAGTCACCGTTTCGGCAATCGAGCTTCGATACGCATGGCCATCGTCCCCGTAGTGGTCATAATGATCGTCATTTTGGTGGCGGTGATCGTCGTAGTCATCTTCTTCCTCTTCATGCCACTTCCGATTGCGCGGGGAAGCCACGGGGGTTGATTCGTAGCCGAGCTCGTGGTCATCATAATCATCATCATGGCGATGTCGTAGGTAATCACTTTGACTTGTGTATTCTGGCCGTGTCGATCTCGCGAGATTAGTGCTTGGAGCGGAGGAAAGGGAGTCGATGGACAAACGTTGTTCCAAACCTCTTTCGTCCGCCGAGTTCGCCTGGCCATCATGGCGAGCCGAGTCCTGCTTGACGTGCGGTTCGCTCTGGTAGCTCGCGACGCTTTGAATCGGGCTGAGTGTGCGTCGACGGTCATTGAACTCGGTATCGTGCTCGGACACGCCAAGGAGGTTCGCCACCGCCGCCGCCGCGATGGCTCCCGCCGCGGCATCTCCGACGGGCGAGTAGCTTTGCTCGCGATCATCATGGTCCGAGGCGCTGTGGATTGACAGATTGTGACTAGACATGTTGCTGTGCTTGAGGTCGTAGCGCGAGTCCATGGGATCGCGGTTCGAAACGCGAGAAGTGGGCGATGTGAGCTGCCTCGGCGACCCGCGAGACACCTCCTGCGTGGCATAACGATTGTCACTGAGTTCCGTAGGCTCGCGGGTCTGCTCTGAGAGCAGGGAATCCCTTGTCATTTCGGATTCGATGGCGCTGCGGAGGGGCATGGGCGCCACGTTGTGTTTTTGGAAGACTAGCTCCGTTTCATTGACACTTCCGGTTCGACTCCGTGGACCGCTCGGCCGACGTCGTTCATTCTTATCGATGCTCGATCGCGAGTCGTGGTGCTTGAGAGCGGCAGCCGTCAGAGCGTTTCCCACACGACCCGCCTTTTCGGCGTCACGCAGACCCCTGCTCCTTTGTCGGCGCAGTTTTTCCTGTTCGGTCAGTTCGGGACGAGAACCCCATTTGACTTGGCTCGTATCGGTGGTCATCTCGCTGTCTCTACTGGGCCTTCGCTCACGCTGCGACGGAACCGAATCTCCCGAGAGGACAATACCTTCGTCTTGGCTGTCCTTGTTGAGGACCACCTTGGGCTTTCTGACGTTGGGAGCACTGGCATGTTTTGAAAGCCGGCGGCCTAGTTCGTCCCGGGACGGGGAACTGGCGGGCGAGTAGGAAGCGCTGATGTCACGTTCGAATTTTGAGGTGTTGGTCATCACCTTTTGGTCCTTCTTTAATTCTTTGAGTTCCGGGAGAATTAGTCGCCGGATGGCATCTTCAACTGTTTCGAGGAGTTTGGGGTTGTTGATAGATGATTTAGAGGTGCCTGATTTGAAGGAATACTGGTCCCCGGATTTGCGATGCGAGGACAACGCCGAAGCGCTCAACAGGCTGGATTCGGGACTCATGTTTTCGTCGTCACCACGGTACGCGGCGAATCGTCGTCGAGGAGATTTGGGATCTGATTCTTGGTAATCACCGCTGTCTCGGTTGTTGTTGTTATATGCTGCCCGCTGCTGCTGGCCTTTGCCGGAGTTGTTCTTGTTGCCGGCGGCTTCGCGGGGATCGTTGCTCAGTTTCTCAGCAACCCGATGGGCAATGCGCTCGGTGCTTAAACTGCGACTTCTCTTGCGGGTGGGTGTTTTGAGGTAAGATTTAGAGTCGGAGCTCTGCTCTCGTTCTAAACTGGAACTGCGTTTTCGTCGGGGACCAGAAGAGGGGGCTTCTAGCATGGAATCCGCGGGCATAGACGAGATATCCGAGGTAGGGTTGAAGTATCTGTCGCGAGAGATGGTGGAGAGCTCGCTGGCCTGGTCACGATTCATGAGCTCAATTTCGACGGGGGAACGGCCAGGGGGACGCTGGTCATCGGAGGCGGATTGGGAGCTAACGCTGTACTCATCAAGGCCGTATTCTTTCGGCTGCGACTTGGCCCGGGGAGGCGAGCTGAGAGAGATGCGACGCGAATACACGGGTTTTCGGCCGCTACCGTGTTCGGTGATCTGGATATGATGATCCTGGTCCTTCAACTTCCTGGAAGACGAAGGAGTGACCCGGACTCGGACACTGGGACGGGAGACCAGGGAGCCAGAACCCTTCCCGCCCTCGAAGTATTCGATGAGCAGGGAGGTCTGGGAGTGTGGCGCCGAACGGGACAGTTTGGAATCGTCGCCGTGGGCACGGTGCCTGCGCTGAGTGGGGATGGTAACGGGACTCCCGTCGTCGGGAATCGAATACGACGTCTTGTCTGTGCGTCGAGATAGGTCAGTTGCCAAATCAGTCCCTGTTGTACTCTCGCCAGTGGTAGTGTCGACAATGGATTCAGTGGGGGCGGGCAAGATCGGTCTGCGCGTATCGACACCCATGACGGAGGATGTGAGCGGCCCTTTGATTTTCACCCAGACGAGACCATAGTCTCTTGATTTTATTTTGCTTGTGATTCTCTCCTCTTCTATTCCTTGTACGATCTAATCGTCCCTTGATCCTTGTCTTGCTCCTCGGGGGAAATTGGTTTTTTTGTTTGGTTCTCTCAGGGGAAACAGGAAAGCGGGCAAAAGGGAAAGAGGATTGAAAACTGGAAGGATGACCAGCGACTGGAACGGAAACCTCCAGGCTGCTAACAGATAGGAAGGTCACTACCGATCGGGCAATCGATATGCAGTAGTTGAAGGTTGAAATAGGGACAGACGAGGAATGTGGGGAACTCGTGGGTCGGAAGGAGGGCAGATGGCAAAGTAGAAAAAAAAAAGAGCGAAAGCAGGAAAGATAGAGAAGCGTACCGTCGTGAAGAATAGATTTGTGCAGGAACACAAAGCAGTTATTGCCAGAAAGAAGAAAGGAAGGCAAGGTCAGACAGGTGTCGAGAGAAAGCGAGAGAGGCGCGGTGGATGTGAAATGCAGCAAGTCGAGTTCAGCCGCCGATCCCTCACTTTTGCTTTGCGGCCAGTCTGCCTGGTACCTTAACTAAAGCCAGACGACGAGATGGAAGAGGGACCGGGATGGTTGGCCGTGACTGTCGGCAGTCGCAGTCGCCTAAACCTGAGGAACAACGGAGGACGGTGAAGGAATCCAACCGGCCTGTCGGACAATTCACAAGGTCATGCCTAATGTCAAGATGCGACACCGCCAGACTGGTTAGAACAAAACTCGATTCCGACCAAATCAGCGCCACCGAAAACAGGGCTCGGATAGTATGGGAAAATGGAAAAAGAATTTCAAAAAGAAAATAAATAAAAATAAAAAAGGTGAAACTGTTAGAGAGAAGGGGGGGAATAAAAAAAAAAGAAAAAAGCAAAAGAAAAGAAAAGAACCAAGGCAGCCGATGGGAGGAGCTTACGGAGTCCGAAAGATTCAAAAAAGACGAAGGCTGGATGGGACCGACGGGGAACGGGCAGCAGAGGATTGGCAGAGAGACCGAGACAGAATCAAGAGAGATGGAGAGAGATGGAGAGAGTCAGGAAGTGCGAGATGCGCTGGTCACTTTTAGCGGCGACAACAAACGCAGCCCCGTTGCAAAACCATCGCCCAGCCTTGTTCTTTTTTAAAAAGAAATTGCCGCGGATCGCATCTGCGGTTTATGATTGTGATTATGAATTATTATTTATCTGACCTACAAGTGATGGATGTTGCATTATTAGGATCGTGACAGGAAATCAGCATCAGCCTGGAGGGTTTCCATTTTTAAGGCTCCAATTCCCATCCCCCACGTCCCTCTCTCGCCCAAAGGTTCAACGTCATGCAAGGCGCCGGATCCCTTTCCTGCGTTCCCTAGGTTTCGTCGTCCCTAGGAGATAAAGCAGACAATCGCAAGTAGCAACATCGAAATCAACATCGTCGTCTTTTCATTTCCCCTCCGTCAATCATCGCAGGCAAGGAGCCGCACTCGGAGATATTTATACCTCCAATGATCCGGAAATGTGACCTGTGTGATTTCTCTCCCAAGCAGGAGTGTCGATGAAACACTTCCGAATCATGGCACGGGGAGTGTGCTGTTCTACAGTACGGAGTAGGTGTTGGTGTTGGTCTTGGTATACACTCTGATCCATCAGATTCACTCCCAACAATACTGCTATAATCAGGGAGAACCACTTTCTGGCATCCAGCAAGGCAAGAAAAGAAAAATCCATCCAGGAACCCAATATCTCAAATCTCACCTCTTCTTCTTCTCCCCCTCACTCGGTGGATCCCTTTCCCCCCCTCCAAGGCCCCGAATGGATCCCAGCCGACTAGACCGACCCAAGGCCAAAGTTGCATTGGTCTCCGGGACGACCGATCACCACCCTTCACGGCGCCATCCATTGGCTCTGCACCTGCCAACTCATCACATCCATCCTTCCACCAGCTCGGCCAGTTGCGTTGATTGGGTCGCACGATGGAATTTCTTTTCCTTATCCCGACTGAAACGGTGGAAAATCATACCTAATTCTTTCTTTCTTCCACCTCTCTCTTCCCGGCTACGTGCTTTTTTCTTTTTCCGGGATGAAGGAAGGAAAAAGGAAGGAAAAGAGGTCGATGAGAGAAAAGTAGACCTAAATTCACTAGCTCTGGTCTCTAGCTCGACTAATTCTCTATTTAAGTAACTTGCGGTGGATCCTTCCCAGCCACCAAGACCAGCCACCGGTCCTTGCTCGCAGTGTAAATCGACGGAGGTTTTGTTGGATCTTGCTTTCTAGAGAAAGAACCTAATGTGATGTGATGTCGAGTGAACATTGCAGTTGCTTACTCCAAGTATTTCCTGTCTGCCTATCTCTCTGTAGAGTGAATGCCAAATAAACAATATAAGCACATCCTCGTACCGTGGTACAACCCCTCCTCTTTCCCTGGTTCTTCAACTCTTATCGGGACTGTACAATGCATGTACTGTACAACTACATCCTCTGCCGTTGGGTACATTTACCTTATGTAGCCCGATTGGAGACTGCGAATGGAAGGGAGCTAGCTAAGGCTGGAAGTCTCTGCATGCTTCGATCTTGATCTCGGCTCATGCGCAGTGCTATACTATATTCCTAGGACTGTCCGGATGTACTGTATCTCTACAGTGCTTTTCATCGACATCGCGAAGAGGAACCGAATCTTCCATTCTTCTATATACATACATACCTGGCTTTCACTCGGTCTCAATCCTAAGATCTCACATTCGGCCGAAGAAAATATGACCCTCCCCCTCCTCTCCCGGTCTTGTGTAACTCTCACTCTCTCGGTTCCCGCGCTCCAAGTCGTATGTGTGAGACCTTTCGTTCCCCTTGTTGTGCAAGAATGAAGGAGTTGAATTTGATTGTGCCATCACGTAGATGATTCATGTCTAACCTCGGGAGAATTTTAGTGATAATTGAGATCTCGACTTCCCATCTCTGATTAGATATAGGTATATAAAGTGGTAAGTATAGGACCGAAGTAGATATCATTGAAAATCTCGAATATCCAATCTCACCCTATCGCCAAGTGATCATTGCCACAGGAGACAAACTACAAAAAACTAAAAGTAAAAAAAAAAAAAAAAAAAAAAGATCTCGTCTGAAATTATGTTTTAACACCCTCCCATCCATCGATCCCACCCTTCCCTCCTTGCCTGTATGCATAAGCACGGTTTTTCATTTCCCCTTGCTTCTTGTAATCTGCAATGTACTCGATGCAGAGAAAGAGAGAGAGGAAGAGAAGCCGAAAAAGACACCGAGAGTTACTTTGAAACAAGTCTGAGCGGGGAGACCTAAATGACCTCTTGGTTTGTTTGCTTTTGTCTCTCGGTGTTAGTCAAGGAGGGTTGGTTGAGTATGGGGTATTTGTGGGGTGTATACCCTAGATATCTTAAACGGGGGAGAGACTAGTATAATAAGAAGAAAAGAAAACTTTTTCTAAATTCTTAATGCAAAGCACCGCACGGAGTATGCAGACAAGACAAGATGAAAAGAAAACAAGTATCGGCGAAAAAAAAGAACAGGTAGTGATATCCACAAAGGCTCTGAACTCCGGTACAAAACTCAGGTGTCAATCGAATCGAACAATCAGATTTGACGTAAAAAAAGAAAACAGATTCAGATAAAGCCATTATTTTCTTCTACTAACTTTACACTCAACCACTCCGCTGGGGTGGAATTAGTCATCCTCGTGCTTCCGCTTGAACTTCAATCCCTTTGGTTGACTGCCGTAGTTTCGTCGGCCTTGTTGCTGCTGCTTCTTGTCCCGGCTGAGACTGGAGCCGAGTTGGATGTCGATGCGTGGCGGTGTGGAGAACCCGAATCCCTTCGCCACCTTGACGAGGTCGATCTTGTGCACGTCGAAGACGGACCGCAGCGAATGCGAGGCGTAGGCCTGGAGGTACGAGCGGTAGCCTTCCTTGGCGGACTGTTTGGATGCAGTTAGCATTTAACTCGAGTGGGACAGGTAGGGCGTGAGAAACTCACCTTGTTCAGGTAGTAGTTCTGCTCGATCAGCTTCTCAAGCTGAGACTGGACGTTAACGATCTTGTTGGAGGGGAAGTCGAATTCAACGACAGGGACTCGGGCCTCCTTGAGGTGCTTCAGGAAGCCGACCTCCGACGGCTGCAAGAACATCAAACTACGACCCTTTCCGTCCTTACCACGCGCCGTACGACCGACACGGTGAATGTAGTCTCTGGTGTCATCAGGAGGGTCATACTGGATGATCCAGTCCACGGCAGGAATCTAGTCAACGGTTAGATAACTCGTAGCAAACGATCAAGGAAGAGTCAACACATACATCCAAACCTCGAGCGGCAACGTCAGTACAAATAAGAGTACCAGACTTGGCGTTGCAGAATTCGAAGAACGTGTTGGTTCGCTTCTGCTGTTTCTGCTTTCCGTGCAGCTCAAGCACGGGTAGGTCGATGTAGTTGAGGAGCTCGGCATGGTATTTGACGCAGTTGCAGCTGGAGAAGAAAACAATGATCTTCTTCTTCGCGTTGCGCTTCAGGAACGAGAAGAGCAGCAAGAAGCGCTTATCGGCCTCGCAGAGAACGTATCCCTGCTCCAGACCTTCCACGGTACTGTGCTCTTTGCGGTGGTCCACGTTGACGTACAAAGGACCGGGTCGGAGAGATATCCGCGCCAAATCCTCAACCTTGGTGGTCTGGGTGGCGGAGAACAGCATGGTTTGCCTGTTGTCGTTGGGCAGAATCTTGACGATCTGACGCATTTCATCTTCGAAACCGACTTCCAGAATACGATCCGCCTCGTCGATGACCAGCGTCTTCAGGTTCTTGTAGATGAAACCCTGGGTGTTTTGCAAATGATCCAGCAGACGTCCCGGCGTCGCAACAAGCAGGTTGACACCCTTGACGAGCTTCTCGGCCTCCGCCCTTCGGTTGGCACCTCCAATTACAATACCGTAGGTTTGAGAACTAAGTTTTAAGTGAGCCCGGAGTGAAATCCAACGATGGTAATAGCACTTACTGGAACTGGCAAAGTTCACGGGCCACTTGGAATATTTGCAAGGCCAACTCGCGTGTGGGGGAGACGATGATGACACCGGTACCTGTAGGCGACAAGCATGTTAGCCACTGTGACGCAGCCTGAAGAAACTCATCACCCATAGAGCCTCAACTTACCGTTTCTCGGCTTGAACCGCAAGGAGCTCAACATCTCGATCGCAGGAATCAAGAACGACAAAGTCTTTCCCGAACCCGTCTTCGCAGCACCAAGAACATCCCGACCAGCAAGCAACGGAGGAATAGCACGTTGCTGGATCTCAGTCATAG